CCGCGTCGGTGTCTCTTCAGACGCGAGGGGAGCAGACTTGCGGGTGAGTCTTGATGAGATGTCAGGGACAGCGTCGTTGCACAAGCGGTTGCAAAACGTGAGCTGGGTGAGGAGTCAATGTGAGATTCTGTTCAGTTATCGGCATGTACCATACGCACAGGCAGTATCCCTGCATCGCTGTCATCAGCAGGGCTTCCCGCCCCCCATCGAAGCAGCTGGTCCAACTTCCCAGCCTCATCAACCACAGGCAGATCCCCAAGAGCGAGACTTTCCGGCTCTTCCTCATCGGTATCTTGACCGCCACCAACTGATCCAGAAGCTCGCCAGTCACAGTTGAGATGCTGGGCAGCGAAGAAGAGTTGCAGAAATCGCGTTCGCACGTGATCCGCGTCTGCGGTAGACTTGTCCCGCCTATCGCGCTCTCCATCGCCAGCAGCTCCTCCTTCCGCACCGCCAGGGGTGTCCCCGCCGCGGTCGTGTTGCGCATAGGGACTTTCGGTTTGCTGGTGCATCTGACAGCGGTGTGCGTGGGCTCGATGACGCCGAAGATGGTGTGGATACAGCCGCAGCTCTGGTAGCGCGTTTCGCGGTGGATCGGGCTGTTGGGGTGATCGGCGGGTTTCGTCGCCGCCGAGCGAAGAACGGTCCTTTGCGGGGTCTCCCGCATGTCTACAGTGCGGGGATTTACGTGGGGACTTTGGTGGGGCGGAAGACGCGTTGGATTCGGAGGTGGGTGGCATACTTGCCGAGTGGCTTGCTGGGAATCTGGGTAGTGCTACTTTGGGCTGTGCACGGCGGGGGTCTGTAGGCATAGTTTAGAGCGTATAGGTAGTGTGTTGTGATATTAAGGATTTCAAGCTGCGTCGATTAGGTAGAGAGTGTGCTGGTGTCGTGCATTCCTCGGACGGTGAATGAAGGCCGGGTGGCACGTGATACGTGACCTTTCTACCTGCACCGAAAACCTTTGCCGCTCCTTCTTCTGATCTATGGATTCGCTTTACCCTACGTTGAGACAATTGAACGCGGTAGGAGTGTGAGTGATAGGAAGAGATGGAAACGACCTGACGTTATTTTCGTGCAATCGAGCCGGCGGGCCCTTCGCACATCGCCCCACGGAGACATGCGGGGCACGCTCCACATACGCTGTTGATCTAATCAACCCACGACGCGATTTAGAGACAAAGCTGCATATCCTTTCAAGTGTATAAATATACATGCCCATGTTTGCCACCACGACAATTGCTCTCTTTTCACCCCCACTGAAGCATCCTAATCACTCGATGGACTCGCCCGACATGGAGCTCGATCTCGACGAATTGGCATATCCTCCCTCTCCCACATCCTCTTCGCTTTTCCTTCCATCTAGCTCCTCCCCTCCTCATGTCACTGACTCCTGGTTACCTTCTCAATCTAATGCCAAATCCAGCGTTCCAAACTCATCGGTCCACACTTCCTGCTCCACTCAAAGCGCGCAATTATCCGGTCACCAGTTCTGCAGTGCCCGGCCGCAACAAACAGTCAATGTCCAAAGTGGTATCGCATCTTGCCATGAACACGCGGCTTCGTCGGCCTCATCTACGAAACTCTCCCCGATTTGCTTCCTGATCGAGCGTTATGTTCTACTGACGATCCCAGCCAGATATGCCCGGGAACGCAAGATGGATGCGCTTGCTCACAGCAGGCAATACATCACCAAATATGCCCTCAGACCTACCAACTTCGTTCCAAGATTGAAACTCTCGAAACGGTCCGTATTCATTTCCAGTCAGTCTCCTTGCTCTTTCGGTAAGCGGCTGACTCCCCCCTCGTCATAGAATTCGAAAATACAGCAGGCGAAAAGCTACTTACAAGCTCTAGCCTTGCAGCACTTCTTTCAGGTCAGTTGCTGGTCGCTTCCTGCGACCCTCGGTCTAATGAGGAAATCATAGCGTATGTCAGTCTCGGTAGACGAACATAAGAAGGTAGACGGATTCTGTGTTTCTTTTGGATTCATCTGACACCCCACAAGATGCTCGACGCGATGTTCGAGATGTTCGTCGAGCTCCAGAACACGGTGGCATCGATATCTTCGGAGAGTACGGCGGCTATTTCGCGCGCAGTAAGCATTGGTATCAAGCGACGCGCACCTGTGGCACTGATACATTTGCGCAGGAGCAAGATATGGAGTGGATCCGGCCTGCACAATCATCCTGGAAACATGCATTGCGCGAGCGGGATGCGCTACCGAATCCTTTCACAAATCAATCTCTCCCACCCTTTTTGGATCTGTATTCTCTATCACGACAGTCAGCTTCGTCTCCCAGCATCTTCGGCACACCGACACTCCTAACTAAACCGGACAACGCCTGTGGACATGCGGGTCGCTGAATCGCTTGCAGCGACGATCAGCGTAACACTTTGACTCGTATTAAAGAAGAACTATACATGTATCGCAGTGCAGTCAGAGCTATTAGCGCTATTCATTCACTCAGCTAGACGGAAGGTTTGCACGTGATTGGACTTTGACTCCTCACTGTGCGCTTCGCAAATTCCCATGTATGCTGTAGATAGATGGCGGATGCCCGTTCAGGCTCATTCTGGCATTCATCCAGATCTGCTGCTGGTACACCCGATGCAGCGCAGTTAAAGGTGGCCATGGCAGAAATAACCAAAGAAGTTACAGGTTGACTATGGACTTTTATCCATGTTCTTATATTCCTATACACTTTCTTTTTGCTTGACAATCTATTCTTATGGTAACATTGGCTAGTCATAGAAGTTCCGTACAAAATCTGTCTGCACAAGACTCCAAGAGGTCTACGGTGAAAGACCTTGTCCACAGCATCACACAAGCTGGTTCTCGGGCGTGTAGAAGGGATAATCCGTGTAACCCTTTGGATCGGGGAAGCCTTCGCCATAGAAAGTGTTGCGGTCATACTGATTCAGAGGGTAGTCATGTAGCAATCGCAAGGGCAGGTCGGGCTGTTCCCATTATCAGTGCAAAGCGTTGAATAGGACGACGAGGGCTTACATTCGCAAGGAATTTTCTCCCGAAGGCTATCAGCTCGCCTTTCTCGGCGTCCCGGATGGCTGATTCACGGGTATAGCCGCCGGCAGAGATCAGTTGACGCGAGCCAGAAGACGTCCAAATATCTCGGATGAAGTCATTGCTCACTCCCTTGGGAAGGGTGTCGTCGGCAAGAATATCCTCTCCTTCGATCCGCGGCTCGATGACGTGGAGGAAAGCCAGGTCGGGATGGCGCGCCTTGATCTGCTCCAGGAGATAAGAGAAGGTGGGTTTGGGGTCCTTCATGCGCATGTCTGGAATTCAAGTCAGAAATTCGAAATCTATTTAAGCGCAAAATAATGACCTTGGTAGGGGTTCCAGGGACTGATGCGGAAGCCCGTTTTCTGGGGGCCAACAGCGGCAACAACAGCATCTATGACCTCAAGCGCAAATCGAGTCCGATTCTCGATGCTCCCTCCGTACTCATCCGACCGCACGTTGCTCACATCTTGTGTAAACTGGTCAATCAGATATCCGTGCGCACCGTGGACCTCTACACCGTCGAATCCAACATCATGCACCGCATATTTCGCGGCTCGCACGTAAAGTTCCACATATTCGGAAATCTCGGTCTTGGTCAATGGACGCGGCTTGATGTCGTCCGCAGGCCGGTAGCTGAGCGCGACGTCGGAGGCGGATACGTACGGGTTGTTGACGCCCAGAGTGGATGGCTGGGCTGCACGGCCGTGCGCCCACAGCTGCATGTAGATAAACGAGCCTTGCGCGTGCACGGCGGCGACGATCTACATAAAATCAACAACGGTCGTAGCATTCCCGAGCCATGGGACGCACCTCCTTCCACGCCGCAATGTGAGCCTCCGACCACATCCCAGGAATGTTGAGCATTCCGCTCGCGCGCTCGTCGATGAATATCGCTTCTGAGATCACCAGCGTCCCTGGTTGCGAGGCCCGCTGTGCGTAGTATTCCTTGACGAGCGGATCGTAAGGAACGCGGTCATCATCAGAGCGATTCCGCGTCAATGGAGCCATCACGATGCGGTGCTTGAGCTGCATGTCGCCCACCAAGATCGGCTGGAAAAGTTGAGGTACGGGAAGAGACATATCGAACAAGATGGGAAAATGCGTTCCTACTTGGAAACACATTTATACTCGTCGGCAGTGTCCCATAGAAAGCACGTCATGGCAAACGACCAGGAAAGTGGCCTGCGGTGGAAGCGAAGCAACGCAACGCGCATAAGCGCAGAGGTACGCCCTGCACCGCCTGAGCAAGCTTCCGCGCTAGCACGGAGCTCTGCTGAGGGCCGACCCTCGTAAGACTCGTTTCCTATTGGTCAGTGCGCACAAGCGGCTGGTGAGTCAAACTAGATAACGCAACTCTCGACTGAGTGCACGGCTACAATCGCCACGCTATGTTAGTGGTCATACGTAAGGTAGAGGCATTGGACTTCTTTCCAGTCCACATGACATGCCATGCAGAGATATCCGTACTTTCAGAGGATCGGACTTGTCGAACAATGTCCAAATCAGTGATGCGGCTGTGGTGCCCATCAATTACTAGAAGTCGGATGTGTTGCCGACATTTCTCAAGTCTCTCAGTCTCCCTCATCCTACTGATTATTTCGGGTGATTCTCTATGACGACCTTTGTTCGGTAGTATCCGGTGCAAGGCCTGTGAGCTGAATACGTCGCGTGACCGATCAGAAAGGTGGGTCGGTCATCCTTTCTTACTCGACAGGCTGCTAGTATAATTTGGATGACTGGTCTGGCTCTCGACCTAGAGACAAAGCGCGTCAGAATTGCGCGAGGGACAATATATTTGTGCGCTACTTGAATAGGATCTACATCAATCACAATCTGCAGTTTTTCCCACCTAATATGAGGGCTGCGGTATTTGGGACCAACCTCCGCATTACAGCTCCTCCGATGTAACCCAAGCATCCGCGTGGTCAAGCAACCAGTGATACTCCAAGTGATACCCACCACACGTGCCTGGTTAGGGATAAGTCAGCATCAGCCAAGGAACATCATTAGATGAACAAGCGTTACGACCCGTGCCCTTGTGACGGGAACTCAGACGGCTTCGCTATTGACTGAGCGGAGAATAGTATAGATCAAGGCCCAAAAATGGCTAAATGTTAGTCTAAAATACAGCGCAAATCGGTCCAGAAGCATCAAGTCTCAGGCTGACATAGTGAGGTATCTAATGCCAAGACGCCCAGCCAGGATACATCTTGGCGAGATTGGCTGCGTCGGTGGCTTCCTGGATGAGCTTCTGCACGACATTACTGGTCGACACGACCTTGTTGTTGTCCTGGAGGCCCTTGAGCTTCCGCTCGATCGGGTCCAGCGCATTCTTCGCGAGGCTCTTGAGATTCGCGCTCGCCTTGACGCCGTTTCTCGACTGCCGCCTCTTCTCGTCCTCCCACTCGACGAGCGGGTCGTGGATGAACGCGTCGAGCACGCTCATCAGCGAGTCCTTGTTGTCGTGCAGGAGCTGCATCGTCACCTCGCACGCCAGCCGGAACACCCCTTCGACGCCCGTCACCCCGAGCCCGTCGACCATGTTCTGCGTCAGCCGGAACGGCACCCGCTCCGGTGTCTCGAGCGACTTGCCCTTTTCGAACAGGCAGTTGAAGTCGACATGCACGACATCCCCCGTGTTGACGTCCAGGAGGATGTTTTCGCAGTGCCGGTCGCCGAGGCTTGCAGCAGGCAGAATTTCAGCAGATGACCTCGGTTAGCGACACGACCCCACTCACCCGAGGATGTACCCCACCATGGACATCACAGCCGCGGTCCTCCCATACGCCATGCGACTCGCCAGCCACGCGCTGGGCTCCGGAAACGTCTCTATAAACCACTCGTGGAACACCGGTGGGAACCCAGCCAGCACATTGTCCCTGAACAGTTCCGCCGCCTGCTTGTCCTTGGCCGTCTTGATCTTCGCAAACGTCTCGCTCAGCTCCGTCGACCAGCTCTTGATCCCCCGCCCGTCGTAACCCTTCAGCAGCACCGGCCGCAGCGGAATAGTGTTTGGCACCCACTGGATGAACCCGCACTCCTCGTTCAGTGTCACCACGCCGTATGTCCGGATGTCTGCAACGCCATCATAAGATATGTAGATAACATTTCGGCCGACCACTCACGCAACTGCCGACGACGCGACTCGGAATTCGCCTTGAGCAGCTTATTGATAATCGAGTTGAAGTCCATCAGCCGCGCATCCTTCCGCAAATCGTCCTTTGGCTTTCCGAGGAACATGTAGATTTGACCGTTGCTCCCGTGTATCGTGATCTTCCGTGGTTTGGCCAGCGAACGCATGATCTCGATCTCGTCGGAGAACCCTGCTTCGAGTAAGTTGCACGCCCGTGACACATTGGATGATGCACCCACCCTGGAACGTTGGGACATCCAAGTCAAACGGCTGGTGCGTGCTCTCGTCCACAGCCGAACTCGGCGGCAGGCTCGCCGTCAGCGACTCTTGCAGCGGAATGATCAGCTGCGAGGTGCCGAGTTGGAACAGCTCCGGGAACTTCTGCTGCATGCTCAGGCCCCGAGCCTCATCTGAAACGGGGTGATCGCACAGCTTGAGCAGCTGATTGGTCATGCTCGTGCACTGCTTGACCAGCTGTGAGGTCTGCGATCGATGGCCCGCTTGCTGGATGAAGTGCTGAGGACGCCGATACACAAAGGAATCGACGAACACCACTCACCACGAGCTTCTCCAAGATCTCCTTCCCTCGGGCGGCTCTCGTCGACTTCGTCGACTTGACCACAGACGTGAACAACCACAGCGCCTGCTTCGGATACTCCTGCAGCACACGTATGATGAGCGAGGACAGGACCTTGTACACCTCCGGATTGTCATGTCCCACGCGCGACACGATCTGCGGGAACGCCGTGTACCACTTGTACGCCGGTGTGTCGCGGATGGCCTTGAGGATGATTGTGTCGTTCAGCCGCTTGTACGTTTCCTGCGTGTTCGTCTTCCGGTCCTCGCCCAGATCAAGCCAGATTGTGATCAGCCGCGGGACCGTCTGGTACACATATTTAGACCCGTACTTGATCGCTCGCGTGAACGACTTGATAGTAGACGCATTCATTCGAATTCCACTGCTGCATGTCAGAAAATAACTTGGAAATGAGCAAGCAAACACCGCACCGCGAGATTTTGTCAGCCGGGGGCAAGTCCTTGAAGCACTCGTCGTGAAACTGGCCTAAATGGAAGTGCGAGCTCTCCCAGCTGCAAAGCATGCCAACTCAGTCCGCACCCACAAAAGCCAAATGAAACAACTCACTCTGGTTGCAGCTCAGTCGCCGCCAAAAACGCGTTGAATATCGACTGGCTGTCATACCGGTCCGACTCGTTCATCCACTTGGCTCTGAGGATCTGCGCCTTGGCTTTCATCCTCGACGTCTCTGGATCATCTTCAGTCAGATCCAGCACCACATTCCCTTGCACACTGCCGCTCATCGGAATACCGAGTAGCTTCATGGCATTCTCAATCTCCTGCAGCGCCCGCAGCGGCTCGCCCGTGGCTTTCACCAACTTGGCACTCTCCATGAAGGAGAACTCTGCTTTCGATTGCTGTGATTGTAGTACCGCGCTGTACGCCGTCTGCCACTGTCCAGCGTTACGCGCGATTTTGGCCGAGGCCAGCCAAGAGCGGCCGATCTCGCGGATGGAATGCTGCCGATGTGTCGTTCTGGTGACTGTTGAGCGAGCCGGGTCACAGAGAACAACCGCAACCGCACATTAGTCCAAAGGCCGTCCTCCTCATGCTCAACACAGGCTCCCGCGTCCTAAACGTCGGCAACGTCGACTCGAGCCGAGACGAAAGCACCACGTTCAGTTTCTTGAGCGTCTTCCGCGAGCTCTGCGACGAGCCAGGTGTCGTCAGGTCGTTGTAGATCATCTCCAGCTCGTTAGCGACGTGCAGATCCAACACGGCTTCGTAAGACCGGCGGTAGCCTCTGGCGCCAGAGGACGCGGTGATAGGCGCGCCAAGAATCGTTCGAGCAGCAGCGAGCGAAGTTGAGATCGCCGCGGAGTCCCTCGACCGCATCGCAAGCAAGACGCGGCTCATCGCAACTGAAGGAGAAGTAGAGACAGTCGTTTGCTCCAGGATGTCCTGCACATCAGTCCAGGCGCCGACGATCCAAGCGCTCTCGACCTGGAAGCCCGCCAGCACCGGTTGCCACTCAGGATTGCGGGTTAGCACTCCTCGGACATGGGTCCGCAGCGTGTCTATTATCATCAGCTGTGCGTGATACACATGACGGCCACCACTCACCATAGTGTCCCAGATTCCTCAAGCACCTCAGTAGCCCCAGATGGTACTCCAAGCTGTCCGGTGCTTGCTGCAGCCGAACTTCCCAGCAGCTCTGCGCCGATGTCCACCGGCCGGTGCTCTCGTGCTCCCGGATCTGGTGCTCGAGCGAGGGCGAGAGAATCAGCGTCGAAACACCCTCCATCCCGTCCGGCTCGTCGATGAAGGAGTATATCTCATGCAGTCGCTCGTAGTACCCCGGCAGATCTTTGCTTGCAGGCGCTCGCTGGCGCAGAGTCATGATCTGGCGCTCAAAGTTCATCAGCGAACGAGCGTACGACTTGCATTTGAGCGCAGCGCGGGCCATCAGGTTCTCGTCGATGCTCGATAGGATGGAGTCGACGCGCATGAGCTGTTCGGACATCTGCGCGTTGCTGTTCGCACTTGCCCGGGCACGCCTCTCGGACTTTTTCGCGCCGAGCTCTTGGCGTACCAGCCGCACCCACTTGTTGAGATGATCGAGAAGCGTGAACACGACCTGCAGTGATGAGAGGGGGGACTCAGTAGGGAGATTGACCCTCAACGCACCTGCGCACTGAGTAACTTCTTGTCGTCACTGGACGTGCTGGCCGGGTCAATCTGATCCTCTAGCACAGCCAGGATCTCCTTGCGAATATTCTGCGTGTCGTCCTCCTTCCCGGAAATCAGGATATTCAAGACCAGATGCGGCAACAAGTGATGCGCGACGACGACATCCTTGTTTCTCACAGCCTGCCGGAAGACGCCAAAGATGCGCTGGGCAGTCGCACCCGAAGCGATGGTGATCAAATGTAGACTCCACCACTGGATCCACTCCCGATACGTCGAATGCTCTGGGTAAATCGGATGTGCCATGCTTTGCATGGGTGCTATCGCAGGAACAGCGAAGCGACCCTCGAGAAGCGGTGCGGCGGTCTCGACAACGTGTTTCGGCAGCGCGTTCCATCGGTTGCGCACTTTGATGGGGACGGAGGTAGATCCTGAGCTGCTCCCGGTCGACACCAGGGCAGGCGTGAAGCGACAGAACTTGCACAGCTCCTGGATACAATAGGCAAGTTGGCTCTGGTACCGGATATCGCTGGTGGAGCGGAAGGCGCCTACGAGCAGGTCCTTGACCAGATGTAGCGCAAACGCGATCGAATCCTCCTCGTTCGTGAAATTCGACAGAACAATCATCGCCGGGCCGCCGGGTCCAAGTTCAAATCGATCAGGATCCACTGCACCTATCCCCCCAATGCATTCGAACGCCAGCAGCCTCAGACCCTCAGTCCCATCTCCCTCACGACAAGCAGCAGCAAACAGGGCAGACAAGATCTTGCCGACAAGGGGATCAAAGACATCACCCGACGCAAGGCTCGCTACAAAGTCTTTGTGTTCCGAGAGCATAAACGTCTTCAGCTCTTTCAATGACTGAGCGACCATGGTGAGATTGTCGCTCCAGACCCGATCCAAGATTTTCTGCAGCTCCTCTCGCGCCGACCATTCTGAGCGCATCTCCTTGAGCTTGACTCGGACATTGTCCAGCTCAGGGGGCGTTAGGTCCGCAACCTCATCGAGGTATGCTCCTAGCTGAGAACCGATGTTCATCACGATGTATTCCAGCGTGCGGGTCGCCAGATCCCGTCCGGTTGCCGACAGTGAGGACCAGGCGGAAACGAATGCAGCACTGGTAGGCCCGACATGCGGCCCCACGTCGTGGGGTTCTGGAGTGCGGAAGAAAGTGTACCAGCTGTCGAGAGTGACGTCCGAGAGCTCGGGCACACCAAGAGTGGACTGGAAGGTGGCCATGATCTGACGAGAAAGATTAGATAAGAAAGCGAGACGTCTAGATTACACGCCTGTGGGGCGATCGCGCTGATTGGAGGGCCGATGACCTGCGTCAGAACCCCGATGCACTTGAGGATCTTACGTTTCGTTACAAGAGAAAGCTTCCCCCGGCCGTCGCGCAGAAGTTCGCTGACATAAGTGATAACACCAAGCATATAGGCTTTGAGGAAGTTCGACAAGTCCGGAGAGGGATTCTCGGGTGCCATAATATTCTCAACCTTCTTCAATGCGGTGATGGCCTAGAGATGTCAGGCACTATCCCAAGCAGTATGGAGGAACGATGACTCACATACTGAGCTGTATCCGCATTCTCGTCGCCCATATTTGTCACCAGCTCCGCAATCAACTGCACGATCGAGCTCTTGACCACACTCTGCGCGTCGATCTCTCCCAAATTTGTCGATTCCATCAGAATGTTCAGCAGAGAGTCGATAGCTTTATGCGTCTGGTCCACTCCCCGGAGCATGAATATGTGGGCTAAGATCTCCGCTGCGTGGTTTAGAAACAGCGACGAAGGTTTCGACCGCACGCTCTTGGCGATCAGCTGGATGACCTTCACTTCGCACTGGCCGAACAACGTGGGCAGCGTTTTGGGCAGCGTCAACGAGAGAAACGCTTCCGGGTTGTGCTGCATGAGCCGGGACGCCTCGTATAGTAGCTGAGGCTGAGTACCGATTCGCGAGACCAGCAATGGTGCAAGGCGATCGAAGTGAGGAAGTGTGAGTGCCATGACCGTCTTGTTGTAATGTTGTGCGACGTTGAGGATTTGCATGCAGGCCGTGCCACGCAAAACCAAGTGAGAGCTGCCCACTTCATTGAACAAGATGCACAATGCATGGCTCAAGACTTGGCTGCTCTGGATCCTGTTTCCAGTGAGCAAATGACGATGGTCCTCGAATGAACTAAACGCACCTGGCTATGACCCCGAATGTGATGATCAGTGTCTCCTTGACTGCAATTGTGGCGGATTCTAGCACTTCACATGCTCGAGAGAATACCAAGTACCAATCAGCCGAGTCGGCCTCTTGAGCACATAACTCGATCAACGCAGCCAGAGCTGATCCTACGCTCAGTCGCACGCTCCTGTCTGGGTCATCCAGCCCTCGAAGGATCGTCGTCGCCGCGTGATTCAAACCGTCTCTGTCCGTGGAAGCGTGATGCCTGATAGTTTTGGAGAGAAGAGCATACGAACGCCGCCGGACTGCACTGGTCACTTCTTCTGTTGAGCCATCTAACAATCGCGCAACGGCCGTCAGTCCAGCCGGGAGAGCGGACAGCTTGAGTCGCTTGGAATGACTTGAACCTGCGCATTTGGACACAGTGCACACAAGGCTAGACAGCTTGTCCGCGACCATGACACGAGATGAAGTGTCCTGAAATTCGAGTCGTCTGTGACAAGAGTGTGAGTGAACGAGCTCCGTCAATCAGAACGTACCTTTCGAAACGACGTCTCACTTCCTCCAATGCTCTTTGCGCGTACTCTCCTTCGGGAAGAGTGTCCCCGTCATCCATCCAATACAGTCCGAGAGGCTTGATTATTCCCTTCACAGTGTCTGCGACCTTGCTCCTCCAGTCGCCGTCTGCAGACTCGTCCGTATCCGAGCTCAAGACATGAAGCCTGTCATCCAATGCATACAGGAGCGAGGTATGATCCTGGCTAAGCTGCAGAGCATCAAACCGTTGTCGAGTAAGCTGCAGTAGATCCGGCGTCATCTGGGGCACACATCGATTGATGTATGCGACTACCAAGTCCTTTGTCTCTCATTAGCCGAGAATTTGACTGACTCAAGTGCACACCTGTAGACTGGACGGCATCTGCTCCCACGCCTCCAACCTCAATACCTCAGCCAGATCTGGCCGCGAAGGCAGCTTGACAGACATCTTAGTCAGCTCGCGATCCGCGTCTTCCCATCCGCTCAGCGCCGGCTCCTCTAGTCGATACCTCAATATCCTCAGCCTCAGGTCGGGGGCGCGACTTTCGGCAGGGAGGACGGTCTCTAGGAGGGTTGCCAGTCCCGCGAGTTTTACGAGGGCGGCCGCTCTCTTCTCTTCTACGGCGAGGCAGAGAGGAGAAAGGCAATACTCAAACGCAAAGGCCACACTCGAGGACAATTGGCGGATGCGATCACCGAGGAACCATTGGGTCTTGACCGCTGGACAGACGGTATGTGTGACAACGTGGAGGGTTGTGCTGAGGAAGTTCGGGAAAGTATCGACCGAGTCGAGAGTGAGTGTGAGCGATTTATCGTCCATGTCCTGTGACTCGTCAACGGAGTCCGTCTGGTCCGAGAGTGAAGAGGCGTACATTGTTGTCTGTCGCGCCTTCCTGGAGGGCGAAGAGATTGATCGACATCGGGAACGTCGACACCGTTGTTCGTTCTATAGAGTCTTTGAAAGAGCGTTTAGGGCATGTTAAGATCGGAGAAATACCACGTACTGCGAACGGCAAGCAAACATTTCTCCATAATGTGCCGCAGCGTCTTCCACAATGGCTCGCTAGACTCGCTGAGATGCGTGACCATGCCTCCAAAAGTCCTCAGCAGCTTCACTGTTGTCTCCAAGGCTTCATCGGCCAGAGCCTGAGGCGTCGGCAGATCCCCAATATCCATCCCCTGGTCCTCCGACACGTCGCGCCATCCGTCCATGACATGACAGAAGTTGAACAGCCGTAGAAAGAGCTTCGTCGAGAGCACCTCTCCATCAGTGCCATAGAAGATTATCTGGATGCGCTGAGCGATGAACCGCACGATCTTCAACGCTGCCTGCGCCAGCAGCACCTTCTCTTGCATTGCACGCCAGCGCCAGCGCGTTTTATCTGGGGCGGGAAAACATGCAAGGAACTGCTCAGAAAGACCTGAGACGACGGTCACCCATAGGAGGCTGTTTGATTCAAGGGTTTTCGAGGGTGTGTCGAGGTTGTGGGCAACGAGGTTGTTCATGAATTCGAGGAACTGTGTCGGTGAAAAGGAGGCAATCGAGGCATCGAAGGATGGGAATGAGGCGGAGGACGGGTTCGAGTTAGTAGACATGGTGGGTGGTGCATATGTGTATGAGGGCTCGAGCCGAACGGCGCCAGACTGGGGATGACACGGAGGGTCACCACTCACGTGAGTGATGTGACGACGAGGATAGACACAGTCACAAAATTGAAAGGCCTGACCCAGATAGGGAATGTCTCTCCTCGGATAGTTGAGCAACGGATGATGTCCTTTGCTGCCTCGAAATCTACACTCAAGAGAATATATCCAGGCACACAAGTCTGTTGGGGTGCTTCATGTCAGAAGTCGGGGAGCGAATTGATCACCTGCATATACTCAGACTGGCCCAACAGCAGAGGGGGCTTCTGGAATTCCTTTACCTACCCCTTCCTATCCACTATGTTTGCAGGACGCGCTACTCTCTCCGCTGCTGCATCGTGGTGCATGTGTGTCTCGACGTCGGCATTGCTTCTGTCGTTCTTTTCTCCCGTCGTCTGCGCTGTCTGTCACGCGCCACCCGATTTGACTCCGTCCGCCCCCGCTACTCCGGCATACCATCGTTGATGGCAGTGAGCGGCGGCATTCGCGCAATATGTGTCTCTCATGATTGCTGACCGTGCTGCGTTTGCGCTACGGTCGATCTACAGCCGATCCTCCTCACGGTCGTCGACTTCAAGCTCGCGGGGTGCGAGGGTGTCGGACTGGTCAACGCGAGAGATCCTCTTGTTTTTTGTCACGTTCCGTCATCAAATTTATTCCGGCGACGAGAGACGAGAGAGCTGGATGCTCGTCATGGGATAGTAGGGTTTGCGCCAAGATGCTAGGAAGTCGTGCGTAGTATGGTTCTCTACTTGCAGGTTGCGCTGCGATTCACTAGCGTTTGCCGTCTGCTGAAAATCTAGCCAGAATTTACCGGCGACATACCGTTTGTCCCCGCCAGAAAAGAGTGCCGCTGTTCCATTCCCCGCTAACATGCGAAAAGCAATGTCTAAAGAAATTGTTCGGGGCTCATTCTGTTGTGATCATTGTGTGGGCTCACTGGTGCAGTTACCTGCGCCCTCCTATCTTCTTGGGGGCTCGGGGCCGGCTGTGTGTCGTCAGTTCTTTTGCTGCTGCTTCTCTTGTTCGTCCGGATCCTTCCCTCGGCGTGCTTTCAATTCTTTCTTACCTTGTCTACAGTGTTTGAGAGACTTTACTGCAGAACGGTTCTGAGACGACTCAGACGAGTAATATCTTGACATGGAAGCCGACTGCCCGTCCACTCCTTTCTTTCTGTGAGACATCCTGTTTGTTCAGCGATGTTCATGGTGCTGCTGTTGATATTTTTTATTTGCATCTTCGAGCCTTTTATGGTTCGGTCTCTCGCTGTCTTTGCTTTTTTTCTGATCTAATCTGCGGGCCAGTTTCCGTCCAGGATTCTCCACATCCACTCCCTCATCCGTTAGGCTTGTGCGGATCGTCTCCTATACTTTCGGAGCGGGGAGAATATGCTCACGTTCTGAACGGGAGACTATGCTTACATACGAAACGGGGAGACTATGCTTGTGCAACACAGGGAGACGAACGCGAGAATATCGCATTTCTCCTGACTGCATCATTTCTGCGATGGCCATTTCTGCGATCCCATCACATCGGAACAACTTACCAGGTGATCCAGACTTGTCTGTTTGAAGTGATAATGACAACCGCGTTATCGAGTATCACGATCGCTAATGCCTCGAGACCTAGTCGAGACAAATCTTGGAGCGATTGGCTGCGTCTTCTGAACTCAATGATCGAACTGACTGCACCCACGGGCCACCATTCCGAACATGACTGCTTCGTCTTGCGACGGATCAGACCGACCGATCAAAGATAGATTCAGCCTCGATCAACATCCCACAAACGCCAGCCACATAAGCGTGCGCAAGCGAGCGCCACGAAGAGTGCCCCCACTCGGCTGAATCTTGATAAACATGGCAGAGCCACGGTTTTGATGGCAACTTTCCAACACCAACAACCTCAATAAGGAAATGACCCTGGCCGGGCCCGATTTTGATCTAGCGATCTCGCAGCCTCCATGAAGGCCGTCTGACAAAGTATCCGCACTTTTTCTACCGTGTGTAGCTCTCTCCAGCTCACAAAAAGAGAACAAAAGCAAAGTCCTTGTTCCCAAAAGAGACAATACGTGAGATCGTGCGACATCTCTTTCCCAGATGCGCGCGCCTGATTCTCCCTGTCCGCCAAGACTTCCCAAGCGCTTGCATGTCCACGCGGAAACAGAGGACCATTTGGGGCTCGAAACCTGATAGTTTCCAGAAATCTCGGTACCTGAAGCCAAGGGGGAGCGCAGGTCTAGATTCTTTTTTGTCCAAGCTGGCCTCCCAGGTCAGTTACTTTGGGCTTGGCAGCTTCTTTCCAGCTAACTCATCGATTGACGACTTTAGCTGGAACTAGAATATTTGAACATGATTGATTGGTGACTCATCAACTCTGACCGCATCGCTTGGATTTGCTCTTCTACTTGCCACCTCCATTTGAAGAGCAACGACGCGCGGTGCAATTCATCCCCATCAGCTGCAATACCAGAAATACTGACCCATGAAACGCCCTGCTACTCCCCCGCCCGCAGGATGAATTGAACCCGGGAGCGTTCTAATTCCTCTTCGAAACCCGAGTTCATTTGGGTGGGTCCTACTCAGGTACCCTGACCTCGGGCTTAGAGCCGAAATGTGAATGGTGTGAGCTGCTGGTCTGCTGGTCTGTGATCTCAAAATCTATTTCGGACGGCGAAACAGCTCTTGTGTCAACTGTCTCGGCAGCTGCTCTTCTTGGGGAATTCTACCTGGATGATCTCTCATCGTTGTCCTAGAAAGACTGGAAACTGTGTCTCCCCGCTGGTCACCTCCGGCACAACGATTGAGCGGTGATGACCAGCGCTATTTTCGCTCGCGCTTACAGCCGAGAAGCCTGCGACTGGCCTACGCGTTCAACCGCCGCGGGTATGTGATACTAATATGCTAAACCCACGATTCCACAACGGAAGTAATCTGTCAGTGCGGCCGTGTTTCCTTACTCGAGCGCAACCGCCGCCTAGAAGTCCTCCTTGTGTGTTGCCGAAATCTCTGGGGATGCCGCTCTGGTCGCTATGCGAGTCGGAATCGTGACAAGTGCAGGATTCCAGCTTCGTGCAGATCAGCGTGAGTACTCTAGCGCTCGCTTGCGGTGGATCGAAGCTAGCGTAACTCGGGATGCTGGGTCTGTGATGCATATGAACACAGGCTGCTTACCACAGCAGCGGACTTTACTGCGTTGTCCGAGGGTCCGCAGACGTTCGGGTGTCTCCGGACCGGTAGATTCTCGGCCGCTGAGCTGCTCTGGAGAGTGGCACCCTTCGGCATTGACATAACCCCAACCACGTCGGGACTCGGATCGTGGTGCTGGTGCTTATCAGGACGCAAATAACCCAACGGCGAATGCATTCGGCGTCGATAAGAGACATAGAACGGCAAACACTTGAAGCGTAGACATGCTTGCAGCCGCCCTCACGTCGTCTTATTTCTGGGGAAGAACGGGAGGATGTTGCTGCAGATAAGCGGCTCTACTCCGGCGATTCGCGTGCCGCGCGGGTCCCCCCTTTTGTGCCTGGGGCGGCGCGAGATAATATCATATAATCTTGTTTGCCGTGCCCCTGCTCCCAGTTCCAAGTAAAGAGAGATGACTCAGAGTGTGCATCGCTCAAGGTTCAAGGCCATATCGAGATCCGTGTCCGTCCTGTCGGTGCCAGGTCACTCTGCGCAGCGGCGGATTTACCCATTTGTGGACAGAGTGTCGAGATGCTTGTCGAGATGCCGCATTGCACAGATGTCCATCCGAGCCAAGTGCTTGCGGACACTGGCAGTCTAGAATCTCATTTGAAACCTGAAACAGGCTGAAAGGTACCCGCGTATAGTTCCAAATGCGAATCCTTCCTCCAGATTGGCGTCTCCAAGAACCGGGCTCGGACATTCTCCACGATCGAGGTCCATATGATACCATATTCGTCTCTACCCACGTCGGCCGGTGTAAGGTATCATGTTAAGCGCTCGTCTAATGCGGCGACGACCAGAGCGTCTCTGTCTGTCTGTCGGAGAAACCCACGCATAGCCCGGGGGAAAACTAGTTCTGCCTATTTCATGACAGTCCTGGCGCGGTGAGCCTCAGTCCGAGTCGCACGCCAAAGGCGGTGCCAAGCGCAAGGCGAAAAGAACGCGCAGCGAGCACTAGGCTCAAACGAGAGCAGATGCACTGGCCTTGAGCCCTGCAGCAGCTCGAATCGGCAGCGGCAGGATAGCGCATCTCTGAAAGGACGGAAGACGGGGGAGTGGGTCACATACATGCGCATCTGCAAATGGAAGCCAGTCAGGACACCGGTCCCGAAGATGCGGCGCCATATTCTGCGCCGTCCGTCCCTTTCGCTCTCGGCCACAACGTCCCGGTTGTGTGTGACGTTCTTGCTCGCTCAGCCCACTTGCCAGCCCGCGGATGGGTGGTCAAGATCTGGGCAGGAGCAGGGGAGGGATCCCCATCGCCATCGCCCACTGAGACCAGACCTGAAACCCCGGCCGCTGTCAGTCCACGTTTCGCACATGCCGATGGGATGGGCGGCGTCGCTTATCGTCCCGGGGGGCGTCTCTCGTCCGCGGACGCACGGATCCAGAGCACACATGAAAAGCAGGTCAGGTCATGCGTGGGGCTGACAGGACGTCAGACCAAGACTTTACGAGAGTCATGCATGCAAGCGAGCCCTCTATCTCCCACCCCCCGCCTCGGGTGACGAATCCGATCGGACGAGCGTGTCCGGGCTGGGGAGGGGGGACCCACAAGTCTCTGCCGATGCGAAGGCCTTCGTGCATGTGGTGCGCTGCATGCGACGGGCGGACGGACGGGCATCGCTGGGGTTCGGGTCGAGCCGCGGTCGGAGAATGCCGCACGGCAAGGGTGGGTGCCGGTGCCGGTGGCGAGCACGTCATGCGCGAGCCGCACCGCTACACGCGCAATGTCAGCGCGCCATGCGTCAGCTGAATGGCTGCCAACGCGCGCGAGCAATTGTCTTTGACAAGGAAATTCACGTGTCTCGTGCATTTCGTCCCTTCTTCTCAGGAACACGCCAGTTCAGATGAGCTTTTTCTGCGTTTTCTCGCTCGGGTCCGAATGGAGCAATGACACAAAAACAAACGCAAGGTTTAGACGTTTCTCCACAGAGCGAAATGCATTTGACTCAAGCTTTGCTGATCGCACGAATGTACCTGGGCAGTCGCATCGAATTGTTGTTACAACATACAGATAGCGATAAATACGTGGCCGGACCCCTACATCCCCGGTGTAAGAGTGGAAAAGAGCATAGCTATGTAATAAAAAAGATCAAAACGGAAACGAACGAGCGACGGTGAACGAAGTGAAGAGGATAAAGATACATCTCGGGGAATGGCTGAATTGCGTACAGTGTGTGGTATATAGAACCTTGAAATGGGTAACAGGTGATGTGGCAATAAATAAAGGTGTCGCATTTTGAGGGGCAGGGGCGGAGAGAAAGTACATGGCAGATTTCCGAGCAGCAGCGCCACGATTAAACGAGGACACTGCGGGGCTCTTCCTTGACCAGCCCGTCGTCCCACGTCATGTGGCCCATCGGAGGGCTGCCGAGCGCCTGGTGCCGTATCGCCGGGCTCGAGTGCGCATGCGCGTCGTGGATCGAGTGCAGGCTCGAGCTGCTGGACGAGTGGTGCAGCCCCGGGTGGATCGCACCGCTGCCGTAGAACGCGCCGCCCATCCCCAGTCCGCCCGTCGTATTCGAGCGCGGCTTCGTGCGGATAGGCATCGAGGACATCCGCGGCGAGCCGTGGTGGATCGACGGGATGTCCGGCGCGTGCGGCAGCCGGATGCCCAGAGAAGGCGAGCCAAGCAGGCCGGCGGAGTGCGGCGGCGATCCCATCAAAGGCGGTGAGCGGCTGAGCGAATCGCGCCGCGGAGATCCGTGAGACGAATTCGACGCAGACAGCGACAGCGAGGGCGGGTGCGGCGATAGCCCGAGAGACGGAGATGGGGAGGGGTGGTACGAAGAGTGGTGGGAAGACGACGGTCCAGATGAATACATCGAGCCTACGCGCATATGTCAGTACACATCGCAATAGAAAATAAATCCACAAGCCAAACTCACCCGAGTCGTCCCAGTCGCTGGCGCCCTGGACGCTGCTCCCGTTGCTGCTGACACTGCCCCTCCGGCCGATAACCTTGCGGCCTTTCGGCGGGCTGCCTGGAGCAGCACCCATCGGCGGAGTGCCCGGCAAGACACCCTTGGAGTTCTTGCGGCCCTTTCCGCCAGCCCGCAGCTCGTCGAAGCGCAGCGGCCGCGCGCGCAGATGGGTCCGCTCGTACAGCCCGCACTTGTTGCACACGATCTTGCCCGGGTTGAGCGTCGAGCGGCGCCAGGACGGCGGCTCAGTGGTGTGGCAGTTGAAACACCGCCGGCGGAGGTACTGCGTCTCCTTCGATGCAGCGTCGTCCGTGTGCTGCACCGGCAGCGGAGGCGGGTACGGGTGCCCGTGCGGCGCGTGGTGGCCGTGGTGGCCGCCGTGGTGCGCAGGGAGGTGGGGGTGCGGGGGAGGAAGGTGGTGGTGGTGCATGTGTCCTCCATTTGCACTGCCGCCGCCATATCCGGCACCGGGGCCGGCATACGATGAATGCCCGCCGTGCACATCGTGCATACCAGGCCCGACAATGCCTGGGCCCGAGTGCATCCCGTGCCCGCGGCTGCCGTAGAACCGGCTCCCCGCCCCGCCGTACATCCCATCCTCCACCTTCACACCCGAGTCGTACTCCGAGCCGTACCCCGATGCGCCGCCGTACGGCCCATCGGCGGCGCCGTGCATGCCCGCCGCGTCGTCGTTGTAGAGCGGGCCCGCGCCGTGCGCGTGGTGGGACGACGCGTGCGGCGGGGGCAGGAACGGCGGCGGGGGGTAGACGCCCATCGCGTCGTCCGGCCGCTCCTGCCGCGCATACGGGAACGTCGCGCGCCGGATGAGCGTGTAGTCGTGCGTGCGCGCGCTCGATGCGGACGGCGCGCCGTTCGAGCTCGCGCCGGCGCCGGCGGTGGTGCCCGGCGGGGACGTCGAGTTCCACTCGCCGTCGTTGTAGACGTCGCTCTGCTCCGGGCTGCCACCGTCGTTCTCGTACAGCTCCGAGAGCAGAGAGGGGCGGCCGGAGGAAGGAGGGGGGAAGGAGGCAGGCGGGAGAACCTGGGTATTGTTATTGTGAGCCCAGGCGTACTGGTCGTCGTCCTGCGAGAAGATGCGCACAGTGTCGGCCTCGACCGGCTTGAAGTTTTGGGACAGGTGGGGAGAGGGGGAGGGGGAGTAGCCAACGGAGGTGGGCGACGGGGTGCGCGGCGCCTTGTCGCTAAAGTCGGCAGAGAAGTCCATGTCGGTGGGGAGGAAAAGGTCGGGGGGATGGGACAGGCAGGGTGGGGATATGATCCGCGCTTCAGTTATGACCCTGGGGGATGCAAAGGACTCTGCGACCGACGCGCCAGCAGGGACTTGAACTCTGGCAGAGATTCAAGCTGTTGTTTCGACCTCATTTGGATTTCCCCAGGCCCGTTAAGTATACGAGAGCGAAGAGCCCGATCGGGACCTTTGCGATTGCGATTACCACGCCTGCCGAAAGGGGCAAGGCTGCCAATGGTCGCATGGGGTTAAACGTTTGACCCAAGAAACGGGAACCGGCGGACGAGGAGGTTACAGTACCAGGGGTTCCGTCACGCGTGACCGGACCCGAAACACCTCTTTGGTGGGTCCACCAGTCTCGCGCCGCGCCCTCCCTCCTCGCTCGCTAGCCGAGATCGTGGATCCACACGCACCTGCGGGTCCCTCTAATCCGCTCTCCTGCAGCTTCAGCGCTGCAATCGCAGAGGGAACGCGCGGCGAATGAGCCCGAGTGCTGACCGGAATTTGCCGGAATGCCGCCAAACTGAGCTCAGGGCTCATTCTCGCGCCCCCAACGTCATCAGCGTGACACAGTGTGCGCCTGCCGATTGGCTCTCTGGGCTGGCGAGATTGTATCGGGCCGACCACGGAGGATCTCCGCGCAAGCGACTGTTTAGCAGGACTTCCACACTCGTGCCTACGACACATGCTTCCCCGGGCTCTGCGCTGCCTTTCCTTATCGTGCGTCTGCTGCAGCAAGTTGTATCGCACCGCCGCAAGGATCTTTTCCATTTCCATCGCACAGCTCGGCGCTTGTTGATTCGCAAAGGACTTTTCTCACTGATCCATGTTTCGTTTCGTTTCGATGGGATAAATATACCGCTGATTTCCCCACCTGCCCCGTTCCGTGTGTCTCCCTCCCACTTGGCTTGAACCGTGTTTGACTGGGATCTTGCGGGAAAAAGCGAATCGGGCGAGGCTGTGAGTGGATGACGAAGGGCTCGACGTTCATTGCGGGAGAACGCGAAAGTGAAGGAGACGCTTACCACTGTGCGCTGAATTGGGGTGTGGCGAGCGGCGAGCCAACAGCAACCAAACATAGCATCGCGGCGGCCCATCTTGCAGTCATTGCAATTACTCCCTTGCATGCTGCGTGTCACAAGTCGTTTGAATAGAGCAACGGAGCTCCCGTCTGCTCCAGCTCGGTTCAGCCCTGGCAAGCAAAATAGGTCCAAGGCAGTGAGTGGGACACAAGCACTGCACTGGCCCCACAACCACCCGGCTTGCAAGCAAACAACTGGTTACTTTGGACACGAGTCTACCTCATCATTCCACCGCGGCGCTCGGACGTACTTACTAGCCCGAGTCACCGCAACAAACAGGGTACAGATCTCCCTCACTGCCACTTTCATTGAGCTGAGGCAGCTGTAAATGGACAGCACACTATCCTCATTATCAGCATCCGCCCAACTGGAGCGCTCGAGATGTATTTGACAAGCTCATCCACCCAAAACCAGTGGAGCAGCAGCAGCTCGCGTCACGTGGCTCTGCCAGGCTCGCGGATAAGACGGGACAGGACAATGATAGAGGATTGCGCGAACGCGGCGACATACGCGCCGGTGCATCAGCTGCCCGCCAACTGAATAAATCGAAGAGCCCTGTTCACGAGATCACGTCAACCGCGCAACGTGCTCGCAAAGCCCCCCCAATCGGGAAGCCTGTCCCCGCAACTCGCCGTGCCGCGCAGGCTGTCGCCGCCGCCGCCGCCGATTCACTCCAATAGCGACGAGGAAGAGAAGGGCTCGGGGTGGGTATTCTGATCAACCTCGGGCGGCTGGGAAAAAGAAGCCCCTGATCAGCGTGTTCCGTGATCCCGTCCCGGCTGCGGCGGTGACTCAGCGACGACGAGCAAATGAGAGCAGGCTGCGTTCCACGCACGCACGCACGCACTTCCGCGGAACATTCTGCCGCCGCCGCCGTGTCCGCCCCGTGAAACCCAACAGCCCACGCCCCGAATAGGAAAGAGCATGCATGGCCTGCGCTCGGAGAGTCTCAAACCCAGTTCATGTGGTGATTGGAACGGCATTTGTCCGGGTCCAGATTGACCTCGGCGACTGCAGCACAGTCCTAGTCAACCACACAACCAGGCGCGTGAGATCCGTATCCGGCCGTGCAGCAGAGTGGCAGATTACGTGCCTGCGCTGTCTAAGTATCGTGCCACAGACAATGGGCGTCCCGGTCTTCAAAAATACCGGGCGGCCCTCGTCCATCGCGCGCGGCGCCTGCACCGCAGCATGCCGCGTCCCACTCGATGACGCACACACACACGCACACACACTGGCACACCTTCTGATAAGAACGCGCCATGTCACGGAGCCTCGCGCCCTGAATGGAAACCCTCCCGAACACGAACATGAACAACATTCGGACTCTCACCGCACGGGCGGGGCGCGCCAGAGGCTGGGCTGGGGGCCCCTAGCCACAGCCATACCGTGCGCTTCCATTCGCCGTCTGCACAGAGCCCCACATGTGTGTGCCCGCGCGACCCTGCGAGCGACTCGAGAGCGGCGTTTGGCGCTGCCAGTGCCGCCGGATCCAGTCCAGGGACACTTGCTCTGCTTCTTCTGACTGAGCCCTAGGATACGGCGAGCGAGCGAGATGCGCTGACGTTGAGCGTCGGCTGAGGTGGTACGCTCGGTCAACTCACACAGCGGCTGTAATATGTCAGGACGGAGCCTCTCGGGGCCTGATGTTTCCACCGAGCGGCTGAGATAGTACGATAGTAAGATACTTACCCGAGTCAGCAATTGAACCAAACGCCTTTCGGCAACACGCAACACGTGATGCGTTATCTCGAAGCTCCGTATGTACTTCGCACGTTCTTCGCCGTAATATAGCAATTAGGTACATTGGCCAGGAAGGTGGTGGTGGGTCCTGCTATCAATCGATCTTCCGCTCTTTCTGCGATCTGAAGAGCGATCGAGTCCATTCAGCCGAATGGCCTCGTTGCGATGCGACCCTGCATTTCCTTTCACTTTCTCTTTGGGTGGGCTCTGAAGGAGCTCTGAGTGTCCCTGACCAGGCCCAGGTCAGGCGTCGATTTGAGCTCCATGTCCAGAAGCGCCGCATGCCAGGATGTGTATCGCTGTTCTGTTCTGCCTCCGATGGAGCCTTGTTGGTTGGATTCAGCTGCTTGCTTTTGCTTGAACAAACGCTAGAAGTCAACACCGAAGCATGCCGTATCGATCAATCGACGCAGCGATTCGTGGAAACATCTGCTACAAACACGCGGCAGCCTGTTTTCGTTTTAACCTACAGTCACCTAATTCGAACCACAGCGTAAGTACCGCTGGCGAAACGTGGGTTCAAACGAGGACAACAGCCACAAAGGATGTGTGCATCAAAGAGATCGGCGTTCAACAACGGGTGAGCATAAGTATGTAATCGTGATGTGCGAATCAGCGTCTAGTCCCAAGACGGCAACAGCAACCCCTTTGATGGAGGAGAGGATCTTCCGAGTCGGTTGATCGTCGATATCGATGAACATAGTATGCTGTACAATGTACACGCCCCTGCGTCCAATTCGTGCGCTGCATCTCTCCCCCCGCGCGATAAGCTAAGCGAAGACGGTGCGTAGCGCGCGCAGCTCCGTTCTCTAGACGACGACGCGCCGCACGAAGGCGCGACGAGCAGGGTGCAGGGTGCAGTCGCAGATGCCCTACCACCACGCCATACTACTACTACTGCCCCAGCGCACAGCATACTTACGCCCAGCGACACTGACAGCCGCGCAACCCGGATGCACACACACCGGAGAAGCAGCAGCAGCAGCGCATTGGCAAGTGGTATGGCGTGTCTCAGCCACGCGCCTGTGAGAATTCGAAGCGGGCCTGCCCTCCCCTGAGTCCCCTCACTGCCTCAGAACGAACGCACGCACGAACAATGAAACGTCGCGCGCTGAAACGGATGGGCGTGTGTGACGGATGCCTGGGGGGAACTGACGCCCTGGAGTGTGCTGCTTCGGACGTCAGCAGGCGTTCGAGACCGGTGTTCAGCGGTTGGACATGGGAGGTCGGGTCGGATGCTACCGTGGGACCCCATCACTGATGTGATCAGACGTGCTGGGATCTGTGAAGCGCCCTGTTTGGGCGGGGCAAGGGGCGAGTCGATCTGTACAGACAGACATGCACGTCGTCTTGACGGCTGTAGCAGCGATGACCAATTGCCTGGCACACACGACGCGCCTAATTTCATATCATCCACCGCGATTGTTGCAGCTGCTGTGACAGACAGACATCGGAAAATCGAACAACCGGGACTGGTATTTTACACTGGTCCTGGGACAACAAAATCTGGCCTGAACTGATGGATGCGCGACTGCGTATCAGCAGCAGCAGCAACGGATCAACAAGCGCAACACCTACGCGCCGAAAAAGGAAAGCGAGATCACGTCAGAGCATCAGTGGGTGAGTCATGCGCAGATACCGCCTCCCCCCCACGTAATCCCGATACTTAGCGAGGTCTGCGTGTGGCCTGCCCCCCTTACCCGCGGTGTGTTGTGTCCCCTCCCACACGGGCTCTAAGTAGCCCCTCTGCAAGCACGATGTTCCCGACACCGGCACACGCTCGGCAACGCATCGGTCGAGTTTCACCTCCGACGGAAGCATGGCGACATATCCGGCAAATCCCGCGCGATCCCTGGAGACGTCACAGGGCAGGGCCGTCTTGACTCATGCGATTCAGTCAGTCAGGGCCCATTTGTCACGTGCCATGGCATTGGAAATTCGCGCTCGACTAGATTAGATAAGGCGGCTCGTTTGCGATCGACACACACCGGGAAGAAGAAGAGAAGCGGAGGAACGAGGCATATTTGCCGGGTGCGCTGAGCTTGTTTCAGGGCTGCATATCTCGAAAGCGGTGTGTGGATGGATGCCAGTCCGGAACTTTGAGTATCCTCAAGGTTCATGATCAGCCTCTGCGCGCTTTGTATTGGTATGACAGCATTTTCCCGAACTTCACCCGAGATTCGAGTAGCGTAAGCAGTAAGTATGTATCTTGGCGCCCACGTGTCCGCGAAGCAGCTGGTGGAATATTCGCATTCCCCCTAACGGCTAGAGCCAAGGTTCATTTGGTCGTTGGGGGCCGGCTGGCACATTTGGCGGCTGGTATGAAAGTATTTTCCGGACCGCGCGGGATTCGATGCTGAGACCCCGTGACCGCATGCTTGCACTGAATGCACGGATCCTTGGCGCAGGGGCGGCGTCGTCCATGCCGGGATTGCGACCCCCAGGCAGGACCGCGCTTGCGGCTGCTAGCGCGTGATATGTACAGTACATCCATGCAGCTCACGGGTGGATGTTCCCGTACGAACGTCCCAGATCCCACCAAAATCGCGCGTGGGTGGCGCTGATAGCGTCCGTCCTCGCAGATAAGTCAGGGCTGGTGAAAGCTGCAATGGTTCATGCGCTCCTGCAGTGGTTCCCTGCGGTCTTCCAGGTCGGTTCACCTTACCTTCACCTGCTAATCGGCCAGGGTATCTTGCTTATCTTATCGCCTACGCTCAGGCACTACTTGAGCCGAGACGGATTTGGGCAACTGAAACCACCCAATTGGGACGTGTACGGCGCAGCACGTTGCGAAGTACTTAAATGGTGCGCATCTGATGAAACCCGCGGCCAGCAGTAAGTAAGTACACAACGCAACGCAACGCAACGCAACGCAACGCAATGCTGCCCAGCGCCTCGACATATGAAATCCACATGTTGGTCTGACCGTTGACGGGCGTACGCGCGAGGCAATCGAGATCGGTGGCGGGTGTGGGAGATCGTCGCGGAGCTTGAAGTGGAGAGTGACTAGTGACTGGCCGGATGATGGGCGGCACGGACGGAAAATGCGACGCAGGGAAATCCCTCGCAGAGAAACGGACAGACCATGGGGAGTATGCGACAAAAGGGCCCGATGGGAACATGGCAGCGTGCTCTGCGTCGGCACACGTCTTACAGTCCTGCAGTCAGCCAGGGACTGCGCGTGCTTTCCGAGCTGAGCGCGGAACATTGGCCCGCTCAGTGCTGTAAATGAAGTACTTCCGGGGGGACGACGGCGTAGATCTGTCTTCCTCGATCTGAAGTTCGCATCCCATCGACAACAGGCGAGTACATACAGTACATATGTCCATGCTCGAACCCGTGCGAGCGTCCAAGCGAGAAAGATCGACACAGGGATCATGAGGTGGATCAGGAAAGGCCTGGAAAAGATCGAGGCCGATCGGGGCCATGTAAACTGAGCGGATTAGCGCCTTGCATAGATATGTCACGGCGCCAAGTTGAACCATCCCGTTTTCTGTGCAAGCAATCGCAGTGTCGTCGACGCACGCATCAAGTGCTCGGGTCAAGGCGATTTGATGGGCAAGCAGGGACAAGCAAATCACCTCTTTCCCAATTTGGACAACATCGTCATCCCAGGCTTCGAGTGCGGTGCCTCACCATGTCCTTCGAGTACGCTCCGGTGTCGAAAGGTAGCTAGTGCCCATCCCATCGGACGCGAATAATGTCTAGTCAGGTCTCATATTGTCTCTGGCGCTCTCAACCGTCTTCGTGGGTGTGTTCGACGTGAAACACTATTTCCACTTGCAGGTGCCGAGTTCCTATTCCCTCCTCGAGCGACGCGTCGTTTGACTAAAGGACGTGTCTTAAAGCTTGTTCCCCATGTCTCCCACCACCATCAGGTGCGATGTCTCCGTACGCGCCTTGTGCGACGAGTTTCTGACGGCGTGTCGCAGTATTGGCGGCTGGCCACGCACCATCTCGCTTTCGCGAGCTCAAGGTATGGTCAATAATACACAAACAAGGACCCGGTAATCATGGGCAACCGGCAGCGACCTCTTCGTGGCGGTGTTAACGCTGTACAATGTCAGCGTGCAGATCGAGCGAAACTTTGGCTCGCTCAAGTTCGCGGCAAGTGACGACGAGTTTCACAATTGCCCCGCCGTCTCATCCCCAACACCCAGTCCTTCGTTCTGATATCGACGATGTTGTCTACGATATTAGAATTCGTGGCGCTGATACTGTTCCACCGCGCGGGCTTGGCCCAGATCCCTGCTGGGCCGATAGCGCTCATCTTCAGCATCATCTATCAGTGGTCCCGCATCGTCCCACACTCGTACCAGTTTCGCATCTTCGGGGTGCCGCTCACGAACAAGAGTTTCACATTCATCTCTGCGTTGCAGGTGTGTGCGTGTGTGTGTGTGTGTGAAAGCATCTGTGTCCTCTGCTTCCCCGGGCCCGCGTCCGCCTTCTTATTCTCATTCATCTCCGCTCTTCCGCGTACCGTATTAATTCTCCCGTCAACAGCTCGCGATAGGGAACTTGCCGGGATCGGCTGCAGCGGCTCTCATCGGGCTCCTGGCGGGACAGTTGTACCGGTCCGACCTGGCGAACCTCAAGGGATACCGCATCTCGCCGCGGGTGGCGGGCATGGGCACGCGATACGCGCTGCCGCTCATTGGGTCGCTTCGCCCCGCGCGGCGATCCACGCGGGCTCTGCCGGACGGAGACGCGCGGGCAGCAGCCGCGACGCGGGTCCAGAACGAGGAGATCGTCACCACCAGCACCGGCACCACCACCACCGCGCGGCCGACGGCCGGGACGGCGACTCAGCGGCAGCCGGCAGAAGCGCTCGGGGGCCCATCGGTCATGCGCGAATGGGTGGAGGGGCTGACAGGCTCCAGTCGCGCTCAGCCTGGGATGCGGATCCCCGTCGAAGCTGAGATCACGCAGCTGACGACGATGTTTCCTGACATACAGCGAGAAGTTCTCGTTGGAACGCTCCAGCGCAGGTGCTTCCGGCCATATTCTCTCGCGTGGAGCTCGCTAACAGCTGATTTCTACTACATACATAGCGCGAACATCGAAGGCGCGGTCGAGACTCTGCTCAGTTCCCAGCGATAGACGTACAGCCGATGCCTAACAATTCACATGGGGCAGAACTATTCCTGTTCCTCTTCGAAAATCTCGCCGTCATCCTCCTCGGCGGTAAATGCAGCGAGGGGAACAGCGTAAAGGCGGATCACCGGCTGCGAGGTCCGTCATAAACATATTAACCAAAAACACATAACATGACATGACATGCCTTGTTCGGATCCTTGACCAAGACGTATTTGCCCTCGGGCATCTTCATGCACAGGTCGGTCACGGTACGGACGATGCCCCACCCGTTGGCAAGCGACACGTTCAGCTGGGCAGCGAACTCCGTAGGTCGCACAGACCCCGTGCTGAGAATGACATGGCGCGTGTTGTCACGCGGATTCGCGCGCGAGATGTATCTGCCAACGAGCGTGAGCAGCAAGGCCACGGGAGCTCCAGCCACTGAAAGCCGTACCCGATTTTCATCGCCTCGGCCCCAGCCAAAACGCTCTGCACCGTCCATTTCGCGAGCTTGCAGCTGTTGTTTTTCATCTCCGTAGCGACGACCGCACCGCGCTGCGAATCGAGCTTCGCGCGCCAGTCAGGGGCACCGCCTGACCCTTGGGCCCGCGTGTCAAACTCATTGAGAGCGCGGATCGTGACCAAGCCCTGTCCTTCGCGCGGGTTGCCTTGCCCGGGGCTGAACGCATCGACCTCCGTCCGCACACAGATCTTGATATCCTCGTCCTCCGTGACTCCCATATCGAACACACGGTAGCGGTATCCACAGGAGGCGAGCGGCTCAGTCTCATCTGGACCGTAGAACGGGTTAGGGTGTGCCAGGTCTACCGCCGGCGGAGGCGAGTTCTCGGTAACGGACTGGAAGCCGAAGTTTTGATTGATATAGGTCGCCTCTAGCGACAACGATGTAGCAGAGTTGATAGACGGGGTTTCTGGCACAGCGGCTTTCTCCGCAGGATTCGGGGGAGTAGGGTCCTGGGGCGGATCGGCCGCATTTTCGTTGACGGTGACGGTGTCAAACGCCCCACCATCCCGTTTGTCGAAGAAGAGATTGTTGCCCTCCCGCACAATGACGATGTCCCACGGGTACACCGACCGCGGAGCGCACATAAGCACACTGAGGATCACATCGGTGGCGTAAACTGTTGCAGTGTTCTTCGCGGCAAGCTGCAGATGACATGTGAGCACGACACATGAAACTGAGGATGCACCGGATACTTGCCTCTTGGATAACGGGGTCGTCCGATGTCGTCGTGTTGTAACGGATCCGGTCCACCAGCTGCAACGGACGCTCTGTCTTGGTAGTGATACGATCATATGTCTTGTCGTACGCGAAAAGTCGGCCGTACATCTCCCTGTGATGAAGATTAATAAATTGTGCGATCGCGGAAAAGAGAGCGATCCGTACAGGTCTACGGGCTCATCCACCTCGAGACGGAGCTTAGACAGACGATGGAATTCGATCTCTTCCAGCATTGACCATTGGGGCGAAATGACAACAGAGGACTCGCGAGTGCGATTGCTCTGGAGAACAAGAGATATGGGCTGAGAACAGAGATCGCACAAAAGAAAGCATCGCTAAGAACCTTGTCCCAGTCTCTCCAGCCTCCACGACGTCCACCGCGCTGAGCAGAGCCACGGCCAGACGAGAATCCGCGCCCGCCGCGCTGCCCAGCCCCGCCTCTCGAGTTGTTGTTGTACGCCGATCCACCGCGCTGACCGCCCCGGCCACCACGCAGGAAGCCCATCCCCCTGCGCGGCGCGGCGGTTTTGTTGTCCACGAGCGAGAACGACGACTCGTCCTCAACATGGAAATACGCGAAGGCGCTCGCCGTCCCGCTCCCAAACGCCTGCCCACCATCCCGGCGCCGCCCCGCAGCACCGCCGCGTGCGTTTTGAGTCTGCGGGAGACCGGATGCGGTCTGTCGGTTCTCGGACGACGAGTCGTTCCAATCGGCAAAACGACCGAGTTTGTCGGATTTTGAGTACGGCGCGTAGGGGATGTCCTTGAATTTGAACTGTTCGGGGAAGTTAGAGGTCGAAGGGCCCCAGCCGCTATCTGGATTATCGTTGATCGGGGGGAGTGTGAAGGACGCCATGGTCGATGGCTGCGACAAGAGGAAAAAAGTGCGCTCCCTCACGTGATCAACGCCCCTCTTGGTCGCGCTACGATGAAGTCAGTCTGACCGCGTGCATTCCTCTCGTCTCTGTATTCTGATGACCTATATGCTACAGCGTCGTAAAAGAAATCCACAGAATTAATGATGCCGAACTCTCGTATGCTTCTGGTGGCGGCTCTTGGCACGACGACTACAAGGACTCTGCGTACATCTTTGCTGGCGGACTGCCCTTCGATCTCACAGAGGGAGACGTCATAACGATCTTCTCGCAGTGCGTCTCTTTCGCTCTCAGAGTTCCCGACGTGCCAATGGACCACTCAGATACGGTGAAATTATGGACATCAATATGCCGCGGGACAAGGACACGGGGAAGCCGCGCGGGTTCGCGTTTCTCATGTACGAAGACCAGCGCTCAACTGTGCTGGCGGTCGACAATCTGAACGGCGCCAAGGTTCTCGAGAAGACGCTCCGTGTCGACCACGTGAAGAACTACAAACAAGGCAAGGTGAAGAACGAGGACGGGGAGATGGTGGAACCGGAGGAGCAGAGTCTGAATGCGAAACCCGAGATGATCATGGGTGCGTTTACCCAATGCGGCCCGGCATCTTGTGTATTGACTGAATCTCAGACGATGACGATGGCGCCGAATCCGACTCATCTGCATCCACGGGCGCTGACATCGATCCAGAAGACCCAATGCGGGAGTACCTTATAGCACAACGGCGAGAAGAGAAGGCGCTCCAAAAGACGAAAAAGTCCAAGACCAAGTCGAAATCAAAAGGCAAACACAAGGACGAGACCCCGGAAGAAAGACGCGCCCGGAAAGCGCGCAGGGCCGAAAAGAAAGCGCGGAAAGAGTCCAAGACCAAGAAGTCAGCGGGTGTGCGAGGGATCGAGGACCTCTTGAGCTCGCTTGGGAGCGGACGCCGACCGCCGGCGCGTGAACGGCCGTCCAGATCGCGCTCTCACAGTCCACGACACAGAGACGCCTCGCCCGATTCGCGGTATCGGCGACGTTCGCCAGAGCCTGTCTATCGGCGAGGAGGAGACAGAGATCGCTTACCGGTGGGTCGGCGGGGTTGAAGCGGACTTGTGTTGTCTTCTATGTTCCTAGCCCGAAACAGCTTTCACTTTGAAACAGGTGCCTGAGGCTTTACAATTGAGGAGAACATCAAGAAGCGCGCTCGTATAAGTTCCGTCGAGAGCAAGAGAATCGGAGACCTAAGAACAGCTCATTCGAAACATTTGGTCGAATCCGTGCATGGGAGTCTATCACAGGGCCACTGACAGCCTCCGCAGTCGTCATTGGCAGTGTGAATGTTAGATACATATGAGGAGTAAGCATATTTCCTATGGGATGCTTGTGCAGAGTGAGTCTGGAATTGCACGAGGGCCAACGAGTCATCTTCAGAGTGCCGATACAGCTATTCCATCAGCGAGCGACAACTCCGCCGACCCATCGATACATATGTAGAAGGCGTCAGACGAGTCCCACAGCATGCAAGTATGGTATCCATTCGACTCGTCGACAGAGCAGCGTGCACTTCAATTCAAACCAATCTCACAAATGACTTTGAAACAATCTAGAGACGCCACTGGGCACTCTTCGAGCTGCAAAGTCTATCAACCCCTTTGAGAGTTTTGGACCGCATGACTGTCGAGAAGAAGCGCCATGCCGCGCTGAAGGCCGAGGAAAGCTCAGGTCAAGAGGCTGATGGGATGTCGAATAGCCAGTCCTGGGGCGCGTGCTCCGTGTCGGATGCATACCACGACCGTCTCTGAAACAAGGCACTGCGCGGCAGGAGGCATTTTACGACTTGACATGGGTGGGAACGACAATGGGGTGGTCGTATCTTGGCCACATCTTGCGTTATCTGCGCAGTAGAAGCCCCGAGCGATGGTCGGTGCACACCGAGGCGGCCGTGATTTCATAATGACACAGGCGCCAAAGATAACTGTGCAGAAGAGGCTGCCGCATCGAGCCAAGCAGCTAAATCCGAAACACATGACGGGCCATCTAGAAGCCAGTGTATCGCCTTGAAGTTGAAAGAAAGCGGGGAGTGATCATGTAACGGGCGAAGCTAGGAGTAGGGACGTATCATTGTCACTTACCAACGGCCGAGATGTGCCCACGGTCCATTAAGACCCTACCAATAGCCGCCCTGAAACGACTCTTGACAGAGCACATCCCGTACCCCAAACAGAGCCAGAAACCCGACAACGCAGTAGCCGGACACGCAACGAGGCGTTCTGATGGGGAGCCCGCAGAATTGAAGTGGACTGATCTCTACGAAGGCATAACTTAGTTTGTTCGGAGGCACCTGCGGAAGAGAAACTGGGCGAGTAGGAAGCCTGATACTTGCGAGCAGTAGGCTGGGAGACGGCAACTTCCGATCATCCGATCAATGCACAACACTATACGTCACTTGTTCCAAACCGTCTCGTCGAAATTTCTGTTAGTTCACGGTGCCAGCTTCCGCAAATCAGGCTCCATGCATAGAGATAAACTCCACTTCTGCAGGACTTACGGGTCAACCTCTTACCTCAACAAAAGCCGGGGATCTCGTATCGGGCTTCGTCGGCCGAGCCAACATGCTTGTCCTTTCGCGATCTCACTGTGGCAGGTTCAGCGAAAAATTGCTCAAGACCCAGATCCGCCGAGCAGCCTTGAGTAAGACATTTGGCCGATGTCGCTTTCATCTGACCAAGTGTCAGCTCCAAAGCTGCGGAATCTCGTCCACACCTACGCTGAGAAGGCGGTTGTCGATTTGAATTTCAGGTCAGAGATTCCGGGGGAGAATAAGACGGCTGGCGCGATCGTTATTTTGCATGGGTTATTGTAAGCTGTGTGCTGCTCTCACATCTGACATCGGCGAACACCAAAATCAGTGGCTCAGCGCGCAATTGGGGCGCTCATTCTAGGGCCTTCGCTAGGAACCTTCAGCGTCCTGTCTACACACTGGTAGTTATCCCCTCCTGTGCTTTCGCGAGACAGTGATCTTATGGTATTTCTTTTTAGGATTTGCGCAACCATGGCTCGTCGGAGCATGCTTTGCCCATGACATACACTGCCATGGCCAGAGACGTTATCAACTTCTTTAAGAAGCACTCGTTGACCGACGTTGCCTTAATTGGCCACTCCATGTTGAGTTGGCATGTTGAGTTGGCTTGTCCACGTGTTGACCAGTTGCAACCGCAGGGGCGGCAAAGTTGCCATGAGCGTCGCTCTAGACCCTACTCTGGATAAATCTATCCTCTCGAAGCTGGTGGTTGTTGACATCGCACCTTCGAAAGGCCAGCTCTCGAATGAGTTCAAGAACTATGTCACTGCAATGAAACAGATCGAGGACGCGCATGTTTCGACTCGCAAGCAAGCTCTTGAGATCCTCCAGCACTGGGAAAAGGCGCGCACGGCCCCATGTGCGAAGTTTGACTGACATTATTTTCCCCAGGACCCCGACGTGTGCACTTTCCTCCTGACGAACCTTGTGACCGAGCCAGAAGCATCGCACTTCCGTATCCCCGTCGACTTGATCGGGAATAATATCGGAGAGTTGGGTTCTTTTCCATATGATCCCGAGCACACACATTGGGCTGGCGATGCGTTGTTTGTCAAAGGCTCCAAGAGCAGGTCAGTGTGTCGGCCGATGAGGAGACAGTTCTGACAGTGTAGAGATAGCTATATCAATCGGCATAATATTCGTATGGCCGAAAAGCTCTTCCCGGCTATGAAATTGGAGACTTTAGAAGCGGGACATTGGGGTTTGTCAGTTTCTCACCACTGCCAAGCCGTCCACTTATCCGATGCCTACAGTGCATTCTGAGCGGTGCGTGTGACTCTGCATGTGAAGCGTTCCAAGGCTAAGACATGACCGAAGCCCACGCGAATTTGCTGCCTTGATGCAACGGTTCATTCCGCGTGTGGACGACCAATAGCAGAGATTCGGCCGTCGAGTTGCTGCCAAGAAATTGACAGTGTTCCCAGGATCTCTTACACTCGTCGCATTCCCCTAGACTAACTCGCTCCTATTTCGTGAAGCATAGACATCCAAATGAAGTATAGACATCCATTCGCTGCAGAACCCTCGTTAGGCGCTTCCGCACCTGACTTTCACCTGATAGGGTTACACATGCTGTGTAAGACTTGACGGACAAATTTCAGGTATCCCCATTTGGCTATCCAGCTTCCTGATATGGAGCTGACAATCGCGTGAAATGGCGTGCTTGAACACCATTCGATAGTCATCCTTCGGCTTTCGTCGCAAGCTTCAATTTAAAAGCAGCGCACACGCACTCCGTCTCCCCACCCCCACAACCACTACTACTAAAAATCTTCGAACATGAGCACCCCTTCATCCTCAAAGCTCCAGCTTCCTCTCTCTCAGGAGAGACTCGATGAAATCAACTCCCATCTGCGCACCCTGACACCAGAGGAGATCCTGAAGTGGGCAGTGGAATCTGTCCCTGGATTATATCAGACGACCGCCTTTGGCCTGACGGGGCTCGTTGCGATCGACATGCTCTCGCAGATCACAGAATCCCCCCCGCCTCTCATTTTCCTCGACACGCTGTACCACTTCCCCGAAACCTACGAGCTCGTCGAAGAGGTGAAGGCGCGATACAACGTCCCCGTGAACGTCTACAAGCCCAAGGGCTGCGAGACGACCGAGGACTTCGAGAAGAAGTACGGCTCAGAGCTATGGCAGTCGAACGAGGAGCTGTACGACTTTGCCGTCAAGGTGAGCCAGCCACATGCTGCACACGCTTCACTTTTCTTGGTGGCGCTGACACGCGTGTGCAGGTCGAGCCCGCACGGCGAGCCTACGAAGAGCTTGGCGTCCAGGCGGTGATCACCGGCCGCCGCGCATCGCAGGGCGGGGACCGCGCGTCCCTGCAGCCGCTCGAGGTCGACGAGACGGGTCTGCTGAAGCTCAACCCGCTGTTCGAGTGGACGTTCCCGTTCGTCGAGTACCACATCTCGGAGAACAACGTCCCGAAGAACAAGCTGCTCGACCAGGGCTACCGCTCCGTCGGCGACTGGCACAGCACCGCCAAGGTCAAGGAGGGCGAGAACGAGCGCGCGGGGCGCTGGGCGGGCAAGGAGAAGACGGAGTGCGGGCTGCATCGGAACTTCTTCGAGATGCAGGCGGAGGCCGAGAAGGCCGCTGCAGCTCTGCAAGTCCCCCAGCCCCAGGCCGTTGCCGCGTGAGTGGATTGGCGTGGACTCCTTGTATCTTTTCCCAATAAGTATATCCCCTGTACATCAGTAGTAGATAATAATTAGAGATGTGTGTCAGCCGCACGTCGTCCAGACCCAGTCTTCGGCTTTTCAGTCCGACGAGGAAGGGGACAACGACGGTACAAACCTCGTTGCGTTCACCCACGTCGCTCTCTGCACATGGTGTGATGATCCGAAACCTAGATAACGTGAAGAGCTTGTTGGCGATGGTTGGGGAATCTTCGCGAAACATTTGCTCATAGTCACGCAAGAGATTGTGCGGGGTCAAGGCGATCTTCGTACGTACTCTAGACAGAGCTTTATGATACAATATGAACGTTGGTGGAGTAGATATGGGTGGAAGATAGAATAGGGAGACTATGAGGGAACGTCTGGTGCACCTCGTGCCTTGGCCGCCTCCAGCCGGACTTTTAATCGCGCATCCTCCTCCGCCCGATCTCTCTCGTGCTGCTGAACCACATCCATCCACGAGTGGTCCGACGTCGGGATGTTGGGCTCCTCGCCTTTGTTCATGTTGGTCTTCAGTGCAGCCGCAGTGAGGATGATGCCGATCGTGAGGCCCTGGGCCCACATACGGGCCTGCACGATCTTTTGTGCGGTCGTTTGGTATTTGTCGCGGGAGATGATACCGCCGGCCAGTGCGAGCGACAACGCCCAGCTGCCGACGATGATAGAGTATTCGTGTCGGCTAGCCCAATCGCCGAGTTTTTCTTTGGTAGACTATGATGATGTCAGTGGTGATCCTCCATGGAACCAGAGCCACATACCATGCGTTCCCACGAGGTGAGCTGCTGCTCTTCGTGTCGCTCGATGAGTCTCGCGCCGTCACCTTCCCTGCACCGCACGATCAGCGCTCGTTCAGCGCGAGGAAGCCAGCAGAACGCACCATTGCGACTTCTCGTACTCCAGGCCCCTTCGTTCCGCTTGGATGGAAAGAGCGGGTGCGATGACGATGAGGCCGCCGAGGAGTTTGAGGGATGGAGGGAGAGTGCGGTAGTACGCGAATCGGCGCTGGGCCCAGTAGGAGCCGGCACCCGCGATGGCGAGGCCGGTCAGTGTACCTTCAATCGCACCGCGGCGCGAGGCAGCGTCGTGGCCGGCGATCTGTTCTGGCGTGGCGAGCTGTCAAACGGCGCGCGTAAAATGTCAGCGCCCTCCGTAGTCCTCGCAAAATGAACGCGGCCAGCGCACCTTCATGGCGATTCGACTCGGGGAGTGGGTGCGTGTGTTTGTGTGGGTCGATCGGGGAGATGTCGACGGCGAGTCTAGGAGTGTGGATGGAGGTGCTTCGAGCTTGGTAATGCGCCGGGGAGTCAAGCTGGAACCTTTATACCGAGTTATACCGGGTTCCAGTGACAACAGCTCTCCGAGCCTCCGACATGACGTACGGCACGTGAACCCGGCTTTCTCCGATCACTGATGTCACTTTCATGTCGCTGCTTGCGACACTTCGCGAGCAATCAGTACGATCAGTTTGAAACGGCAGTGACTGGCCATTGGCTCTACTCTACGATCTCTGAACTTTCCCCGAGTATTCTATTCTACAGAACACCTTTCCTTGAGAAATCGCCGATGAAACACCTAGCTCCGGTCGCGACCAACGAACGGTCAGTGGTCTGGACTCTCCTCCGTATCCTCCCGATATGACACGGGACTCTCAGGGTAAGTGAAAAAAAGTAGCAACGTTGGGCTGCGAAGTCATCATAGAATGGATTCATACCTAATCAACCACATGGCTGCTGCCACCTTTCTTTCTGGTTGCGCAGAAGGTCACATACGAGTCGGGATTTTTCGGGTCAGCGGACGAAATATGGCGGTGTGGAGGTGTGGCGTGATCTTCAAGTAAAATTGCGGTTGGACGAGATCATTCTTATCGATGCAGCGCTCTACGCGTAGACCACTGAACAGCGGTCGCATATGTGATACTGGGGTGACGTCTGCGGTCGAGCCCGAACACACTTGGATGCCGCCTCATCAGACTGGAAGACCGCGTTATCAAAATTCTTGATTCCATGAACAACATCGTATTGGCACATGTCCTTGGTTCTGCGAAGGGACGTGTGAGTGCAGACCGTGGTCTTACATAGCTCTGCAGCCGAGCACATCAACCGGGCACTTGAAAATGAGATTGCCAAGGTCTACAGAAAAAACGTCAGGGTGAGATACAGCATATGAAATGATTCGAGTCGAGGCGGATATGTAAGGTTCTCGAGTCGATGCTTGCACTCCTGCTTGAGCCTGGATGCCCTCCCTCATGGAGATGAAGCAGCAGTGCAACGGGATTAAATAAGGCGGACTCTGGGTGTCGAAGCAGTTATGACAGCAGCGGTTTCAGACGAGAGACAACCAATAGAGAGACGGCGCATTTCGGTGTTGGAAAGAATGCTTCGGCTTGCGGATTCCTTGTCAGAAGCGGCCCGGAGATGAGGCAGCGTAAGTACAGCACAGTCACGACATCAGTGTTGTACGAAAGCGGCAGGAGGGACAGAGAGCCATCCCCCGTTGGAGTGGGCCATGTTTCCTGGATCTCTTATCACGGCACATCAAGTTCACTTTCTTGCTTACTCGATACAGCTATTCATCTGCAGACAGACGGCACGGTGGGGAAAGGCGATGCAGATGGGACAACATGGTAAGCCGCAGAATTATTCCGAGTCAATCCCCAGCTGTTCGGGTCCGGGTCCTGGCTTGAAGGAGAGGAGAGTCAATGGTTTCCCCAAAGTCGCTGGAGATGCGAGACGGGTAGTTATCAGAGGCAAAGACTCTGGAGCTTTAGCGCAAGGTATATCAAACAGAAGAGCAAGATAATGGTTCTGTCTGCCGGGTTTCCTCAGCCAAGTCCTTGTCTTCCTTCGATTCCCAGCCACAGCGGGTACTTAGAGTAAGTGGTCGCAGTAGTGCACCCCCACGTTCGAGCCGGTCAAGAGCAAATTGAGCTGGGCCTTTTCTCGTTCTGAGCGCTTCGGGGTACAGATGAAGATAGATTGATGTTTGAGGGCGTCGACAGCACATCGCCACGGAGAACAGGAGGGGAGCTGGGGAGGATTACGTCTCTTTCCATTCACCCCTGACTGACCAGACTATAGAAGCATAGGGATGAGAAAGATGCCGGACGTGAGGATACATGAGGCGGGTCAGGAATGGATTGTAAACCAAACCCGGATTGCACAGTATTCAATAGGGCGTATTTGCTCCCCGCCAAAACGAAGATTTCCGCCTTTTGATCTTAAATTTGATGTCTGATAGCAGAAATTTGGGTGTGACACCGAAAGGGGAAAGAGTCGCTCAAGGAGCCACTCGAGCATCGTGTGTCGGGCGACGGGGGGCGGGGGAAGAGCTTACAGGAGTTGTTACCAAAGCCATTATTAGCTATCTATGAGATGCAAAGTGCGTTGTTTATGTGCGATATGGTCCTCCCCCCCCCCCCGAGTATGCTTCCTGCTCAAAACTGCCCAACCCTTTTGCTTTCACAGCCAATCATTCTGCAGTCTGCGTCTTGTTGCAGGTCAGAATAGGCGCCATTTTGTTCTATTGGGTTTAGCTAGGTGATACGAGCTACTCCGCAAGCCTCTGCGAGGGCATGAAAGCCAGTGAGCACACTGGCGCACAAAGCTGGGCGCGCGCGAAAAGCAGGAGTCACATCAAAAGTCACATCTGTCCAATTCTCGGTTAAATTTGATCTGTGATAGCAGAAATTTGAGAAGCCTTGCAAATAAGTACGCCCTAATGATCATGCAAGATGGGAGAGACGAATGTGACCCTCTCGTCACACTCACTCAATCATGACGTTGACGTCGACAATTCTGCTCTTGCACGACCTCCTAGTCCGGCGCCACCAATCACGGATAGTCTCACTCGAACCAAGACTTGAACATCTGTCATCCGACAGTGTCAAGATACTTTTCCGCCCCGCCCTCCTATCGTGTCAACTACCCCGCCGATCTCCCAATCCCCCTATGGCAAACTTGCGATGAACGCTCATACCATGACTCCGAGCGGGCCATCGACCTCTGTCCAACACGATTGCATCGACCCAGAACCCTCGGAAACTGTCTCGACTCGTATCAACGCTCTCTTGCGCACCTCAGGCCCCGGACACACGATCCGGCTGTGTCCGCGAAAACGATATCTGCTCGACCAACCGCTGGTGTTCGGCGCTGAGAACCAAGAAATATGCACTTTGGGATACCCCACGGGCGACGACCGAGCGACGCTCGTCGTGAGCGGACCTTCGGGTGAACACAGCGTCGCGGTGGATGGGACGCGTCCTGGGTGCGCCGGGTCTGTGTTACGCAACGTCCAGGTGCGTTGTGCATCCCCATGCAGCTGCTTTCGGAGATGCTCATGGTCTTAGATTGATGGTAATCGCGGGAGTTCCGTTCCCGCTCGGGAGGGCTCGGGGGCGAATATCGTAATGGGCGGCGTGAACGACCATCAGGTCGTGGAATACGTGCGGTCGTATAACCCGCGCGGCTGGTCCTGCTTGCACGTCACGGAGGGTCCGCTTAGTTGTAGGAATGCGACGATACAGAATAACGACATCGGTCCGTGTGGTGTGGACATCGAGGACGAATGGGCGGACGGGATCAGCATCAGCTGCCAGGACAGTGTCGTGCGCAATAATCGAGTGCACGATCCGTCCGACGGCGGCATTGTCGTGTTCTCGCCCGCCACGGAGGTTTACAACAACACGATTTGGGTGACGAACGTGAGCAACATCTCGCGGATCCTTTCTGCTTTTGCGTTAACTGGGCTCGTCAGCAAACATTATTGGGCGGAATCAATCTGGTCGATTATCTTCCCTGGGGAGGGGACCTCTCACGGACGGTCGTTCGCGATAACACGATCGTTGGGGGGTTCCGAATGGATGGTTCGTCAGAACTGGGCATCATCAAGTAGGTCCTCTTGCGCTTGTGCATCACTTTAGCTTATCAAGCCCGCATAGAATTGGCATAGCGATTGGCCCAAGGATATGGTTCGGTGCACAAGCTTACCAGAATGTCACGACATCCGGGACCGTTCTTCGCAATCGGTTTTCAGGCGCTTTCATGTACGGAATTGCCATGAGCTCAGCGAACAACTTTATCGTCCAGGAAAACACCTTTTTCGACAATTACACGTTCATTGGAGGGCCAGGACCGGAGTGCGAGTACAATGGAGATATTGTCCCTGCTCCCGCTCCGTTCATATACGATACTTCCGCATCCGAAAACACACTCCAGCCTGGGTTTGAAGCTGTTGCCACGGGTGAATTGTTGACATGCATGCTCGCCCCTGCCGAGTCGGTTTACTGGCCTGTGGGAACCTGCCCAGACTCGTCCGCAGTCGCCCGTGCGTTTCGGAATCCTCCGACATCATCGAGCTGGACTCTTCGCGGGCTACTTCTGCTCTTTTGTTTCAGCTGCGTGGCTTTGTATGCCTTCAAGGGAAGGACGCGGGGGATAAGACTCCCCAAGCGCAATAGATCCTATCCAGGACTGGAATCACCTGTGGCTGAAGTCTTGGCACGACGCGTGTATGCTCGAGACCTTCACTTGGAGAAAAGGAGAGCCTTCTGACATTGCCCAGGCCGGTCAGATTGTACACAGATGATCATTTTCACTAGACTTAGAACTTAGACGTAACAGCTGTATTACTATGCCCAAAATCAACGTTGGCGGCGATGCATTAAACCCGACTTCGTAAAGAAGCATGGGCATGTGCTAGCACCTTATTGCCCGCGTCACCCACTTTGCTCTTGACCCTACATACCAAAAATGCAAGCATCCTTGGGATCCCTATCTGTGCGGGGCTGCTGCCACTTGGAGGCGCTGCCTGAATGGCAGATGGAGCGTCAATCGGCATGTGTGATCGGGGTGTAAAATTAGCCAAGATTGACCTTCACTTCCTGTCTCTGTTCTCCACCTTCATCCTGCCCGCGTCCCTAGGACTCGCCAGGGCCCTTTCCCCGCCCTTTCGTCTTCTGCCCTGCGACACCGCCCTTCCGTTCTCTACGCTCCTTTTGCCCAAACCCTGATAGGCACCATGTCCCACCGTTTTACGCGACACGGTCAACACGATTCTGAGCTAGTCGAGTTCAGGTGAGGGCGTCCTGCGTGGCCGGATGAACGTCGGCTTATCTCAATAAAGAAGCGACTCTGTGGAACGGCGAGACGCCTGCGTTAGTCCGGACCCGGCCAACACCGTTGCAGATCGTATCAACACGCTCCTGAACTCCTCAGGGCCAGGCTACACGCTCAGCTTGTGTCCCGGCAGGGAGTATGTTCTCCAAGACACCCTCCGCTTTGCTGCGCCAGGCCAGGAGATCAGCACCACAGGGTATCCCACCGATAACTCGCGCGCGTTGTTAACTGTGAACGGAGTGGTGCAGAACGGCTCTGGAATGACTACTGCCGTCGATGGAACATGTGCTCAGTGCTCGGGGATTGTGCTGCGAAACATTCAGGTGCTTCCATTCATTTCCCGGAATGGCTTTATCTCGTTCTGACACAATGAATGGAACAGATCAACGGAGCCAGGGGGAACGCGTCTCCGACGAACGGCGGGGCGAATATCGAATTTGGCGGTGGAAATGCTAACCAGACTGTCCAATTCGTCAGGTCCTTTGACCCGCGCAGTTGGTCGTGTCTGCACATCGCAGAGGGTCCCTTCACCTGCACGAATGTCACCATTCAAAACAATGACATCGGGCCCTGTGGGACGGACACCTTCCAGGAGTGGGCAGACGGAATCAGTGTCAGTTGTCAGAACAGTGTCGTGCGGAACAACATGGTGCAGGGCCCGACGGACGGCGGGATCGTCCTCTTCGGTGCACCTGGAACACAGGTATATAACAACACGGTCTGGGTCACAAACGTAAGCATGTCCTGAACGCTTTTGTCATGATGCTTACAGCGTGCTTCAGCACACGTTATTGGGCGGGATCAATCTCGTAGATTACGACCCGTGGCAGGGGAACTACACCGGCACCGTGGTTTATAACAACACTATTCTCGGCGGTTATGCGACCAGTCCAGATGACAATTCGAACACCAAAGGCGTCAATGCTGCTGACGCTGTTGTCAAGTCTGTCGATCTTCTTCCGCTAGTGTTCCGTGACGATGCTCATGAGTGCCCAGGATCGGCATCGCGATTGGCCCACGGACTTGGTTCGGTCCCAGATATTTTAACAATGTCAGCATCAACGGGGTGGTCCGAGACAACCGGCTGTCTGGCGCATTCAGCTACGGAATTGCCGTGAGCTCGGCAGTCGGCTTCACGGTGGAGAACAACGTGCTATTCGGCAATACCTCGTTCATTGGCGCTTCCGGTCCCAATTGCTCGACTTTGGATATTGTGCCCACGCCAGCTCCATTTGTCTTCGATAACTCGACCTCGAATGACAAGCTACAGAACGACTTCCAATTTATCGCGGATGCGGGCTCATTGACATGCGTCCTCCCCCCATCTGGCGGAGATTTCTGGCCTTACGGAGGCGATCCTGGTTCGTCGTCTTCTGGATCGTCATCCAGTGCCGGTCAAAGTGGATCGCAGTCCACGTCGCATTCCAAGGGATCTACTGCTGGCGTCGTTGTTGGAGTCATCTTCGGTCTCGGAGCCGCTGCTGCTGTACTTTGGTTTATGCGCAAGTGGGCACTCCGACGGATGGAGCAAAAACGCCTGTTCAACTCCAGCAAGGAGATGGTTCCGGGTCAGGGTCCTGGGTATGTCAAGTACGGCTAGTCGTCTTGACCCAGCTCACCACTTTGTCCTCAAGTTCCCCGACGTTCATACCCGAGTCAAAACTCGCTCACTAACTCCGCACTAACATTACTATATTTATGTATCCGCTTCCGCTTGGACCCATGTAGAACATTGCATTTATCGTACATCCTTAGAGACATCACATCCTACATCTGTTCTGCATTCACCTATACATTCACTGTCCTTCAGACGCTCGGACTCGGAGCTTGACGTCGAGCAAGATATCAATTATACAGTGATCACCTGACTGAGATCCTTTTGTCCCGACCATTAGGACATTCTGCTGCCCATAACTGCGGACTTCAACCGCAACTCACATACAAAGAACACCAGCACGTCGGCTCGTCTCATCATGGCCGCGAACAAAAAGTAAGAGTGTGCACGGATCGTCCATTGCCACTATCCTGATACTCCCTCCCAGATATCTGGGAGTTACGCCCCCCATCGCCACAACCGAGTCGAGCGAGCGTGAGAAGGAAGTGACGCAGACGCTCATGGAGGAACTCCGGATGCAAAACACATTCGAGACGGAGGAGGAATCGCGCAAGAGGTGAGCACATATACGCATGACGTTTGGTTCCACAACTCGGTTGCTTCATCTCCTGCGGGCTACACCCCGACCGCCTCCTTTGCAGTGGCACGGCGTCGTCCATGTGTTCCGTATGGGCGCGGTCTGTAGCTCCGATCATCGCTGCTGTCGTTCCCTGCCCATGTGGACCAAGCTCTCTGACGCTGTGATACAGGGAATTGGTTTTGGGCCGTGTGGCCGCGCTCGTGAAAAAGTTCGTCAAGAAGGTCTCTATGGCTCGAGGGCTGTCGGAAACTGCAGCGATTGCGGCGGGCGGCAAGATCTTCACGTTTGGATCCTACCGGCTCGGTGTGCATGGACCCGGGTCGGATATCGACACGCTCTGCGTCGTTCCGAAGCACGTCTCGCGAGACGACTTTTTCGACGTCTTCGAGCCAATGCTCAAGGCCATGGATGGCGTTACGGAGGTTTCGGTGCGCGCGGCGGGTCGGAGTTGTATGCACATCTTGCTGACGAGAGGATCAGGGTGTCCCTGAAGCTTACGTGCCCGTTATCAAGGCCAAAGTTTCGGGTATTCCGCTGGACTTTCTAATGGCCAGGCTAGCCTTGTCCTCAATACCCGATGACCTTTCACTACGAGACGACACGCTGCTACGAAATCTGGATGAACGATGTGTACGGAGTCTGGGAGGTGTGTTCCCATGTTCCTCGCTCCATCGTTCTATTGCTGAAGACAGTAAGGCTCTCGGGTGACCGACGAAATCTTGAGGCTGGTTCCCAACGTCGATGTGTTCCGAGACTCGCTGAGGTGTATTAAATTATGGGCTCAGAGTTGGTCATCTCCTTTCGATTCAGTCCGCTGACTGATCCATCTTTTCATAGGGAGAGCCATCTATTCTAATGTGAATGGCTTCCTGGGTGGTGTCGCATGGGCTATGCTCGTCGCCAGAATATGCCAGTTATATCCTAATGCTGTCGCTGGAGCGATAGTCAGCAGGTTTTTTATAATAATGTACCGATGGTGAGCATGGGTGCTTCTTGGTCCAGGGTCGCCACTAATATTATCGACCAGGTCATGGCCTCAACCTGTACTACTCAAACAAATCGAAGAAGGACCATTACAGGTCCGAGTATGGAATCCCAAGGTAATAGTCCACGCTCTTTGCACGATTGACCTAACTGTCTCTAGCTGTATCCCGCGGATCGATCACACAGAATGCCGATAATAACGCCAGCATATCCTGCAATGTGTTCTACTCATAATGTGACAGCGTCGACTCAATTGATCATGACGGAGGAGTTTAAGAAAGGTGAGCGATGCGCTGTAGGACACTGCAGTCCAGTCTACTGATTTTGTGCGCAGCTGCCGACGTGGTGGACCGAGTGATCGTGGGCAAAGCGGACTGGTCTAAGCTCTTCGCCAAGCACGACTTTTTCCACAAGTACCGATATTACCTGCAAGTGATCGCGTCGACGGGGAACTCAGATTTGCAAATCAAGTGGTGCGTGGCCCCGAAATGCTTGGCAGCCGCGCCCTCATGTGGCAATTAGGGCTGGGACTGTTGAATCTCGAATACGACAATTGGTGATGAAGCTTGAGTATGTCGACTCGCTCATTCTGGCGCACCCCTTCACGAGAGGCTTTGAGCAAACTCTGTACTGTTTCACGGATGAGGAAGTGCGGCAGGTCGCGCTAGGCGAGATCTCGGACACTGTTTTAAAGCGCAAGAAGGAAGAGATGGATGGAAGAGACACCGGTAGTGTGGTCTATTCCACGACCTTCTATATCGGGCTTGCTATAGAACCGAAGCAAGGTGAGGTGTGTATCTGCCTTGCCAGCTCAACTCCTCACCCTTGTGCAGCGGGTACTTCCGGACCGAGACGCTTAGACATTTCCTATCCTACACAAGAGTTTAACAAACTCGTCAGGATCTGGGAGAAGTTTGATGAAACGTCGATGAGCGTTGTAGTGCAACATATCAAGAGGTCGGCGCGAAGATTGACGTTTCTGACACAGCTGACGAGAAGGTTTTTCAAGCTCGGCATTGCCAGACTATGTTTACGAGCCAGGAGAGAGACCACCCAAACTCGTCCAGAAGCGATCCAAGGTGCGCTCGGACGTCGACTCTGGTTTGGCCGGCTGACTGTTTTCAGGGACCCAGTAAATCCGACGCGACTTCCCCGGAGATGCCGGATCCCAAACGCCGCCGGTTCGTATTTTGTGTTTCGTGTACTTGCGACTTGATTTCGTTATCCCGGTATTTGTGTCCAGATCATCACATTCACATCCAGTTGCGCCGAGAACAGAAACGGACTTGCTGCGGTCGGCCATCGACACTGCCGGCGCATTTGCACCTAAAGATGTGCGAGATGTGATCCGGTCGCCTCAACTGCCTTTCAACGAAGTCGCTCCTGCAAAGGGGGCTCTGTCGGCTCAATGAACCTCTGCAGCAAACGTGTTATCTCCTCAAGCTCTTTCTGCCCTGGAGCGCTATGCTTGCCTTGCTGCTCATCATTTCAGGACTTTGAGCGATAAAGTTGGTCAGCGTCCCATTTCTTTGTTATCTGGTCCTCCCTATTAGTACTTTGAGGTATCACAGCCACGATTGTATTAGTCCATACTTAAATTGTATTTTACAGTTACTTAGGAATAGCAAGGATTTTGATCCCGCCCTGAGACTAGGATTAGTCAGCCCGCGAGAGTATATGCACGATCATCTTGAATGATCCACCTCCACAGTGATCTATTACCAGCAGCGCGCGCTGATCTTTTGGCTGTGCGACGCTATCATGATACCTAATCGACATGAGAAAACTATCTTCAATGCTCAAAAATTGGCGAAACCCTCTCCTCCAGAATCTCTTTTCCCCAGTCTGACGCGAAACTATCTATGCTCATGTCTGAAGCAGTCACCGACCTCACCATTTACACCGCTGAAACTGGGGTGGGTTCCAAAGTTTATTCCGGACTTTGGCTTTGCTAACGCGATTGAAGGTGTCGCTGTTTCTCTACGGTTCGCGCGTCTCGCGTCGCAGTCCAGTGTGCTGACTCCCGCCGACCAGGAATATATCTCTGTCTTGCGATCTTGACGTTGTACGTCTACGCGCGGGCAGGATCTCGACGCAGCCCGTCAGCCAAGCGGCTCGTATATATCGTGCTCCCTGCGGGCCTCGTTCTCGGGACAACGCAGACGGTACTCGACGTTGTGCGGATGGCAGTGGTGTGGGTTACGCTGCTCAGTCCTGAGGGGGTGACGCCAGGGAGGGCATATGAGGCCTACATTGCCTCTAACATCGCGTCGAACGTGTTTCTATGCGTGAATGTGTGCGTATCCGAGTGCGTTACGCATTCGTCCGCCCGACTGATGACAGAATTATAGTCTCGTGACAGACATATTCCTTGTGAGGCGTCTTTCGGACCGGCTGGGTCGCTCTGTGCGGGATTGGCTTATCTGGGACCGCAGATGTACCGATGCTTCGTGGTCTGGGAACGAAACAGGGCCGTCCTCATAGCCCCGGTGCTGTTGATTCTCGCGACGACCGGTGTGTACACCCATCGTGCTGATTTTCTGTCATGATCGACATGAGCATCCCAGCCACAGCGCTTGTGGCGGCCATCCAGGCCCAAAATAGCTCGATGTCGGCATCGGCCCATGCCTTGAGCGCAATAGTCCCTGCGCTTCTTGGGACGGTCACCAACATCTGCCTGACTTGCCTCACCGGTACGAAGCCTCAATGTACATCAACGCGGTGATGCTCACAATGTGCTCAGCTTACAAGATATGGAGCGCCCATCGGGTTGCGGTGGTCTTCAAGACAAACACTGGCGTCAGAACACGGTACAGGAAGGCGCTTTTGATAATGTAAGTCTGTTCTGAGATCCGTTGGGCTCGATCTGAAGCCGGGTGTTCTCTGCAGCACGGAATCTGGCGCGATATACACTATCTGCACGGTCGGCATGGCCATAGGCCTCCTAGTCCAGCCCAACACGGCAGGCGTGACGTACCTCGTGTCGACGGGCGTCGTAAAACATATGCTTGTGCGTACAGACTCGAATCTGCATCTTCTTGGCTGACTGCTCCGTGGAAGAACATTGTCCCGGCGTTGGCTTTGCTGTACACCGGCCTGCAAGAGACCTCAGAGGCTGAGGCCGGTCCCAGGTTGCCGCTGCTAGAAGCGGGCGATCGCGAGGTTTGCGTGAGCTGCGGTGCGAAACGCTACGTCTCAGAATAACGAAGCGCTCGGTGTATGATGTGTTGCCGTTTTCACGACGGCGGATAGATTTCAAATTATGTTGTTAGATCGAGTCAGTCATCACTTGTGACCTCCACTTGAGATCTAGAGAGCTCCGTGTCAAGCCACTGCAGATCAAAAAACACATCACGCATTCCAGTGGATAACACTCGCTATCAAATCCGTGACAACTGGAGAAAACGGAATTGTGCTAGTGGCTTCAATCAGAGATGGGAGCCATGACTTCAGAGACAAGCTGCGAACTCGAAATTTCAATCACAGTCCAGACTTGCGGCAGCATCACGGCGTTGATGCCTGATGTTCCAGCCCGCTCCGGCCGGGACCGGCCCTCGATCGGAGTTTGAATCATCTCCGACTATAACCTCCTGCTCACTCCGTGCCTCGACGTCGACCGCGATGGCTCTCCTCAGCTTTATCTACAACCGTGCGTGTACCTCCATCGCGAGCGAAAATCGATCAACTAAAGGAGACTCTGCCCTATAGGACCAAACCGGGTACTCCAGCTGCAAAAGCAATACCAGGTCGGTTTTGCGCGGCGACGGCGGGATACGGGTTCCTGATGTTTTGTGCTTGCTAGGCTGACCCGCGACCCATCTTCTTGCGCCCCGCTGGTGCCAAAGCCACTCTCAGTGCGTCATCTTCGTGGGTTGTGTGTGTGGCGGGACTGACAGGCGCGTTTTTCAGCCGTGTATGGCACCCTTTTCAGCCTCGGATTCGCCTCCTCGCTCTACGGCGCGGGATGTCTCGTCACTGGCTACGTTCGTCGTTGTCGTTGGTTTCCCTGCGTCTGTGCTGATTTCTGGTTAGGGAAAGGGCGGTCCCAGCTCGGAGTGAACGAAGACGGAGCGGGCGTCGGCAGTGTCGATATATCTCCTTCTCGTAGACTGCGCGCTCTATAGAGCAATACAAGCCATCATTGCGACATCGTAACCTCGGCCGATGCGAACGACTATCTGTGGCGAGAGTGCCTATTGGGAATCGGCCATGACCCGGGGATTTGAGGAACAATTGAGCTTCCGGAATCAGGTTGGCACCCTTGGCAGAATCAGATATGTTTGTGTGGTCCGTCGGTGACCTCTGATGCTCGCAATGTGGACCAGGGCCCGTCTGCGACAGCATGTGAGCACGGGGCATCGTTGTTTTTCAGCACGGCATGGCCTACACTAGATTTGCATTATAACACGCCGAGTAAGTACATACAGCAAACTACTGATTACTGAAAGTAGCAGTACAGGTCTAAATCGTGTCAGGATCGTAAGTACATAGCTTATCCTTGACTTGCCCTTGTCGTCATGAAACCCTTTTTCGACACGCCCATCATTAGAGTCTTCTACTTTTTGCCTTTGCCCTTGCGTTGCTTTGCCTTGCTTGGTGAGGCAGGAGCAGGTGCAACGGCTGTCGAAGGAGCGGCCGCGGCAGGAGTGGTTGTTGCCGGAATGGCCTGGGGCGTAGGCTGAGACTTAGGCTGAGGCTTATTCGTGCCACCCCATCCGTGGAAGATGTTGATGAAGAATGAAGCCATGCTGCCGGAAAGGATGATCAAGACAAACTTGGGGACCTTGATGGTCCAAAGGTAGACCGTGGTCAGCGTCTTGGCAAAATATTCGAGCACGAACTCCCTGCACGGAAAAACATCAGAATCATCCTGGAAGTATGTGGGGAACACCAACCGGCTGCCACCAGGGGCGAAAGCGGATGACCACGGAGTGGTCAACATCCATCCATCCTGCTTCAAGAACTCGCGTAGGGCACCTTGAGCGACCCGGAGCTGGTTGGACCGGTAGAAACGGAGAGTCTGACCACGGTCCTTGAGAACAACGATAGACGGTGCGCTGTAAATACGCTAGTGAGACTGCATTCAGTGGTCGTACGACAGCACATACACCCAGAGGTTCCATTTGGTGGTGACGTATGTGACGTTAAGGTAGTCAATGCGGGCGAAACGGACATGGGGGAGATCGCCGGCAAGCAGAGTGTCATTGTAGGCTGTGTCGAAAGCCTCGTCGAAGAATTTGGAAAGCCCTTCCTGCCGGTTTGTCGCGGCAGAGCTGTGGAGTGTGAGTTTCGATTGAAGATAAGCAAGAGCATGGGCCTCGTACACGAGAATGATCCAAAGCCTGTCTTCTTCCTCCTCTGGGGTCAAAGGCTCGTTCACTATCATGTCCACATAATTGGCGTCCGTGATAAGAGGGATACGTGGATCCCACGGGAGCTTGTTGACCAATTCCATTCGCTCGGAGATGTTGACGCCGACTTTGTCGAAGAGATTCTGAACGAGCTCTGTCTGAGCGAGCTTGTTCATGTCGAGCAGGTCTGTCAATTTGAACGGCTCCGCTGGCTTCTTGGGGACAGTGCCAGGACCTCCAGGCGGCCCACGAATGAACGTGGGCGCAGCACCTTCGGCGGTGACGGCCTGCCCGGGCCTCCAGCCCTCAGAGAAATACTGCGCCGTCGCAGATGCGGCCAAGGCAAGGACGGTCAGGACCTTCATGGTGGTGCAAAAGGGAGGTGGGTAGGTGCCCAGGCACACCATTTGATCTAGGTGATAACCTGGGTGATCTCGATCACCATCATATCTCTTCCCTCGCTGGCACACGCACAGACGGAATCTACCGCGCAGGTCGTGCTCCGAAAGTGCTGAACTCACGGGACAATCTTACTTCTTGTACCGAAACCCCATCCTCTTTGGCTGACGTTCATTTGGCGGTGGCACGGCAACGTCGCCTAATTGAAAACACACTGTTTGCACTTCTCGCCTTGCCGACCATGGTTCGCGCGCGCTGCTTGGCCCTCGCATTCGGCCTTTTCTCTGCCCTCGGTTCCCATGCAGCTCCGACGGATGGTGAGTCCAGCTCAAGCCAGACTTACATGTGCTCATCTGAGTTCGCGTAGTCCCATCCGCAGCATCTTTCTACGTGCCGTCAATACCAGACATCCACCAAGACCCCAATAACCCATTGACTATCTTCGCGGGTCACATACAAGCGGACCCGGACGCTGCCAAGGCCAGCGCGAAGGATGTGACTTCTCATCTGTACTTCGTACTCGTGAAGAATCGACGCGTGGCGGACAAGCAGCGGGTAATGTTCTGGTTCAATGGCGGCCCTGGGTGCTCGTCCTTCGATGGCCTCATGATGGAAGTCGGGCCGTGGAGGATGGATGGCAAGGGCGGCTTCAAAGTCGAAGAGGGTGGATGGGAGGAATACATGACAGTGGTCTACGGTTCGCCGTCCTCGACTGATGGACTATCGCAGCATGCTCATGTCGTGCCTAGTTGACCAGCCTGTCGGGACAGGGTTCTCATACGGCAGCTCGGACAAGTACGTCCACACGATGGAAGAGGTGTGTCTGCCCTAGCATTGCGATTATATATCCTAATCCAGCCAGGCCGTCGCCCAATTTATGGAATTCCTGGGAAACTTCTACAAAGTATTCCCTGAATACCAGCACATGGACGTGCGTTATCGTTTCCTCTACCGGGTGCTCTGAAGTTCAAATGCCGCATAGACTTATCTTGGGGGCGAAAGCTATGCCGGTCAATGGATTCCTTACTTTGGTATACATCGTTGCTATCGAAGGAGCCATTGCTGACTGCTCTTCCAGCCGATGGCATTCTGAGTTCGAAACTCGGTGTCGGGCTTCGCGGGATCGCTATCGGGAATGGCTGGATTGACGCGAGAAGGCAATATCCGTCGTATCTCGACTATGCTGTGAAGGTCGGGATTTTGGAGGAGAATACCGAGGTGCGACTGTTTATTTGCCTGGAGAACGACAAGCTGAACCGTACCATAGCCTTGGAAACGTGCCAAGGCGAGGACGGACGAGTGCATGGCTGACCTGAACAAGATCACGGATCCCAAGGAACCCATCGTCGCTAGTGGGTGCGAAGGTCTCCTACTCGACGTCACTGCGGTCAGAGAAAGAATGTACATAGGTCTTGTCCTAAGAATCTACATCTGCCAGCTAACAAACTTGAACTAGTGTGGATGGCCGTCAAATGTGCATCAACATCTATGATGTTCGGTTGGACGATGTTATGCCCGCCTGTGGGATGAATTGGCCGGCTCCTATTCATCCGGTCACCAACTACCTTGGTGTCCGTCATTCCTTGTTTCGGGTGGGATCTGTCTGACAGTCAATCCAGCGTGCAGATGTCGTTCGCGCGTTACATGCTGATAGACACCCGGGATCGTGGGTCGAGTGCCGTGGAAGGATTCACCAGGAATTCAGGGAGCGTAAGGTCGCATCGTCAATCACTGTGTTGCCCAAGGTCCTTTCGCAGATTCCTGTGTTGCTCTTTGCGGGAGACCAGGATCTCATCTGCAACTATGTGGGGATGGAGGCTATCATTGCGGCGATGGAATGGAATGGGGCGAAGGGACTTGGAGTAAGCTTTTACTGCGACATGGCCGTTTCGCAGCGTTGAAAATGCCTGCAGACCGTTCAAACACAATCCTGGAGCGTAGCAGACGTGCCTGCTGGAACTTGGGTCTCTTCCCGCAACCTGACTTATGCGAAGGTAGAGAGTCTTTCCCTCATCAGTTACCTCAATTCATAACATACCTGTCAGATCTTCAATGCCTCTCATATGGCTCCCTACGATCTTCCGCACGTCACCCATGATATGATTCTGCGGTTCATCGGTGTCAACTTTACTACCCTCGTTGGTGGCACTGCCAAAATTCCGAGCAGCCTAGGAACAGTGACTAAGCCTATGTTCGTACAAGATGCACCAGCGACAACATCAACAACACCAGCAGATGCCGGAAAGAGCCCGCAACAGGCGAAAGCCATGTGGGAAGGTTTGCCAGCTTGCAGTCATTTGTGCTTCACAATCGCTCACCGGTCTCCGCATATAGCCTACTATAACGCTGGCTCCGCCGCTCTGGTGCTCACCGTCATATTCGCCGCGATCGGCATCTTCGTGTGGTGTCGAATGCGGCGAGCCCGGAGTCCTCGACTGCCTGTGGACCAGCGAGACCGGGACCGGGATGAGAGCATCCCACTCAATTCGCGCCAGGACTTGGAAGACGATGACGAAACACGCGGACCGAGGGGAAAGGGAAAGGAGCGGGCAACAGGTCCTCCCATATTTGATGTTGGGGACGACGAGGAGGATTACAAGGATGAGTAGTCGTATCTGTATTTCTTCAGGGCATGTGTATATATTAGACAAGGAGAGGCCATGGTTAATGCGTTATGCTCGCCCGTACGTACATACAACTAAAACATGAAAGCCCGTCGCGTCACAAGCTTCACTTCACCGACGATGAAGACGGTGTGGGCCACGGCATGCGGTCCCGTCGGTGGAACGGCTGGTTATAAGGTACGTCCGGGTCTCTCGATCGGTGACATCAGTTGGTAGGTGATGTTACGTGTTTGGAAAGAAATCAGAAAGTGGATCTGATTCTCCCTCGTTAGATTGTTTCTTCCCTCCTCCCCTCCCGCACGATGGCCACCAGTCCGGGGCGTCGCACACACCGCAAGCGACTATCACTCCGACTGTCCGCCGACACGACCCACACGCTCCCTGAGTACCCAGATGGCAATGTCGCGTCATGGAGGGATTTGATCCCACCACCTGAATATGATTCAGACGCGGACCATGCAGACGAGGAGGGTACGGAAGGAGAGGAGGAGGTGGTTGACGCGGGAGGAAATTCTTATGTACCTCCGACACCTGTATCCCCGCGCCTGACTGCAGCCGCCCGGAAGCACCGCCGACGTGCCTCGAGTCCTCCGCAGCGTCCTCAAGATGCTTTTCTGGACTCGCTATTGGAGCGCAGCGTGCACGCGCTGGAACTTTCCAACGCAATTCTGCAGTCGTCAATGACTCCATCCTCCTCTACGTTCCGCGACGCTCAATCGTCGCCGACCCCCTCCGTGCCGATGCCCATATCGCGAACGTTATCGCGTACACGTGTGGAGCCTCGGCAAGAACCCTCTGAAGAGCCTTGGGCCGCGAACCTTGCGGCAATTGTGAAGGATGTCGACGAACTGCTTGTCAGCTCGTCGTTGCCCGCAACCGGATCCTCGCCCATTGCTCAGCGCAGACCGCGACGGCGACCATCCCTTGATCATTCCCGGCCCTCGTCCATTTACTCCAATGCAGCAACCACGCTGTCTTCACCTGGCCTGCACATGGCGCCTTCATCACGCATCCGACTTGTTTCACCTGCCCCTCGCGCACTGACGCAGTTTGTTGTGGCAGGTAGCGAGGAGGAACAACAGCACATCACGTTGCCGTCCACGTTGGGATTGAGGGCTGCCGCAAGCGATTGGCACTTGGAAGGTGGATACGATTCTGTACGCAGCAACTCCACTGTCAGTGAGCTCAGTGGGCTACCCCCACGTGCGCATGGAGGTATGGGACTCGGGATATCGGGCCTGCCTCCGACTGGATTCCCGATGTCGATGTCATCTGGAGCTATGCCTGTCGTGTCCACGCGCATCCCAGAGCCATCGACGCCGGCATACACTATGCTCAGCTCGTTTGTCTCAAGCCCGCCGAAATCATCGATCAGAGGACGGTCGAGAGGATCCTCCTCGCGGTCTTCGTCACTTGGGTTGAGCTCGCGCTCGCATACGCCGGGGCCGAGAGTTGCCAGTCCGGTGCCAGAAGAGAGTCAAGAAGACGGCGAAAGTCCCAGTTCAAACTTGACAGTAACACCCGAACGACCGTTCCTGAACCATGCGAATCTTAGCGCGAGTATCATCGCGCGGCTGCCTTCAGAATCGCCTGACTCATCACCGTCGTCTGAATCCGAATCTGATTGCGAGGGGAGAGTTGTTGATGTCAAGGGCAAGGGCAAGGGCAAGTGCAGGGCTAGGGAAGCGCGGTCAGCTTTAAGGAAGATCTTGGACGAAGGTGTGTGCCTATCAGACTTATATGATATGCAGAAAACTGACCTTTCCTTTGCAGCACCCAAACCTCCTCCTCGCCCATCACGGAAGTTCCAGCCTAGGTCGCCGCCTCCCTCGTCGACGGCGGCACCATCGACAGCGACTGCGAGCGTGTCTCGGCTGTTCACGAAAGGTGGCAGACATAGCGTGCGGCAGAGCGAGAAGGTGGTGTCCATAATGAAGAAGAGCGGCAGCATCCCTGGGACACCGGTCGAACCTGAGGCAGGTCCAAGCACACTACCGACGACGACGTTCTGGTCGCTTCCGAATCTCAGTCTTCCTTATCTGGGGAGCACGTTCGCTGGTAGCAAGCCGGAGAGTGGAGCATCGACACCTAAGCGAATCAGTTTCGCCGAGCTCCCTGAGAGTGAGCGATGGAGTTCTACTGGCCGCGCCAAGAAGCGACCAAGAAGGCATAGCAAGTCTGCTAAAGGCAAAGGCAGAGCTCGAGACGGCAGCGCCAGTGACTGGGGCGAGGAAGAATCGAGCGGATGGCTGTCGTGGCTTGTTGGCGGGGCAACGGCTGCTGGAGGTCTCGCCGGTGGCGGAATGGAGGATCGGGAACGAGTTTCCGGGCGCATCAGTCCATGGAGTGGTGGCATCGGCCGAACCAGCGGTGACGATTGGGCTGTATAACATAGCCCTGCCCGTTAACTTAACCTTTATTCTTATTCTCTACACCCCATGCATATAGTTTTGCGCGCTTACCGTAACTTCCTTCCTTTATGACGATTTACGACTTTCTATCTAGCTATACTCCTCCTTGTATGTCTGTAAAAGTCTCAGTTCGCAGAATAGGCGTGGACTTGCGCTCGGTGATATCTGAAGCTTGATGCTCCGAACACATTCGGAATTTGATCACCTGATTCTGTGCTCTCACCTTTCGTTCAAGTTCTGCATGTTCTCACCCACCGTCGACTACCATGTTCAAACATCGGGCACACAAAGCTCCGGACTCGACAGGTCTACAGCGGCATCATGTCACACGTTGCAGCGCCTCAGAGGCATATGGTCCGCATCAAGTCCGATACAGCAGTACTTGCCATCTCTTCCTCTTCTTACTTACCTAGCACTGCACGAAATCTCCGTCCCGTCCCGTCTACACCTGTGAACAAATACAATGTCCATGCGCGTAAATGCGCCTACACGATCGATGGACTCATATGTCAGCGACGCGTCGGGTGATACGGGGAACAACAGACGCGAAGCGATCCTAAGCTTAGTCGAGATGATCCTGAAGGCATCGGGTACGCGTTTTGATATCGCACTGGTTGGATTATCTCAATCAGTTGCCTGTGCAGATGAGCAATCCCCTCCTGGGGATGACAAGGACGTTTGTAGGTGGTGACCTACCTGAACACAGCACATATGCCGAGTGACAGCAGTATCTGTGGATGAACATCGCCAGACTGCTGGTGCGGAGAAGTTCAGGTCGCTTGAAAGGTGCAGTGCTGTTTGACTTTTTGTGTCTGTGCGCTCTTTTGACTCCTGACAGCAAGTTGGAACAGCTCGACAAGCAGGCAAGTTTGTACCACTTCAGCTCCAGTCGTCGCGCTCATGCGCTCAGCTGCAAAATTTTGTCAACACAATACGTCAGTTTTCCGTTCCCACTTGAATCGTTTATGCTCTTACCGCACGCCCAGGCCAGCTAGGCAGTTCCGTTGCGATTCTCTCTAGTGCATTTCACATCCGAGAACATACGAGTCAACTCCTCGCACTCTATCGCCAAAACGCGTCCGAGCTTTTTCCACGCAGGGTTCAAGCGGCTCGGGAACCGACTCTTCGTGACTCCACAGTCCAGGCAAAGAAAGAACGAGAGCTGCCTCCACAGCTGATCGCGCGTCCGCGGGTCAATGTCAATCTGGATCTGGTGTGTCTGGTCGGCGATCGTCGTGTAAGATGGATCTGACGCGAAGCAGGAGCACTTTCCGAGCCAGTTCGAAGAGCTTGCCAACCATCTCGTGGTATTCGTCCAATGCTTGAAAGAGTTCCCTGAGTTCATAGATGAGTCAATCAATGCTTCGATCAGTCTATTTGAAGCGGATCTTCGCGTGAGTTTGTCGTCCCGTTTGTGTTTCATAAGCTCGAATGTACCGACAGTACTGGGCATCTTGTCTGCACGTTTATAAAGGTACTTCCTGCCAGATAGTTTGCCAGGCTAGTCCTCAATGTTGTTAGGACAATTCCGCCAGCCTTCAATCCAACGTTATGTCCATGATCTTTCCACCCATTTCGGAGACCACGCAGATCAATTGGCCTCCACATTGGTCCTCTTTCTCGAAGTTGGTGGGACTGCAAAGATTCGTCTCGCATCTGAGGGGTATTGATTCAATCTTCAGGGGTTCCCACTATCAGATATGCCCAAAAGCACAAGACTGATAACCTGGTGAGCCTTGAATTGACTGACTGTATGTCCTTGAACGATGCAGCTCATTCATGCCAAGTGAGCGCGGCCGAACTGGAGTTTGTTTGTTTCTCATCAGCCCCAAAGGCTCAATCTATCGACCGTCGCGACATTCTTCTCTGCTGTGACAGCCACCACGCTACAGTTCTCCTTCCAGCTCACGGAAACCCGGACGCAAAATGCGGTCAACACATTCTGGTTCGCGTCCCTGGTGTTCAGCATTGGCGCAGCGGTGAATAGCGTGCTGGGACTGACATGGAAGCAGGCCATCTAGTGGGTCGTACCGTTTGCCCTGTGCGTTGTGAGCTGAGAACACGGTAGTCGGCCGCCGAGACACCGCGTTCCGTGGTGGGTCCTCATATGGATCAAACGATCGCCGCTTGTCTTTCTCGTGATCTCTGTCGCTTGCTTCTCGGTTGGGCTGTGCCTGTTTGCATATGGATCGAACCAGGTCCGCGAATGCACATTATTTCACCGGGCGTGGGGTGCTTACTCGCTATCTTTTGCAGTCTCCGGTTACGTCCATCATCACCACAGTCATGACAGCCGTCACCACCCTTGGCCTGGCTGCTGTGTCTGGCTGGTTCGCATCTGAACGATGGATATTCTCCAAATATCGCGGTCAGAAATGGTTGATGGATATTCTCCTCGAAAGGATCGAGCGAACATGGGACCGCCCAGGATTCAGCCACGCGCGCAAAGCATGGCAGAAAACAAGCCTGTCCTTGCGGGGATGCGCTCGATTGTTGGGACAGTGGCGCTCATGGATCATGTGTAATGACTGGGAAAGCTCACTGTCGGATGACGGTAAGGATCTTGAAGCGGGGGGTTTACCCTGGGTTGCAGGCGCGGGCGAGAAAGCTGAAACCAGCGATACGGGACGTACTCGCAGGAAACAAGCACTGCTCAGTGCGATGAAGACGATCCATCTGCAATCGACCATCATTGCCCCGTTCATCACACCTGGCAAGAAACGTGTTGAAACGACTGGTGCCGATCCTGGCGACATCGACAGCGGCAAGCTCGTCGCAGAACCCGTCAGAGCGGAACGATCGCGATTGTCGCTTATGAAACGCAAACTCGGTGTTCTAGAGTTAACGGGGGACTTCGAAGCCCATCAGGCTTTGGTTCGGGATGCTCAGTTCTCGGAGGACGGCAAATTCCTGATCACATCCAGGTGTGTCAGAGCGCTCTCTTCCTGGGATTCCGGAGCCTGACGCCGAGTGTGTAGCTGGGACGGAACTTCCATAATATGGCAAACCCATCCTGAGCATAACTTGCTTTCAATGTATCGGGTTTTGGTCCATCCTAAGAGTTATGTAGGACAGACTGTTTGGTATGTTCGGTCTGTCATCCAGCTGTGTGCCAGAACTTACTCAACGTTACATAGGTCGCCTGATAGTACGATGTTGCTCACTAAGCACGTTCGGAGTGTGAAGCTATGGACGCAGGTGCGTATCATGCATGTCGTAGTGCCTCACTCGAATCTTGGCAGCACGGAGTCTGTCACAAAACTATCGATCGACAGACTAACATCAGACGGGTTGCTTGGCTCCCTGACGGCAAAGGTAGCGCAAATTCTTCTGAGGGAATACAAATCTTATGGACCCTATGTAGCATTCCTCTCAGTGGAGGAGAATACGGTTTTCAGACTCGTGCGCCCCGCTCTTTCTGATCTACTTGTGTGTGTTGACCGTTTGCCCCCCAGGATCTACTCGGCAAGGAACTTGACTCGTACGACTTTGGAATGACCACCCTGCATGATGCCGCTGTCACAACAGACGGCTCGCGGGTTTGGGCTGTGGGGGTTCTCTCAGAATCGCCATCGAAACTGCATCCAAGCAAATCACCTGTCGAAAAACGATTGATTGTGTACAACATGCAAACGAAATGCATTGAATAGTATTTCATGATTCTTTCGACTTGTGTGCGCTCTTCCTGACTGTCTTGCCAGTCAGATACCCATCCTGGACGACGTGCGCCATGTGTCGATCAGCCGCAAAGCTCGATTGGGCAGGAATGGCTTATTAGCGCTGATCAGCTACGAGATCCAGGTGCAGATCAATCCTCACTATACTAAGAACCTGTATAACTGAATCGCATCATCAGCCGCCCCAGCTCTGGAAGCTATACAGAGTCAGCGACGAGCGCAATGCTTCCGCTTCAATCACGCGTGTGAGGTTGCTGCACACATATCTGCCGAGACAAACTGGTGTCGAGTTCGCCGGGCCCGGCTACTTCGGTGGGAAGGACGACGAGCTGGTGTTGTGCGCTTCCAAAGGTCTCTTGACAATAAGCTCATCTGTTCCGAGCCTGACGTACTGTTCACAGGCAGAGACATCCATGTATGGGATCGCGAAAGCGGCATCTACCTCCGGCACATCCCAGCAGCAGGGAGATCGAGCGATCTGATGTGCATGACATGGAACCCCGCATCGGAGAATCCGTTCATGTTTGCTACCGGGAGCCATGACGGCGCTGTCCAGCTATGGAGTCTTTCCCCGACACGCGAGGTCCAGGAACCGTCGGTGATGGCTGATGGGTAGTCTCCTTGTGGTGTGGGTGCTCCCAAGATGGATGGATGATTAGTTTCCGTGCATGCACACCCTCTGAATCTCGGAAATAGCGCATAGGCTGACTGATCTGGGCATTGGCACACTCTCTTTTACAGACCCGAGATGCGTTAGTCGCACAGACGAAAGATGTGAACCCAGACCCATTCTCAGGTTCATATTGCATAGTTTGTACTATTGTCTCTCATCAAACAAATTCCCGGTCACCTGGGAACAGGTGATCATTTCGAAGTCCCCAGCGTCGGAGTGCCAATCCAAAGTGAGACAAGACTTGAACTAGAGCTCAGCGGTGAGCTCGCATTGGGTTTTCTTTCTTTCTGATGTTGACGGTTCGAGGCTCTGAGAGGCTCTGCCGCAGACAGAAGTGAGGGTGATTTGTGTGATGATTTGTCCTCGTCGAAGCGGTGGATACAAACAAATGATAGTGTCAGGTTCTCACGGCCGTCTAGCTCAGTTGGTTAGAGCGTCGTGCTAATAACGCGAAGGTCTTGGGTTCGACCCCCACGATGGCCACTTCTTTTGCACTGGAACCTTTTTATCAGGGATACTTTGAAAGCAGCGCAATCACAGTTGCTGAACATTCTAGGCGCAAATGACCCCAAACTGATCTTTTGCTCTGCTCATACCTGTTGAATTTCTCACCAACGAAGTGGATTACATATCTTGTTTTTCGCTGCAGAGTCAGCAGCTAGATTCCAATTGGACTTGGTGTACAGCGTACAATTACATGGCCAACATCCCCCTTGTTAGTTGGGATATTCGGCGATACAAGACTGTTCACTACTGCGCTCGGTCTTCGAGCATTTTCTTCAGCTGCTCCAACTCCTTTTCCTTCTCGATCAGGGTTGAGCGCCACTTCTGGTCTTCAGCGAGGACGGCTCGTTTGGCCTCCTCCAGGCGTTCCGCCTCTTCTTTCTCCATTTGCAGCGTGAACTCGGGGGTGCCGCCTTTGCTGGCCTCCAGACTCGCCACATTCGCGAGATGGAAGGGCACAGGTTTTCTACGTGTGCGGACCAGGGGAGTGGGCGGGTGTTGAGTGAGTGTATTGAGGAAACTTTGGAATGGATCGTTGAAGACGAGCTCGTCGTACTGCCAGGAATGGACGGGTCCTGCTCGTATGGCAACGTCAAGCGGTGGGATTTCGGGATCCCCGGCGGCAGCCCAGGGATGTAGCTTGAGATGGTGGTAGAAAGTTATGGCCTTTTCCGCTGCGTCTGGGACAAATATAATCCGAATCTGGATCTCGAATTCACCCCACCTGTATCGTGTTAGAGCAGAAGGGAACGACCAAAGCGGACGCAGCTTGCCCCGTCTCCGTCAACTCGAACGGTGGCTTGTCCACGTCTATAGACGATCAGTTGAAGAAATTAACTAACAGGGCCAGTCAAACGCACTGCGAGATGGGTTGGGATACGTGTCGTGAAGCTTGAACGTTACGCGCTTGATGAAGTGACTCAAATCATCCGCCCCACCGACGATATCTTGGTCCGGTGCAGATGCAGCACTACGGACAGCAACAGTCCATGTGTGCGTATGATCGGGAGAGGTCGTAGACAAGGCCTCGCGGGCTTTAGGTGTCAGTACTGAGGCGGTATTTCCGTATATGATAGGTCTATGGATGCTTAATCCCTGGCGAGAGATGAGGGTCGGGATGGAGGCATTAGAGACGGGGAGGACGAACTGACGCGGACGCGAACGCGTTCTGCTGACATGTGTCCGAAGCAAAGTCGTCAGTCCAAGAGTCAAGAACGCAGTCGGAAAGATGATGCAAGGTCAAGCCAGTGATCGCGTTGATGACAAAGCAGAATCGCTACACCAAAATATTGCCAAACTTTTGACGCTCACCACCCCAATGAGCACAACCTCCAAGCAGGCGGCCGCGCCGCAAGCCGTCCCGCACGTTCCTGAGATCGGGACGACGAGTGCGCCTCTTAAGAGCGCAGCTTTCTTCATCGGCGCCCACTGCAAGGAATACAATGGTGCTTCCGAATGCGACCGACCGCAACGACCTGGCTCACCCGTCAATCTTGTTTGTTTGCTATAGAGGACTTCATGCTTTGCAAGGCGGAGAACGGCGACCCGGCACACTGCTTGAAAGAGGGGAGGCGCGTCACACGGTGTGCGACCAAGGTGTGAGTAGCGGTGCTCTCGCCTACTATGTCGTTGTGGATTACTGAGGCGACTCGGTCTCGGAAGGATCAACAAGATGCGGGAGAACTGTCTCAAGCAGTTTGAAGAGCACTGGAACTGTCTCGAGCTGAACAATCAGGTGCGTGAGCGCAGTCCGTGCTCTCCCGACGCGGACACTGACTGCATTACCGCCGCTATCAGGAGTACTACCGGTGTCGGCCCGCTGAGCGGTCGCTGAACAGCTGTGTATTCGACAAACTGGTATGTGTTCCTCGCTTCTCAACTACGACTCGCGGCTGAGGTGTTTCGCACAGGGTCTTACCAAGACGATCCCGGGCACTCCAGAAGGCCGGCAGCAGATACATGAGATAGAAAACCCGGTGCTCAAACGCCAGCAGAAGTGATTTAGAGAGAGAGACTGGCCCCTTTGTATATCTTCGCGCGCAAGCTAATTGACCACGCGACATGCGGATTGGCCTTCCTCTTGCCGTCAGGCTGCTGGAGGGAGGGCTCGATCTGGCCCTCCTGGTCGATGCGGTTCGACAGCAAGAGTTACAATACCAGTACATGAGCGCAAAAATACAAGCAACAGACGAGATTTCAGTAGACCTCACGCTTGAGTGCCTGTCCGGTGGGTCGAGTCGTGTGCATGCCCGATCAGAGCTTCACTCCGGTGGTGCTTTTCGCTTTCCTCGCGTCGTGGAAGCCTCTGCTTGAGCAAACTGTGGTGTCACCTCCTCCTCATCATCTTCATAAGGATGGAATATCACGGGCAAGAGGTCTCCTAGAATACCACAACATAAGTTCAGGGCTATTGCGACTAGGCGGCCATGCCACACACCTGATTCCGAATCGCGAAACTGCACGAATAGAGCCTCCCAATTCACGACATCCGCATCTCTGAGCGTTTGTCTTGAGTCCACCAAAGCCGTGAATTCACCCGTCAGCTTGCCCCGCGTCTTGACGCCCTTGCATATCTCAAAATCCTCCGAAGATGTGACTTCAGGCATGTCATCGTCTACGCTGGACCGGTGCACCTCTGACGAAAGCGCTGAAAGGACATCTGCTTTGAGGTCCGCGACGGTCGCGGTGGGCGCGATGGTCGTGAGCACCGTCAGCCTGTGCGTCTTGATCAGAAGTTGGAGGATTTTCGCCTGGCGGGGAGGCTATTGAGAAGGGGACAACAGTGTCAGATGCGTTAGTTTTTGGCTGCGCTATTAGATCGTACCATGATGGCCAGTCGCGTCGTATCGCGTGCAGATGTGGTGGAGAGCAGAAACCTAATGAGTGATGGACTCGAAATATTCGCGTGACATCACGCCTGCCAGGCCGCATTATCAGCCCCTCGTCAGCCTAGTATGCACTACTGCATGTGCACTCCGTCGCGAGCTCTGGAGTATTCGGGTCCTCTGAATCTGGAGCTTTTGTATTTTGTAATAGTCGTAAATAAATTAACCTCATTGGTCTTCGTCAAACCCCACTCATTGTATTTGTGGCTAAACGTGTAACATTTCATGGCAAACCGGCCCCAATCTCGACTGGAAAGATACGATCTTGTTACAGCGCAGCGCATGATAGATATTTGCCTCTCCTGTACAATTACACAACGTCACTAATCACAGTTTTAGACCTTGAATGACCGGCGGTCGCATATACTATACAAAGCTTTCAAAGCTTCTCGTCACCACCAGCATCCACAGTTTTGGCCGATTCAAAGGCTGGGGACGAGGGCCTCGTCCCGACCGTCTCCTGAATCGAGTTCCTTCTCACGTCGCCGTGAGCAGCAGTGGCAGCAACGACGTCGTCAGAAGCTTCATTCGCTGTCAGGTCTTCATATTTGTACAGCTCGGGGAGGTTGAGCGAGTGGCGCCTTATCCGGGGCGAGCGGGTAGATTTAGAGTGACTGGGGGTATCTTGTGGGTCAGCGAGAGAAAGTGCTTGTCTGTGGGTCGAGGTGCGGCTGGTTTTGGGAATCAGATAGCGTGCACCTGCGATTCACTGAGCATGGGGAACAGAGACGAGGCGGATAAAGCCTGGCTCACCGCCTTCTGATGCGATGTCGAACCGCTCGCAGATTTGTTGCAGGAAAGCGACGACGCTTTGAACCGCATTTGCAGTGCCGTCCTTGAAACAAAACTATGAGCTTCAATTGCCGCTCCAGGCCAGAGCGGTGGACGTACATCTTCCAGGATGTCGCACCAGTCATCGTCATGAGTGATCACGACTGAGGCTTTGGGAGACTACAAATCCTCGTCAGCAGAGACCTGAGCAGCGGGCAAAGGCACAAACCTGTTGCAGGATGAATTCGTTGAGAATCTGCGACGGATGAACGATCTAAACGACTGGTCAGATTATAATCTTCCCTTTGAACGAGTGAACAAACGTGGACTTACTTGTGGACTGGGAGACAACTGGGAGATGATCACGGCGTCTTCATCCTTGGCACGTCTACCGTGCCTTCCTATTCCAAAAAAACTGAACGGGAACTTGGTGTTGTTGCCAGAGACAAAGGGGACGAATTTGCTGTGACGCTTCTGAGGGGAGTCGCCGATAGATGCCAGTCCGACACGGCCGAAGCGGCGACCGATGATGCCCTCGCCCAGGGATATGGTGAAACCGTGAATGAAGATCGTCTGGTTCTCAGGCCTCCTTCCGTTCTCCAGCGGAGCGAAGAAAGACTGTGAGTGCGCACTGCCACCAAAGTGATAAATGGGGTCAGAGTCTGATTGTGTCAAATCTCGAAAGAGTAGAGGGAAGTTCTCTCTCAAGGACGGTGAGTGAAATGTAGCCATGCTTCCCGACTGCGCCTTCTCGGAACCTGTGACGAGGTACAACGAGCCGTTGACCATGTGACGGCCTCTTGGACCATTCACGTATCGGTACCAGTTCTCGGCGTTTTTTTCTCCATATTTTCGGATACGTTCGACGTTGCGCAGCTTCTCGAGGTGCGATCCGTGTGGAAGTACTAACAAGGCTCCGCTGGGACCTTGACATTCAAATAAGAGCTCACTATCCGTCACTTAGCGCTCTGTTTCCAACTCGGATGAGAACCTACTTTGGGAAACTGTCAGGGTCCCGTGGCTTGACCACAGAGGGAGAGACCACGTAAGTTCTGGGGCAGTAGTTCGTCAGAAAAATATCTCTGGCTGTATATGGCTCCAATGGCACGAAGCCCGCAGGGACGAAGCCTCGATTGATGGGGTGATCTGCTGGAAGATAGACGTTGAAGAAAAAATCAAAGATGCCTTCCGGAGTGACACAGCCAACGTCTCCGATACAGACCCCTCGCATCTTGTACTCTTCTGGGAGATTATCCTGGGGACTCGGGAAATACAACGGAAACCCTCTTTGCTGGCGTGATAGATGGCTGGCGTAGATCTCGGGCTGGGAATAATCACCATAAGGCTCTAGCATGATGTTCCCGTTGGCTTCATTCATCGACTGCAATGCAAGTCAGCGAGTATACAATGTTGGAACAGAGAGAGATGGATACCCTAGCAGCAGTGGAAGCGCCTGCTGATGACCGTTTCTTTAGACCTGACGGTAATAAGCGCAGGCACAGCACCGACGTCCACAGCCAATGTAAAGTGGTACCCACTTCCTCTGTCTCCTGCTTCATTCCCTCCCCCGATTCGCACCGTATGGTAGTGGATGTCGCGGGAAGCAGTGAGGAAGTTTCCACCGGAGACCTCCACATCGGACGCGCGCGCGAAGAAGTGACCGGGCACGGTCGTAGGTAGCCGCACTTGCGGGGACCTTGGACCGTCAGGCGCTTATTGGGACCCATCGATCGAGAGAACTACCCAGCTTGCGGCGGCGGGACCGAAGACGCATGAACCTGACCTAGGGCTGCGACGGCGACGGCGTCCGTACTCATGCTGTTCTGCAATGCAGGGCCGTCCCTGGCAGTGGGCTCGGACGAGGCTGGTGGGCGCGGGAGGTGAGGGGAGAAAGGAAGGGACCCACAGATGGTGGGCGATCACGCACAACAACACGTTTATTGTCAGAGACGCTTCTGACGGTGCACGGGGTCGGATCAGGAATGAGGCTGGTCTGGGTGCGTGCTCGCTGCCATACATGGTATCAAATCAGATACCACTCGAGTCGAAAGATGGGTGGACGAGGCTTCTTGGGAATAGCTGATCGATAAGTGATTCGTTCAAGTGCCACACCATTCAACAAGTCCTCTGGGACTGTCTTCCCAATGGCTACTATGACCATCGTCAAGCCCGGTGGACACCAGGGAGAGTTAGGGAGTCCCATACCGAGAGGCTAGACGAAGAATGGCCTTCGTGAAGCCACAGTCTGGAGCGCATGGAGTATGAAACCTGATGAATGCTTCGAGAGCTGCACGCTGCGTGGAACCGCACCGGACAATCGATTTCCTCCATCCTTACATATAGCCATCGAACTTCCAGAGGCATTGGCCCCGGGTGCGAGGAAACACCGACGTGCATCTCAGACGGTTCAGTTCCTCACGCGGACGTCGGACGAACGCAGGCCACGCTGTATATGGGGCTGACATTTGAAGCGGAGTAGAAAGGGAGATGAGATGACGACTTGTAAAAATCATGGTATGCAGCTTGACAAGCTCGGCGGACCAATGCTGTACATAGACCACGAAAAAGAAGTGCAAGTACTCGAAGCGGAAGATCTGCACGTGACAACATCTATACTCAACTCTTCGTAACTCAGAGTCGGATAAGGACTCGGGACATAAGTGTGCTTGCTTGCAGGGCATGTCTTAGTGAGATTAACCTAGTGCACCGCAGTGCGTCTGGCACAAAACAATTACTTGCCGATGTTTGTCCGTGTTCCGCGGGCCTACACTTCAAGGTCTGTTCTGCCCGTGATATGGATAGCAATCACAGCCCTAGACGTATCTTGACACCGTCCCACAGTAAATGATCGACTCCCGAACGGAAATTCTTAGCCCTTTAATTCCCCCAGTTCATCGCAGACTCAAAGCATGACGGGCACGGAAGACCAGCGCGTAAAGGAGGTAGAGGGAAGTTTTAGGCAAGGAATTGGTCACGTGTAGATCTTCCCCTTGGAGAGGCTGTGATTGCTGAATGCCTGAGCCCACTGTGTGCGATTACCGACACGTCCACGACCTGCTCACAGCAAAATTTCAGCCTCGGTCAGATGCACATGATCGTACTCTGTATGAGTTTCATCCCCTGGTCACGATCTCGCCAGTGCGCATAGCCTCAGCCATCTCTTGGCACTATCCCGCAATAAGTACTCGGCTTCCGAATGAAACTTTCAACAGCCCTACCTTGTCATGACTTTCGCCAACGCCGTTTTCTTCAATCCCACCTTGCGGATATATGCGCTCCGCCTGCTTATTCTTTCGCAAATCATCACGCCGCTGATACTCGGGGTATGCGATGGTCTGAACATGGTTGACTGGGGCGACGATGGCGGCCTGTTTCTCTTTATCTGTTTCATCCCCGTGGCCTGCTTCACCCTCGTTCACCATTGCACCGCGTGAGTCGATACCATTGATCTGGCCGTCTGCGCCTCTGACTCTTCGGGACGTAGTCTGATTAGTTGGTCTTTCCCTGGCGCCGCACTGCTCGACATCCTGTTGGTTCTGGGAGAGTTGGGAAGTGCGTCACGGCTGGCTTGTATCAGACATTGGATCTCACTGACATTCGGGCCCGATCAGTGGCTATCTTCCTGTTCATCTTCATGGGCCTCGCCGTACTTCCGTGCCTGATCGTGCTGTTCTTCACGTTTATGTTCCGGATTGCCAGCATCGTTCGCGGGAAGGAACGCTTCTTCAAGCAGCGCTTCGCGTTCCTAGGCGGTTGTGCGCCGAGTCAGCCGCGCGGCGGTCCACTGGCAATCTTGTTCAGCCCAGCTGCGATCCGGCCCCTCATGCGGGGCGAGTGGGTCGTGACCATCGTCCTGCGCACCATCGCCCTCTGCGCGCTCGCGGTCTTCATCCCAGGATTCATGATCTACGCCATCTTCTTCATGCCCTTCTCGTCGACACACACCCGGACCGTGCCTGTGAGCCCGTCCCAGGGGTTGTTCGCATCCACCATCGTGTCGGATTTGCGTCCTTTTCCTCGTGGATTCGGTTTCGCCTACAGTTCTGATTCCGGGAATGGGCCGCTGGCCAACGTGTCCGTGCGTGCGGGTTTCCAGTTGTTCACGGCGGGGAAACAGACGACGGATGGCTGCCAAACGGGAGATTATACGTACGGGGTCCAATGTAGCTTCCCTTCGTTCTCTTCTCGCTCTCAAGCTGACGGATGAAACCAGGTCCTCAGTCGTGGGACGAGCTGTCGAACGTCACATTCTCGATGGATTTCCCGAGCAACGTCTCTTCCGTCTACATTCAGCTCATCTCGACCTCTTATTCTGAAGACGTGATGATCTATCCGGCTCTGCCTGTCAATCCAGTGCTCTTGCCCGGCTCTCGACTCGTCGGCGTGCTATCCTGGTCCCAGCGCAAGATTCTGCAGGGACCAGACTGGACCATGGGTGGCATTTCTTTCGTGAGTCCTATGCTGGATAACTATCCTGTGTTGATTGAGTATACACCAAAGAGAAACCGCTATACGTACGGGTTCTTCCCAACGATCACGGCTCTGCAGCAGAATCTCACCGCCGACCCCGCCATCACGAATCCGCGCACCGCACAGCTGACACTGCTGCAGCCCTACCCATACGTCATGTCGTACTCTGAAGACCACCGCGACTATTCAGCGCTGGGCGGGATCGGTCTGGCGGGCGGCATGTGGGTCTTTGCCAACGGCCTGTTCGCGCTGTTCTTCGGGGCTGGGATTCTGCACTTTGGGCTCGGTGAGTCTATTCGTGACTTCGATGCAAAGTTTCTTGCTCATGAACTGGGCAGGCCGCCGACCCTTGTCGCCCATCGGCCTGCTCCATGTCTTCCAGCGCGACTCGCTTCTTGCGAAACAGCGGGAAGATTTCCCTGCACTGCTGAGCGAGAACGAGGATCCGGCTGGTGTCGTTGCTCTCGTGCGCGATCGGATGGTCCAGTCACAACCTGCAGTGGATCCCTCGTCGATCGCTCTGAACAATGGAGCCAAGTTTGAGCTGATGCATCCGGAGTCGGATGCAGATGGGGCTCGGCTGCCTAGGTGATCGCTTTCCTACTACGGTAATAGAATAGGGATTTTGGAGATTGGACTCTACTTAATGATCATGAAACTTAACGCCAGTCAGTCAATAAGACCTGAGCAGCCGACGTCTGGGGGTCCAAGGCTCGATGGTCTCCCAGAGCCCAGGCATCGTCGACAAATGTACCTGCGGGGAGGAAGTATATCTATGTAGCTGACCCCGTAAGACGATCGAAGCAGATACAGTATCTCGTTACGCGATTCGCATTCCCTAGGGGGTGTACATACTTTACAATAATGGAACCGTGGAATAGATCGTACTAGTGATGCTCAGGTATCATAATCATCAACACCGTTATCCTCGTCTTATCTTGTTCACCCTCATCAATTCGAAGCCACCGCAGCCTGCAGAACCAAAAGACTGGCGGACGTTCCCGAAGCCACAAGAGCGGCGCCGACGTCTCCCAGAGTTTTGGCAACAGACGAGCCGACGACGGCGCCCTTACTGCTGGTCAATGCCTGGAGCTCAGCTGCGTGCGATTCCACCGCCATCCGGCGGGACCGCCCGAGCAAAACGATCGCATTCGAGCGCACGGCGATCTCAGCCTGCACCAGTTCCGCGATGCGAGCGAGGGGCCGGGGACTCGATTCTTTCGAAAAGATCAGGCGGGGCGAGGCGGAGAAACGCTCCCAAAGCACGTTGTCGGCGGTGTCTGATACGATCCGCGTCTGGGTCGTGTGCGGGCCGTAGACGGTGTCCGCAGCAGCCATCGTCTAGAGATTCAAATGAGTGACAACAGCCTATGATCATAGAGAGCGCGATAACGTACCGCATGTGTGGCTTCACCGCCAGCAACGAACGATCCGCCCTCCATCTTGGAGATCCACACAACCTTGCCCTGCACATTCGAGTTGGCGCACAACTGGACCAAAAACGACAGCGCCAGCCGGTCATCGGGCCCGCCCAGGAACGGAAGTAGGAGGAAATGATCGCCGGGGGCACCCGAGCTCAATCCACGATCAACAAACAGTGCAACGTCGGTGGGCGAGTGCAAGAACGCCTTGCGGATGAACTCAGAGTACACGACAGAGCTCGTCTGGTCCTGCGATCCCGATCGATTAAATACCCCGTCGAACGGATTCTTCGCGCCGTCCTCCTCGTACGTCGCCCCCCGCGCCCACGGCAGGATAACCATCTGCGAGTCGGCGTTCCGGGCATGCTGCGCGATCGCATCAGGGAACTCATCATAGTTCACGACGGACAATGCCGCAGATACGGAAAGGCGATTGAGCGTCCCGAAGGTTCGGAAGATCGACAGGATGGGGTCGTTGTGCAGGAGATGATCGGATTCTTGCGATCGCAAGACAGCCGACGTTCGGTTTGTCAACTCGATAAGGCGCAGCGCGTCGATGCTGACGTTTGCCCCCGGAATAGGAGATATGCCATGTGCCTCGACAGCTTTTTCCTCGGCAACGCTCGACACGTAGGACGGAGGAGAGTGCGCTGCCGGTTGCAGAAGCTGCGAGATGGCCATGGCCGCGGGCAGCTGCTCAATCTTTTCCAGCACGATGGAGAACCTGGTCTTGAGCTGTTCGTCAGCCGGTGCAGATCGTGGAGACTCGGCATCGGTCTTGACAGGTGTCCGGTACGATCCTTCGTGAGTCTGTGCGTGCTCCGGGTAGAAGAATATTGTCAGGGGAGTGGTCATGACAGTCAAGATAATCGCATGCAGCACGAACATCGAGAACGTCCGCTGATCCAAGATCCCGGCCGTGTAGCCAACGTTCAGCACGATCAACTCCACGAGACTGCGTGGAAGTGAGCATAATAGGCAGAACTGGTGCACAAGAAGACAGACCCTTTGCAACTCATGAGAGACCCAATCGCACCAGATTCCCGCCATGACATCCCGGCCGCATACGCAGTGAGCCCGCAAGCGATGAACTTGGAGAAGAAGGCGACACAGCAGATAATGACGATGTATCCCCATGTGATCCCGTCGTTGAGCAGGCCAAGATTGGTTCTCAGCCCAGACAAGGTAAAGTACTGGGCCGGAAATGAATGAGCGTCCAAAAGTCCAAACGTTCTCACTCACGATCGGCAAGAACAAAATGGCCACAAAGTCCTCCATCTTCTCCACCATCGAGATCGCGTACCCGTTCTCGTGCGGGATGACCAAACCTGCCAGGAATCCACCGAAGATGGCATGGACGCCGATAATGTCGGTGAAAAAGGCCGAAAACAGCGTCATGATCAACGTTATGGTCATCATTGTGGTTGTCGGCGACCCCTGCTCCAAACTGCCCGTCCGCTTTGCAAGCGCGAGATAAGCCCACTTGATAGGGAAAAGCAGGAACAGCACGAATCCTGCGCTAGCGAGCAGGACGTACAACGCGGTCAATCCCGTAGACGCGTTCACCAAGGCGACTGTCAGCGCGAGCAGGATCCAGCCGACGACGTCGTTGCCCACTCCGGCAGCGAGAACGATCGCTCCAACGGGCGTATCGAGTAGTTTGAGTTCCGTGAGGATGCGACAGAGCACAGGGAAAGCGGTGATCCCTACGGCGACAGCGACGAACAGGATGAAGTATCCGAAATTGACGGTGTGGTTCGTGAATTCGCGGTACACGCCCACGCCAAGCGCAGCACCGAGGCCCAATGGGACAAGCAGACCCGCGAGCGACACGGCAGCGGAGACACGCGCGTTCTTCTTCACCAGCCGGACGTCAATCTCGAGCCCGATAAGGAACAGAAAGAACACGAGTCCGATGTTTCCGGTGAGCGTGAGCAGGGGCATCGAGTTCGTGTTGAATATCGTCTTGGAGAATCCAGGAATGCGGCCCATGATGGACGGCCCGAGGATGACTCCGCCAATGACCTCTGCGATGACCCGCGGCTGGCGGATCCGTCCGAAAATGAGCGCCAGGATCTGAGTCATGCCCGTGATGATGACTGCGACAAACGATGAGCGTGCTGCATCAGACGGCTGAGAGACGCTACGCACTGACTTGGATGACCCAGAGCTTAATGGGGTCAGCCGCGTCCCAGGCTGCGGGATTTGCGCCAGAAAGAACGCCAGCCTAGGCGCGTCAGGCGCGAACGGCGGGAATAGTACTCGTGGGACAGACCTGTTGCGGGGCCGCCGCCCTGGCAGTGAGACTTCTCGCGACATGAACTACTTGCTCGGCCAGCAAACCCATGACGGAGCTGTGCGCAGAGAGGGAGAGGAGTGACCATCAAATTGTTGGGCGAGTGTTTTAAATACAGACCCGCGCCAAGCGACGTTCCGATCACTCCGCCACAACAAAGTGGGGCTGCGGATCGGTTGTCAATATGTAAATAGTGTGCCTGCCCGTGACCAACACACACACTTTCGATGCTGGGAAATTAGCTACACAGCGAGTGGTCGAAGATATGGTTTACAGAACATATCATACACTAAGCCGCCAAGAGGGTCTGCCCGATCCCCATCCGGTCCAGCAACGGCACTAGTAGCCAGAAGATGCAAGCCATACGAGTATGGTTAGAGCGTAGGAACGCCGTCTGTGTCATGAATCGGAGCTACATCCTCGACATCCTTGGAACATGTGAACTGAGAATATGGCCCAAGGGGATGTCAGAACAACATACCACAATGCACGCATTCAACGATGGTACCTGCACGCAACTGCGCTTTCGGAACTCGACAGACGCATGTAGAGCCTTGGTAGTTCATGTCCTGAATATATGTCACGAAACGGAGCTAAAGTGGACCGGGTCGACGGTACCTTGGTCTGAATGCAACGCAGACAACACAGCTTTTCATACCCCGACTTCTTCCACTTGGCGACCAGGCTTTTTATAAAGACGGATGTGAGGGGACAGACCCGGAGGCTTGAACGTGACACGCACTTTGCGTCAGCATAACCTTCCTTTAGCAGCCAGTCATACAACTCTCTGGAGATCGCTTCCCGCTTGTAGTAGAGCTCGTAGATATAGCGTGAACGCGTGTGAGAGATACGCATGATGGGCCAGAGAGATTCGGCTTTGCGTTTGCCTTCGTGTGACTCGTTTTCAGCATCGCGCATCTTCTTGGCGTAGTCGTCCAGGATCTGGAGCATTATCAGGAGGACAAAAAAGGATGCGAATGATAATGCGTACGGCCTCAATCTCCTCAAATCCCTCTGGCGGCCGCTTTGTCCTCGTCGTCTTGATCTTCGGCATCGTGGGTGGTGGTCAACTGGAGGGTTGATCAACGCGTTGTTGACAGGCACTGCCACCTCCTCCAAGTCTGCATCAGAGACCAACTCCGACGCCAGCCAGTCGAGTCAGGGCGAGGAGAAGCCAAGCAACAAACAACCATGCAGTTGGCTTGTTCCATCGCTCGAGCTCATTCTCTTCTTTCTCTCCCACCATGATCCTCGACCGCACGATCCCATCGAAAACCGGCCGAACGGCCCTGGTTCCCCCTTCAGAGGCGGATGACGAGTTCACGGCTGTCCTCCGCTCACACTCAGACACGAAAAAGTACCTCCGGTTCTGGCCTGACGAGACCACGACCGCCGATGCGCGCACGCGCCGGCTGTCCCGCCACCCCGATCCATCGCTGGTCGACTTCAACGTCTACGCACAGGATCCGACGACGGGGCTGTACTCCGTGTTTGCCGGCACAACGGGCATCTTCGCTATCGACGACAACGGCAGGTCGTGCGAGGTCGGGATCCTCATCAGCCCCGACCTGTTCCGCGGTGGCTTCGCGACGGACGCGCTGCATACAGTCCTGGTGTATGCGTTCGAGGAGAGAATGCTCCATCGCGCGCAGTTCCAGACGTCGGTGGACAATCCGGGGATGCGGGGATGGCTGGAGAAGGCTGGTGCCGTGCTCGAAGGGACCAGACGCGCCGCTTGGTCTGATATCAAATCTGGGGGATACACGGATGTCTGTGTGTACAGCATCCTCGCAGAAGAGTGGTTCGAGCGCGTCAAAGACAACCTTGAGGCTCGAATGCAACGAAACGGCTGATGATCGGTCTGGTGTGTGCCATTACCTAGGCAATCTGTGCATGCTCTGTTCTCTCCATTACATTCAGTGCTGATCAGCCCCCAGGTAATAGATGTGAATAGACAGCAGCTTGATAGTGCAATGACATCCTTGAACATCATATACCAAAATCGCGGCAGCTCATGAGTTCTCGCAGTTATGGATCCCCGTATTGCATACAGGAAATTCCCACTGTTGGGGGAAAAGTTTTGAAACTTGGGGGGGCGCTTAAGGCCAGAATAATGAGTGAGGCGTAGATACAAAGAACGCTCAATCGGAGCAAGACAATTACCATGAGACACTCCGAAAACAAAACGGGCCGCAGAGGGAATTGAACCCCCGACCTCCTGCAGAAACGTTAGGCAACTGAGTCGTCTGAACCCAAAGCAGGAATCATGCTTCTAGACCATACGGCCATGGTAGGACGTCGAGGGCTAAAGGATATAATAACGCGGCTGACAATCATCTACAGGTAGCCTTCTGGATACTGACATTTACTGTAGAAAAATGTGATAAGACTTGTTTCTCGTGTCAGTTTTTCTTACCGGAATGGCTGTGGGATCTGACCCCACCTGGCTTATAAACTTCCTTTCTAAGCGAGCAGGAGTAGTTTCCTTTGTTTGGCATCGATCAAGTAGACAAATACAGCGTGACGCTAGTTCAGACCGCCCTGCACCGTGCACTAGCCCATGCTCCTCCCACATCCATTATCACGGCTTCACATTGCCTAATTACCCATCTCCCATCTCTCACCTGAAATACATTCACCTCCCGTCATCTCTTCCTGAATCCATCTTATTCCCACGACCCTCTCACCGATGCCACTTTTCATGCTCGTCCTGCGCCTCACAATGGTGCTCTTGAACGTGTACGACACGTTCAAAGTCCTCAAAATACCTATTTCCCGCCGTAGCTCCGACGGGCTGCCCTCGCAGCGCTCCCTCGTGCAGCGGAAGAGGAATATGAAAGGATGTTTGGCGGTTTGGATTGTTTGGGTGCGTGCCTCACAGTGAGGGTGAGGTCTTCATATTAACTCATAAGCCAATCATTAGCTCTGCTTCATGATGTATGAGCGCCTGGCGGAGGGCGTGGTCTCGCTCTTCGTCCCATTCTACGATGAATTCAAGTCCCTCGCTATTCTGTTCCTCATTCTCACGAGAGCCAGGGTGCGTGGGCCGACTCGCCTCAGCGCCTCTTCTCTAACTCGATGTTCCAGGGCGCCGAGCCTATATATCTGCACTTCATCCGGCCGCTGCTCAAGCCGTACACGTCGACGCTGGACACGGTCTTCGATGTCGTGCGGATGTTCGGTGATATTATCTTCGTTGTGTCAACCTATCCTCTCCGACTCGCCTCAGACTGGTGGCACCATCTATTCTACAGTGCAGAGGGCTCGGCAGACTCGGACGAACAGCATCATGGCGGACTGTACGCCGAGGTGCAGCACGCGCTTCAATCGGTGTCATCGCAGATCCCGATCAACGGCGCCCGTCGGCGCTCGATAGGTCATATTCGGGATCCCGCCCTCGGAGGTGCTCCTGAGCAGTATTCACCATCTCCTCCAGCTTACGCGGAGGTCGGGAGCGGCGCGACTATGACCCCGCCGGTGATGGCCCATCAGATATGGCATCCTCCGCCGGCCGCGTATCACGATGAAGACGTGGACTACCCGGGCTCGTCGCTGTCGTATGTCGAGACGGACTCGGAGCGGAAATCCCGCGAGCAGCACGAGGAATGGAGACAGTACCCAGCCTTCCCGTCCGCTTATCCTCCGACTCCCTTGGCGCCCTCGTCTTATCGAACGCTGCCTACCGTCTCGACTGCCTCCTTGACGTCGTTCGCTCCCATCCAGGAAGAGGAAGAAGAGCCGATGTATCCTGCCATGCAGGGTTTTTACCAGTCGCTCCCGTCTCTGCATGATTCCCCGAGTTTCGGTCATGCAACAAGAGACGCGAGCGACGATAAACTCACCCCAGAAATTCACGATCAACACGGCGGCTCGCCGAAAAGTGCACCGCTGGAAGATCTCATGGAGGAAGATGACGGCGAGGAAGATGCGTTCAATGTCACTCTGCAGACTCCCGGCGCCCTGGCTGTGCCAGACACAGTAAGGGTCACTCGATCCAAGGCTGCGGCAGCCAAGACGACGACGGTTATTCCCCTCAGCGCGATGCCCTCTTTGATGTCACGATTATCTTCGGAGACGTCATCTGTGTCGGACGACACATCACCTTTCGCAGGACGCAAACGTTCCCGCGAGCCCTTTGCCCCTCCAGAGGACCAGAAATCCCCCATCGCAAAAGACATCGCACTGACTGACTCGGAAGTCGTCGTTCCCGTTACCTCGCCACCTTTCGCAGACGACAGTTCAGCTACCGCTTCGGAGGTGGAGATGGATGAGGACGGAGCGAGCGAGAGTGAGCCCTTGACGCCGTACGTCAAACGCAGGCGAGTTGCTTCTGCACCCAGCCGGATTCAGCCCCGACGCACGACCCGTCAAAACGCACGAGAGCCGCCGGCTCAGACCTCAGTCACCGGAAAACCACGTGCCGCTCCTCGATCGCAGACGACAGATCTCGCTGGCGCCCGGGCGTCCACACGACTGGCTGCTGGGGCCGCCATCAAGTCCAAAGCATCCGATCCCAAGTCTGTTACTGCGTCGGCAGAGACTGCTGCTGCTGCTGGTCGCGCTGGTCGCTACGCGGCGGGGACGAAGAGATGATTATGAACGCCATTCACTTCATTTGTACAGTTAGGCACCCACGCACCATTCAGGCATATTATCTGCATCTTATGTATAAACACGGCGAATCTCCAATAGACTCATTCTTATCGAGGTCCTGCGGGATCTGAGTGCTTGGGTGTTGCCGACGGAGAGTTGATGATGTCGTTGTGGGTCCGGCAGATGGAAATAACTTGACTGATCGTACTTGCAGCGCCCCATCTGTCGGCCGTTATGGTTGTTCCGAGGAGGATCTGTCTGTTCGGAGATTCCAGCATCCGACATCCAATCTGTCTAATCGATCCACTTCAGCTCAACGCTGCTGACGGACTTCCCATCGAAGAGTCCTTGGGTAGCGCCGATGCTGAGTCAGCGGCGAAATATCGCCGCAAGCGGCTAAAAACACGCTCGACTCCGCCAGGGCTCCGGCGATGTCGCTGATGCACGCCACATGTCGAGGCTCTCCACTCATACACGCTGTCTCCGCGTGTCGGTCGCACTGTTTCACCGCCTGCGACACCTTGTCCGTCGGTACCTGAAGACGCATGTACCCGACCCGGCTGCGCGTCTTCCCAACTCCCATCCAGATTTCCAGTGCACTGTGAATCGCTCGTGCGGGCGGAAACCACACGCAATCTGCCTTATGCGGTTCATATAAGGTCTGCTACTCGTCGGAGCGTTCAGTCTGCTTGGGGGATCGAGCACAACCGTCCGACCCCAATGTCTTGCCCTCCCGAGTCCTCTTTGGGATTAGACTTGCCTGGAATCCAGGTCCCTCCCGGAAATCCATAGATCCTCTCTTCAGTGGGACAACAGCTCCTGCCATCTCATTCAAGACTCTTGCCCCTCGACGAGCAGTAATGCTTAGTGATGTCTTTTCATGATGTCTCTCTACCAACATGCGACCTGGGCTCCGGCTTGTTCTCGCTACACCTGCCTAAGGAGCGCCCGGCGAAGTTTTCCACTCGCTACTTGAAGGGCCACTTCGCGGTCCCGTACCGCGGCAATTCGTCGTTGATCTCGCTGTCCATGAAGGATTTCGATCTGCCCTCTCAGGGCACTCGTGACATCTCTGTTCTCCACACGAAGGAATGTGGAATCAATGGATGACGACCAGTGTTCAGCGACCGGACGGTTGGACGAAGAAACTTCGACTGTCTTTGCATACGTCCCACTGGGTCAATGTCTGTGCACGACACGGCTGAGGATGGCTCCCGGTTAAACCTTGCTTATAATGGGCCTGATAGGGTCTCAGGATTTCCCGTTTGCTGTCCGCCTGATCCCTGCTATTCTCCTGACAAGATCATGTCGAGTGTTGTGGCCCTGTTTCTCCGTGGAAAATATCAAGGCCTCTCTCTGTGCATCTTCTCGGATTCTTGCGCTTGTCAAGTAGATTCTTGTACGTAGTCAGTCGGTAGTCAGTACTTACAAGGTCGGCGATGACACAACCGATCTGACGTGATCGTCTCTTCCACACAACACGGCCACACTGAACTTGAATCCAAACCCTCATGCCGATTCCCTGGGAAGCCTTGATCCCAACCGGTCTCTACCCTCCTCTCCAGTGACCCGTCCGCCGCGCAACTGACTCCGCTATCCCCCTCTAGGTCTCCTCGTCACCATGTTCGGCGTGACCGGCACGCTGGCGAATGTCACCTTCCGCGCGCAGAACCTCTGGAAGGTGTGTGGCAGCAGCGCACCCGCACCCGGGTTCCGCCGACTCGTTCGCTGACGCTAGCGCTTCTTCACTCTCTTGATAATCTAGCCTCCGCGGTACGGTTTGGAGGCGTGGGACGAGATGATGATGGCGCGGGACTACCACTTGACGGGACATAACCGAGGGCAAACGGTGCGTGGACTATCCCCTCTCTGTCCCGGTGTGCATCCTGCTGAGATCCACTTTCTTTCCTCTCCTCCCCGCCCTTGACAGTCGGATCCAGTAATCCCTCCTAGACAAAAATAAACTGTTCTTCAATCGCATGTCGTGTTACCATCCATTCGAGTGTCGCATGCAAGACCCGAGCTACGATGTCGCTCACTCGCATTCTTGCTTCGTGATTCGACTTCTGACGATGCATGAATGCCTGGATAGCGTCGCTCTGCTCATTTGTATCGCGCCTACTTTGGACCGGACGAATACGGCTCGGCCGCAACGAACGCTGTGCTTGGCGAACACGTATATCTGGGCCACTGGTTGAAAGCTGTTGATTTTGGCTCTTTGTGCTGCGCTTGCTCTACTTCCCATCGACTTGTGTCCCGCAAATCCTTGATCTGTCCTGTTTACTATTCAGTTGGCTCACTTGCCCTTGTCTTGAGGGTACGGTGTGGATAATTGACTGGGACTGATACTGCTCCTTACCTCGGAGCTCAATCGAGATGCAATTTCATCTTGCTCGCTACCCACCTTGAATGCGTTGTAATGCTAGCATGTGCCAGATGTCACGGAAGTTGTTTATATTTGATTACCCACCACTTTTGCCTTTGAACCACCACCACCATGGCCGAACTGGCTGCTCAACCCAACCCTGCTCTCATGAGTGCATTGTTGACAGCTGTGGCAGACAACCTGAAGGACTTGAGTGATCAAGTTGCCCTGCTCAACAATGTCCCTGTCATGGACCTAAGCCCTCAACTTCAACAGCTTGTTTTGGCAGTCAACCAGCTCACAGTCAGAGTTAATGACAACCACCAGGATCTAGTTCGGAGGCTTGATAACATCCACACTACGTGAGCATTCTCTAATCCATTTTAAGGTTGTCTGATTTGCTTCAGCCTGGCCCTTCAGCCCATGCAACTTGCAAATTCATCAGCTGGACCAAATGGCCTTCTTGTTGGGCCAAACTTAGCCCCACTTGCTGATCCTCACCCACAAACTTGTGAAGTCTTGCTCAAATTTACAAGTAAGTTGTACTAGATTGTGCTTTGCCAACTTTACTGATATTACAACTTAGTTGCTCAGTGTCAGGCATCCACTGCTGCATTTATTGCTGATGGCTATATACTTCAAGTTCATCCGAATGGTATGAGGCTTTACTTCTATTCTGGCATCCTCTTATATCATAACAGGCACTCATCTTGTTATTCACCAACAACAACTTGCTCTTTTCCTTGGTGTCTGTGTGTAAAAGTGTAGAGATGAGTACTCATGATGAGCCTTATTAAGCATGTTATATTGTTACTGTTCTTGTTCTTGCTGCTACTTGCTTACAAATGAAATGCTTGTGTATATTGATATCTTTGACCTATATCTACTTTTTGGCATTCAGTTGAGGGATGCCAACAACGTCTCCATAGTACAGGCTGCCTTGATCTGACCAGATAATCCTTGCTACAGTCCAAGAAACACAGGTCTCTCCAACAAATAAAGTTGGTGCCATTTTACAGAAGCTATTCAAATGAAACTCTTCTCGTGCCAGTATGTAATCCATCTCTTCGCGTCATCCGAGTCTAAAAACTTCAAGTTCCTGAAGGCTGGGCTATACTCTTGCGAGACGGCCGTCGCAAACTGGATCGCACCCGTCGCCACCCCGGCTGATTCGAAAAACTCGATCAGTTTGATTCCGGGCTTTAAATATCACGGTTTGAGAATGCGAGTTCCGTCTCATGCACAAAATCACTCACAATCCGTTCGAAATCCTCAGCAGTCGCATCCACCGCGGCTTGCTTGAGCCGCTCGATCCACTCCGGAAACGCAATCAGTGGAAGATCAAGGGTGCCCGCAATCCCGGTCATTATAACATCCCACGCGACAGGCCTTGGATGGACGAGATTCATCGCCCCGGGTGCTCGCTCTTCGCACACGGCGACATCGACAATGGCCTGCGACACGGCCTCCGGCGAGAGCCACGCGATCTGTCCGGCGGGCTCCGACGGCAGGGCACCCAGCGCGATGCTGGATTTGACGAGACTCGGAACCCAGTCGGTCGTGGACCACGCTCCCGTTTGAGCTGATCCGCATACCTGCCCAATACGGAAAGACGTGGCATCTAGTCCGGATGCAGCAATGATCTGTGTGTTGGTTTAGCCTTGGGTTTGACAGTCGCCTTCCAAATACGCACCCGCTCGGCTACGTGCTTGCCCTCCCCGTATCCCAAGCCCAAAGCAGCGGTCGGGTCTAGCTGAAGCTCCTCCGGAAAGGGACCTCGTTTTGGATCCCAGCCGACAGCTGTTCCGATGGATGACGTGAAGAGGAAGCGAACTCCAGTATCCGAGGCAAGGGCGAGATCTATCAGGTTGCGCGTGCCTTTGATGTGCGGCTCGAAGGACGCCAGCGACTTATTGAAATCGAGCGTCCAGGCGTTGTGGACGATCACGCTGAGTTCGTTTCGTAGCTGGAATGCTAGTGAGCACTACTAGTGCAAATGCAGAAAGGGATCCGCTCACAGTCTCGAAAGTAGACTCGTCCAGGTCGGCAGCAGTGCCCTCGAGGAACACGAGCCTTTCCAAGTCGAGCAGGAGCTTCGCATCCAGTCCACGGTCCAAAAACGCAGCACTCTGTCGAGAACCAGAAGTCGCGTGAGAGTTGTGTCTGTTCAATGCGTAGACACGACGAATGGATGGGTGCTTGAGCAAGATCTCGAGGAGATGCGAGCCAAGACCGCCCGTCGATCCGGTCAGCAGTACGACCTCGCCGCCGTCCGGTCGAGTCTTGGAGCGCAGGCTCCCGCTCAATCCAGCCGAATACTTCGCGATCATCTCCTCGACAGCAACCTTGTGATCCACAGCTTCCACCAGCGTCCCAGAAGCCAGTGCCGATAGAGCACCTGCGAGCGACCCGATTGTCGGATGAGAATACACGATGTCCTGCGGAATCTTGGGCGCAGCTGCCCTACAGCTTGGGTTGGACGACTTGCTCATCGCGCCGACGATCCGATGGCGAAGGAACGTCGCGTTGAGACTGTCAAAGCCCTGGTCAAAGATATCGTCGCCGGGGTGGATGTCCTTTTCGGCAAGCGATGCAGCGTGCGCTGACAGCCACGGAACGAGATCGAGGGTATTCCAGCTGTCAGGAGGCGAGATGTCGTCCGCGGCACTAGTGCTGGCTTCAATTGTGTCGTACCTAGCAGAGAGGTTAGAGCTTTGGATGGATCCCACACCGGCTCGAACTCACAGCGCCTCTATTTCAGCGCTGTATAAGGCGAGGGTGGGTTTCTTGATCACAGTGTCTTTCGGGGTGCGGATAAAAGGCTTTTCGCGAGAAGCAACGACAATCATCTCCTTGTAGATCCGGCCAAACGCAGGCGCATTTTCATTCGCTTTCTGTACTGTCTCCCTGGTTGAAAGCCAATTAGAGCTGTTGCATCCCTTGCCATTGGTCAAGAACGAGCTGCGCACCAGATCAGATTCCGGAACTTGGCCACCTGTGCAGGGTCTGTAATGTCCACTTTGGACGTTACGCTCGGCTCGACCAGCACTCCGACTTGGTTCCTCCCACGACCGAACATCACAACCCCATAGATATGGGGGCTAGAGAGCAGGATGTTCTCTATTGGGCCAGGCACTGTTTTCTCTCCGTTGGCCATGATGAGCACGTCATCCAACCGCCCAATGATTCGGTAGAGGTCGGGCTTCGTGGGATGCCGTTCGAACAGATCTTTCGTCGAGTAGCCCTGGACGTCCGGGAGGTTCTCGACTGCCGGGTGAAGCGTATCGCAGCTCTGGAACGAATGTCACACAGAGCGCTGGACTACGAATCGAATGACTCACTAGGACTTGGAGCTCGAATGTGTTGGCATTCCCCTCTGGAACCCATCGGATTTTGGCTGTGTCTGGGAACTTGAGCCAGGCCCAGTCTTGAGGATCACTGATGGCCCTGATGATAGTTGGCAATCCGACTGCAACTTGTGAGTGTGGTGCGGAGATGGAGGTCACAAGCGATTGCTCACATTCCGTAGCTCCGAATATCGCTACCAGCTTCACACTTTGTTCGATGAGCTCGTCGCCTACCTCGAGTGTCAACGGTCCTCCGCCGAATGCCTTTTCCAAAACTCAGGCACGAAAAGCACCAGGACCACCAGACTTACGACCATATCCAAGCTCTTGAGATAGTCCACCGCTTCCGGAGAACGAGCCCAATCCAAAATGAACGTAGGCACGGCGAACACTCCATCGGCCTTCGTGAGCTTCGCATGGTGCAGGGCGAGATCAGATGTCGCGTTGGGCGGGACGTGGTACTCGGTCGCTGTCGAAGCAGGCGGGAAGATACAGGCCGTGCCGTTGTTGATCATCGGAAAGAGGATCTGCGTGAAGCAGCCCGCTGCGTGGAATGGTGGGAGAAAACCGCTCGCTAAGCGCGGTGTAAACGCTTTGAGTTGGCCCACCGAACCTACCGCGACGAGTCGGTTGAGTTGGGTCGGGTCGTTCCACGGAAGAGATGGCACCCACCGAGAGCTGCTATCTCGAGCAATAAGCGATGGGACATGCGAATCGGCTTGGGGAATCCTGTGCTTCCACTGGAGTGCAGGCAGATCGCGATGTCGGTATTGGGTGGAATGGGATCGGAGAGCGGGTACGGTGTGAATTCATGGGCTGCCGATTCGTGCCCGAGATGCGGGTACAGCTCTCCCAGCAACGGGATCTCTTCCACCGACAGCTCGTACTTCTGATTCTGCCCAGCGAGCTGAGCTGCGACATCGGCAACAAGGTTCTCGAGGGGGGCTTTCGTGGTGAGCACGCGATGGCAGTCGGTCGACTCGAGCAAGTGCGCTATTGCCGCAGCTGAGTTGCGGTGAGATATCGGGAAAGGCTGGAATCGGTCCGAGCTTGATCAGGTGACACTGCGTGTGACCACTCACAATCAGCCCCGCTCTCATGCATCCTAGGACGATCGTCTGATACACGAGCACGTCCGCGAGGGCCACGATCGCGACGACCCGTCCTCTCTCTCCGCCGCGAGGCATTTCGGGGGAAAGCAGACGGGCGGCGCGATGGGCGGCGCGCGCGAATTCAAACTGAGTGATATCAGTTGAGACGACTCCTGATTGATCATCCTCCTCGGCGAACGAGAAAGCCGTGCTGCCGCCAGAGCTCTCAAGGCGCAGGTCTACGATCTGCGGGAGGATTAGGGAGCGATCGAGTGGCGGGAGATCTTTGCTGGAATTGTCACGGAGAATATGCAAGGGAGACATGGTGAGTTGAGTTCAAGAGATGGACTGCACCTGCTTTTTATCCTCTCCCCGGCCGAGATGTTCCACTCCCCCGAGTTTGATCTCCGGGTTTGAGAAGCACCGTTTTCGAAGCCCCAGCTCTATCTGCGCCGCAGTGACAGCGCAGTTAAGGGCAGTGAAGATTGAATATCGTACACAAGACTGGTCACATGTATTTTGGTATAAGATGACGTATGCAAGACAGTGTCGAGGACTTGAACATTGCCCATGATACGCGCCCGCTGGCGACGGACGCGTACGAGAATCGGACTTTTATGTCATACATATATCGAAATCTTCCACGCATCCAGGTCGAAGCAGTCGTGGAGTGTTCATTACGGAGTTTGCGGTGCGGTGTGCGAGTGTGCGTTGTTTGTGAAGTCGGATGGACCACACTTTATACAACAAAAGAATGACTGACTTGCACTGAGCGCGATGCGATCGAGTCCCCCTAATCACCGCAGCCGAAGATAATTATGAACCATCATCGGCAATGTCGGCCGTGCGAGGAAACACTTGACATGCTGTACCAACGAGTCGTTCTGCCGGATAATCTCATCTCTAAGGTTGTTCGGTTTACTCTGCTCCCGAGGCCGTTTACGCCAGACTCCTTCTCCTCTTCGGGACAGTCTGCGCAAGAACACTCGGAGTATGACTAGACCGAGGACACGCTTCTACGGTCACATGTTATCCACGTGCTCCCGCTGATCCACACTCGGGAACATTGATTTGGATCAATCCTCAGGCGGTCTGTGCATATATCCTCCTGTGACAATGGCTGCGTCTTCATTCGGCCATGTCAGTTCTGAATTTCATCTACCGAGATCCTGTAGCGTACGCAGACCTGAGATGCGATCGGAAAACGTGTGCAGAAGGGTCTGTCCTTGACCGTTATATATGGACCGATGCGTAGAGCACGGCTCCTCATGAATCATGCTTCCCCAAAGACGATGAATTCCGCATAGGCGAACAGATGACTGCGTTCTCGTGTCGCACTGTCTCGGAAACGCACGAGTGCCGGGCACACCAGACACTGTTCGTGCGTGACCTCTGGGTTACTCTGGCGTTCATCTGGGAGCGTTCCTGCGAATTCATAGACTTGAACGTGAGAACAGGTCTCACAGGATTAAGGCATTCCGGTCAGGACGTTCTGCGTTGAGCATCGGTGCTGAGGGTCGAGATAGCTCCGCGCACTGGTCCATTCGAGAATCGACTTCTGCAGTCACACCCCTCCGACCCTGTCTCCCTCTGTCTCCCAGTTCCGAATATCATGCGAGATCCATAGAATCATCCCATTCATCTTTTGTTGAAGACGACACAGATGTGAACATAACATGATCCTCATCCACCGGAACAGTCGACGGGGCAGTCCCTCCGACGAAGCCATAATCATTCTCGACCCCAGCGCCCCAAAGTCGAGGTACGCCCCGGTCCTGAAAGCATCGCATTTGTAGATGCGCTCGTACACACACGAGTTGCCGCCCGGGGTGGCAGCATGCTTGAGCCAGACGCGCAGCCGGTGCGATGCCCCGGAAGGCACAGACGAGATGGGAACGGCGTAGATGAGGAACGTCACAGAACGGGGGTGGCAGTCGTTGAGAAGGGGTAGGTTGTCGATGAGGGTCTGCCCCGCACCACCAGCGTCGTAGTTTACTCTGCATTTGTACAATCGCATGCTGAGCCGTCGCCATCTGAGCGCAAGATAAGATATCGGGAGCACCGTATACACTCTAGCCACACACACACCTGACATGGAATTGCACTTTCACCTGCCCAACCTGGCCATCGTACACCTGCAGTCCTGGCAGCGCACTTCTCAGCCTCGCAATCGGCACGTCTCCAAAATCCAAATCCCGCCCGATCAACAGCTCGTCTGCGAATAAGCGGTGGTCCACTCCGTTGCGTAACCACACTCGGAGCGAGAATGACGAATGGGATCGAATCACCTGTTTACTCCCGGGGAACAGGCTACAGAGAAGTTGAGCCTTTAGAAGTGGACCGGTGTATACCGCACGCACAACACGGAGAACTCCAGCTTCCTTGGATCAATGGAGAGTTGAAGACACAGCTTCACAGAGGCTCCGTTCGATATTTAACGCTCGCAGAGACAGGCGGACGGTGTGTTGCCGGCCATTTGTGAGTTCGACACTTGAGGGCCGGGTCAGGCTTTCTTCCGTGAGAGAAGGAATCAGTCGACTGACGAGATGCTGAACTTCAATGACATCCTTGACGCAGCAAGGTTGTATCCATATACATGTCGTTCGGCAGGGCGCAATTCAGAAAAAAGAGCGATGAATGGAAGTCGGGTGCGATTGGTAAGAGTACCCGTTCGAGCTCGTCCCGCTGTTGCTGCTATTACTGATTACGGAACACCACTATCAGCTGACGCAGGCACCATGATGCAGCACCAGATTCGCACCTCCGGGACACAGCGACAGCACAGCCTGGACAGGTTCCGTGCTCAGTAGACCATAAGAGAGAGGGCCAAGGCGCTTCGACGCGATAGGAGGGAAGGCAGCGAGGTTATTCTGGTCTACACTAGGCAGTGCGCGATGTGAGGGTGTACACGAGAATCTTGATCATCTCCCGAGTCTTGGTGACAAAAGGTAACGAAACAGGACGTTAAACAAACTGCATCAAACGAATCAGCTACATTTATATCGACATGCTCCGGCATACGCACACTCTCATACACCTTCACCACAGCCTCCGGGACAATCCCGTATTTGCCCCAGTTGCTAGGAGCCGCATCTTCCTCTTTCTCCACTCTACGCAAGGTGATGCGGATTTCTCCGGCCACAGAATCAGTCAACACCCTCCAGACAAACGGCGCGGCATCCAGCATTCTTGATCTCCCGTAGATATCTATGGCTTCCTGGCAGTAATCGCGGATCAGACTCAACACTCGCTGCGCCCATCCGAAGTCGAGTGTCGGGTCCCAGCTGAGCATTGTAGGGATCTCTTGCACTTTGACGCGCTCGGTCGCATACAGGGTTCCATCATTGCCAACGGAACCGATCAAGAGCGAAGGAACGTCCATCATTTGTGCCTGCAAGTACCACTTCTTCCATGTTCTTCGGGGAAGTCTATCAACTGTGAGCATTTTGACAAGGACGCTACCAAAACATACTTTTTAGCGTCACCGGCGCCCACAGATCGGACGACTAGCTGTAGAGGAGTTCGTCCTGAGGTGACTGGTAAGTCTGGAGACAGTGGCGAGATCAACGATAAAGACGGACCTTGTAAGCAGTCCGTGCTTCCTGAAATCAGGACATTGAGACCACCTAGCGTGCGCAGTACAACCGTGCGCACTTCTCCATCGTGTGGCAGTGTGCAAGCGCGTTGAAAACTGTCCGATCTGTCCCAGCGTTAGCAGCAACTTGGCGAGGCGGACACATCACCACATACCTTGTTCGTGATTGCATAGCGGCCCGACTAGACATCCGTCAATCAAGATGAAAAATCGAGGTGTGACACTCACTGCACTGGCATCCCCGCGGGCTGCATAAAAAGGACGCCGTGCGCGCACGACACGTCGAAGGCACCCTTGCGATTCGACATAAGCCTGGAACAATGCCGTGAGTATGAGCCTGACGGGGGGAGGGAGTGACGGACTTCCCGAGCACACCTCGTTCCGTGACTACATCTGCCTTCAGCAATGCTCGCCTGCCCGCTTCAGTCTGCGCACAGGCCAGCAGCATCTCCTCCAGCCTCGGCGCTAGCGAGGTAGCAGTTCGGTCTTTTGACCTGGGCACCCGTCTTCCAAGTCTCGGGGTGTGAAATACGGGCGGCGGAGCGTCAAATAGAAACGGCGCATCAGGCGCTGCGCGCCTGTACGAGATGACGTGTCGAGCGGGCCCGAGGAATGCTGGGATGCCGAATTGGCCCTTGGAGGCGGAAAAGAGAAGGAATGGCGCGGATGGGAATCGGGTGCGGCTCTTCGCGGCGAGGACTGGCGGCGTGGTGAGGGGAACGTGAGTTGTGTCTAGAGGCGAGGCGTGTGTACAGATCGAATGTAGAGGCGAGAGCCGCGTATACGCGGTGCGAGATCGAAGACGCATGTGGATCATGGAGTGAGACCTTGAGCAAACTTCAATGCCATGTGAACCGACGGGAGAAAGCAGAAGGAAATCTTTGAGTGACAGGATGTGACAAGCTTGTCGGCAATGAACTGTTCGGAAATCAACGATGAGCAGTGTCTAAGGCCGTTGGTCCTTGACTAGTTTGGTTTGGTTTGAGATGAGTGTCGAGTATGTCCACATATTGTTATCGACCTGCAAGTTTACACCGACGTCCGAATCCGAGGGGGCTTGGGCCATTGCGTCACTACCGTAGTACCCATAGCCCTGACCAGTTCTAGGCTGTGCAACATCATTATACCATTCGAAATCTAACCACCACGAGCACTCCAATGGCCGCACGGCTGCCCATCGAGCAGGATCGCGGGCCTGCCTTATCAGAAGACGGCCTACCGACTTATGAACATCTGGCCGAGCAAGAAGGGCCTCAATCGAGGTGTTTCCACTGTCATTCGCAATTCCTGCTCTGTTCTGACCCTCGAGCACTTATTAGGTTTGGTCGATGGGCAGGATGGATAGAGAAGAGGTGGGTGTGTGGTCTGGCGTCTCGGCAAGACGGCGCTGAGCGCAATTCATGTACCTAGAGCGTTAGAGCGGCATGCGGCTATCACTCCGGAGGAACGCGCACGACGGAGAGCGCGGGGATGGGGAAATGACGAAATGGTGTGTGCTGCACAATCATCGGCTGCTATTACTGAGAGCGATATCTTCAGGACGCTCTAGATCCCGAACCGCCAACTCCGACGCCAGACTTGTCTCGTCTATCCATCCAAACGGACGCATACTCTTTACTATCCGAACCACCACCCGGGCCCGACTCCCCGCTCCCGCGTCTACCTGTCGTCAGTACGCACCTCCACCCGACGCACCTCAAAATGAATCATTTCGGATCCCGATTTCTGCCTCATTCCACTGCCCCAATTCGATGTCTTCTCCCGCTACAAGCCGACCAATTATTGCTGATTGGACATGACGAAGGATTATCTGTTCTGGACATGTTCCCGCAGGACTGGACTGAGGATGGCCACATTCAGGCGAAGGGTCCTGAAGATGCCAGAGTGTATCCTCTCTGGGTAGGTGAAAGTGTGTTCCAGATGTCGTTTCTAGAGCAAGATGAGAACAGCGGAGTGGTCCTTGTGCTTGTCGGACCTGAGTCTGAATCCCCCGGGGCCAGAGAGACTGAGCATCAACGTGTAGTGAGAATGTACAAGCTCGCGTCCTTGCTCAGTCTCGCCAAGTATGCTGTGGCGCACAAGGTGCGAGTGCTGATATCATCAAATGTGCGTGGGCTTTAAAGCTTATGGCAGGGGTCCAATCCCGTCAGTCTGGACACTTTCGCGACATTGCAGACGACACCCAAGAAACATCGGCCAACAAGCAGCATCGCGCGAGGGCTCAAATCTCTCATTCCCCCAAGCACCACGGAGAACTCGGCGCAGTCATATCAAGCTCTCCTCTCGCCTGCGCCATCGCTTTCAGCCTCTCGCGCGGGACCTCAACGCATCAACTCGGATGAATCGACGCGTAGCTGGGAGGTCGTCGACGACCTTCCGATGCGCTGGGCACGAGATTTTGTGCCTCTTGCCGCTCCAGGGTCCCGCTTATTTGGACAGTCTGTGATCACGTTCTCTTTGTGGGACAAGAGTGAAGGAGGAGGCGTGGGCGGACTGGGGCCTCCTCGTGGCCAGTTTTTGGCCATCGCGACCAAGAACAATATCCTGCTGTACGAGACGCCACCCAACGAACGCGCCTTCCAGTTCGTCAAGGTGTTTTTCTTCATCTGACTATCTTATCGTCGTCGTTTGTCAGCTCAACGCGTCTGCACAGGAATTCTACACTCCATTGCAGTCAAAGTCGATCACCTTCTTCCAGCAGACCGTACACGACGTTGTTGCGCCAGAGCGACATCGACGGACGCCCAGTCGGGGCAGTCAAACGACCAGCTACTCCACACAGCTCTCGATCTTCGTCGTATTCGAGAAGAAAGCGGGGTGGATTCGCCTGGCAGATTCGGCTGTCGGGGAAATGGAGCTATTCGACCATGGATTCAGTGCGGGCGCGTCTTTGGCGCACAACCGAACGCTGTCCGTCGCTGGCTCCGGTACTCCTCGACGGCATGCATCGGCCATCGCTGACGGGTCAGCTGGAACGGCGCGCTGGATTCCTCCCACCAGATGCGAGCTGCCGAATGGTCGCAGCGTGTATCTCCTGACTCGCGGATCGGTCACTCACGTGGCTCCATCACCGCTCTCATCCCATACCACGGGGACAGTCCCCCTGGGGACCGTCCCTTGGAGAACTGCTCCCTCTTGGGTCGTAGGTCGGGTCAGCCCTTCTGAGGAAGGGCTGTTACAGCTCACCGCTCTCGGTGAGGGGAGTATTGAAGTTGTCGAACTGCCCATTGCGTCCTTGTTGACGACCAAGGGCAGCAAAGGCAAGGGGAAGGACATGACGCTCCGCGTCGAGGAGGATGCCGGGGGAGAGACAGGGTTCTTGTGTGCCGGCGGGTACTGGGACCAGTCTGAAGAACCTGGCCTCCATCGCACCTACTCGACAGCCTCATACTCCAGCACAGACTCCGAGGAAGTGGCCCTACGTTACAGACGACAAGTAGGCTTTTATGGCTGGTGCCGCAAGGGGCTATCGGATTGGCGTGTTTTCTGGCTGGGTGGGACTTTTGAAGACATGTGATCTGAATCTATGCACGGAATCTCATGATTGTTTGGGGCCGCCCTGTAGCTGGTCACAAATACATACATTTTCCTCCACAGCGTCCTAGACTTCATGAAGTCGATATTCGTCCATCAAAGCGGTAATACCCAAATCGTGTCCATCTTTGGGAACGATCTACAAGGCAAGTGATCAAGCGGAATACAGGTGCGATCACGTGGACCATGTATTTACGAGTCAGTGAATGAGTATTTCGCGATGCGAATTCACCCAGGGTGCCATGTCGGATAATGGTAGCCGATCGTAGAGTGCAAGTAAAAGAAAGGCACTGAGCACCTACGTCACGATCGATCGCCTAAGAACACGAGACAATCATTTAAAAGGAAGGCCGACGCGAGCAGGACTTGAACCTGCGCTCGGAAACCGAAACAGATAAAGAGTGGTTCTAATCTGTCGCCTTAACCACTCGGCCATCGCGCCTCGAAGCCCTTCCCCTGTTTATTAATTCAATCCACAAATCTGAGCGAAAACACGTCCCTCGCCAACATTCATCTTGAATTCGCTCAATTCCCATTCATTTCGATGCGAATATCACTGCGATCTGCGTAACGATTTCTTGCATGGCCCATTCTCCCTCGTGTCATGCGATCAATAGATCCTGATGGTTAATCACAGCTATGATGGCGACTTGGAGATGCGGCCTGTACATGCCGCAGGAGTGTAGGTATCTCTTTGAAAACTCTGTTCACCTCTCACACCGGATCGGATGGCCTATGACCCAACTAACTCTGTTGGACGTCCCCTTCTTGCCCTAACGAACGACCGAGACGTGTCGCTCTACCCCCCACACACCTCCAAAAATGCATCATTCTTGCGCTTCCTCCGGCGCCCTCGTGTCATCGCCCTCTCCGTTTCGGTCTTTCTCATCATCGCTGCGACATACACGTACTTCGCACCACTCTCATTACCGAGGACTCTGCCCGGGTTCGGCAGCAAGTCGCAACAAGATGGCACACACTCCATTGCCCCAGCCCCTCACTCTGATCCTTATGCCATTGAGCACCGTCCTCCGCCTCCCGTCGACCCTGCCTATCCTCTCTCCGTTTTCAATACTCTTTCAAATGCTATGTCCCGCTACACACTGCTCACGTCACGGCCTCCGCCTCTCCACTACTCCAAATTCCACACCTACGCGCAGGAGCACAAGTGTTTCACGGATCCACGCGCCTACGCCGGCGTCTTCGCCGACTTCGGACCCTTCTGGGCAGCCGAGAGAAGGGAAGAGCGGAGGACAGGGAAGAGAGGGTGGTTCCGCGAGCAGGTGACGAAGACTGCCGAGCGCTGGGTCAGGGACGGGGACTCGCATGGGGCCGTCGCAATGGATGTCCGGAGCGGCAGAATGTACCGTCCAGGGTATCAGGGGAGTTATTTCGATGGGGATTGGGACAACAAGATCAACATGGTGCGTAGTGTCCCGCCATCAGTTCTGCGCTGACGGTGCCCAGTTTGCCTCCTCATTGCCAGACATGAAGGTGCTGATCAATGGACGAGATGAGCCCCGGGTTGCCTACGACACGGCTCCGCTGCTCCGGGGGTCCAAGTCCGAGGTTAATCTAGGCATCGTGGACGGCAAACCCTTCGCACATTCCTTCGATGGGTCGGCCCCTGCGTCCGACTTCTTTCGGACCCGAGAGGGCTGTGCTCCTCTTAATGGTGAAATGGGAGACGTACCCTGTATGCCGGATGAGACGGTCATCGTTGATATCGTGTTATCTGACTGTTCCGATAGTTCTTGTCTCCCCATCGTCATCTGACCTCACCACCGATCTCATCCCCATTCTGAGTATGGCAAAGCTGGCTGATGGGTCCGGTATTGGCAGTGGCGCAGCTCTTGACTTCAGCCCCTCCAGTGGACACTCCTGTTTCGCGGATATCCTCATCGTCGGCGAGGTGTGTGCGCTAAGGGTCTTTTCACTTTCTAGCCTATTCATGCAGTGCATCAGTTTTACTACACCAGCTCATCGTGGGCGGGCAAGTTCGAGTTTTCGGACAATGTCCCTTGGGATAAGAAGCGAGAAGTAATCTGTGAGAAGAAACATTTGCCAAGCAAATCTTCGAACTTACCCTCGGTGCAGATTGGCGCGGCAAATCAAATGGAGGGCACATCCGCGGGCAAAATTATCGCTTCTTCCCGAGATTTAGATTGATGGACATTGCCAGGGAGCCTGAGAATAAGGTGCGTGTAATTTTCGATCACTATCCCGCGCGTCTCATTCGCTCCAGCACCTCTTCGATGTGCAGATAACTGAATGGCACGAATGGCATTGCACCGGTGCGTGCCGTAAGATCATTTTTGGTAATTCGTAGCCTTGACTTTGTTCCCAGACAATTGCGATGCGGATGCTATTCGGAAGGAATACAACATAACGGGCCAAAAAGCCCCGAGAGAAGAGAGCTACAAATACAAGTGAGATCCTATCGAGTCGATCTGCGCTTGCTGACCTCGGTAGGTATGTCTTGGATGTGGACGGCAATTCGTTCAGTGGCCGTTATCTTGGGCTCCTACGCAGCGGGTCGCTGGTCTTCAAGGTCAGCGGACCAGTGAGACTTCTTCCGTTCGATGCTAATCTCGCATGCAGTCAACTGCCTTCGCTGAGTATTTCACACCGTGGCTCATCCCTTACGAGCATTTCATCCCTGTGCGACCCGATCTTTCTGACTTGGCGGCCAAGATCGCTTGGGCACAGAAGAATGATAAAGAGGTCAGATTTTTTCTCATGGAATGTCTCCTTTTCTGAGAGCTGTTTCGCAATAGGCTCACAGAATACAAGAATCAGGACGCCGGTTCGCTGAAGACGTGCTAACCGGTGCCCAGAACGATTGCTATTGGTTTGCGGTTATGCTCGAGTGGGGTGAGCTGTGGGGCTCGGCAGAAGTGTAGAGGATTCAGATAATTTATCGCTCGTCAGTACGATTGCAGATAAACAGCGCCTTGTGTGATCACGTGCATTTCACGTGCAAACCTTCCGCTCTCAATTGGATTTGAAGTGAAAAAGGGTCTCGTAAAATTTTCTACATGAATGGTACACGTCAAGATTTAAAACATTCTGCAAAAGAATCTACTGCACATCTCTTCGCACAAGTATACACGTGCGGATATTGATTCGTTACTTACATGTTTCATTACTCAAGAATCGAAGATGGCGCCATAAGCGGCGATCCCCCTGCTTTCCATAGCATACACGACGCGCTGAGTGAGCTTGGGGTTCGATATGATGAAGACGGCTTCGGCCTGGGCCTCGACGACGAGTTGGTAAGTGACCGCGACCATGTCTGGCCGGCCCTCCGTGCGCGTGTCCCAGATCCACGCGTTAGGATCAGCCTTCTTGACCGCGCCGACGACGCCCTCGCCATAAGTGACGAGCGGGGCGGGTGTCGACCAGAAGATGCGGCGCGGGGTCACGTTGGCGTAGAACAGCGAGAGGCACGGCCCGATGCCGGACCCCGTAGCGACGACGACGATCTTCTTGAACAGGTTGGATGTGTAGAGGAGCCCGTGCATGGGTGCGCCGCGGACCCAGAGCTTCTCGGGCGGGTTGCGGATCATCTCGCTGGTCCAGTCGCCGGCGTTCGACACGACGACGGAGAAGCCCTTGGATGTCGTTCCGTCGTCGTCAGGGATGGTTGCGAAGGCGTGCCACTCGAGGAGGGGTTTCGTCGAGATCTTCAGGCCGTAGAACGGCTGCATGTCGCGGTACTTAAAATGCAAACGCGTGGCGTGGCTCGAGAGCACTTCAGGGTACACCTTGATGTGGCGCAGACGGCCCCAAGAGAGAAGCGAGCAGCTTGTCGAGACGCACAACGTCCAGAAGTTGGGTGTGTTGATGATGTAGCGTCCGAGCGACGGCGGTGATTCCATGTAGGCGCGGTACTGGTTGCCAGCAAAGAAGCTGTGCATCCAGAAGGTCATCAACGCAACCCAGCCAGAATAACGATGCACTGCCTCGAAGTGGTCGTGATACCGGCGCCGGAGAATCGGATGGGCCGCCGCCAGGATACAGACAAACATGGTGATCAGGATGTACGAGGTGATCACATTCGCCAATCCCCAGTTGGATGGCCGCGCCAGGTAGTCCTTGGTCGTCAGCCCCGTGTAGAGCGCGTACCACACGACAGCCGCAGTGCCCGAGCCGCTGTGGCCCCCGCCGTAGTGGAAAACCTTTGCGAGCCGGCTGCGGAGCCAGAGAGGGGCACTGTGAGGGCAAGCGACAGCGATCTCGTACAGAAGATTCACAAAGTTCTCTTGGCGGAAGAGCAGCGTGACCATGAGATTGACAGAGGCAGCGCTACCCACGTCGGGAGCAAGTGGCCGGCCATCCTTGCGGACCATGAAACCTATGAATGCCGCCATGTTCGCGATGAATATCGTGGCGAACGTCTTGCGGTAGTACGTAAACGCGGTATCTATCGGATAGATTGGTCAGTTATCAGATGAGATTAGAGGGCCGGAACCTACAATGAAGCCAGCGAGTGAGGCTGGAGGCTCCCTTCTTGGCTGGAAGATCAAGATCCTTTTTTTCGATCTTTCCTAGCTCGGCGACGACAACATCGGTGATACCGCCGTCCTTCAAGTCTTTGGAATCCTCGCTGGAGTGAACAGAGGGCGTGGAGATGGAGGAAGGGGCTGGCCGTTCAGCAGAGTCAATGAACTGCATGAGATTGAGCGAGACTGGCACAGAAGAAAGGGAGCACGACTCACAGTCGACATGCTTGCCTGTAAGAAAGACCGGGGGGGACTTCTCGACGGTTTATCAAGAGAGATAGCACCCCGCTTTTATCCCGTTTAGCCATCTGAGAACGAGCGCTCCCAGCCATATGGTCCTCCAGTGAGAATCAGAGGTTAAAAAACGGTCGAGATCCACAGAATCATTGATGACATCTGAACCGCAGAGGCGGTTTGACATTGACATGTGGCGAATACGAGGCATTTATGCAGGAGCGATACCCGTGATTCCTACAACAGCACGTCGTTTTGATGCATAATCATAATCGCAGTATAAGTCGCAAGAGTTCAAAGTTGCTAACTGAGCGGATGACTCCTCGAGCGGCAGAGTTGATTCTCTGGGAGAAAAGCACCAGCATCAGAGCAAGCCAAGTCGATAGTGCCCCATTACGAAGATCGGGATGGAAGCCAAGTCTTCAGATAAGACATCGCGGGCCAAGCAGAGTCGCGAGTGAAAAGAAGAATGGTGGTGACAAGCGCTTGATTATCATTTTCTTACGTTAGCGAGAGCACATTCTTGCAGCACACAGCCCCGACTACAGCCAGGACGCAAGAGGGACGAAGCGGGGGTAGACATGCGAGTCGCTGCTGAGCGCCAGAATGCAACACGGATTGAAGTTGACAGGGTGTGATGCCTCGATGAATGTGATACAGCATGGGAAGATTGAAGAGGACCTCCGCAGGCAGGCACGTCAGCAAAAACGCGTATTGCGTATTGCGGGCAGGCGGCAATGGGTGGAAAGAAGCCGAACAAAAGATGGAGTTCAGGTGGGAAAGGTCGCGACGAAGTGGGGTGACGCACAAGGAAGAGACCCAATCCACGCGTGGCTCTGCATATGGATGGCAGCTGCGAGGTCCAAGTCCATGGACCTGGTTCGAAGGAACGCCTCATACTTGTCACCGGAGCGTGGAAAGAGTGGTACCGATGTGAATTGGATAGGCAATACTTGCAAGCGAACGAGTGAGCGCGCGGGTCCGGGGATCCTGCGGTCCGAAAACGCTGAATGAACATGATCAACTGAGTACAGGAGCACAATGCTGGCCCGATGATCGGATCAGCTGACCGGCCCACGAAACCGCCAATCAGAACTATCTGGCCCGCCGTAACTGCTCTCTCATGGCACCTGTTCTTCGCTCTTCTCCAATCAGTCTACGCACCACGCGAAACTCGGCCAAATCACCTCTACCGACTCCTGAGAAAGCCTCAACGCCAAGCAAGCCCCGCGTCTGTAGCCAATGCAAACGTCCACGCAAAGGGCATCCACGCGAAGGCTGCCCTTTCGTTGACTCAGAATCGCCCGCCGGCGAATCCTTCTTTGACTCGCCCACACGTCTCGTCTCAGACGCGCTTCAGTCATTGAATCTCTCGCCCTCGGCGGTGGGATCCGAGGTAGAAGTCGAGACTCTGGTGACAAGGCGGCCTTTCACCAAGATGCCTGGGACGCTGCTTTCTCCTTCGTCCAGCTTCGTGTGCTCCCAGATCTCGCTCTTCAAGAACGAGATTGACGAGCCTGTGTTGTCGCAAGTCTCGGACATGGCTACGGTTGGGAGCGCCACTCCTCGCGCGATGACCCCTACAGACGACGCGGAAGAACTTCTTGCACCGTCATCTCCCACTTTGACGGAGTGCAATCTAACCTCGTCGTGCCCTCGGCCTTTGACGCGCACACTCACACACGCCGAGCACGACTCCTTCATCGCATCGCTCTCATCCCTCACGAAAGCAACCATCTATGTAATCTCCACCCCGGACGTCCCGGTCATCATTGCAGCGGCAACCTTCCACGGATTATGCACGCGCACCATGCCACTGGACCACGCCGACACTATCGTCGTGGTCGGGCGGACCGATTCGGCCGTCGACGTTCTGTTGAACCAGATCGAAACGAAGATGCACGCGCTCGTCCCCGTTCCGCAGGGAAGGTCCCTGGCGCTCAGTGCAGCCGCAAAGACGATGGTCATTGGCGCAGTGGGTGCCGTCGCCGCTTGGGGCGCGTTGGCGTTCACGTGACAGCCAGCGCACGTGTTTCTTTATCTCCTGTGTTTGCATTGTCTTGTGTAAGTGTATCGATAGGGTCCTAGATTGTAGCATTGGGTTTTTGAAGCTCGGAATCGTAGTAAGCACACCGGGGGATCACACATAACACGGCCCATAAAGAATAAGTTATATTCCATATATTGTGACCCCACAAAGAAGCTGACCTGATATGTCACATATCAGCGCAAAAACGACCTGATACCACAGATATCGGGTACCGGGTATGATCCGGGTGCCCGATATGTCACATATCAGATCACTTCATTTTTTATGCCCCAATATATAGAATATAATTGATTCTTTATGGGCCGTGATATTCGCAATCCCTCGGTGTGAAGCACTGCCTTCTGTCACGTAAATGAGGACTAAGTCGTACGAAGCTTATTTAAGCGCGACGAATCCTTCGCTCGCATAAACTTGAACGATTGTAAGTCTTGCAAATGCGAGAGTGTCGGGCTTGGTGGATCCCGGCTGAAGCTCGTGACTGTTCAGCGGGAAATCGCTTGCGATGTGCACGCGCAACTCGCTCTTGACTCATAGAATATGTGATCACGGGCGAGGCCGGATCGAGCCTGTTGAAGTTTTTCTAATTCAGTTCTCACGAAATGTTGCGGGATGTGGGTTTCGAGGAAATGATCCGCACCCATCAGAAGAAGCGTCTGCACAAGTCCACATGAAAAGAGGTGCCCTGATGACAGTCCTATTTGTGGGAGCACTTCCCTTGCGGACCCCTTTTGGTTCTTGAGCCTTCAGCTCTGGAGATCACTCAGATCCAACGTCTGATCATCTCGTTGTTTCTGTGAAATGCTCTCAGGTCTGCTCAAGGATTGTACGCTTCTCGTCGATTGGACCAATATTTGCATGATCCGAGTCATTGATATTAGCCGCTTATTTCTGTTTTAGCCTCCAGATAATCTGACCTACCTGAACGCGCTCTTTTTTTTTGTCTTCATGATTTTCTTGATCACCAGCCAGACTCGAATCGCTCGTTGTAACTTTGTAATTTGTCATTTGAGTCTGATAAGTCGGTTCTCCACAGCATACTGTATGATATCACCATGTGGGCCAAATCAGGAAATGGGCCATTTGCCCCCTACGCTCTAACAGTACTATATTTCGAGTTTTTCATATTTGTTCAAGGGACTAATACCCTCAGAGCGTCTGAGTACCAATTTTGAAGTTGACTGATCCATTGACTCGTTCGGGATTGCGGTCCGAATCTGTGTTCCCACCAATGTCGTGTGAATTCTTGTGTTCTGAGGCCCGAACACTTGTATTTGTTGGACCTGACGTCAACCATGGACACTTACAGAATCTATTCGAGCTATCCTTTGAATAAGAGCACATCTAGCCTCCCGAAAGACCATCACTCCTGCATAACAGCAGGAAACACATTAAAACAGTCATTGAGGATGGGAATGGCAGCTGGAGGAGTGGGCTCATATGTAAGAATGGCTCAAGGGGTCGCGCTAGGACTTGGTAGGACGATTGGGTGGGGTTCCATCGTTCATCTGCCAGGTGTGTATTCGTCACCCTATGCTCATTGCACTGAGGGCGAGGTGGCCCGGATGACAATACTTTCCTGATTTGGATCAACCTGACCATATGACCTCCAGAGCTCGGTACAAGCAGCAACCAGCTATTGTACAATCTAGAGGTCTTAGATAGGATCCTTGCCCATAGATTAGAATACATAGGCCACCCAATTTTATGTATCAGTATCGAGCACCAGGCCAAAAACGTTAAGGTGGCGCGGTACCCGATGTTATACAGTAGAATAATTCTAATCTAAGTGTTTTTTTTTCAGTTTCATTCAAACTCTGGGTCTTGACATTGACACGTAACCCATAACTTATCTAAAATTGCCTTGCTTGTCAAGGCTTCTCCAGACCCTAAATTCGTGCATCAATCAGATCCCATCACTGATGAAATCAATCAGATGACTCTGTTCCGGATTCCGATCCGATCAATTGTACCTTCGTGTCATGGTCTCATTCACTCTTCACTCTTATCTTTGTACTTATGCTCCCTGCTGTTGCTGGCATTATAGCGCGGCAAGGCAGTGTAATTTATAGTTCCATGCACGATGATGACTCTCTTTTGCAGTGTGCACCCACCTGTGGGCTGTTTTTGTTTCTGCTTGTGTCACTCTCTAACCGTGCTGCTTCACATGCCACCACTGCACACACGAGCACATGCACCGCATGATGTTGTCTTGCCTCATCTAGTCTCTGCCGGTGGTGCCTGATATGGACAAGAGCCTGAAAAAGAAGATTTTCACCCCAGGGACCTCCAATTATTACGTAAAATGGCTTCGAGGCCCCCTCCGGAGGCCATCAAACCACCCCCTACCCCCCCTGATCGGAGGCCATCCTGGAGGCGCCTTCCTAATTGGGACGCTGCCTGGCCATTTGTCCACCGCTTGCATGGTATGCTAGGGATCGGCCTGAGTGCTGATATATGCTGTAGTAGTCATTATAAAGCCTCAGACAATGTCTGACCTCTCAAAAGCATGTATTTCTTGCTTGCAAATGGCAGACCACTGGGTGCACACAATTTGGGATCTGAGTACGTGAGCACTCCTCAGGTGCATAGAGCAACAGTCTATGTATTAATTCGAGATTGAGCATGAGGTAGCTGTGCCCACACGCAAAAATGAGATGTTGCTGAAGGGATGGTTTATGGCCTCCACGACCTCCCAGGTGCAGAAAAAAAGGTGTTGGGTAGCCCACAGGCCCTTGAATTCCACTTCAATAGAACAATTTGATGCTTATGCTTTGTCAAAACAACAGCTCAGCGTATAAATTGGATGTTGGAGCAGTGACAGAACAAGCCTCCACCGCCTCCAGGGCTGGGGATCAAAAGCGGTTACTGTAGATTCAGCCACACAAACTGTGTTCATGACATTATTTATCTTCATTGAGATGCACAGGATCCTTTAGAGCGATAGCTCAACATGTGAATTGGATGCTAGAGCAGATTACAGAAAAGCTCTCCACAGCCTCCACAGCCGGGGACTAAAAGCAGTTTCTTTGGATTTAGCAGCAGAAACTATGTGTTCAATGTCAGGTGTCTTATTTGAATGCCAAGGGTCCTCTATGGAGACAGCTCAGCATATGAATCAGATGCTGGAGCAAATGGCAGAACTGGCCTCCACCGCCTCCACAGGTTATTACTTGAAGAGTTGGGATGAGATGACAATGTAACAGACAGATATTCTCCTCGCTGACCAAATTCTGTCATTTCCACCTCTAAATGCAAGTTGAATTGCTGCAGAATGTTAAAATGAGAGAACGGGGGACCCTGGAGGCGCTGGAGGCACATGCAAGATCCAATCATTATCATCAATATCATCAATGCCATCAATAGCATCAATAGCATCACCAATCATTGGTAGATTGATCAGCCAATCAGATGATGAATAAACATCGAACATCTAGTATATTCATTCCTGAGAGACACAGACTATCTGTATGCTCATACTGAAAGTGGATTAGTGGTCCCAGGACATGCCCCAATGACATATTACATCCTTGTCTCAAGAACATATCATTGAAATTCGGAGTTTGCAAATGAGCTGAAAGTACTCCACTGTACCACTCATCTTCAGTTGACTTTCAGTTCATTTGCAAACTCCGAATTTCAATGATATGTTCTTGAGACAAGGATGTAATATGTCATTGGGGCATGTCCTGGGACCACTAATCCACTTTCAGTATGAGCATACAGATAGTCTGTGTCTCTCAGGAATGAATATACTAGATGTTCGATGTTTATTCATCATCTGATTGGCTGATCAATCTACCAATGATTGGTGATGCTATTGATGCTATTGATGGCATTGATGATATTGATGATAATGATTGGATCTTGCATGTGCCTCCAGCGCCTCCAGGGTCCCCCGTTCTCTCATTTTAACATTCTGCAGCAATTCAACTTGCATTTAGAGGTGGAAATGACAGAATTTGGTCAGCGAGGAGAATATCTGTCTGTTACATTGTCATCTCATCCCAACTCTTCAAGTAATAACCTGTGGAGGCGGTGGAGGCCAGTTCTGCCATTTGCTCCAGCATCTGATTCATATGCTGAGCTGTCTCCATAGAGGACCCTTGGCATTCAAATAAGACACCTGACATTGAACACATAGTTTCTGCTGCTAAATCCAAAGAAACTGCTTTTAGTCCCCGGCTGTGGAGGCTGTGGAGAGCTTTTCTGTAATCTGCTCTAGCATCCAATTCACATGTTGAGCTATCGCTCTAAAGGATCCTGTGCATCTCAATGAAGATAAATAATGTCATGAACACAGTTTGTGTGGCTGAATCTACAGTAACCGCTTTTGATCCCCAGCCCTGGAGGCGGTGGAGGCTTGTTCTGTCACTGCTCCAACATCCAATTTATACGCTGAGCTGTTGTTTTGACAAAGCATAAGCATCAAATTGTTCTATTGAAGTGGAATTCAAGGGCCTGTGGGCTACCCAACACCTTTTTTTCTGCACCTGGGAGGTCGTGGAGGCCATAAACCATCCCTTCAGCAACATCTCATTTTTGCGTGTGGGCACAGCTACCTCATGCTCAATCTCGAATTAATACATAGACTGTTGCTCTATGCACCTGAGGAGTGCTCACGTACTCAGATCCCAAATTGTGTGCACCCAGTGGTCTGCCATTTGCAAGCAAGAAATACATGCTTTTGAGAGGTCAGACATTGTCTGAGGCTTTATAATGACTACTACAGCATATATCAGCACTCAGGCCGATCCCTAGCATACCATGCAAGCGGTGGACAAATGGCCAGGCAGCGTCCCAATTAGGAAGGCGCCTCCAGGATGGCCTCCGATCAGGGGGGGTAGGGGGTGGTTTGATGGCCTCCGGAGGGGGCCTCGAAGCCATTTTACGTAATAATTGGAGGTCCCTGGGGTGGAAGACGAGAGCGTCTGGTGCTTAGTTACGACTGCGCTGGTATTTTACTTGTTTTATGGTGTATAAATTCGATTGTATGGATTTAATCTGCAAGCAAGGCATGATGTCGGCGGAGCCGACGCTTTCTAGTCCGAGATAGTTCTTGTTTTGGATGCCGAACGTTCAGTAGCACTGATGCCATCAACTTAGTCAGTCGCATAGCAGTTACTTGGTTAGCCAGTGGTTAGCTCAGGAAGGTTTCGACCAATAGCAACCTTCGGGCAGCTGTCCGTTAGTGACGCCCGTCGAGATTTCTGGCGTTATGAAAGGCTTCCCTGGCGGACTCTTCACTCATTCGCTCAAGCTCAGGGAGCCTTGGGGAATTTCGAAAGCTCAGTCAAAGAAGCGCAGGGACATAGGCGATGTCTTGGAGCAAGCGGCGCTGTGTTGCGCGGCGGACAGCACCCGATAAGTTACACCTTGATTTATCTCCTATTCTGACAGGCACGCTCGACCCTCCACGTCAGTCCAGCAGGTCTCGGCTTCCCCATCGAGTGAACCGGGAAACATGAGGCGTGTCACCCAGTCAGACGTTGGCAGCGCACGACATTATCTACTGTCGCATCCGTATCGATTTCCGAGTCGTTTTGCCTCGAGGCGTACTTGGCTCGACGAGTAGGCTACCGGTCCTGCGGAGACGGATGCGGCTGAGATACCCATGGGCTGTGGACTGAGAGTGTGATTGATTGAAGACTTGACGCGTAATGGTCAGATTCGGACCCGGTTCGCCACTCCCTCGCGGGCGCGTCGAGCCGAACCATTGGTGTGGCAAGCGAGCCCTGGCGCGAGGCTTGTCGAAACAATCTGTCTCGGACGACGTCGACGATCAAGCTTCAAATCGGACTCGTGTTGGCAGTTCGAGACACCGACTCTTCTAGTCACGTCTGTGTCGCCCTGCGATGGTCGTTGTAATGAAATGTCGGTGCAATCTCATGGAATGTGAGCGTCATTGGCAGAGAGCTGAGAAGGGGACGTCCAGACAGGTCCAGGTCCACTATGTCCGAAATCGGATTGGCGTGCGCCACCTTTCGCCCACGGGAAGCTGCATTTCCCAGAACGTTGTGGCACTCGGCGCGCTTGCCGCTTGCCGCTTCGCTCGAATGTTGACATGAGCTTCATTTATCTTGCTTTTCTTCGCTCCACCCTCGGATTCCCTCCTCCCTCTCGTCTATGGCTACGAGCGTTCATGCGGAGGCGCCGCTGTCGGCTCTGTTCGTCGGTGTAATGCTCACGACCATGTCTGTGCATCTCCTCAATACAATCGGCCAGGATCCTGACGCTTTACAGATTCTACGGGGTGACGCTCTATCAAGCATCGACATACTATCGAACTTACACTAACGACCCACGACACATGAAGTTCATCGTATGTCTCGTCGTTGCGACCAGATATCTCACCGATCTTTTCAAGGTCGCATTACTCTTGTACGCGAAGATCCGTTGCCCTTGCGTCATTCTCAGGCTCAGGCACGCGTAGACTGTTAGATACCACCCAGGTCTCGCTCGCGTTCGCCTCTTTGTATGGATACGCGATCAGCTTTCACGAAGACTCTGCGATGCTCGGAGACGTGTCCAGGTGCGTTCCGCCGCGCTACGTCTTTTGATCATCGTCCCATCCGCATATCTAGCCCTTTCATCGTGAGCGGCGCGTAACTCTTCCCGCGAATGCGCTGATCTTCTTGAGGCGTCTATGGTTGTCACGGTGTGTCTCTGTGCCTGGTTCAGCAATCAAGTCTTTACCTAATTCTTCCTGCAGTCTGCCATCGCGTTTCTAGTCCAGTTGTCAGTCTATCCACGCTGCATTGGCGCATTCTGACGAGCTCCACAGAATATATGCGTATCGTATATGGCGGCGTACGTCTACGGATTACCCCTCGTCCATTCATACTCTCAATCCTCGATTCCCAGTGAGCGCCGGTAATGCCTATCTAACAACTCTAGTGGTGCGTCGCCGCCGTCTTGCCTCAGACAGGGATGCCAACAAGACACAGCTTGCTCTTTCGTTCGTGTCTCTGGGTGCGTATCTTTTTCACTTCTACTGATTCGTGCTTCGTTGACCGCCCTGATGATAGGAAGCTCGATGGGTGTGTGCTTCATTTGTGGCGATGCCAGCTGAATGGAATGCGTTCCTAATAGCTATGACCGCGAGAACGTACGTACTCTTCCATTGCTTCTGTCGCACAGGGATGTTCATCATCTACACCCCAGAATCTGCAATCCGCGATGGGATGCGACGCGGGTCAATGATGTACGCATCTGTCGGCGGTATAGCGTGTGCTCCGGTGTCTTACTACGATTTCTTCGGGGCAGCTTCCTGCCGGGATGATCCTCGCCTCCATTCTGAGCTGCGATATCCTCATCGCCGCTTCGCAGGTATGGCTGTTCCACCGCCATCGGATGAAGCGCGGCAGGCTTCTCGCATTCTTCACTCTCCGTCGACGATCGGTCTCGGTGTCGTTAATAGACGGGCAGGCGCGGGGGAGTACGTCAACGGAGATCCCACGCCCGTCGGTGACTTCCTCGCCGCTCGATGGGCGTCCTAGTAATGAGTCAATTCCGACTAAGACGGGTGGGATCGGGGCTGAGGCCGGGACTGAGGATGATGTGTGCCAGTGCGTCGCGCGAATCTGGACGAGCTTCTCTCCGCTAAGCACTGACGAGATAGATTGGGTGCCCTTCTTACGACATTAACGACCTTGGTGATCAACGTAGGGCTTTTGACTAGGTCTGTGCTCTCCCTTCTCGACGATGAACCATCCTGGATTGACGAATGCACCAGCGTGGATGCTACCTTTTTCTTTGTGCTGGTGCGCCCTGATTACCCGCTTCGTCCCTCAGCCTCATTCCTCAAATCGCAGTATTTGATGTGCCCTCAAAGTGGTGCATTCCTCGTTCCTTACATCCTGCTCAGCAACTGTGAGCCTGTCTCCCGGAGTATGCCGTTTGGCTCGCAGCTGACCTGTTGTGGTGCAGGTTACGTGAACTCGTTCCTGAGCATGTAAGAAGCTTTGAATTCTGCGAAGAGGGTCCGATCTCAGCTGCCCCACACAGATTGAACTCTAGACGCATTCTTCGCGATCTCGCTGAGAACCCGGACCTTCCCGAGTCGTTTGTACTCGATGTCTGATGAATGTATGTGGACACATACTAGGTACATGCATGTACTTTAAATTTGTACTTACACCGGGCCTGCTATTATTAAAGGACTGATGGCACTTGCCTGATTACGAGACGCCACTTTGTTGATATCAGATACGATAAGATGCCACCAGCGATCATGTGGCATGCCATCGTCTTCTTCTGTTTCCCAATCGTCCATCCCTTCCGTAGACGCCATACCTTGACCGAGGGGCAAAGAAGAGCGAAAATCAAGGAGCCGGGGTTCCGAAGGTGACGCCGGCCCCGCCTCTGAAGCCAGCGCGGTGTTTCCATGTCAACTCGAAGTCCTTGTGCATATGATAAGTAGCGCGTGCAGGGTCCATATGGACCTCATCCCTCGCATCAAGCCCTATCGCGTGCGCCGATTTCTATATTTATCCACGCCGGCGCAGACTCATATGTAGCGTGCACACTCGAAGCTTCTCTGGTCGCGAATTCCTTCCACGAATGGCCGCAGTCTCCGTCCTCCTCTCCCTGGTGGCCCTCGCCTCGGCCAACATCCACGTCGCACCGTACCCCGGCTCGGGTGCCCTGGCGCGCCGGACCTCGGCTAGCGCTATCCCGGTCGCACAGTACAGCGCGCCGTTCAGCGGGAAGACGAAGCGGAGCGACGCGAAGCGCGCATCGCTCACGGCAGCACGGGGTGGCAACAAGGCCAAGACGGCGCACTTGGATGGCTCTGACTTCGACGAGGAGTACCTTACGGACGTCACGATCGGTGGGCAGACGTTTCCCTTGATCGTAGATTCTGGGAGGTGCGCCGCGCGAATCGCACTGCGAACCGTTTGGGTTTCCCTGACCGACCTTTGCCAGCTCCGATACATGGGTCGTCCAGAAGAACTTCAGCTGCCACGATTTGCAGGGTAACCCGGTCTCCGAGGCCACTTGCAGCTTTGGATCGGCTGGCTTTGATGTCTCCGCATCCAAGACGTTCAAGCCGTTCCCTGGTGTGAGTTTCAACATCACGTATGGGGATGGTGAGTTTTTGTCGGGCCCGGTCGGATATGATACCGTGGAGGTGGCTGGCATGAAGGTCAAGAAACAAGAGATCGGGGTGCCCAATTTCGCTGCCTGGAACGGTGACGGTGTCAACTCGGGATTGATGGTATGTTCCTTCATCTTGGTCGCGTCTTATTCGCGTTAACAGCTACTCAGGGCTTCGCATTCCCTCTGCTGACCAGTGTATACAACACGACAGACCCGACCAAAGCGTCCAGAAAGAATCAGCTGCCCTACGATCCGTTCTTCGTCACCGCTTACAAGGAGAAGAAGGTGCACAAGCCCTGTGAGTGGGATGATTGGATCCTTCACCCACCACTCAATAAGTACACAGACTTTGCGATGGCTTTGAACCGTGGAACGTTCGATCAGCAACTCAACGACACGTTTGACGCCAACCTCGGATACCTCGCCTTCGGCGGGCTCCCAGCCAAAGTCCCTGTCGAGGATACGGCTGTCACGATCCCGATCCAGGGTATCTCGACCACCACCGGCGAGCCCTCGTCCGGCTCGAACGCCGCATACCTGTGGTACACGGTCGATGTCGAATCGTATACGTTCCCCGGATCGGCGGGCCTGGACACCGCGAGCAACTCAACGATCATCGACTCGGGCACGACGCTGAACTACGTCCCCACCGCAGTCGCAAACGCTTACGCGAATGCATTCAACCCTCCGGCCCAATTCAGCGACGCGGTCGGTGGATACGTCGTGGACTGCAACACCACGGTCCCCGAGTTCCATGTCACGCTCGCCGGCGTGACGTTCCCGATTGACGGGCGGGACCAACTGCTGCCGCTGACGGAGACGTCCTGCTTGCTTGGGACGCAGGACGGCGGTGCGCCCGGCAACGGCAACATCTTCATTCTCGGGGACACGTTCATGCACAACGTTGTCACTGCGTTTGACCCGATCAATGCTGAAGTGACCCTCGTCCAACGTAAGACTTATTAGCTTGTATTGCTGACAACTGTTTCCAAAATGAACAAAATATATCTACTTTCGAGCTCGAAAAGGGACTTCCTTCTGAGGGTGCTGGACTCCCACACTCTCTGCCTTACTTAAGCCTATCAGCCAGCAGTCCTGCAGCAGGTTTCCTCTTCTGTGTTTTGGCTACCTCCCAACCTCACCCTAGATCTAGTAAAAGCACTGTACTCTTCAGTAAGTCGCATAGAAGCCTGTCTATGTCATCTCTTACTCTTACAGCAGTGATGTTAGACCGCATTACCACAGCATATCGAGCCCTCCTACGCTTCCTCCCGCCGGAAATCGTTCTCATCATCGTCGATCTCAGCGATCTGTCCCTCGTACAAGACGTGCGAGCAGAACCAGTGGTGGTTGAAGCATTGATCCCGCCGCGATACGACGAACACCAAGTCTATCTCGTGTCGAAACCCATTCTGCGCGGATGCAGGCCGGCGGATGAGGTCATAGCTGAGGGTGGGATTCCGCTGCGAATCGAAAGCGTCGAGTTTGTGACCAAGAGCCGGGACCAGGGATGGTGTGATGATGCTAGTCTGCGAGGTCTGTACTGTCATGCAAGTGCTCCGAGAGCAGTCCCTCACGGCCTCATGCCCCATCACAGGTACATACCGTGGCTTTAGCTGGTTCGAAGCGGCCATCCTGCGCCTTCCAGATGACCGCCGACGAGTATCTTACAAGAATTACGAACCTGACCTTGAGGTCCCAGTAACCGACCATCACTACGCGACACGTTGGCTGTTGCAAAAGAACTTTTCCGCCTCTAGTGACATTCGAGAGCACTCAGTTATTTGGAGCTCAAAAGAATTGCCCGTGGGATCCCCGCAGCTCGACACAGGTGCCGGTAACGGTGAAGGTTTCGTACAGAAACTGAGGCATGGCGACTGCATTGTTGTGTATGCACGAGCACAGGCAATGCCTCTTTCAACTGTTCACAATCATCTCTGACGGTTACCTCCAAATAGCAACTTCGCTGGGCCAACCATGTCAAGAACGTGAAGATCGCAGTCAAATATGCCGTGGCATGAGGCCACGCAAGTCGTAGTGCATTGTGGGCGGAAGGACGGCGCTTTGCCACAGAGGGCTAGGCAGCAGCCAGGACCACCATCTGCCTCTCGCGACTGATATAAGCTCTTGTATACCGATGTGGAGCACGGGAATGTTATTCAGTCTTTGTCGGTAATTATAGTGGAAAGCTGGGTACAGAATTAGGACTCCGGGCAGGACAAAGATGACCATGACGCCGAGGCAGAACGTGCCGAGCCAGGCCAGAATCATTTGCAGGTGGCCGGGGAATCGTCTGCTGCCTTTCCGACCAAGATTGTCGTGCGCCGCATCTTTCGGTGGCAATCACAAGACCCTTGGCTTCACTGAGTCTACAGATCGAGCCACTGCGATAAATTGGATCTTTGTGTGCAGATATGAGATCAAGAACACGACCCACGAAAACCAAGTATCACCGTATCTCTTGGACGACGATAGGAAGTTTCCTGTAGGAGCCGCCTAGTCCATCGAGATAGTGTGGGCATCGGACAATCGAAAATCCGCGGGAACGGAATCCACAATCTTGAAAGCAGTGATATTGCCGGGAACGAGCTGGGAGAGATCGATCACGGGCCAGACACTAGAGCGCTTGGCTTTGGCTCTCGGCGTAACAGAGTCGATGAGCACTCTAGCCGCATTTCCTGAGCCGTGTTGCTCATAGAGCCCGATGGACGAGTTGATGATCAGGAGGGCGATGCCGAAAAGTCCTACCCGTCGTGTGGGCGTACCCCATCGTTCGACAGCGTAATCGCGACGAAAGTGACGGCTTCCACGATCCAGGACAGAGAATTCCACAAGAAGGACGAGAGCTGTTGTGAGAGTTCGTGATGAAGCCCGATGGCCAGGGCGAACTACAGAACCGCAAGCTTGGATGCTTGTCACCTTGCTCGATCGGCTTCGGCATAAACATCTGGAAGTGGCGCTCGACGTCCGGTTCAAAGAGACAGATCTGGTCCAGGTTGAATTTAACGGCCAAACGCCGTTCTTCATGTCGAGCGTCTCGAGGTCGACTTTCTCCTGGTTGTACAGAGTTTGCGCATTGAGCTCAACGACACCCAGATCAAGAACGTGCATGCTGGTCGACGATTTGTTTGTCGGTGAGTATAGAATGACACGAATAGCCTCCGTATACTCCGGTATTGTGAGGGAAGAATCCGACGAGAGGAAAAGACGGCGAGCGGACTGTTTTTATGGGCTGTCCTTGGGCCATATTTGCTGAGATGCAAACAGACATGAATATGGAGGCATGGGCTGTTGAAGGAGTACCAACGGGTCATTCCATCCCGTCTACGGCGAAGTGAACGTGTCCCGCGACATGAGCAGTCAGGACCTCGCCCTGCGCTCGAGTTGTGTTTCAATTGCGAGATTCAGCAAATCGCCTGTGAAGCACTGAGAGATGCGTCGAGAAATTTCCTTGAAGGTGGAAGCTCCCACATACACGGACGCAGTTGCTGAGGAAAACGACCACTCGCAGTCTCGAACCAGCCTACAGGCAAGGAACATTCAAGGCCGCTGCGTCTCAAGAGAGAAAGTTCTCGGACAACTTGGCACGTTCTTGGCAATTTTGGGAGCCGGCGAAGACTTTCGACAAAAAAACCCACAGTCGGAGAGTCTTTCTAGGCAACCAGCTATGCAAAACCATGAGGTAGGAGACGGGCGAGTGAGTAGGTGCGACACGTGACCCTTTGTCTGCTCGTGATTAGGGTCGTTCACAGTGCCCGATTTCGAGGTGATTTCGCCTCGATTTCGAGCTGATTTCGACTTCGATTTCGTTTCGATTTCAGTTGCCAGGGACCCTATGTCACAGTAGTGTAACACCGCTAATGGACATGCCGATCACGGCCGGACTGATGATTTGATCTACACTTGTCTCTCGCACTGTTCGCTCCAGCTTCAAGTCGCGCGATGGCTTTGACCAGAAATGCCTGGTGAAGGGCCTCTGCGGCATGTGTGCGATCCGACTTCGTTGGCATTGCCAATGGAGCAGAAAAAGGCAGGAAAGGCGAAAGATGTGTTTTCAATCATTACAGCTATCTATCGAGATTATCTGGATCCATCATGATTTGATGGACTACTGATGTATTGACGAAATCGTTGATCGGCTTCGCTAGGCCGTGTCACGCTAGCAACTGAAATCGAAACGAAATCGAAGTCGAAATCAGCTCGAAATCGAGGCGAAATCAGGTCGAAATCGGGCACTGTGAACGACCCTATTGGACATCGCCCGACGAGCAACAGCTGCTTCTGTCACTGTATCCGTCGCTATTGGTTTTACCTGCGTCTCATGGTGTCTATCGATCCAAAGATTTGTCTACCGCGTATCTTCGTCGCAAACTTGGTCGCAATGCGTGTCTCCGCTCTCTGCTATCACCTACGGCCTTCCAGCTGTCGAATCGGATGTCTGAATCCGTCTCATGCTTGCGCGGAAGGACACCAGCTTTCCGCACTGAATCAGGAGACTTCCGCGCGGTGTATAAAATGGGGACTGTTCCATTGAGACAGGCGTGAATACAACTCAACTTGAACCACTACAAGCACTACAACAACAACAACAAGAAATGTTCTCAAACTCTGCAACTCTGGCATCGCTGTTCCCTGGCCGCCCAGCTGCAACAAGAAGCTTTCCCGGGACGGTCCCCACGTTTGCCCTCGGCCTGGCTCACTGCCGACGACGCTCCGGCTCCTCTTGCGGTCTCGTCGGCCGGATCTGTCGCCCCCTTATACGCGTGAGTCGCTCGCTGCATTGGTGGACAGTGTACTCAAATGCTCCCTCAGGCCATCTATCATGTAGACAATCATGAGGAGTGTATACGGGTGATGATGCTCAAGTCGCCCACGGTTTGGGTATGTCTCAGATGTCTTGCTTCCGATGTCCACTCACCGATTGATGTGTGTAGATGCGCTCGGATGTTCTTCTTCCCAAGACCTTCGACATGTCTCTGGTCTGTCTCTGGCCCGTCTCCTTGGTCGTTCAGGCTGCCGTCGTCGGTCCCATCGTCCGCGCCAACCATCCCCTGGTGCCCTGGTCTTCATCCCAGGCATGTCCTCTGGCCCCCCACTTACCTTTGCCCGCTGACACACATCGATGTAGGTGTCCTCTGTCTCGAACGGGGTCAGCTCTTCAACACGCTGGCTCACAGTCATTACCCTATGGTGCTTCATGCCCGGTCGGTTCTCTATGGCCGCCGTGTTCATCTTCGACGGCACCCGGATGATCGCTTTTCTCGTACAAGTCACCGTCTTAGATTCAACGCCGATCCTGCTCAAGAACTCGGTCTCGATGCTTCCCTCGCCCGGCGCTCTCCTCACGCTTTCGTACAAGCCCAGCACCGGCGAAGATATGGAAGACTCACTGGTCAAGATGACTGTTCCGGCTCCTGTCTGCAACGTCTCGGTATGCTTTCCACCACCGTGCGGATTGGGAGGCGGCTGACAATGTCTCACTGCAGCTCGCGCCACAGGAAGCTCACTCTCCAGCGCCCGCAGTCTCAACCCCAGCACAACAGAATCCGATTGTCGCCTTTGAAGAAGAGCAAGGGTACTTTGAGGCGTTCACGGCCGCACCAAAGTCGGAGCCCGCAAGATCCCGGGGCCAGGGCAAACCAAGGACGACGACGACAACGACTTCGACGACAAGGGGAAGCAAGTCATCGACGCGGCGACCCCGCGATCCCATGGCGGTGTTGATCTCGGAAGCACTGGCGAAAGAGAAGACGAAGAAGACGAGATCGGTCAACAAGACATCGACGAAGACGAGTGCGACGAAGGCAAACCCGCCACAGCAGCGACGCAAACGCGCACCTTCCGACCTGCCTACCGTTCCAGTTGACACGCTCCCTCTGTCGACTGTTCAAGATGATCTTTCGTCACCGACGGCTGTCCCTGAAGGCAAGGCAGATTCGCTTCCTGGACGGGATGTTCCTCTGATCTTTCATCCAGCCTTGCCACTCTACAACGCAAACATACTTTCGGTGCCAGTTCTAGAGACGCCGGATGTTCCTGTTCCCGTATTGGGCGCTTTGGAGGATGGATCAGGGCAAGCTGCCGAGACTGACGAGAGGGAGGTTCCCAACTTGCAGCCGGTATGTTCTTTTCTTGATTCATGATCCGGTCTGCTCACGTCTGCGCGACAGCCGCGTGCAAATCTGGTGTTCATCTTCGACGAGGAGCGCGAGCTGTTTGCGGCGTTTACGTCTGCACCGAGGTCCGAGCCAGCAAAACCTCGGGGCCAGTTTACATCTACAAGAAGCATTGCGACTAGGGCCGCTCCGCCACGTTCAAGCTCGACACGAAGACCGCGGGATCCAATGGCTGTGATGATAGAGGAGGGATTGAGAAAGACGAAGAAGACCAAGCCGGCCAAGGCATCGACCACGACAACCTCGACCACGGCAACCTCGACACGGCAACGGCGACCGCCACCTGTCGTCACGGCTGTCGAAAACGAATTTGCATCGCCGCCAATTGCGATTCTAGAAACCAAGCCCGAATCACTGGGCCATCTCGCCATCGACCTGCCCCCGCCTGTGGTCGAAGCCCAACTGCAAGACACGCCCAGCATCGAAAGCGCGTCATTGCAGCCATTTTTGCCTGCTCTTCACGAGGCGGATCTGGATCCCGAGGAGGATGGATTGGGAGCGGTAACGGACGACTCCGTGGTTGAGGTGGATTTGGTGGCGGAGATGCTGGTTTTGGGAATGGAAGAGGTGTGTTTCTTCATCGATGCGCGTTTCGATTTGGTTTTCTCATCTTCTGGTGCTAGTCGGTTAATGAGGATAGGAGTGGAGAGGGTTTGAACGGGGAGGATGGATGTGGAATTGATGTCTTTCCTGGGAGCATGGAGGTGGGTCCTTGCACCGGTCTTGGTCGATTGCAGACTGATCAGCTCTATAGTGCGCTATAGTCCCTCCTGGCTTCGATATTTCTCTCGGCGATACCACAACTGCTTCAACACATAATACGTCACCTCGGGCCTCCTCGCACGCACAGCACACGGCACGCAGTTCCACGCAAGTCGCGCTGTCAGGGCATCGAGATGACGCTTTTGGTCCTGGTTTTGCTTCTCATAATGTACGTCTTTTCCGTGCAGCTCTATCACGCACTGCTGACTTGTTGTTTGCCTGCAGTCTTTCGTAATTTCTTCGACACCGCTGCCCTTGCAGTCGGCCACTACCTTCGATAATGACAAGAACGAGTTTAATGTTTTGGGAGATGAGGTGAGTCTTGAAACTCGACTGGTGGTATGCGTGTTGCTGACGAGAAACCCAAACAGTCGTTGTATAAATATAATGCGGAGGAGGTTATCTATAGGTTTCTTATGTTTCCCACAAAGGTGAGCCTGCATTAGGCGCCTCCTCTTATCCCTGATCTGACTTTTTGCACCCCAGCGGCGGACACCCCCCATCCTGCTGCCTCTCCTATTAATCTTGGCCGCCTGGTTGTTCGGTCCGATGGTCCATTCATTGCATGACTCGGTGCACGCCACTCCGAACCCGACAGCCTTCGGCGCTCCCAGCACCCGACAAGCGTTTCCGGACGCGTCCATTCTTTTACCCGCTGCGACCGCTTTGGACTTGCCTCTGCCGCCATCTTTCGTTCTGGACAAGGCCTGCGGCATCTCAATCCCGGTTCTCGCACGTCCGCAGCACCCATCTGCATTCTAGGCCGGTTGTAGCTGCTCTCTGCTCCTAGCCTCTTTTATTTTCGGTCTTGGCAACTCGCTCTCGGACACCCGCGCAACTCTCCATCGCTGATCACGATTGGGTGAGTGACATCTGTACTTCCCGCGATGGTGGGCTGACAAGATCTCTAGGAACCTCACCCACTTTTGGCTCCGGCCATGTCCGCTCTTTTACTGTAATTGTGTCGGAACTACACCTGGAGGTACGCCTCTTTCCGTTGATCTTTCTCTGGGCGTGGCTGACCTGGACGTTGTGCAGGAGTCGACCTCCGGTGTTGTATCATATCTGTATTTGTATGGGCGGTGTATTTTTACGGTGCGTTTCATCTATCTCGCTTCGTTCTAGTCCTGACTGGACTTTCTCAACAGGTGTATTTGTACTCTCGGCCGACCGATCTGGCCTGTATCACATTTGTATTTCTATGGGCGGTTGGTCTTTCCTCGCTAGCTTTTCCGTGCTCAGCGGCTGACGGAAGCTGCAGAGTTGCAGGCGCTTAACGACGGTTGGGCGTGCGTGCACTTGCTGGATTTTGGTGGGGACGGCGGGAATGCGGATGAGTCTTTGGGAACGGGGAACGGAAGGCGAGAACGCGGATGAGTTTTGGAATGGATTGGAGGAAGGCGAGAATGTGGATGAGTCTATGGGAACGGGGGACAGAAGGAAGGCGGGAATGCGGATGAGTCTTTGGAAGGGTCGATGATGCTGGCGAGAATATGGATGAGTCTTTGGGATGGATTGGAGAAGGGCGGGAATGCGGATGCGTCTTTTCGGGAGGGGATGAATCGTCGCGGATACCATTGGTGGGAGCATCTTCGACAGGAATGGTGCAGCCGGAATACGTCCTCGGCAGGAATGACGTCGGCGAGAATGCAGATGGGTCTTGGATGGGGGATTGGCGCGAATGTGGATGAGTCTTTCGAAGGGGAAGGGAACGGTCTGGATGCGCCTTCGATAGGAATGGCGTTGACGAGGGTGTGAATGCGTAGGCGATGGATGGAACGGAGAAGGGCAACGATGGGAGCGCATCTTCACTAGGAAGGATGCTGGAGAGATTGGGGATCAGTCATGGGATACCCGGTTGGGGGGGACAGGTAAGAGACCAACTTTATTGGCATGTTATTTCACTTCACTTACCATATCACAGCCTCAAAACCGCCATCGAACGTCGCCAATGGAGAACAGCTCTTTGGCACGAATTTTGAACGTCGATACATGGTCCAGGAAAGGTCAGTCATCTTGTCTTTAGATTGGATGGTCGACTCATCTGTCTGCAGCCTGTGCAACCTATATCGTAGACTGTGACTCGAGATAAGAGCAGTCAGACAGGCCGTTGTCACCAACAAACGGTGTGTTGTTTCCGTGTCTACATCGCTGAATTGTTAGCTGACAGAAGACGGCAGCGCTCGCCACCCCATTCGCACTGACGCCGAACACGACATAATACCCACGCTTCAACACGTCTAACGGTGTCTGCGGCTCAGACGGCGGTGTAATGAGACAACGGAGCGGGAGTTTGTAGCGGCAGGAAATTCAACTTGCCCTTGCAGATGTTACCGCTCGTGTATTAGTACTACAGAGATCATGGACTCTTTGCCCCGAACCAAAGCACCGCAAATCAAATATAAAGGACAGAGCAACAAAGCAGAACGACCCAAAAGCAGCATCGGCGCAGCATCAGGCAGTGAACACCCGTAATCGTCCCTCCTCGGACGATTTCGGCCGAATGAAACTGATGTAACGACGACCAAGTTCAGGCCGATATGTTTGAGTCCGATCAGGCCCCAAAAGAATCCAATGTCTCTCTCTGATGGTTTTCGAAGTTCGAAGTCTGGACTGTCTTGAATCCCGCTGCTAGCCGAGCGCTCCAGGCCGTCATAGCCCTCGGCTAAGTTCGGGTAGGCAGAACTAGCTAGAAGCTCATGAAGCTCGGTTATCACATCTGCGGCTACTCAACGCATTCCGCCAGCATGCAGAATCAGTTGCAGACCAGCCCTGAGTAGCCTTAAGTGACCACATCTGGGTGTCGCATGACCGCAGATCGCGTCAAGTTATCATATATCTCCGGCCAATGAAATAGATATCATTCCACAATCGAGCAAGGCCGGAGACGAAATGACTGCTTCTCCCTCAGCTTTGGAGATCATGAGCGCTTGGGAAAGCTCGAGCGCTCCGGGTATAGCGTGCAAGGCTCGCTAAAACATAGTGCAGAGGGGTCAATCTTCGGCCTGAATGAGAACCCCGCCGTCGGAAGCGCACATGATTGAAACGGCTCGCGAAAGAGGCATGTCCCCAGATCCGGCCCAAGTGAGAAAATCACTACATATTAGATTGGACGCAGGAAATACTTTAATCCGTCCGGAAAATCCGTAGAGTAAACCGGACTACCGGACCCAAATGCTGCAGGAAAACCCTCTGGAGTCTCCCTCGTTACACGGGTGCTCGGAGACTCATAACTTGGAATTTCGAGGAATGCACCACGGATCGAGACACCACTGTATATTGGCTTTCATAGAATCAATACTGAGTAGAATGATTGCTGAGTGTCATCGTAGCTCAAGATAATTTCAACCTGTCAACCAGCCAATTGCGCGCAAGTACACGAGGCTCCCCGAGGGACTCTCGTAGTTTTTCAAGCAATAGGATGGTAGCAATTTCTGAAGACGGTCAGATATAATGTCGCAGAAGGTATGTTTAGGCTTTACTTCGATGGCACGAGAATAAAAGCCACGCACATCTAATCTGCTAATCATTTGACTAGACAGATTCCAAAGCAGAAGAAACAGTGTAGTGCAAAGAATTGAGAGGAATATCAACTCGCCGCATTGAGGGATGATGTCTCTTGGCAAGACAGTTTTTGCGACGTTGGAATATAACCTCGCACAATCGACATTGCCGATGATGGTTCATTATTATTTCCGGACTGTGATGATTCCAGCACTCGGTCAGATTGTCGTCAACTGGAGTCCCTGGAGCCTTGTAGACGAACGGGTGAGGTATCTCTGATCCCAGAAATCACGCAATATTCCTATCAGTCTTCGGAGTGGGAGGGGCAGAGGGATTCTCGGTACGGAGAGCCACAAGACGTAAATGTGATTTGAAAATGAAATCGTTTACACCACTACTCTTGTTATATCCAGGGCTGCCTTACTATGAAGTGCCATAATCACATACGGGAACACCGTGCCGGAACACTATAAATAACACTCCACAACTAACGTTGGGGAGAAGATCAAACTTCGACCTCGAATGACGTGGAAAAGTTGGGTATGTGACATGTCCATCCGATGCCCGGACGTGTCCGTCGCCAGCGGGCCCGTCTTATGAGTGGTGGTCAATCCCTGGACATGGCCTTGCATACGTCATGGCACACCATATGCATCAGTCTTCTTGCGTGCGAAGTTGTCTTTTGTCTGCCGCATTTGGACCGTTTCTGCGCAGTTTACATCTTGCTGGAAGGGTATTGCCAGGTCCGGACGTTTGGTTCGGATGACGGAAGGCCTAGGGCGGAGAGATTATAAAGAGCGGGACTGAGAGCCACCGTCAACACAAAACACATTAGAATGCCTGCCTTCACCACTTCCAACAATACCGTCGACCGCTCTCTTATCCTCCCCCAGGTCGTCGACCTCCACCTGGAAAACCCCAGAAACAACATCGCCTACTCGTTCGCCAAAGAACATCATCCATCGGGGATAGTCTCGACCGACATCACCCAGTTCGAATTCGTGCGCGCTGCCCACCGTGCTGCCCATCTGGTTTCACCTGCAAAGGGCAAAGGCCAATTTGTGGCGATCGTGGCTCTCGCGGATGTTCTCGTGTATCAGGCAATCGTCGTCGGATGCATCAGAGCGGGGCTAGTCGTGAGTGATCGCACGCAGTGTCATGCCAATCCGCTCATCATCATGCTCGGATTCATTCTAGCCTTTTCCGATATCTCACCGCAACTCCGCTGCGGCTATCGCGCACTTGCTAGAGTCGACGGACTGCCATCGGGTGCTGACCACACGAGCTTCCTTAGAAAAGCTCATTGACGGTGTCGTATCCGAGCTCGCTACGCAAGATCCCAAGTACAAACTGTCCGTGGAGGAGATCCCTTCGCTGGGACAGCTGTATCCACATCTCGGGCATGAGACGGCGACCGATGAATTCACACCGTACCCGGTCCCCGAATCTATACCACCAGTCACCGATATCGCATTCTGTTTGCACTCCAGTGGCAGCACAGGCTTCCCCAAGCCAATCCGTATTTCCCATCGCCTGTTGATCGAGATAGCGGCCCTCGGTAGGTATCCACCCTCCATAGCCAAGCGTTGATTCAGCTAATCCGCCCCGATAGGTTCGTTTAGCCAGATCAAAACGTACGCACCCCGCTTAGCGATCGGTACGCTCCCGCCATTCCACGCGATGGGTTGCTTCACGCAGATCCTCATTCCGATGCTCAACAACGGCACGGCCTGTATCTTGCCTCCCGCTTCGACGGCGACCGAGTACCATGTCCCACCGAACGCGACGTCCGATCTAGCTCTGCACAATGCGAAGATCACGAGGGCCGATGGAATACTGACCGTCCCTGCGTTCATTCTGGAGTGGGCTCGTTCTCCGGAAGCCGTGGATTATCTCAAGAGCTTGAACATGGTCGTAAGTCTGGTGACCTTGGTGCTTTTCGTGCCTGACTTCGCAAAAAAGGCGTTCGGTGGAGGACCATTGACGCTCGAGGTAGGCGACGAGCTCATCGAGCAAGGTGTAAAGGTCATACCCATCTTTGGGGCGACGGAATGTGAGCGGGCGTTTGTGACCACGACTTGCGCACCATACTCACAAGTTGCAGTCGGCTTGCCGAATGTCATCCGTGACGACGTGGATTCCAAAGACTGGGCCTGGTTCAAGTTCTCAGAATCCGTGCAGCTTCGATGGGTTCCACAGGACGATGCTAACACGTTCGAGCTTCAATTCCTGGTGGGTCATTCTCGGTTCACAGCCCAGCGCTCTGTGTGACACACCAATTACAGAGCTGCGACAGCCTCCACCCGGCAGTCGAGAACCTCCCGGACGTCCAGGGCTACTCGACCAAAGATCTGTTCGAACGGCATCCCACGAAACCTGACCTTTACCGTATCGTTGGGCGCCTGGATGACGTGCTGATCATGGCGAACGGAGAGAAAACAGTCCCCGGCCCGATGGAAGACATCCTGCTCTCTAACCCGAATATTTCCGGGGCCGTGATGTTCGGTCGCGAAAGGAATCAAGTCGGCGTGCTGGTTGAGCCGAGCGCGGCGTCCAAGGTGGACATTACAGACCCTACGGAGGTTGCCAAGTTCCGGAATCTGATCTGGTGCGCACTCTGTTCGTGGCCGGCAGTTGGTTCATCAGTTCTCATTCGCTTTCAAACAGGGAGACGGTACAGAAAGCGAATGAGAGTGCGCCTGCGTTTGCCCGGATCTACATGGAGATGATTGTCGTGGCTTCTCGCGAAAAGCCTTTCGTACGCACCCCGAAAGGGACCGTGATCAAGAAGCCCACCGTCGCCTTATATCGTGCTGATATCAATGCGCTGTGAGCTTGAGCTAGCTTTGGATCCGCGTAAAGTTCTAACATTTCTGTCAGGTACGACACAATCGAAGCCAGCACTAGTGCCGCGGACGACGTCTCTCCTCCTGCCAGTTGGTCAGCTGCCGATCTCGTTCCCTGGCTGTCTGTGCACGCTTCATCGCTTGCCGAGAAGGACATCCATCCCGGCGGCGATATCTTCGACCAGGGCTTTGACAGTCTCAACGCGACGTTCCTCCGCCATCGGATCGTCGGCGCGATGAGCAAGTCGTCCAACCCAAGCTGTAGGGCAGCTGCGCCGAAGATTTCGCAGGATATCGTGTATTCCCATCCGACGATCGAGTCGCTCGCAGCTGCTCTGTCTGCACTCGCTTCTGGGACGCTGGTGGAGGCTGTGGATCCCAAGGTTGTTGTCGAGCAGATGATCGCGAAGTATTCGGTCGGATTGAACGGGACGTTGCGCGCTAAGACTCGGCCGGAAGGCGGCGAGGTCGTCCTGCTGACTGGATCGACGGGTGGTCTTGGGTCGCACCTACTCGAGATTTTGCTCAAGAATCCGTCCATCCGTCGCGTCTACGTATTGAACAGGCACAGCGCGCGTGCGACTGCTGCCTCTCGACAGAGCGCTGCGTTTTTGGAGCGTGGACTGGATGCGAAGCTTCTTGACTCTGAGAAGCTTGTCTTCCTTGAGGGCACTGCTGCGGACCTCGAAGAGTCTGCATTCGAGACTGTGAGTGGATCGTTCGCTGTCTGAATTCGAAATGCAGTACTCACCGGTTATCCAGCTACGAAACGAAATCAGTGTGATCGTCCACAACGCCTGGAGTCTCGACTTCAATAAGTCGCTGGCGTCGTTCGAGCCCCACATCAAGGGCACGCGCAACCTGATAGATCTCGCCCTTGCCTCGGAGACTGGAGTTCGCTTCCTATTCACGTCGTCCGTGGCGACAGCTATCGGCTGGGATCCGAAACTGGGTCCGTTTCCAGAGGAGCTGCAGCTTGACCCGACCTCCGCGTTGGGTCAGGGATACGGGGAGGGCAAATACGTTGCTGAACGGGTGCGTGTTGGGAAGATGATGATTCTTGAATCTGGGACTAATCCAATGCTAAGATCATCGCTGCCTCCGGGCTGGATTCTACGTCCTTCCGCATTGGGCAGATCTGCGGCTCGTCCCAAACGGGAGCGTGGTCCACGACCGACTGGGTTCCAAGTCTCGTCAAATCGAGTATCGCGCTGGGTGCCCTGCCACTGGAGCCCAAAGGACAGATGGCGTGGCTCTCGCCGGAAGCCGTGTCGCAAGCCATCGTTGACGTCGCGGTGTACGAGGGCCGGGCGCCCGGTGCGATGAACCTCGTCCACCCGCGGCCCGTTGCGTGGGATGTCATCATGACCGGGATCGCAGGCGACCTCGATCTCCCGCTGGTCACATTTCCGGAGTGGATTGAGCGGCTCAAGAAGGCCGCTGTGGGTGCGACTGCAGAGGACTTCGAGCGAGTGGTGAGTGTTTCTGCGGATGAGACCGACGCTGGATTCTAAAACCATGATTTACAGCCTGGCATCAAGCTCATCGAGTTCTTCCAGTCGGCAGAGGTGGGAACGGGAGCCGTTCAGTTTGCGACGGCCGTCTCGCAAGAGTACAGTCCGACGTTCAGGGACCTGAAGCCTTTAGACTTGGACGACGCGAAGCGGTGGATTGCATACTGGCGCGAAAAGAGTTTCATTTAGATGAATTTTGTAAATAATGTAAATTAGCACCAGCATGACTAATGGGACGGAGCTTTCTTCTATCCTAAGCCTGGAGGTATTTGAGGTGGGAGGTACTTAGAAAGGGCACCACTTGATGTGACCATTGTTGTGACTATTTGGCACATGAACACCTCAGTTACCACCGCCAACCCCCGGTATAGACCCCGCGGGGGACCTCCTGGGTACCCTTAGACGTAGCTCTATGGGTACCCAGGAGGTCCCCCCCCGTGGAGGTACAGGGGGCAGCTGGCCATTTTGGGGCAGGGGGATGGGCGGGGGTCAGGACGGGGGGTGCCCATACATACCATGTGACTTGTCCATAAGAGCGGGCAGCTGGGCGGGAAAAAATCAATCAATCACATGATGCACCAAATGGGCGGGATGGCGGGAAAATCACATGATGAGCTGCAGGAAAAATTTCAAAACGGCGGGGGTTGGCAGGGGCATTGGCAGGGGCGCTACTGTCATAATTCAGCCCTTTTTCATCTTATCATCGATCATCTTATCTTATCTCGGCACGGACTATCTCATCATGGATCACGGCATCAGACGGTCCGGGCTAGGGGTTCCAGGGATTATCTTTATCGATTTGAGGCTGCGCGACATATGCTCCAGAAGGTTCTACTACAACCTATGACCAGTGCTCCATGCGGTACATAGCCTTATGACTCATTAGTTGTAGATATGACTCAGACTGGATTTGGGCATAAATACTGTAGCTACTTGGTTGTATTCCCCAGTCTTTGAATTCACTTCTCTTTTTGACTTTATTTTTGGGTTGATTGTCACATGCTTGTGATATATCCTCCAGTCTTGGAATCAACTTTTCTTTCCAATTCTTATTTTTTGGATTGATTTTCACTTAGCACTTGCAAAGGATGCCAAAAGGTACACATGAGTCAAACATACCAATATACACACATATTTCATTTTTAAGCAAGTAGCAGCAAGAACAAGAACAATACACAATGCAACAGGCTCAACAAGACTTCTCATGAGCACTCATCTCTACACTCTCTACGAAAAGATACCAAGAAAAAGAGCAAGTTGTTGTAGGTGAACAATACAAGGAATGCCTGATATGATATGAGAGAATGCCAGAACAGAAATAGAGCCTTATACCATTTGGATGAACTTGAAGTGGATGGCCGTCAGCAACAAATGCAGCAGTGGATGCCTGGCACTGAGCAACTAAGTTGTAATATCAATAAAGTTGGCAAAGCACAATCTAATACCACTTACTTGTAAAGCTGAGAAAGACTTCACAAGTTTGAGGATGAGGATTTACAAGTGAAGCTAGGTTGGGCCCAACCAGAATGCTATTTCGTCCAGCTACTGCATTTGCAAGCTTTATGGGCTGAAGGGCCAAACTAAATGTAAGGGCAACTCTTGCCAGCCCGAAGGTAGAGAGTACACAGTACACAACAACCTCACATGAGTCTGAGCACAGAGGGGGATCCTTAGAGACTATCAAATACAAGGGAGGTATACTACTCACCTGAGCACAGAGGGGGATCCTTAGAGAACGGTTCAAGGATCCATGTGCCCAGGTGTCACACTATATAGTCAGCTGTGACAAGTGACTGATGATGATGAGATATCACTGCCATGGAACAATGGCAGATGACAAGTAGATAATGACAAACCCAGATAAGATAGTGAGTGGCTCAGAGGGGCCAGTGATGGCCAGCTCCTGAGACACCAACAGTGGAAGGCCACACTAGAAGAGCCCAGTGGCCAGGCCAGTGCTGGGCCAGCCAGTGGAGACATCGGAGGCGAGGACCAATGCCTGACTGGGAAGAGGGGTGGTGCAGATGAGCGCAAGGGCATCTGGTATGAGCCTGTACGGCAGTAGACCACATCCGCGGTGAAATGCTGAGGGCGCGCTCACAGGTGAATCTACTATGAAAGTAAACCCAAATATAAACACGTTCACACTCCTTGTTATCAGCTTCTCAATGTGTGAAAGATGCAAGGGCTTCGAGGTGGACAGAGCACCAGTATCACAACTCTCAATAGACACAGATCCAATAGTCGCGGAAGACAAAGTTGACAACAAGAATTTATATATAGCAAACAATGGTGTCTCAACCAATATCTTCTATACAGTCAAAACCAACACTAATCCAACCACAACCAACAATATCACAAGTCAGAACTTAATACAAAGTATTAAGATCCCTTGTAGCAACAGTGTCCAGATGGTGACGCAAAACCCTAAATATCGAATCAACGCACTGCCAACCAATACAACCAAGATACTGAGTCGACGCACTGCCAACTAGTAGAACCAAAATGCCGCATCAATGCACTGCCAACTAACAGCCAATGTCCAATGTTCAAAACCCAAGCACAACTTGTTGATGCACTGCCAAGCAAGAAGTGTGGAACCAAAGTTCTCAAGTCAACGCACTGCCAACTGATCAAAACTACCCAAGCACAACTAGTCAACGCACTGCCAAACTAGGGGTGTGGAAACAATCTCAACGAAGCCCAAAGGCAACGACACTAAGTGCCATGACTAAACCAGAGGCAGCGAATCCGACTTTCTGATATCTCAACTCAAACTCAAATCACAGTAGCTACAAGTGCTCAGGGAGCAACTCGTCGTGACTGGGCAGGGGTAATAGAACTTCTTAAGGCGGAATCACGCAACATGCAAATTGCACAAAACAATCTGATATGGGTATGATTCACAGTCCGGGGGAAAGCTCCCCAATACAAAGAAACAACGCGCTACTTATACTGTCTACAACGGTGCTTAGTAAAGTCCTGTACAACTGCATAGTAGCTACGCTATCTAAGATCAGTTGTTTTTTATGGTAATGAAAAGCTGAACAATCGGACAGGTCCTGACTGATCAGGACCCCACCCCATTGTCCATATGGTGCTTTTGATGTGGGTCAACCCACCGGGTCATACTTTTGGAATACAACGTGCTGGATTGGCCAACTGGTATGTCTTGGCAAGTGAATCCAACGTGGGCGTCCCAAGAAGCCGTATAGTCCTAGGCACGCCAGACATTCCTCACATGGTTTGGTTCATGGATCTAGCCCATGTTGCTTTTGATGTGTTTGGGTATAGGCACAACTCACTGTGACACTTTGAAGTGTCACTGCAATGCGTCCACAATATCCTGTGATCGAGTGGAACATGACATGTGACAAGTCGTTGCCGTGGCATGATCTAAGGAAATGTTCAACCCAAAGCCAGGAGTTGCTGCAACAAGATCGGTTTGATCTTGTAACACCAAGTCCTGTCTAGTGGGAGTTGTTATGTTGAGCATGTTGCACATTGCTAAGCCCTCCAGCCCGAGTTCCCATCTACAGAGAATGACCCTTTTGAGGAGTCGCCGCAACAAAAGATCCCTTTTTGGGGAATTGTTGCGGCTCGAGTGTCCGTCACTAATAGCCCTGAGCCTGGTGTAGACTCACAAGACCAATTCCACAGTAGTGGTCTGACTACCTTGCTATCGTCAACACTATCCACAGTCGTCGACTGGGCAGTAGACCCTTAAGTCCTACTGAGCACAACACTGTCAACCATGACACAATACACCAAGTGGTTCAAGAGTAAACTCTGTAAAAGCGCAAAAATACGCCCTTACAGAGCTGGTGCAGAGTGCGTCTGGTAGCCAGCCTATCAGCGGGAAGAAGGCTGAAGTAGAGGGGGAGGAGTGCGTACAGCAGTAGCACTCCCTGGTGCAAGAAATCGGGCTTGGCTAGACCACTTGTGGGGATTTGAGGGAGATGGCTGTTGAAGCTTGTTTGTATTAGCGACTATCACAGTATGTAGACATAACATCATATGTAGTATCTTTAGATTACTTTGGCTTGCTCCACAATGACCTCATACCTGACCTCATTATTGCGTCATCCATTACTCATCTATGATATCACTACTCCACTATGACATCATGATATCTGCTCCAGACTGGTAAATAAACCTAGTACTATACGCTCCATATCCTCAGCTCTGTGTCTTCTACACTCGCTGAGGTATGCATACTCTCTTATGATCTCTTACAACTCATACTCATGACTTGTACCTAGACTCTGTCTCTATAGGTGATCGCTACTGGTTGTATCTCCACTGCACGGTATTGTCTGCGACAGGTTATGGGCCCCGCCTGAACCACTAGTGGCAAATCTAGAAACATCGAACTACTTCCTTTACTAAGGCGAGTATCTTTCACTTGTTCAGCCCTTCTAGAGCGCCGTCTTTGTGCGCTTGTCCCACTTGCTGGATGTCGGTCCTTGCATTTGTGCTCTCACCCTCAAGGGGTTACGCGAGCGGCATCAGGGAGTCATTCAGTTGGCAGACGCGCTGTTAGCTATTCCGTCCATGATTGCTCGCGCGCGTTTTACGTTACATCTTTTTATTGTACAGCGGACATACCCACCAGGCACTGGTCCTTTGGTCAATCCCACTCCTGAACCTTGCACAAAGCGCCTAGGTGGTGTGGTAGCTCTCAACAGCTGCTGGAGGTCAATCCCTCCGCCAGGCAAAACAATCCTTCGGGGTTGACTCGCATTCCTCACAAGGGACCCTGCGGGCTGGTGACACTACGAGGATTCATGCAATGACGCTCTGCGTGTATGCATGTCTTTAAAAGGGAGAAGATGGGCGGCCAAACCCGGTGCTTGGGACGGCCTTGGGCACGTGTCCCTTGGCCAGTGACAGACTGCGAGGGCAGTAATCACCATTGGGTACTGCCGCCGCTGACGTATATAGTTACGTTACTTTGATACAAATATGGGCACTTACTATACCACTTTATTTTGTTATCATTCCCCACGCGTATATGGGCATCATGGATGGGATGGGGACGCTTGGTTGTTCTCGTTTCAGAGATTTGGCACTTTGGGATTTTGTTTCTTGGTCTGCAGAGAATCTGGGGCTGACTTTGTTGCTCTAGTCTTCATCTCTATCACCCTGTCATCACCAAACGATCCTCCTGTTGGGGTTATCCTATACCCTGTTAACTCTTGGACGACTTTTGGACACTCCTATCTTCCCATCGAATCCATCACCGGTGACATCTATCGGGTTGGTGATATCGACAATCAGAACAGCGATCAGGCGCAAGGAAATTTCACCGTCGCGCTTTGTCTTTTGTTTGGAGATCCTCCATACGTTGAACCTACCCTTCTCCACCACCACATCGCCGACGTCATCGAATTTCTTCCCACAATGTCCGGGATAGAAAAGCTCAACAATTCCATCCTGAGCGTCTTTGACGGCACAAACTGGAACACTTGGTCGGACAACTATATGAGCATATGCATGCACCAGGGCACTTGGGGGGTTGTGAAACCCTCTTATATCATGGTTAACAGTACACCAGCTGCAAACATCGGTGCAGTCGAACGTCCTTCAACTGCTGGGGACACCCAGAATCAATGGGATGTTGCCAATGAAAAGGCACTGGGTCTTGCGCGGGTTTACATCACCCAGAATTTGCGCAAAGGAATCTTTATGGACGGTCAGAGGGAGCGCACTGCGCGCAAAGTTTGGGCGAAAATGGCAACGGATTATGGCCAACCAAATGCCATCAATGCTTTCGTCGAGTACCGCCTCCTGAACACCACCACCTTCCATGGTGGTGACACCATTGAAAAGCAAATCATGGAAATGGAGACTCATTGTCGCCAGTGTTCAGAAGGAGGAATCGAGATCCCCGACTACCTCTTCGCTACTCTCATGCTCGCCGCTCTGCCCACTTCCAGCAGAGGTTTTGTCACCTCTTACCTGGCCAATTGTCCTATCGCTTTCTTGAACCTGGTCAATGTCAAGAACAGCGTCATTGGGAATATCAAGATCGAGAACCTTGACATGACGTTGAACTCGAAGATTTCCACCGTTCCGTCCCTTGCCACCCGCTGCACTCATTGTAACAAGTCTGGTCACGTTGCGGCATCCTGCTACAAAAAGTATCCCAACCTCAAGCCTACTGGTCAATCTTCTGACAAAGGCAAGGGGAAGCAGGATGAGGGGAAGAAGAAAAAGAAGAAGGAGAAGAAGAATAGTGGTGATGGTACCAGCACTGTAAACAACAAAGAGGTTGTAGCCGCTCCCGTGGTTGCAGCTTCTTCTTCTAATGGAATGCACTTCTTGTCCTATTTCATGAGTGACTCCCTCCAACACAACGATGATGGAATTTTTGTTGAAGAAATGGGAGACGACTCCAAAGTTCGTTTTCTATGGGATTCGAGTTGTACACATCATATGACAAACACCTGATCCGACCTTCACAACATCAGACCTATCGACACCTATGTAGTCGTTGGGTCGGGAGCTCGCTTCAAGAATGAAGCCATTGGAGATATTGTGTTGCGGGGTCATACTAGTAGTGGCATGAACTACACCTTCACGCTGAAGGATGTCATCTACAACCCGCACATAAGAGGGCACTATCTTTCTGGGTATGCGCTCGATCAGGCTGGTTACTACACCGTGGTTGGTGACAACAAGGCAATCCTAGTCACCAAGGATTGGCTCAACAAGGGAAAAGCGCATGGGGATGTCTTGATGACCTTTAAAGCTAGCAATCGCTGCTACTGGTACTACCCCGAGGAGCTTGTGGCACCATCCGTGTCTGCATCTCACGAGTCTACCGCGCTCGCTTCCCTGGAAACTACCGATCGTGAATTGTGGCATAAGCGTTTTGGTCATGCGGCTTGGAGAACCCTTACTCACTTGCCTACACAAGTTGAAGGTGTTCCCCCCTTGCGACGCAATAAAGACCAGCGCGGCATGTGCGATGGATGTATGCTTGGAAAACAGCACAAGCATCTGTACCCTGCATCAGAGAAACGTGCTAGCAAATGCCTCGAGCTTATCCACACTGATTTGATGGGCCCCTGGCCTACTCAGTCGTTGGAAGGTTCACGCTACACAATTTCATTCTATGACAATTTCTCGCACCTGTAAATCCCAACTGGGCCCACTAATTAGTGACAAGATCCAGGCTGGTTCCCCCCACTAGTTAGTGGGCTTTAGAGCAAAATTACATATGCTTGAATAATAGTGAAATATCTGCTTGGAATCTGGAGCAGATGAGACCAGATCCAGTGATTTTTCCCAAGTCCCTACAGCTGCTTCAGATCTGTTTGTATATGTGGGATGGGGGATGCAGACATATTGTATGCTCAAATAATGTTGCAATACATGTGCCCAGATTTTGAAGACATCTGTCTGCTCGAAATCTGCTTGAGGATTCTCCATGCCATATGAGCTGCTCGGATTATGTTCAAATACAAGTCAAGGGATTGTTTATGCTCAGATTCTGCTTGAATATTGGTGTGAGAGGACTTGGACAGGTTTGTGATGGCAGTCTGCTCAGGATCTGTTTGAATAATTGTGTGAGAGGACTTGTTTGGTCTTGCAATGGTGGTCTGCTTCAGATATGTTTGAATAATTAAGACAAAGGACTTGGTCAATTTTGTGTGAGGGATATGTTTCAATTAAGTTTGAATATACTTATTCAGAGTAGTATCTATGTGGCCTCCTGCACAGTCTTGTTGCCCCTCTTGTTGGAGTCGAGACCCAAAATGGAGACACTGTGTATGACATCATTCACCTCTTCCTCCTCTGCCTCTGAGCCCTTGTCTTCATCCTCCCAGCCTTCATTGGTATCAACCCATTTATCATCTTCTTCCATATTGGTGCTGCCCTTTACTGTCCCCAGGCAAAAATTGCCATGGAAATTAGGATGCTTTGATAACTTGTAAAACCATTGCATGTGTTTATCATTGCACCGGCCTCTCTCATCCACCCCAGATGCCACCACCATCATTACATAACAGACCCCGCGGGTACCCAGTAGGTACCCCCCCCCACGGCGTGGGCGCAGGGGGCGCAGGGTCATGTGCAGGGGCCAGGAGGGGGGGATAATACATATCATATGATTTATCCTGTAGATCAGGCAGATGGGTTGGAGAAAAAATAGAATCATGTGAGGCATCAAATGGGCAGGGGATGGCGGGATAAAAAAGAATCACATGATGAAACACATCAGATTTCAAAAATGTTGGCGGGGTCACTACCGCCCCCTCCTGCACACCAGGGCGGACAGTGGGCACATTATCACGTGACTTTTTAGAGACTTTTTTGCACTGTTTAGCATGGTTTCTGTTGTGCTCCTAATACATTGTATGTTGTAGCCAGTTGGTAGGCAGATGATCATGTGACCTTTCACAAATAAAATAAAAAAGCAGCTCCAAATCATCCCACTGGGATTTCAATAGCTTGGTTCAATTTTAACCATACATTTGAGCTTGAAAACCCAAAATTGTGAATTCAATCCTGGCGGTGGCTTGGGCGGGGTTGATTGCAGGGGTGCATAAACCTCTGCCCACCCCTATTGGCACCCCCACCACAACCCTCGCCATCACCCCCGCCGTCACCCCCGCTGCAGTGGTGCACCTGCCAAATGTGGATGAACCTCAGGATGACTTTCTACATTTTCAGTACTGACACCCAAGCGACTTCAAGGTATCCTCTATCAAATTTTCAGTGAAACAGCTTTACTTGCCTCTGCCATCTCCAAATATGTAATATTATGTCAAGTGACAGCTCAGAACACATTAACTCATTAGCCAATCAGAACCTGTATAAAGGTCATACTCCAGTGTTTCTGCTCTTCTGACACTTTCCCTACATGTATTGCAGCCAAAAATCATTAGAATAATGTCTCCCTATGCTACTCTTGTCAAATATAATGCTAATTCATGTCCTTTATCTGTTCAAAATTTGAAACATCAAAACAGTCCATGGTTGGGTAAGGTTCCTATGTAGAGACTACTTCAACATGATTCACTTTGGGTATTGCACAAAATATATTTTCTACAAGGGCCCAACTTTGCACAACTGAAAGATACACTCTTTGACATTGCTTGAATCAAGTCTTGGGAGTTCTGGACTCTGGAACAATTCAAAAACATGGAATGAATTCAAAACATAGTGTATTTCTGAATGTGAGATATGGGCCAGTCTGATGAGATGTAAGCCACTGGTTATGTTGAATAGGATATCTGACAATGCTTTGGCCCTCTACCTTCCACTATACAACTTTTGTTCTTAACAAAATGTGTGGTAAGCAACCCAAGCTTATAAAATCAATTGTTGCCTAGATAAAACAAAGGTAAAGCTGTTTCACTGAAAATTTGATAGAGGATACCTTGAAGTCGCTTGGGTGTCAGTACTGAAAATGTAGAAAGTCATCCTGAGGTTCATCCACATTTGGCAGGTGCACCACTGCAGCGGGGGTGACGGCGGGGGTGATGGCGAGGGTTGTGGCGGGGGTGCCAATAGGGGTGGGCAGAGGTTTATGCACCCCTGCAATCAACCCCGCCCAAGCCACCGCCAGGATTGAATTCACAATTTTGGGTTTTCAAGCTCAAATGTATGGTTAAAATTGAACCAAGCTATTGAAATCCCAGTGGGATGATTTGGAGCTGCTTTTTTATTTTATTTGTGAAAGGTCACATGATCATCTGCCTACCAACTGGCTACAACATACAATGTATTAGGAGCACAACAGAAACCATGCTAAACAGTGCAAAAAAGTCTCTAAAAAGTCACGTGATAATGTGCCCACTGTCCGCCCTGGTGTGCAGGAGGGGGCGGTAGTGACCCCGCCAACATTTTTGAAATCTGATGTGTTTCATCACGTGATTCTTTTTTATCCCGCCATCCCCTGCCCATTTGATGCCTCACATGATTCTATTTTTTCTCCAACCCATCTGCCTGATCTACAGGATAAATCATATGATATGTATTATCCCCCCTCCTGGCCCCTGCACATGACCCTGCGCCCCCTGCGCCCACGCCGTGGGGGGGGGTACCTACTGGGTACCCGCGGGGTCTGTTATGTAATGATGGTGGTGGCATCTGGGGTGGATGAGAGAGGCCGGTGCAATGATAAACACATGCAATGGTTTTACAAGTTATCAAAGCATCCTAATTTCCATGGCAATTTTTGCCTGGGGACAGTAAAGGGCAGCACCAATATGGAAGAAGATGATAAATGGGTTGATACCAATGAAGGCTGGGAGGATGAAGACAAGGGCTCAGAGGCAGAGGAGGAAGAGGTGAATGATGTCATACACAGTGTCTCCATTTTGGGTCTCGACTCCAACAAGAGGGGCAACAAGACTGTGCAGGAGGCCACATAGATACTACTCTGAATAAGTATATTCAAACTTAATTGAAACATATCCCTCACACAAAATTGACCAAGTCCTTTGTCTTAATTATTCAAACATATCTGAAGCAGACCACCATTGCAAGACCAAACAAGTCCTCTCACACAATTATTCAAACAGATCCTGAGCAGACTGCCATCACAAACCTGTCCAAGTCCTCTCACACCAATATTCAAGCAGAATCTGAGCATAAACAATCCCTTGACTTGTATTTGAACATAATCCGAGCAGCTCATATGGCATGGAGAATCCTCAAGCAGATTTCGAGCAGACAGATGTCTTCAAAATCTGGGCACATGTATTGCAACATTATTTGAGCATACAATATGTCTGCATCCCCCATCCCACATATACAAACAGATCTGAAGCAGCTGTAGGGACTTGGGAAAAATCACTGGATCTGGTCTCATCTGCTCCAGATTCCAAGCAGATATTTCACTATTATTCAAGCATATGTAATTTTGCTCTAAAGCCCACTAACTAGTGGGGGGAACCAGCCTGGATCTTGTCACTAATTAGTGGGCCCAGTTGGGATTTACAGGTGTTTCTGGAGTAGATTGAGCAGCACAAGAAAGCCGTGGTGGGTGCGACAGCGGAGGACTTCGAGTGTATGGTAAGTGTCTTTGAAGATGAGACCCACCCTGCATTCTCAAATCGTGGTTCACAGCCCGGCATCAAGCTTTTTGAGTTCTTCCAGTTGGCAGAGGTGGAAACAGGTGCTGTTCACAATGGCCAGCTTGCAAGAGTACAGTCCGATGTTCAGGGACCTGAAGCCTTTAGACTTGGAGGACGCGAAGCAGTAGATTGCATACTGGTGCAAGAAGAGCTTCATTTAGATGAATTTTGCAAATAATGCAAATCAGCACTAGGCCAGAGCTTTCTTCTATCCTAAACTTTGAGGTCTTCCAGGTGGAAGGTTTTTGCTTCACAATGGATTGCAATTTGTGGCTGTTGTTGTGACTATCCACCTTTGATAGAAGTACCCTTTGGCAAGTTTTTGGAATCATTTGTCAGAACTCTGTGGTGTGCAATAAAGTGGGCAGGCTACATCTGGATGTTCTGATATGATACACAGCAGGTACTTACTGTGGTTGTATGAGACCAAGCAATCAAAGTTCCAGTTTCCAGTTGTCTGGCCTATCAGTCTGCACTTCACGGCTCAAATATCCATTGCCAAAATCTGGCTTCACAGCCCGACCGTCTTTGATAGATGAAAGTATGACAAATTTGGGCTGGCCTGCGCTGGGTGCAGCTGCTGCGAGGACACCACACAAGACAGACAGCAAAACACCGTGCGAGCTGGTGCTCCTAACCAATGACACCCACTCACAGTGGAGGAGGAATCAGAGTATTGGCTGGAGATTCTTGGATCAGAAGGGCAGCCACAGAGAAAGTATCTGATGGCACCCACCCTTGAAGACACAAATATGAAGAATGCGCCAACTCCGCACAAAGCAAGTATAATGTCAGACATGACAGCAGCAAACGTGGATGTGAGTGCGAGGATTCCCATACTAATTGAGATCTGTTGGCGTATGATCTGGCTGCGGCAGAGAGGTATTTGATTCATATCAACGCAGCCAAGACAAAGCCCAAGAACACCATGACCCTGGTGACAAACACCACAGACAGTAGAGGATTGTTAACAAAATGGTTCAACAATGTGTCCATTGTTTGCTGGGTCAAGAGCAACTTGATGGCAATCCAACCAGCCAAGATGAGAGATACGGAGCAGAACAGGGCGTCAAGCAGGGTAGAGATCATCTGGCTAGGGAACAATCCATCACAAGAGTAAGATAACGATTGCGGGGGAGGACACACATAGAATTGATTTTGACAACACAGTACAGCGGCAATCCGTGGAAGACCTGCTCCCTGTTGTTGATACCAAGCTAGACGGAATTGAGGATAGCCCAGAGAAAAAAAGGACAACAAACCAATATGCCAGCCACAAAAACGGGTATTGAAGCGACATACAGCAGAGCCAGCAGCTATCAGTTGGATTGTATCAGAGCACGCATATAGTCACACATGGACAGGGAACATGCACCCAGGGCATCCAGACAACCTATTCAAAGCCTGGCCTCAACCTCGGGTACCACACCATCAGTGCCGTTCCCCAGACCTTGGTCACCATTGCCAGTGCCGCGCCCTGCCATGAGCAGTACGTTTGACATGTTCACCAACGCATTGAACAAGCACAGCAAGAACGGGATGAACTGCTCTAGCACGTGGCCTGTCCACACCAGCACACTGTTGGTGCTCAACAAGAAGAAGAAAATGAAGACGAGATTGACCAGCGTCAGGTTTGTGCTGGAGCCTTGTACAATCAGGGTCACAATGAGTAGCAGGAGGTTGGCGACCATTGTCAGGGGACACCGCGCTCCTTGGGCACGTGACCATGCATATGACCCACCATCAGGAAATAAGTGGATTCTCAGCAAGCCATCACCATCACTCATGATCTGTCGCCCGCATCATCAGACATCACCCCACATGTGGCAGCTGATCTGCACTCATTGTGCCTAGCAAATTTCACCCGAAGCTCACCAGTGCGGCCAAAATTCATCAGCGCGGTTGACCTCCTCATGATATAGTTGTCAGCACAGGTATCAAGCTTGTGATATAGTTGTCAGCGTGGGTATCAAGCTCATGAGACTGTCCCCAGTACGGATATCAAGCTTGTGATATCATGGCCCAGAGCTCATGATATGGTTGCCAGGGCAAGGCTCTTAATAGACACATTCAATAGCAATTGTACTAGCATTCATGGGGCCAAATTTGATAGAATTGAAATGGATTAAATCTACAGCATTGGGGTATACTACAATGCCACTTATTCAGAACAAGCCAGCATGGCTATTGAGGAAGCAAATGACGCAGTAGGCACAGGCGCAGATAGATGCAAGGGAAAGATTTGCCTACCTTGGATCACAATCAGTTCATGATGCTCATCAGCCGTTGCCTGCAAATGGCTGATTTCCTGATGACTGCGCCCCCTCTGCTGACCCGTGCCTGCTCACCTGTTGATCACCCAGCCTCCTCCTCCTCCTTCAATCCCCATCTCCATCTATGCCAACATCTGCCCTCTTCCTCCTTCTCCCGGTCATCTCCTTCAAATCCCCACAAGCGGTCTAGCCAAGCCTGATTCCTTGCACCAGGGAGTGCTACTGCTGTACGCACTCCTCCCCCTCTACTTCGGCCTTCTTCCCACGGATGTGGTCTACTGCCATACAGGCTCATACCAGATGCCCTTGCGCTCATCCGCACCACCCCTCTTCCCAGTTGGGCATTGGTCCTTGCCTCCAATGTCTCCACTGGCCGGCCCGGCACTGGCCTGGCCACTGGGCTCTTCTAGTGTGGCCTTCCACTGTTGGTGTCTCAGGAGCTGGCCATCACTGGCCCCTCTGAGCCACTCACTATCTTATCTGGGTTTGTCATTATCTACTTGTCATCTGCCATTGTTCCATGGCAGTGATATCCCATCATCATCAGTCACTTGTCACAGCTGACTATATAGTGTGACACCTGGGCACATGGATCCTTGAACCGTTCTCTAAGGATCCCCCTCTGTGCTCAGGCTCATGTGAGGTTGTTGTGTGCTGTGTGCTCTCTTCCTTTGGGCTGGCAGGAGTTGCCCTTACAACCATGGAGAAGAAACTGAACAAGGACCAGACGATGAGCTCAGGCAAGTGTGCAGTGGGGACGGCAGGACTGGGTGCAGCCATCCTCAGTCCTCTCGCTTAGGCAGAGAGGGGAGGTCAAGGAAGTGTGTCCCAACCCCTGGTTAAAAGGTGTCGCAGTGGGCGTCCCTGGGAAAACGTTTCTGACGTACAATGAGAATTGTGCAGGGACACCGGACAACCGCGCCAGTGGCGGGAGCAGCAAGAATATTGCTTGCAGAAAGCCTTCAAAATTGGAATAGCAAGTAAACTCCTGATCGGTCGCGCAGACAATTATCACCACGTGATGTCATCGGTGCCTGGCCGTGTATACAAGTGAGATCTTTGCAACGAGTTTCATTAAAAAAGTACAGAGACGTAGAGGGTCTCGATCATCGATCAGTCACGAAGTCCATGCAAACGGAGAATATCCTCTTGTGTAGTGGCTACTGTGCGGACAATCTGAATGTCCCCAAAGCGTGCTTTGTACATGTAGTCGGGGCCACCGGAATCAGAGTCGGTCGAATGGCGTTCAGGCACTTGAGAGCTAGCGTCGCTCATTTCCGGGATGATGATGGATTGGGAGAACGAGAAGGTTTGACACACGGCATCTTGTTTGCGCCGACATCGGAAGACAAATCGCAGGATCGGCTAGAAGTGAAGAGGAGAACGTCAGCGTGTGTGGTGAAATTGGAATAGATTTGCAATCCCGGGCCGCACCTTTGAGCTGGCAAATATGAAAAATGCCCCGACACCACAGGAAGCTAGAACGATATCAGGCACCACGGCTGTGAAAGCGGTTGCCAACGCAAGGAGACCGGTTCTGGGCAAAGGGGCGTTTAGCTAGTCTCTCCAAAAGGTCCGCCCATGAGACCTTACATGGAGGCTGCCAGGACAAAGCATGAGAATGCCACGACCCGGATGATGAATGCGTGAGAGAGCAATGGACTGCCACTATCGTGAACCCGGGAAGGGGACTGTTGACGCCGCTGCCGGGTAACAAAGATCCGAGAGGAGGTCCAGACAGCTAGAACGAGCGTCACGAGCGAAAAGATGGCACCGAAGCAGCTGGTGAGAATCTGGCTGTAAAAGACAGTAAGCACGATCAATGGCAGTTATGAGATCCCCCTTACATCCAATTGATATTGACGACACAGTAGAAAGGAGAGCCTCGAAAAACATCCGCTGGACGCGTGACTCCCAACTACGTCCGACGGTGTCAGTCCTATTCACAAGGCTGCGATCCACGGCCGACGTACGATTACAGCCGTCACAAACAGAGGCACGGCGCAGAGGTAAGGAAGTGCGACGAGCTAGCAGTATCCAGAATCAGATCCCCTGCAACAATCACAGATGGCAGAAGCAGCCTCACCAACGGAGTCCAGACGACCCACGCTAGAATCGGCTCGAGACGAGGATGCCAGGTCTTCATCGCTGTTCCCCAAACCTGTGCGACCATCGCAAGCGCCGCTCCACTCATGAGCGGGACGTTGGACATGTTCACGGCGGCGTTGAATGTGCAAAGCGAGAACGGGACGTGTTGCCGCAGCGCGTGCCCGGTCCAGACCAACGCGCTGTTCGAGATCGATGCGAGGATGAACACGATCTGGAGGTTCAGCAGGGTCGCTTGCGCGTCGAGACCTTGCGCGATAAGGGTCGTGATGAAGAGCAGCGTGTTGAAGACGCCGGCGAAGAGGTTCAATGTCGACCAGGTGATCAGTGCCGCGAGATGGCCGGATGGGTCGACGGGCAGCGCCATTCCAGCCTGGGGCTCAACGCGTCTTGCCTCCCGTAGGAGAAGAGCATGTCGTGGTGGGCTGATGTATTCATATCACATCTCGCTCAGGAGACAGGTGACATCCTTGGGAAACCGCCACAGCTTGTCACTAAATGAGGTTGTTGGACGCCAGGACATGGAAACGACAGATAGCTGGCCGTTTCGTATTCACTCGTTGTGGATAAGCTGTAAGTGTGAGCACCGATATCGATCAGATCTACATACAAACTTGAGACGAAGTCGTTCTAGGATTTACGCAGAGGTAAAAAACAAGGTATATGGCTTCACATTCTCAAGATCCCATAACGGCCGTCTAGCTCAGCTGGTTAGAGCGTCGTGCTAATAACGCGAAGGTCTTGGGTTCGATCCCCACGATGGCCATGTTTTTATCCCCCCTCTCTCTCCGCTCTGAGCAGAGCTTCCGCTTTTGCTCCTTCTCTCTCTTGCTCGTCACTTCCTCATCGACCGATGTACCGCTTCCTCCCTGCCTAGTACATATTTGGTTTCATGATAATACATATTTTGATTAGAATAGCAACGAGGCCGCGTTGTCCACATTCCCCCCAGTAGCATCGAGGTTCCTGATCGCCAATTCGCGCGTTGCCCCTAAATCCATGAGGATCCGGATACTGGACTCTGGATGTGTCGTCGTAGATGGACCGGGAGCAGCTTGAGGCGCCGCTCCGATTGTGTTCCCGGAGCCGGGGAAATGACTGGGTCTAGCACTGCTACTGGACGTGCTTGCTTCCCGAGTGGCTGCGGCTAGTTCCTCTGCCGTTGGGGCCTGATCCCTCGCTTTCTCCGGGAGCTCATGCTCCGACAGGAACTTCACTTCTCGACCCCGGACCCTCAACACATTCCTCTCCAAATCTATGCAGGCCTGATGCGCCTTGAGCATGTCCAATCCCAACAGAAGATCGACATCCCGGCCCTCCATAATGGTTATTGAGCATGGCAGATGCAGGTCAGCAACTTTGAACTGGGCACTGTGGACTCGTCCGAGAATCTTCGCTGTGCCAACGCCTCTTGCGATACCGGAGAAACGTGTATCGAGCAGCCGCATGATACTGTATTTAGTGAGCTAGCTGCGAGGGGCATTTAGATCGGCTGAAGACTGACCCGCAAGCTTCAGCGGTCTCGGGGCTCACTGTGGGAGTTCAATTTCGTTTCCGGCGTGCATCGAGTCGGGGCTCACTAATTGTTTGCTGTGCCCCACTATCCACGAATGCCTTGACGGGCTTTCCATTGACCTCCACCGGAATGCTAGACAATATCAGCACCCTGAAGGTCTGCGATATGTGAACGCACTAGAGCATGGTCACCCTCCCGAAACTTTCCGGCGAGTACTCCAACGCGTGCTCCATGTTCTCCAGAACCGCTTGCTGCCGGATGGCTTCCTCAATCTTTCGCTGTGCCTCGACATCGTACGGATCCGCATTCAATCGCTCAATCTCGTGTTGTCGTTGCATCTCGGCCGAATTTTGCATTTCTCGTGTTGAGCGCAACAGTTCTGCGAACCTTGCCGGATTAGATTGAGCCGCTTGCGCGATTTCGGGTTGCATCTGTCGCGCCGCGTCGTGTAAGATGAGGACAGGCAGGGAGTGGGGAAGTACCCACAGCCTGTAGCTGACGCATCATCTCGGGGTCCCCGAGAAGTTGCAGACGCATCGATTCCGCATCATGCTCGACGGGTCTGTAAGAGCATAAGACGGTCACGGACATATAGATTCATCTCTACTCACCTGCCGGCCATATTGGGAATCTTCCTCCTCAGCAGCAGCAGTGCATTATTTTCGTTCACGCCAAGTTGGCGAAGGGTTGACTTGGGTGATACCAAATCGCGGCCATTATATGAGATGCTCTGCTCGCCAACTGCAATGCCAGACTTGGGGAGAGGACGGTCAGGCGCGTGAAAAAGGGTGTGCAATCCTGTATACGCAGTACCTCTACTTCAAGAAGGGCCATGACGTTTTCCAGCTCCATATCTGGGTCAATTTCAATCACGAAGGTTTGTCCCAGATCGGTCGCGAAAGTGAGCTCCATGGTGCAGAGATGAGGTTGGTTGTGGCGCGATTATGAGGCTGATGACGAGGGTGTGCTCCTGAAAAGTGTCAGCGCAGCACCGCCGAAGTTTCAGAAACATATATACCAATGCGGTGGAATGTGCTGGAACGATGAATGTCTGTACGCGCGTCCAATGGTACTTGGTAACAACAGTGACCGAGGGCAATCGCAGTTATCTCCGGCGGGAAGTCTCCGCGAGGGCACGTGGCTTTTTTCAGGTGACGTATGTCGTCAAAACACCGGATCGTAAGCATCGGTCACATATGCCGGTTGGGACCAATTTCTCCTCTTACCATTTCCACACCCGTCAACAACCAGTCTACCGCTCTCTTTTCACGATTGCAAAAACCATACGACTCAACTAATTGCTCATGTCGTGTGAGTACCCGTCTCTGGCACTTCCTTCCTCCGTTATCTCCGGTGTGGAGCCAATGCGTGTGGATGGGAAATCTAATCGGAGGCCTCGCGCCTCCGATCCCTTCACTTCACTCAACGCATTACACGATGGCCTCTTCATCGCTTTCTGCGTCTCAAAGCTTACCGCTACCATCTCTCTCTCTCCCTGGTCTCACATGCTTTCTCGAGTCTCATAACCACTCACTGACCACCGTGTACCCTCACAGCCGCTAGCATTGTGGTTTCGGCGAGCAGCGCCCCCGTCTTGTCGAGCTCGGGTGCTGCTGCAAGCCCCAGTAGCAGTGCCCCTGCCTCTCCAAGCGTCAGTATTCCAATTGCGAGCAGCAGCAGCAACCCAGTGGTCAGCAACCCGTCCGCTCCGTCTAGCGTCTCCACTGCTCCACCTGGATCTTCGGTCGCTCCACCATCCTCTTCTTCATCACCAATTGCCTCCCCATCTGTATTGACCTCCGCCTCCATTTCCGTCTCTCAGTCGACCCTAGTGTGAGTCCCTCGTTTCCTGCCGCATGTCTTCCGCCTTGTTGCCGTTATCGGGTCCAAATATTTCCGTGTGCTGGTGGGAGGCGGTCTTCTTCGGCTACAGTGCATGGCTCTTTGTGCGGAGAAATACACGCATGTATTAAGATTGCCATGCGCGGCGTCCCTTTCCAACGCACGTCCGCGGCATCCCTTATTCGTCTCTTTTCGTCTTGGCGCCTTCCTTTCTCAGGTCGCATTTGTACCGAGCTCATTCCTTTTCCACACAGGTCAACGTCGAATGGTGTTGCCGTCACGCAGACCATCCAGGTCACCTCCACGATCCCAGCCGGTGCCACCATCACGCCTAGCTCGACTGCAAGCAATTCAGCACCGGCATCGAACTCGCATGCCGGTGCCATCGCAGGTGGTGTTGTAGGCGGTGTTGCGGCGTTGTTGATTGCCGGCTTTCTGCTCTGGTTCTTCAACAAACGGTCCAAGGAACGCAGGCTACAGGAGGAGTTTGACGGCAACTTCGATCCCGGACGCACGACGGGCCCAACCTTGCCTCGAATGTCGATTGCAGGGACTCCTGGCCTCGAGGAGGGTGCGACGGGTCCGCTTGGTGAAACGGATGATGGGGTCGGTGGCCGGTTGGCGGGGAGCGACATCGGTGCTGGTGTTGTCACGCCATTCCCAGCTAGTGCTGCGTACCACCAGCAGCCATACGCCCAACAACCTCAAATGGCGCAGTATGGCAACTATCCGGCTTCCAGTGTCTCAGGGTACGACGACATGCATAGTCCGACGGCGAATAACGGCTTCTACTACCCTGGCGCATCCAGCACGGCCCCCTCCGTTGTCCCTCCGCCATCTAGCAACGGCTCGTCCGGCGGCTACTACTCCAACCCGATGAGCGCTAAAGAACGGGAAGTGCGTGAGAGCCGATTCTCAGTGGCAAACCCCACTGGGATGCACATGCCGATGCCCGCGCCGTCAACCGACATGCCTAATCTGCCGAATCCCCACTCTCCGGCTGGTAGTGCGGGTAGCGGAGGTGTAGTTGTCCACACCGATGGTGGTCGGGTCCTTCCTCCGGATCAGGATCAGCCCATGCGTGAAATTCCGCCCACTTACGACAGCATCGCTCAGTGAGAGCGCTGAAGGGACTCTTCATCTATCTTAATTCCAATGACTTTTGATATGTACAAAATTGGCACACTCTCACGTTTACTAATTTCAAACTTGGACTGTGCATGGTACTACGAATTGCTATTCAGTGCTGTATCTTCATGGCATTGCATTACTTAGATGGCTAGGTTCGAAAACTGGGAGACGCCAAGAGCACTTGTAAGCACAGCCCGACATCTATGCGGGACTGTGGTGGCCTGCCATCAGCTCAAATTTAGGATTCATTGTAAACGCCGTGCCTGAACGCGCAAATATAAAACCCTGGTGGTCATTGATAGCAAGGCCTGGGAATTCAATCTGTAGAAGGCATTTTCTTGCCTGCCTTGCGCGAAGCATCTATCTTCAATGTCGAGCTTTCCCATCATCCTCAAGCTTTTCATTCAATCTGTTGCTCGAAGTTGGACTCCCCAACTCATCCATCAGATCGCGTGACGTCGACATTTTCCCACTTTCCCCTTCCTCTCCACCTCACCCCACCTACCGGGCTCGGCGACGATGAGCCGCAGACTTCGAGTCCCAGCATCTTCAATGAGCTGGGCTCGTCCACTTCTCGTCCCGGTATTCCTTATTTCTCTGGCCATCCCGATCATCGCAGACCCAGCAACCCTGCCATTCACCGATTGTTTCAATGGCAATGCCTCGGCCAAGTTTTCCATTGACAAGGTGTATGGGCAGGTGTTGACGACGGACCAAACGGGGACATACCTCAACCTCACGGTGATAGGGAGCAGCCCTCAGGAGATTTTCGGGTTTGTGGACTCGAGTTCTAGTCTCGGTGAGTATATGCCGCATCGCGGGTTTGGTCGGTCTCACTGAAAACGCTCAGCCACCCTTTTCACGACAACCACCGTACTCACGCTTAACGTCTGGTCGAATAGTTCGTACCTATGTAACACCATCCGACCCGCATCCCCACTGCCCGTTCTCGACAACAGCACTGCCAACTACTGTCCCATCCAGGCAGGCCCTTTCGCTCTGTCATCGACCATTCCGTGGGGTGAGCACCGCCACCTTACGACGCTGAACACCAGGCTGCGTGCCGTCGACCCGTTCAGTAACGAGCTGCTGTGTCTCAGCGTCAACACCACACCCCTCACACCTACGGCGGAGTCGCCGTATGGCGTCGCTCGGGGGATATTCTGGGCCACAGTGGGCCTTGCGATGGGATATTGGGTCATTATCGGCATCGCACGGCTGGTCTCTGCGTGGGGCCGCGGCACGACGAGACCGGGCCGGTCGTTGTGGGCCAGGGTGCAGAGTGCTGGTTTCATCCTTGCGAGCGCAATCAGTGGCGAGCGGTTTGCGACGTCTCCGGCGCTTATGCGGTTTAGCACACCTTGCATGAGGGATGTCATATTCCATACACAGTGGTGTGCGGCACTCGCGATGGTGGCCGTTCAATGGCCCGACTTTGCATGTGAGTTCCCAGTAGCAGTTCATCAGTACATTCATCATTCCCTTCCTTACTGCTTTCAGATCCGTTGCTAGCCCAGACGTCCTGGGCTACTCTGAGCTACAGTAAGTGTCAACTTGTCCTTCCGCGGCCGTTTCATTTGGCTCACGGAGCCGTGCTCAGATATCACACTAACGAATCATTTCCACTGGAATCCCCTTTTCACGTTACCTTACGACCCTCCATCGACGTTCAGCTCTCAACTAGCTGATCCCACTTCGGCGATCCATGTCAATTCAACAGCTCCGAATATTCTGTTCACGCTGCCGTCTAATGCGACAATGGGCATGTCAATGTTCGCCTACACAATTGGCGTGCGACCACGGGACCTTTGGGGTATCTGCATGATCCTCTTTCTCGCCATTCTCGCTGCAACAATCGTGCTCTCCGCCATCGTCTGGTTCATCGATTTCATCGGCGGAATCGGCACTGGCACGGTCTCGCGACCTGGACGCCGGGCGCGCAGTCCCGGCCCGAAGGAGCTTGAGATGTCTGCCGAGGAGTCGAAAGTGGCCATGTTCCGACCCTCTTCTCGTCTGGCGCTGTCCGGAACGTTCGGTAACGGCACTTCTTGGTATCGGATTCGGACAGAGATGAGCTCGTTCCACTGGAGTGTGCTGGCTGGTAACCTGGTCCGGATCCTCGTTCTGTTCCATCTGCCCATCACGATCTTCTCGTCATTCCAAATGACCCAGAGTAACGAGTTGATGCGTACCCGAGCTCTGGCAGCGCTGTCGTTCGCGTTCTGTTCGGTGGTGGTCCCGGTGTACCTCGTGATTCGAGTGACGCTGACGACGACGAACAAGCTCTATGACGAGACCCGGACGTTGCTGGCTTTTGGCCCGCTTTATAATCACTACCGACACGGCAGCCAGCTATTTGCGAGTCTGCTTTTCGCTACAAATATCGTGTTCGGTGTTGTGATTGGGGCGGGACAGAAGAGTGGAACTGCGCAGGCGGTCGTGATCCTCGTAGCGGAGGTTGTGTCTGCGCTCGTTACGAGCATCTGGTTGCCTTGGGGTACCGGAGCCAGCATGGGATTGATCAGCTTTCTGTTCTGCGTTGCGAGGATTGTCGTGGCTGTGCTTCTTGTAATTCTCACACCGGCGGTGAGTGCTTTGCATCGAGCTACCTGTTCATTTTATTCATCGTCGTGCCCTAGATATCTATTGGTGATGGTGCTGGTGCTTGGGTTGCCTATGGGATTCTCGTCATTCTCGCCCTCGTGTATCTGGCTCTGAGTTTGATGCTACTGATCAAGCTTATTGAAGGAGCGGTTCGCATCGTCGGCCGTGTAGGGTTCGACCGAAGCAACCACGCTGTCGACAGCGGTCTGCTCGGTGCCTGTGGTTTGCTGGGATGCTGTGGAGCCCGAAAGCGACACCATGGGAAATCGCGTAGCAGTCGACCATCTCGTGCCGAGACTGCTCATTCGGAGGGTTCTACAGTTCTTCTCCCCCCGGCACCTCTCGAGTCTTCGAATGGCAAGGGCTCGATCCACTCGCAACATGTCCCGTCTGTTTTACGACCAGAGCACGCCCTGCGGCCGTATCGGGAAGAGAGCGATGACGAAAGCGGCTATATCATGGGCGCCTGGCAGCCGTTCCCGCGACCTGGGTACCAGGTTGTCAAGGACACGGCGCCCTCCTCCGGTTTCTCCAGGGTCGGCGGCGGTCGAGCACACATTGACACGCCGTATGCGATACAGTCGAAGACTGCGTTGGCGTCTTCGTCGTCGACCCCGACTCTGGAATGGCCCACGATCGACGACGACGAAGCCCCTCCCGTCTCATCTGTCATGCGCCCGCAACGCTCAGAGACTAATGTTCCGCGTGGAGCGATGCTTCCGCATATGAGAACGAAATCGCAGACCGCCATCATCGAAGATGCCACCCCTCTTGCAGCAGTAGCAACACTCCACCCAGTGTCAGCCGCAGATGAGGACGACGACGATGATGACCATTCGGATGTAACACAGCGGAGGAAGAAGCCGTGGTACCATATCCGGCGACATCGACCCCACAGCGATGGCGCGGCCCCGTCCTCGTTTCCGGCAGCAGCAGTGGAACAGGCTGCGGCTGCGACTTCAGATGTGCCGGCCGGGAGGTCGTTTGTGGTCATCAGGAAAGGGGGCCAGGCCTCCCCCGGCAGGTCCGCACAGTTGTCGATGCCAACGGATACTCGCCCTGCTTCCAGTGGATGACGATCTACCTGTAATATGTACTGTTTATTCTATGGACCATCGATCAGTTCTGCTCTACTACGAGATCGTGTCGCTCACGATCCACCCTTTGAACGCTGCTCAGAATCTTCATGTTTGTGTTGGAGCTGATCACGTGCAAAGTCTCCGGTCCTTAGTCTCACAGCGATGAGTCGATTGGTACAACTCCGACGATCTCGCCCTTACGAGAGGCAGTCAGATTGACTATAGTGGCTGAAGATTCGCCACGGCGAATCCTCCTCGGGGAAGTCGGAGCTCGGCGTGAGCTGTGCCACCGGTCGAGGACCGACACAGCGTGAAAGGGATTGCTGACGATCGCTGTTGATCATCGCATCTCAAAAGTAATTATAATCGCAATTTGAAAATACAGTATACTAGGTTTGCGCAACCGTGCTGGGTATACTCAATAACTAACACTCGCAGTACAATCTCTGCTCGCTCATGTACCAGGCTGCTTGGTCGGAGCGCGAGACGAATGGTGATTGCTTCCACATGTCGGAGGCCATGAAGATCGTTCCTGGATACACATTTTGTTCGACTCGAAGCCCATGTTCTGCAGTGTGCACGGAGCCTTGCTGTACCGAAAATACGCGACGTAGTCTGGGATGGTGAGCAGATGGCATTTGTAATGACTTGCGGGGGATCTCCGACTCAGACTTTTGATGAGGCGACCGTCAAACAGAAGTGAGTGTCGTTCTGGTCGGCATAACACAAGATACCGTCGGTTTGAGGAGCCTACCAAGAGCGCACTGGATTGTTCCTTCTCGGTTTGAGGGACAATAGGCATACTGTCCGGAATCCGGATGCTTGTGCGATAGTCGACGTAGATGGCGGTCGGGTTCAAGTCGGGTCTCCCGGTATGGAGCACGTGGCATTCAGGAGGGCGTGCGAAGAGTGGGGGAGCAGGCGGGGAGTTCCCCTACCTTCCCAGCTGGCGTCACGTTCTGCGCCAGACAGTGTTCAATGTGGTCGTGTAGTGAGTAGTGCTGTGCAGTACATAGATTGCCTTTCATCGTATAATACAGGTACATAGTCGGCCATAGGTCATGGTTGGAATACAGGGACGGCCGTGCGAGTAAGTACAAGCACGGATCATGCTCGACGCCGCAGCCCCTCACACGATTGCTCCGGAACATCTGCGCATTCACAACTTCGCTTTCATCATTCCTTCCTCTTGCACACCATTCACCAGGGTGCCTATTCCGTTCCCCAGCGACACAGTGACCTGGTCCCCATCCTTGAGATACAAAGCCGGCTTCCGTGCGAACCCGATTCCTGCTGGGGTGCCGGTGAGAATGATGGATCCAGGAGCGAGAGTGGTGCCCTGAGAGAGGTAAGCCACTGTCTGGGCGACATTGAACACCTGCTGAGAGGTGTTGCCATCTTGCACAAGCTGCCCGTTCAGCGTGCACCTGAGCGGTATCGTTTGGGGATCGGGAATGGCAGTTGTGGAGACGAGGCATGGACCGAGTGGGTTAGAGTCGTCTGCAAGAGTTGATCAGCTTCATCGCTCAAGGGGGGTTTCCCGTACCAAAGTTCTTTGAGAACGTCCACTGCGACACCAAGAACTGGTGTTTCCGAAAAGACACGTCGTTGGCGCCGGTGTATCCGAGCACATAGTCAAGAGCGTCGGTTACTGACACATCGCGGGCGGCCTTTCCAATCACGATCGCCAATTCGACTTCGTAGTCCGGGAAATGTTCTGCGACCGGTTGTGCGGCCTTTGGTATCACGATAGGCGCATTCGGTCCAATGAGGGACGACACCGGCTTCGAGAAAAGCGTCGGGAAGCTAGAAGGGCGGGTTCAGACACTGGCGGTCGGAGCGCAAACCACGCACGGTGGAGGGGGCAAGTTGGCTTCGGCCTTGTGCAAGTGTGAGTCTCTGCGGTGCGAGCGCTGCTGCGACATACAGCATGGTCTGCATAATTGAGGCCCAGGCACCGGACATAGCCCACTTGCTCACGGGACAGCGGACTCAGCAGCTGTTGTACGGTCAAGATGCGCTCGGTGACCTGAGCGGCGGGGTCCAGGGCAGACCCAAGGATCTCGAAGGCCCGGATAGGCGTGCCTTTCGATGCTGCGAGACCGACTAGAAGAGTCAACATCACTGGCACACCGCTGACAGAACCGCTCACCATCTAGCTTCGGGTCGACAGGTTGACCGATGTGCACTTGCGCCGTTTCCGCAGCGACAAAGCGGATGAGTCGTGTCCACTGCTGACCAGGACGTCAGCCATTCGCCCGGTTACGGAGCAACAAACGCACGGGGTGGATGGGGGACATGGAGGTAATCGCAGGTGGAGTTAGCGGGAGCAGCCTTTATATATGTCGTGCACCGTGAGACTCGGTCCGCGGAAGATCGCAGTGATTTCGGGTCCCCGCTGATGAGAACTTGGGGGGTTCAAGGATGATCCGAATGTGTGCTAGCCGTGCGCCACTGTCCACACTCATTAAACCGAGTTGGCTACATATTGGCCTGGAGAATGGAGATGGATCCGGGTCGGACCATTGACTGGCTGAAATCGCATGCGGACGTGAGACAAGTGGGATTGCCAGTTGATCATCGACGTCGTTGACAGAGGACACGGTCACATGACTCGCTTAGCCCTTGCCGAAACTCAACCACTCCCGCCATCTCCTCGTGGCATCGCATTTTTTAGAGCTCAGCCGATCGTGTCCCTTCTCATGAGCGAGAAGCTTGAATCCCTCAAGCGAAGATTAGAAGATGTTCTTGATGACGTGCGTTTTCTGGGCTTTCCGACCAGCACGCGACACCGACACTCTCCCAGCTCTCCTCCCCACGGAGTACCAGCATCGACAAGACCGAGGCATTGAGAAGCTTGGAGAGGATACTGGCTGCCGCGTGTGCCCGCACGAACTCCGACGAGGATCGAGACGTTTTCATCGCACTCCAATACACTTTTGAATGCAATGGTGCGTGCACCATGCTTGATCATGGCATGCTGACACTCAGCTCCGGCAGTATCGACCAAGATCCTCAGCTGGATTATGGCCTCGACCTTCGCTCTCGAATCCTTGATATCTCAGGGGGGCGTCGACAGTGTGTACCTTCTACGTGTCTCTGACCTGCCTGACCTGACTCGCTGATAGCGGAGAGACGAGCGGAGATTTCGGATATTACCGCCCAGCTATCGCTGGCTCTCTCAATCCTCCAAGGCGTTTGTCTCATTCACCCTGCAACCAAGGCATCTCTCGGCCGTCGATGCGCTTTGGAGGTCAGATCACATGCATATATCGCACGATGGACTTGGCTCATTCCCTCCACTCTAGGTTATACTTGATCTTTTTCTCGCATCCCGCCACTTATCACTGCCCGAAACCGCATCGAAAGCAAACGTTGCCAAGGCTCAGCCACTCGCCAGTGTGATTCTGGACACACTGTTGTGTGTGCTGGTCGACTCGTCGCCCGCGCTGCGTCTCTTCGAATCGTGCCAAGGCGTTCACGCCGTTGTGAAGATATTGAAGCGGGCAGGGACTCCTCGGGAAGTGCGGTGCGTGGTCTGACGTGTTTGCGCTGGCTTCCCAGAGCTCTAAGCACGATGATAGAATGAAATGTCTAGAGTTCCTATACTTCTATCTGCTAGACGAAACAAACGTGTCTCCTGTTTCAGGGCTACCTTCAGTCACCATGCACAAGGCACCGATTGACTCGGCCCCATCGACCCCGAGACCATTGCCTCGGCACCCATCCTCGCACAAGCCTTTCATCAACGCGGTTCCCAGTCGCCCTCCCTCCCGATATGGGTCCTCCACCTACTCGTTCTCATCCGGGTCCACGAGTTTCGACAGCTCGCTGTCGTCCGGTTCTTTTGACACGACGACGACCTCGTCGTCGTCATCGCCTTTCTCGTCATCGCCTTCATCGAGATCCACGTCAGGAAGCTCTTTCTCCTCGACGACCTCAGCAGTGGGCTCCGTTTCTCCGAAGAAGCGATCTCAGTTCCTGCCCGGGGCTGGGCCCTCTACGCCGGGCCCACCTTCGCCGAAAAAGCCCAGCTCGGCCCTGCCCCGCACGCCCGGCCAGGCCCGGCTACCGAATGCTCTGCTGATGCTGAGGAAGGACGTGGAATTTGTACCCCAGAGTCCCAAGCGACCGCCGGGTTCTTCGTCGAGCAAGGGGACGCTGCAGATCAGGTCACGACTGGGATCACTGCGGCCGGAGGTGGTGACTTCGGAGGAGAGCGACGGGGACTTGGAATCGGGATCGGAGACGGCATGTGAGTCGAGCAGGGGTTCTGATACACGGACGACGGAAGAGAAAAAGCGATTGTTGGGGACGATGCTCGGGAATGTCGAGGCCCTTGTGGAGGGCGTGAAGAAGGCCGGTATATGGGGCCTTGGCTAGCTGGTGACCTCTGAGTGCCGTGTCTAGGGCGATAGAGACTGATTCTATTAACAAGGATTGGTTCACAGCAAACAAGTTTGTGTAGACTACGGTAGTACAGCACTGTAGTGTTTTGGAGGGCGGAGTTGTTCTTGCGGCCACAGGGTGGGCTGAAGGTGCGGATTGGAGCTTGTGTCGTGGAATGGCGTTCATATCCCGTCTCATGTGTTCAGTGAGGATAGAAGATGAATCCAAATGATTGTGTGATTCACGTGTATCGCGCAGAAAGTTTGCACGTGAGGACTTCCGGCCGATGATCCACCTCCTTCAGCATTCCTCTTCTCGTCGCCTCAAAGTGAATCCATTCCATTTCTATCCATCGGCGAAACACGGTGAACTGGCTGGATGACGCCGACGGGGCTCGCAATCATGTGGACAGATAAACACCGCAATCTCGGTGTTTTTTTTGCTCCCTTGCACTCTCATCTCTTGTCCACCAGCTGTTGTTCTGCACAACTCGCGGAGGTCTTCTCGAAACTAGATTCTATTTGACATGGACCTCATTCATGTAGTGGATCAGCTCCCCCGTCGTTTCTATAGTCGATTGAACCGACGTTCCCGGGGTCAATTCGTCTTTCAAAACTCGCATGGTCTTCCCCCTCAGCGCGCGGCACCAGCTGTGCTATTTTTATGCACTGTACTGCATAGATATTGAATTATGGCCTACTCCTCCTTCCCCGCCGAACTGAGCTGCTTTCCGACGGCGTCGTCAGCTACGCTCACCCTCCTTTCTCTCGCAGTGCTCTCCTCTGCAGCTGCCGAGCTCTCTGCCACCCGTGTCATGCTCTCTCCTGGAGCTGGAGCGGTGAGTCGTCGCACCCTGTTGAGGGTATCCTGATCGCACAGTTCAGCGTGCCATTCATCGGCAAAACAAGGCGCAGCAGCGCGAAAGTGGCATCCCTCGCGGCGGCTCGGGGCGGCGACAAGACCAAGACTACGCACCTGGACGGATCGGACTTTGCAGAGGAATACCTGACGGATGTGACTATCGGCGGTCAAACTTTTCCCATGATCGTCGATACTGGAAGGTGTGCTCCTAGACGTGAAATTCGTATGTGTGCTGACCAGCCGTGCCGTGTCGTGAAGCTCCGATACCTGGGTTGTGCAGAAGAACTTCAGCTGCTACGACTTGCAGAGCAACCCCGTCTCGCAGGCCTCTTGTGGTTTCGGCTCAGACGGCTTCGACACTTCGGCTTCCAAGACATTTCGGTCTTTCCACAACGTTAGTTTCGATATCACATATGGCGACGGAGAGTTTCTTCGGGGTCCTGTTGGATTCGACAGACACGGTAGAGGTTGCTGGGATGATGGTCAAGAATCAGGAGATTGCGGTGCCGAACTTCGCTGCGTGGAACGGCGATGGGGTCAACTCTGGGCTCATTGTGCGTTTGACAGCATTGTGTACAATATCTTGTTCTCTGACGATTACCAGGGCTTGGCTTTCCCTCTGCTGACGAGTGTATTCAACACCTCGGACCCGACTCAGGCGTCGCGCAAGAATCAGCTGCCTTACGATCCATTCTTCGTCACTGCTTACAAGGAGAAGAAGGTGCACAAGCCCTGCGAGCCGGATACCAGATCTTCATGCATTTCTGTTCATTCATGTGCCTTGCAGACTTTTCGATTGCACTCAACCGCGGCACCTTCGAGCAGCAGCTCAACAACACGTTTGATGCTGATATCGGGTACCTCGCATTCGGTGGCCTGCCTGCCAAAGTTCCAGTCGAAGAAACCTCGGTGACGGTGCCAATCCAGGGTATCTCGACGACGACTGGAGAGGCGTCTGCTGGCACAGGTGCAGCGTATCTCTGGTATACCATCGACGTCGAGTCATACACGTTCCCAGGGTTCAAGGACCTCGACACGGCCAGCGATATGACCATCCTTGACTCTGGAACGACGCTGAACCTGCTCCCGACGGCGGTCGCGGCGGCGTATGCGAATGGATTCAAGCTAAAGGCGACGTCGGACAATGAGTTTGGGCTCTACGCTGTGGACTGCTACGCGACCGTTCCAGAGTTCCTCGTCACTGTCGCTGGAGTGGCCTTCACGATTGATGCGGGAGACCAATTGCTGCCGACGATTAGACAAGATGGCTCGCTCACTTGCATCCTCAGGACTCAGGACGGCGGCCAGCCAGGAAATGGCAGCGTTTTCATCTTGGGAGACACCTTCCTCCACAATGTTGTCGCGACATTCAATCCCATCGACGCCGAGGTCACAATCACTCAACGTAGTACGTATTAGACTGTTACAAGAGATGTGCCTCAGTCTGAGGGAAGCCATGTGGAACGCCAGTGCTACATAGAGCCATGAAACGGTTGCGTGCTGATTTAGGAATGGCTGAACCTGAATCAATAGTTCCGTCGGAATCCCAAGCTTAAGGCAGCTTAAGGTAAGGCGGTGTGAGGAACCATCAAATCCGGGTTATCCTGGAGTGATCTCAGGTAGCTCGCAGAGACCAGGTACTGAGATGATTTTCTAGCCTTTAAACCGACAAATAGCGTGTTCTCACATAGTGCTTGACTCATTTTTCAGGTGCGACATTGTCACGTGCATCAGTTATCTGCGAGATTTCTCGGGTATTCACCTGTTCAGGGTCCAGGGGAGCCCATTCCATCACCAGCCATCACCCTAGTCGCTCTAAAAGGAAATAACCCGAAGCCGAGGGTGGTTGCCATCTCGAATTGCGTTGGTCTCCCGGCGGCACACTTACCAAGCCATCTGGTAGAACTCCGACTGACAAACGCTGACCTTATCTGACGCGCCTCCAATCTGCCGCTGCCGAGTCTTCTGCAATCGTCATCGTCGTGCCGCTAGGGTGCTGGAGGAAATACATGGCCTCCTGCGATCTGCTCTCCCCAACCTGCTTAGGCTACTGCTGCTCATGTCTTTCTTCGCACCTCCGCCTGCCCCGCCAACCAAACTTGGTCGTTATCGCACCCTCTCTCCACTCGCCGGCGTGCATGTGTCTCCACTTCAGCTCGGCGCGATGAGCATTGGCGACCAGTGGAACAAGCTCGGGCTCGGAGCAATGGACAAGACAGACAGCTTCAAGCTCCTCGACGCGTACTTTGACGCTGGCGGGAACTTCATCGACACTGCGAACAACTAGTTCGTCCGACTCTTCGGGAGCTCGCAGTCTTACCATACTCACATGTCGCTGCAGCCAGGATGAGACCTCTGAGAAGTTCATCGGCGAATGGGCTGAGCAGCGCGGGATTCGCGACCAGCTCGTGATCTCCACCAAGGTCGCTCTGCATTGTCGCTCCGCACAGATTCCTACGCTGATGTCTCGTCTAGTACACGATCCCTTTCAAGGCGCGGCAGGACGAGTACGCGCAGAAGGTAACCTACGGCGGCAACAACGTCAAGTCGATGGTCGTCAGCGTGAACGAGAGTCTGAAGAAGCTGCGCACGTCCTACATCGACATCCTCTACTTGCATATGTGGGACTGGGACACGGGCGTCGCGGAAGTGATGAACGGACTGCACAATCTCGTCGTGCAGGGCAAGGTTCTGTACCTCGGCGTGTCCGACACCCCGGCGTGGATCGTTTCCCAGGCCAACCAGTACGCCATCGACCACGGCAAGTCGCCATTTGTCATCTACCAAGGCGCCTGGAACGTCATGGAGCGCTCGTTCGAGCGAGAGATTATCCCTATGGCCCGCGCCCACGGTCAGTGAAGTCAACTTCATCGCGGAGAGTTCCCCGCTAACTCGCACAAAGGTCTCGCTCTCGCCCCTTGGAACGTTCTCGGCGGCGGCAAGTTCCGCACAGATGCCGAGGAAGAGGCGCGTCGGGCTTCTGGAGAGAAAGGTCGAATGTGGGCTGGTGACTGGGAGCGCACAGATAACGAAAAGAAGATATCTCATGCGCTTGAGAAAGTCGCTAGTGAGGTCGGCACGACGAGCATCACAGCTGGTGCGCAAACATCTCTTGGTCATGGCGGCCACTGACCTATGCTTCCACAGTTGCTATTGCCTACATTCTCCAGAAGGTCCCCTACTGCTTCCCGATTATCGGTGGGCGCAAGATTGAGCACCTCAAAGATAACATTGAGGCGCTGGATATTTCCCTATCCGCCGATCAGATCGCCTTTCTGGAGAGTGTCGTCGCATTCGATCCTGGGTTCCCGAGTACAATGATTGTAGGCCCCTCTTCCGAACAAATCCCGGCAAGGCTGATCATCGTGCTCAGGGAAACGGCTCTGCCACAAATGGATTCTTACAGACTTCAGGCCACTTTGACCGTCTCCCTCTTCAGCAAGGGATCCGCCCCGCAACATGACAGTTGAGGGTCCTTATCCAGGGACTTCCCGCGAGATAACAGAGACCTTGATAAAGAAGTGGTCGCGGATCGGGAGCAATCACAATCACCATTGTAATATGAATGAACAACTCTAGGGCTCACACACGGGTAGCACTGACTTGGATCACATTTGTTTCTGCGAATTTACTGTGATACTTGCAGCGGTTTCAATCCACTCTGATGACAACCTTCCCAACGTGAGCCTGAGAAGCAAGATACTGATAGGCCGCCTTGGCTTCGTTGAACGGGAACACTTTGTCTACGACGGGACGAGTGACCGCTGGATTCGCTGCGATGAGCTTGTTCATGTTATTGAATCTGGTGTCCTTATTTCAATGTATAACGGTTCGGCGCAATAATCCACGTACTGTTGTACTGATCCAACCTGAATGCCGCGGATCTTTAGCGACTTGCGGATGCAAATGCCAATGATATCGGGCGCCGCGATGTTGTGGCCGCCAACGAAGCCGATGATGCTGATAGCCCCACCGATACGCAAAGCATTGATGGATTTCATGAGTGTGCCGTTGCCTCCGACCTGAAAATCATGAGCCTTGGGATGAACAAGTCACTGATGCGCACCTCGATGATGTGATCGACACCACGCCCGCTGGTGAGTCGTTTGATCTCTTCGTCCCAGTCCGGCGTCGTGTTGTAGTTGATAACGTGCTGCGCGCCGAGCTTGCTGGCGATCTTGAGCTTTTCGTCTGAAGAGGACGTACAGATCACCGTGGCGCCAGATGCGATTGCGAATTGGAGAGCGAAGCTGATAGCATTGAGGCACAAAGACTGGCGACTGCGATGGACACACTGACATCGACACACCACCCGTTCCCAGAACGAGGACCGTGTCTCCACCTTTCAAAGGCTCGTACCCGTCAAGGAGCGCGTTGTACGCCGTGAGCCCCGCACAGCTGACATCGCTGAGCACATGATTGGACGGAAAGGAAAGAACGCACGGCAGGGTCGACGCTTCCTCGTAGCTCAGGTGATCCGGAATCTTCACAAGCGCCTACACACCCAGGTGAGATTCATCCTATTCTGGCACACGAGCAGGTGTAACCACATACTTGGGAAGGATACGCGCGATATTCGACCAGGGTCCCATCGACGGCTCCACCGAGCGCCGTCGCAGATATGGCTTCGGTCGTTTCATCCCCGAAGAGTTTCCCCAGCATGAAGTTCGGGCACACGCGATCCCCGACTTTCCAATCCTTGACGGCATCGCCCACCGCAACAATTTCACCGGCGACGTCAGAGCACGGGATCAGATTGTCAGGCAAGCTAGCATAGGGCATTGAGTGCGTTTCCAGGGACAAGTCTGTGGCTGCGCGCACCGGCTAGGATAGGTGCCATTCGCCACGATCAGGTCGCGATACTGGAAGGCCAGTTAAAGAAACGATCCATTCCAGTTTATAGCTGTGCGCACCTGCAGCGAGACGGCGTGTGCCTTGAGCAGGACCTCGGTCGGCTTGGGCTTGGGCACCGGTGCATCAGGGAGTAGCACCAGATTATCGAGGGAGCCAAGCTGCGGAGCGTGATTACACGCGCTTTCAACAAGTGTCAAATATCAGAGTACCTTGGGGAATATATATTGTCGCGCAGTAGATGGGATTGGCATTGGAGATTCTGAGAGAGCAGAGGTCGAGCCATCGGTGCGATGATATACCACTAGATGACAAAGATGATCTTTCAATTACGCCATACTCTGGGATAAGAGATGCTCATGGCCCATGGTAGTCACGGGCGCCGCAGAATTGGGCTGTGAAAGTTGTGTGAGGGACCGAATGTAAATCGGGAAACCACCATCACCGCTACTACGTCAGAGCTTACAAATCCGGGAACAAGCGGACAGATAGCTAGCCCAGGGTTCTTATTCTGACTGAGACAGTGCAGCTTAGATCTTCTCGTCATTTTTGCTGTTGGTTCATGTGTCGGACTTTCCAAAGGTCTCCTTGTCCGCATGTTTTCGATCATCTCCAGCGCTCTCTCCCTGTTCGTTCAATCGGCCGACGTCAACGATGATCTACCGGCTACCCGTACTTCTGCTTACTTTGCTCTGAACTCAAGTCTCATCTCCTACTCCTGCAGCAACGGGCCCGGACCGCATCACCACGGCATACACAGTCCTCCTTCGCTTCCTCCCGCCGGAACTCGTTCTCATCGTGGTCGAACTCAGCGATCTGACCCACGTGGAGGACATACGAGCAGAGCGACTTGTAGCTGCAGCATCGCACGCTGCGCAAAACGATGCGCACCACGTCTATCTTGTGTCGAAACCTATTCTGCGTGGATGCGGGCCAGCGGATGAGGTTATAGCTGAGGGTGGGATTCCGCTGCGAATCAAAAGCGTTGAGTATGTCATCAAGAGTCGGGACCAGGGATGGTGTAGCGATGCTAGTCTTCAAGGTATGTATCATCGTACAAGCGCTCCGAGTCCAGTCCCTCTTACCTTATTACAGGCACATACCGCGGCTCTAGCTGGTTCGAAGCTGCCATCCTGCGCCTTCCGGATGGCCACCGACCCGTATCTCACAAGAACTACGAACCCGACTTTGAGGTCCCAGTAACTGACGACCACAATGCGACACGTTGGCTGTTGCAAAAGAACTTTTGCGGTTCTAGCGACATTCGAGAGCACTCTATCATTTGGAGCTCGGAAGAATCGCCTGCGGAGTCTCCATGGCTCGAGACAGGTGCCGGTAATGGCGACGGTTTCGTGCAGAAACTGAGACACGGCGACTGCATTGCCGTCTTTGCACGAGCGCGGGCAAGTTCTCCCGCACCTTTCTCAATTAGCACTGATGCCTGCCACCAATAGTACCCTGGCTGGGTTAACCATGTCGAAAGCGTCAAAATCACAGTTACATATGCTGTGGCATGAGGGCATGCAATTCATGGTGCGTGATAAGAGGAAGGACGCTCTGCCACAGTGTGGAAAGCATTGGCAGCAGCCAAGACTACTATCTGCTTCTCATGACCGATGTGAGCTCTCATGTAGCCTTTATATATCATGCTTGCAATCATGGACCCCGCTTCCTCAAGGTCGACCGTATTTCCGCAGACCCGTACGCCCAATGGAGCAGCAGTATTTGCATCCCAAATAGAGAAGAAAGCCCATGCTTTGCGAGACAGATGGTTGCCATGATCATCAAACGAATCCTTCGCAGCCTCAGTGCGCGATCCAATGCTGAGATGTCTGACGCGTGGATTGTGATATGAATGGGGGAAAATGGTCGGCAAGAGCAGGGAATCGTTGGAGGAACACGTCCGATGGCAAGTGGCCGCGAAGAATTCAAAGAAGAATCAGATGCTGTATGCAAAGATTCGCCTCCTCAACTATTCTTGATGCAGATGTCCATTCTTTCCGTGAATTTCATCTCCGTCGAGGTAAAGACATTGTATTACGAGACGTTGGCATTGCCTAGCCAATCATTGATCTATCAGGATTTCATCGCAGACGACTCCTCTGACAGTCGTCACGCAGACTACTTATTCCCTCAGAAGGATGCATCCTGGCTCACACATTGCCTAGACCGCGTCGCTCGCACATTATGAGTGAAGCGCTGCCGTTCCCGAGGCGACATCGCTATCACGAGCTCTCGTAGATCCCGCGGGACAGATAGTGGAGGCGCTCAAGAGGTATCCTCAGCTTGCTTCGTGAGTCTCAATTCAACTGTGGTGATGAATTCTCTCATCTTGCGGCCGCCAGCGGCTTTTCAGGGTCTTCACCTGAAACCATCGATGGACACTCTCAACCTTGTCAGCCGAGAACGGAGGTTATATTAGAAGAGACATGAGTAACAGCAGCGACAAAGGGAAGGAGGAGAAAAGAACAGACTGTAGGTTCTCGGTGGAAAGGAGGCAAGGAGCTTGGAAAGCAGTACCCGAGAATGGCAAGGTTTTGAAACCGTTCGAGGAGAGAGACATTTTGAAGCGGATGCTCGCGAATACTAGATCGAGAAGACGGACGGACTCTTGTTCTACGTCTGAAAGCGCCAGTCGAACTTCATCAGTTCTGCGAATGCGGCGCGCAGAGACATCCAGGCTGACAATGTCGTCTGACACGACAAGCACGCGTTCGTTGCACTAGGGGGGATGAGAGATCCAAACGCCAGATACCGCCAAGTTAGCGAACTCACCAAGAAAGCACCGGACAGTTCATCCGCGGTTTGAGGAAGATCGGCCTTGCTGGTCCGGAATCTGGATACTCGTGTCATGATCGATGTAAGATGACGGTTTGGATTGCGCGTCGGTCGTCAGATAGTGATGCCATGTGCAGCGGGCTAGGGTCAAGGCTGCACGGACAGCGAGGAATACTACATTAGCATGATACTATCATACAAGAGCTATGTGGGAGACACAGACTGAGATCGGAACTTGAGAAAACTCAGCTTCGAGCAGAGATGGTTTGCAACAGAGAATCCAAGAGGTAAACCGCAGACTCCGAATCCGCCAGTGTGCCCAACTCGTCTTCATCACGGTCCTTGTAGATCTGGAGAAATTGATCGGCGGCACCAGACATCGCAGCAACACGGGCGCATGCGGCGCGTATGGCAATCAGCTGGGGATCAGGCAAATCCAGGCGAACAGGGACCTCAATGCCGGCGGCATCTCGTTCCGCATCGGCATCAACGCGAAACTTCACTTGTCTGAGTGGCGTCGGCGTCTGACCGAAGAAAGTCTGTGGATTGCGCGCAACGACGTTGTAGGTGTGTTCCTGAATAACGGTGATCAGACTAGGTGAATTGGAGAAGGAAGCGTAACAAGACTCACTTGTCCAGGAACAGCTTCAAACCAAAAGGCAAGGTGGTCAAAGTCCACCTGTAAGTTCATACACATGGTCATGACGTTGAACAAGTTATTGGCACGTTTTCCGAGTAAGTTTTGTACCACGGATCCCAAGCCAAACAGTTTCAGAATCGCCAGCGCACTTGTCGCATAGTCTGGGTTCTGGGCGGGACATCAGTAGGTCGCCATGGGCGGGTGCGACTGGAAGTAAACTGACAGATTGGGCCGCTGTCGAGAATAAGTGAACAACACGGGTTCCGATTTGACTTGCACCCTCTGCCGACGCTTTCGCTTGGAGCTCGGGAATAGCCTGGAGAATATCTTTATCGTATAAGCCCGTCAAAACGCATTTGTAGCCATCCCGCAAGAGTGCCTAGACGTCTAGATAAGAAAAGCCAGCATGCACATGATGGACTCACATCAGCCTTGGCCTGAGATCGGGTCCTTCCTTCTCCGGGTTCGACGTTGGCGATATCACTCAGTATTCTGGCTCTGTGCTCTTCATAAGACGGTCGGGAAGCGTGGGCAGATGGGGTCGGGATACGATCGGTAGCGGCGTAAACTGGAGAAAATAATCACTATAAGAAAGAACGAGAATGGGAGATAAGCCGACTTACAGACGCGAAGGAGTTGGTTTCGAAGATCCAAGCCCATGGTGAATATCTTCTCATTACACAAGTCGACTCCCACAGCGTCCTCAGGTGCCATAGGCACGTTACAGGAGAATACCTCCTTACACAGCCGTGCGTACCCTGCACTCTGGCTGTGTTCCCAAAAATCCTTGATGAACCACCCTATGAGCCGAACAGCAACGACTTTGTCTTTATACATCGCCGTAGATTTGGGAAGTGCCAGAGCCGCGCTTTCGGCGGAGAGGAGGAGATGCCACGCACTAACGCCTCTGGGGTCCAGTCCGATCTCATTAGCAGGTGGAAGGGGCCAGCTTTGGCCCAAACGAGGGATCTGCGGGTAGATCATGATGCGAGAAACGACTTGAAATCGGGTCCGTGACAGTGACAGTGTGACTGGAGATATCGTCATAACCAGAGGCAGGCTGCAAGCAGGGAGACGAAAACATTGAACGAGACTTACTTAATCTGAAGTGAGAATGCTTTTTGGCCTCAAAAATCGTCCTTTGGGTAAAGATCCGTTTACGGCATTCCTGCCTGCCGAATGATTGTATCAGACATAATCGAGCTTACAGTGTAAGCTGTCGGATGGTGAACGGTCTTTCACCCCCTGTGCGCCTTGGAATCCAACTTGCAGAGTCATTATCTCTTGCTGGGTGAGAAATTCACAGCTACTTTCGACGCCGTGCACTTGAGCGTGCGCGCTTGCTGGGTGATCGAGAAGCCTCACTGAGGCAGGTTCGAGCATATCCATCATCCAACTGGTTGATGATGTCATTCTCGCCGAAGCACCGTAGGAACATCCTATGCTCAGAGAGGCAGCTCAAAACTCAGAAAAGTGATTGGTGATACAAACGATACAATTTTTCGGTACTGTTATTTGGGTATCTCAAGGTCGTGTATGTGCGTTTCCTAAAATCCTGTTCCGCCGGTGATCTAAAAATTCGTTCAGAACGCTGACACATTTGATCTTTAGAGTAACCCACTTTAGCCTTGTCTGCCGCAATTTTCGATCCTTTGCCAGCTGCCGTGACATCGAGACCCGAAAAGTCCCAGGTGCCGGAGCAGGCGCCGCAATCGACGACGACGGACATCGCGCTGCTGTCGACCGCGACGGTTGTCGTTCCGCCGTTGAAAGCGACGCCCGAGATGGGTCCGCCTGTTCCGGGAGTGCCGTCGTTTGCGGGGTAGCTCTGAGTGATCAGGACGCCGTAGTCGGTGATGCCCGAGATCTTGTTTCTGCGGCAGGGTTAGATCGCGTTTTCATCTTTGAGCACTAGGGTCACACACGCTTCGTAGACAACACCGGAGACTTTGGCACCGGTGGCGCTGGCGTCGACCTTGATGCGGAGACCGTACAAGCCCCCGGTGATCGTGTTTCGGGCAGCTTTGAAGTTGGTGACAGATTTTCCGGATGCGATGGAGCCAATTGAGATGCCGTGGCTGCCGGTGCAGGTCGTGTCTTCGACGATGATGCTGTCTCCAGAGTTGACAGCGACACAGTCGTCCTGGTTGATGACAGTGCACTGGGAAATCGTCACGCCTGATGCGCTAACGTCAAACCCGTCGGTATTGTGGCCAAGAGCGGCACCGGCGGCTGCCTCGATGTGAGTATCCAATGAGAAATCAAGGTTTTGCACTCAACAGTTATCGACAGTGACGTGTTGGATGACGCTTGCAGCGGTGGTTCCCACGGAGATGGCCTGGGCGGGAGAGTTGAGGACGGTCACGGAGGAGAAAGTCCCTGAGCCCTTGAATCTGAACACGCAGAATTAGCACTGGAGAGGATGATAAGATGGGCGGTTTTCTCGTACTTGACAAAGGGATGGGGTTTGGTCACGCCCCCGTTGGTCCCCTGGCCGTCCCAGTACGCAGCACCATTTCCCTGCATAGGTTGAGAATCAATTATTCCACAAAATATAATTCGAGAACCAACATTGATGTTATGGTTCCCCCCGTTGAAATTGATGTTCGCAGTGTTGAATGTGATGAGCGGACCCGAAGCTAAAGTAAATCATTTGGTCAGTCGATCCGTCGATCAACGAAAGAACCACGGACAAGTGGTCTTTGCAAAGGTGATGTCTCCTGTCATCGTAACGGTGGCGCCGCTGGCCGCCTGAAAAATACATTAAGGTAGTGAATAAACTGAGAGATCTAAGACATACCGCAATTGTAACAGTTGACCCGGAGGGAACGGTAAACGCTTCGATGACGACGCTAGTGCAACTTCCGAGGTTAGATGCGCTTGAGACGCTATTCACCGTGCAGGTGGCTCGCTTGGCGGTCTCAGTTCTCGTGACGTTGCTTGGCGCAGCAGCAGCTACAGCCACGAGAGCAGCGAGTCGGAGAATTGTAGACACAGAGATCATTGTTGGAACGCTGAGAGTTGTTGAACTGGAGTCCACATACATGCTCCTTGCGTCCTTTATAGGGAGTCCCTAGACGACCGTTGTGCACAGCGGTCCGCCAGTCTGCCTGGAGGCGGTCCGCTCGGGATCGTTTATTCGTTCGTACGAGCGTCACTACCACCCCCGGCAATCGCACATGTCCTTCGCCGAGGAGTAACCGTGCTCAAAGATCCAGGTGAGGGCTTGTCACGACGAATTTTCATCAGGAACGGTTCACATGGTTTCCCTGGAGCCAACTGCTGACCATTCAAGCCCTGTATGTTTATCGCACCCGCGGGGAAATATTAGCATATGCACACGAATGACTGATGGGACACACATTTGGCATAGAGATCAAGCATTCGGGGATCTCCTTGCTCGCGAACTCAACGCATCACGGGAGCCTAGTCAGCACATGTTTCTCATTTGCCCAAACATGTTGTTATCCATGAATCGATCGAGAATATTGTATGCGTCGGTAGTGAATCGTGAAGTGGAAAGGGTCCGCTTCTCACGAGGTCGTGCGGGAGCCACTGTGAAAATGCATCCAGTCGCGACAAGACGACCTCCCAGTGAATCGATGACGTCTCTATGAGACTCGCGCCATAGAAAAGAGAGAATTCTGGAAGCCAAAACTGGTCATGAGCGAGTCCGGCTATGCCGCGTCGTGTTTCAGTGAGCTATTTTTGCACATCGAAGCGGTCCGACTGCTGCCGTCCCCGGTTACGTCCCGGCATTATTGGTCTCGAGATCGAGAAGCGGATAGAGAACCCGAAGCGAGACAAGATGAGCGCAGCCAATAGGTTGTGTCGATCTTATCCTAAATTTCTTCCTATGGGACAAAAAATGGTCCAAAGGCGGCTCGAAGAGCGGCCGATTAGTCAATGGCGCCCACAACGTATTCGCAGTTGCATGAGCCCAGGAGGATTGTGCCAGAGACCGAGAAGAAGTTGACCTAGTCTCTAGTGAGTGCGCCGCGAGACCTACTGCAGTCATGCTTTTCTGGTCAGTTGTTAATTTTGGTCAATCTGACCGCTGTCTGAAGAATCAGGGAGCTGGGACAGGCTTGAAATGGCTGGTAGCATCCGACATGCAACCGAAGCAGGCCGAGTGTCGAACAAATGTCCGTTAGTGGATCTAAGAAGATTCAGCAAGCTGAGAAATCGGACTAACAGAGCACATAACTTCTGCATTGATTCGATTAAGTTTATTTTTAGATGATGGACTATCAGTGAACTGCGGCCGAGTGGTTAGAACCTGTGTCAGAGGGTGTATGCCGTCGGCCGTTTTGACCGATCTGACAGCCTCCAGAACAGAGATTCGTGCCAGATAAACTATGTCCCAGGACCGCAGAACATGCCAGCAATCGGAGGACATGGCTGAGTAGTGTGGCCTTCAGCACTCAGAGTTTCGTTTCATCTTGTTCCCCAAAGGTGGACCAACAAGAGGCTCGTACTGTGAGCCTCAAAGACTCTTCAAACTTGTCGATATTTAACCGAAAGAGCGCATTAGAAGACAAGTGAGCGGTTGCCTTTCCGACGGCCAACTAGGGTGCCTAGTCGACCGGAGTGGCACATAGCAGATGATTGAGGTCTCATGGTTTTCACTCCTGTAGGGGCATAGGAATACTGCATGAGTCGCGAGTTTGCTGCGGAGTGAGTGTCAATGCGCCCTGCCAGGTCATCGCCCTCTACGAAAGCTGCTGATGCAGATCCAGGAGTTTTGGTCTATTATAAGATGTGAGCATCTGGGACCATGCATGTGTGGCGTCCGGTCATAAGGTCAAAGAACCCTAATCAGTGGCAATGGGAGAGGGACTGATCGTGGAAACCGACGGAGCATCCGTCTGACCGTCTCGACACCAGGACAGTTCGGCCAACGCAGTGGCTCGGTGTGATCCCAGTCTCGCGATTCCCAGGAATTCAGATAGATCTTTTCAGCAAACGTCCCAGAAACGAGTCGATGAAGTCGCTAGAGTAGACCAGGATCCTAGCAGGGGACAATCGATACGCTCTCGGTTGCACTCTCCATAGCTGATCAAATGAGCTGAGAAAACAGCGATAATAGTGTCTCCACGCAGAAAGTTAAAGACCAGAGCCCTAGCGTGCTAAAGAGGAAAGACCAAAAGAGATGCGCGCAATCACCGTAGAGGCAAGCGTCGACTATGATGGCAGCCGGATCATTCACCGACAGCACACTCTGACCTTAGCTATGAGGAGCTCGGCTGGGCTCGTGGCTGTCCTCTTTTGCGTCGCGCATGCCTCTGTAATCCAGCAGACCCCCTTACGAGCGCCTGCAGAGTCAAGCTACCTGGCCAATATACCCATCCCCACTCGTCCGCTGGAATGGGGAGACATAAACATTATCTCCACGACGGACACGCATGGATGGTGTGGCAGGTCTGCTTTGATGTACGCACTTTATCTTAAAGATCTTCAGGCTTCTGGGGCACCAGAAAAAGTCGTTCCCGGAGCCGAGTTACAGGTGCATTCCGGAGCTCTCACGACTTTCGTTCACGACCAAGATGCGTTTATAGTGGAACGTGGGGTGACTACTATTCCTTCGTGGAGCATATGAAGGGGCTGGCGGAGGCGGGTGGGCCCAAATAAGCACGTTTCGTCCATTGTCTGACAGGGTGTATAGGAAAAGGATGTCGACCTTCTGCTGGTGGATTCCGGAGACTTGCATGATGGTATGTACACCGGGCGCATTCTGAACGGACATAGTCTGATACTGGGAACGAAGGAACGGGTTTGACGGATGGGTTTCCTGCGGGGGGAGTGGACGCTCGAGATGTGTGTGCCCGATTGCCCGGATTGGATCTGCGCTGACTTCGGTTTCTCAGTCCAACGAGTTTTTCAAGCAAATGCCATATGACGTTCTTGCAATTGGAAAGTGAGTGCTCTACTTGGATGTTACAATCCTTGCCGCTCAGTGATTAGTCCAGCCACGAACTCTACACGTACGCGAACACTTTGGACATGTGCGCTGCAGCCAATCCTACATCTTTTTCCTCGCTCTTATCGTACACAGGCACACCAACTTTGCGAAGCATTTCGGCGAACGATATCTCTCATCCAACGTGAATATCACCATTTTCGACGCCAATAACCAGACTGTCAGCGTTCCCGTTGGAAGTACGTTTCCGTGTCTGTACTCTCATACTTTCGTCTTATGGTTTCTGCGGATCGATATCGCAAGTTCAAGACACGTAAGGGCCGGCGAGTGACCTCGTTTGGCGTCCTATTTGACTTCGAGGGAAACGATATGAATACGACTGTCCAGAAGGTCGAATCCATGGTGCAGGAATCTTGGGTACGTCGTCACCGTCTTATCTATCATGGCGGCGCCGATACCCTTCAGTTTCTTCAAGCCATTCAGGAAGAACCGGATCTGTTCCTTCTCGTTGGGTGCGTCCGGTTTTGCGAGTGCGACAAGCCCACTGATTGTCCATAGACATATGCCAGCACAGAACGATGTGAGCAAATGTATGCTCACATTCCCTGCATCATCTTTCCACAATCTGATGCGCATCAGGGCCTTTGGTTTCTTCGGCTATTCGCAAAGTCCACCCCACCACACCAATCATGATCTTCGGAGGTGCACTCATTATGCGCTTTGGATATAGCAGACACTCACCCTGGCGACAGGACATCTCCACATCCGGGACTGCAGTCAGTCGAGCACGCTGGGCGCAGTGACAGTGCTAATGATGGATGCCCTTCAGTGCAGCTCGATGACTATTCGATGTCAATCGCAAGCGGAAGATATATGGAGACTCTCGGTTTGTCAGACCTGCCGCAGGTGCCAGCCTTTCTCATCTCTTTGTAGGTTGGATGAGTGTCAGGCTTGATGTCAGCAAGCCCATCTTCAATCGCCGTTACTTGGACCCGAATGTCAACACATACATGGTCTGTTCACATCATCACCGTCAATGGATACTTGCTTATTGTTTGCCAGTATCATTCTGGCCGAACGCTTGATGATTTCGAGACACCCAAGGGACGAGATATCACAGCGGGTCTCAACGAGCTGGCAGACCGGTTTGGGCTGACGCATGTCTTTGGCTCGGCGCCTCAGGATTATACCTTAAGCCGGTGAGCTCCGACTGCTGACATGCAGCGAAGAGCTTACATTCGGACAGAGCGCCGTACCCATCCAACGCTTCGCTCCAAACACTAATCGTGGAAGAGGTGCGTTGTTGTCAGCGTCATAACGTATCCGCGTGTTCCTGACGCGGTTCAGGTCGTGCCGACAGTACTTACAATGAACTCCGATCGATCAGGATTACCTTTCCTATTCATTAACAGCGGGGGATCCCAGCGGTTTGATATCTTGCAAGGGCCATTCACGTCTAACGATCAGGTGGGTTTGTGAATCTTCAAGATGGCACTTTTACTCATGATGTCCAGTTCACGGCGACACCATTTGTCAACCAATATCTATTCATTCCGAATATCCCATTCTCCGTTGCGATGAAACTGACCCCAGCCATGAATGCGGCTGGCGCCGAGAGATTCTGGGACGCGGAAGACACCATGTGGGCCACGGAGCTGAACGTCGAACGGCAGTACGTCAGGTCGCTGATGGCTGGTGCGAGACTGCAGAGTGAGGAGGAAGAGCTAACGCTAGGATACGTTACCAGCGATGTGCGTGGCTCACTTTTCTTCTTGCGCCCACTTCATTGTCCAATCAGAGCTGTCCCGGGGATGGCGACGACATCAAACATACACCTGTCCCCGTTTATCCATTCCCCGACTTCGTCGAATCCGTGGCACCCGTTGTCTCAGACCCGGATGCGCCCATCGATCTCATATTTGTCGACTTCATACGGGCACAGCTCATCCGCACGTTGAATGAAGTGCAGAACGAGCGTGTGTACTCGATGAAGGACGCCGGAATCTACAGCCCGGTAAGGACGAACGAAGTGCTTGGGATCTATGCGTCTGCCTTATGGAACACGGACACGTCATGATATAGAATTTATAGAGGATAGATAGAACAATCGCCGCTGCTTCACATTTATTTACTCCTATTCGATGTCCTTGTCAACTATTTATCGTGTTCTGTTCCAAGTTTGGGCGCTGAAAGTTTTCTGACGATCAGGGTCGAACAACTAACACTCAGCTGCATTGATGAGCGTGGCTGCCGTTCAAGTCGCGTCACTGGCCCCGACCGCGATCAAACACGGATGGGCTATCATGGTATCTCTTCATTGCCAGCCCATTCTATTGTCACGGTCGAAACTGTTCTATGCGATCGATGTGGACATCTGTTGATATGCCGATTGGCCATCATCTCTACCGTGACGGTCATGCACTCTTCAAGTCCGTTCGAAGATCCTCAAAGACCGAAATCGGCTTTATCTCAACGCTATCCACGCCCTCCGTCTAGTGCCCTCCGTCGACCACTATCCAGCGCCTCGAACCGTCCGCCATCTAGTCATTCTGCTCGACCCTTCTCGCGCCTCTCTCAGCGTCCCAACTCGCGACATGCTCGATCCAAGCTCCTCCCCCTTTGCTCAACGCTTGTCACTCAAATGACAGGGCTGACTGAGCAATCTAGCGACGACGATGTTTTCCAGAACGCGCTGGAGCACGCGGTGAAGAGTTTGGAGAGTACAACACTCAATAAAGCGGCCGCCACCGTCGATTTAGGCGTCATCGACCGACAAGTTCACGGGTGAGTGTATAATCGAGTGCGTGAACCTCATTCAAACAGTTCAGACGCGTGCAGAAGGCGAAAATTCACTCACAGGACGCCCTTGCAGAGGCGTTGAAGACGTGCTATATGCGACTGAAGCAGCAGGCTGGGAAGGATAAGGATCTAGACGGGGAGATTCAGGTATGTATCCGTGCGAATCGAGGACAAGTTTCTGAGCTTGTTCCAGAGGTCTCGTCTCCCGGACCATCTTCAGTTTCTGGTCAGTTTCTGCCAATCCGTGTACTGTTCAGAAGGTTAATTGCTTCCAGATAGCGCTCTCTGCTTCGGTCACCCCGACAACCTTGGCTTATGCCGAACTTTATCTCGAGGGGATTCAAAATCCACCCTCAGTCACGGCCCCATTGACCTGGGCGGATGTCTTCGGTGACGAGTCGGAAGACGACATGGGCGCAAAGAGTGATAGCAGCGGAGCCTCACTTTCCCCTGACGATTATCTGGATGAAGATGAGCACGAAGACGAATCTCTTTCTTCCTGGAGTGACGAAGAGGAGCCCGATCGTCCTGTCGACCAACCTGTCGCTGGACCCTCCCATCGACTGGTTCACTCTCTATCACATCGTCATGAGGTGGAGCAACTGCAAGCGAAACAGTACTGGAGAGACGATTATGTCCGGCCGAGCAATCTGCGAGACAGAGCTCCCGAGTTCGATATCGCAGATGCGGAGACGTTGGGTATGCGTTACCGCCCGTGATCCGTTCTTGCGCTGACTCATTTCTGTAGGCCCTGCTTTGAAATCTGTTCTGGCGCAGGAGCTGGGTGCGACTGACATCCAGCGGGAGGTAACTTTTCTCCTTCTCTAATGTTTCTCGACCGCTGATGGACAGCGTAGACATACATTGACGAAAAAGACATGGTACGAGAGCTCTTGATAGCTTCTCAAGGTCGCAAGAATATGTTGCTGGAATTCGTCAACGGGTCGTTCCAGGTTTGTCACGATTGCTTGCCACGGACCACATCTGACAGCACCTTCATAGATCAACTCTGCGGCGCCTCGGCTAAGTCATCTATCGCTCACCTCACAAACTTCCTTGTTATCCTATATCGCCAAAATTGCTACATTAGCTCACCATCTACGCGATTTTGTTGCTTTCGTCTTCTCATCATCGAGCTCAATAGCAAATCGCCGCGGCACCCAAATGACACGAACTATGGAAGCATTCGCCGACGCTATCGACACTGAAATCCGCAGTCTGGACCAATGGTGTGCCGCACGAGAAGAAGTCATGGCTTGTGTGCCAGCCTCTGGGAAACTCGTCGTTAGCCTGCTCAGCACTCAAAAGGCGCTCCAAGACGAATTTGCCGACGGCGTCCATGCACTGATCGACATTGTTGCTGTCGTGAGCATTCGCGAGTACAGGGCATATGTGCTCAAAGAGCAGACGACCGCCATTCTGTTAGATGCGTTGCTGGATAGGGTGCAGGTCTATCGGGATCGAGGGGATAGTTTGACTGCGAACATGCTTTTACGCGTGTTCGGTCGGTGTGCAGAGCCGATCTGGGCAATGACCGCTCGCTGGTTGCGAGTCGGCATGAGCCTCGTTGGCAAGGATGAACTCGAGGAGGAGTTCTTCATCGAAGCGAGTGGGCTGGCTGTTAATCTGCCTGGGATAGGCGGTGGACTGCTCGATCCGGAGTTCTGGGCGGAAGGATATCTGTTACGGAATGAAACAACTATCCCCTCTTTTCTTGCGCATGCAGTCGCTCTGATACTGGGCACAGGCAAAGCTGTGGGCTTACTGCGAGCGCTAGGTGTCTCTCCACCCGAAATGGGACTGCGCCCCTTCAAGGATCTCCTCGACCAGCAGCATTCTGCGCAAGCGCTCTCCCGGTTAGTTCACGAAGAATTGTCGCCTCATTACAAGGTCGCCGGCAGTCTTCTTTGTCGGACGTTGGTGAACGAATGCGATCTCCATCTCCATCTCTCTGCCGTGGAAGATTTGTACTTGATGCGAAGGGGTGACGCGATGAGTCACTTTACAGATGTCGTGTTTGCCAAGGTTCGCGGCCAGTCTTCTTTGAAACGCTCTAAAGGCTCAGATTCTTGCAGATGGACAGTAGCCAAGCGTGGGGCGACTTCCATTTCCTCAACACCGCCTTTCGCGATGTCGCTGAAGTAGGAACAGAGTGGATCCAACCCTCTCTTGTACGCCTTTCCTACCGTGGCACCAGTGGCAATCGTTCGATTAAAGCGTTGAACAACCTTCTCGTCGAATACGCCGTCCCGTTTCCCGTTGCATACATCTTCTCTCCGGCGATTCTGCAAATCTACGGCGATGTGTTTACTTTACTGCTCCAGATCCGGAGAGCGAAGAGTCTCTTGGATCGAATTTTGGTGCGTAGAGGTGTCGTGGACGAGATGAAGGCCTTCTATGCAGTGCGGAGCAGGTTGAGCTGGTTTATCAAGTTTGTTCCCTTGTTCCACGTTCTTTCTTCGAGGCTGAAATCTTCGCAGCACTTTACTTGATTTCTTCACGACCCACGTTATTCACGTTCAGCTGGTCAAGTTCCATGAAACCTTCAAGAAGACTAGGTCTCTGGACGAGATGATCGAACTGCATAACCAGCAGTAAGTCATAGCATGTCGAGTCCGAGGCAAAAAGCTGACTTTCTTATAGCGTCGAGAACGTTCATAGCCGTTGCCTGCTGCAACCCAAGACTTCTGCCCTCCACCGTGCCATTCTATCGTCACTTGAATTGGCGGTTCAGTTCTGTGACACTTTCGTCAGCCTCTCTGGAAATAACACCCTCGATGTCTCGCGCCAATCCATCTTGTCGACGCGTCATCGGAGTCGGCGGCAGAATGCCAAACGACGGAACGTTGTCGGATTTGCCTCAGGGATTCGAGACGAAGACAGCTCTGAGGAAGATGACGGAGATGAATTGGACCCGGAGGCACATGCGGATGATGTTTCGGAAACTGAATCTTTGGCCGAAGAGACCCCCATCGACAAACTGGCGTCGCAGCTGGACGGCTTGGTCAGATTTGTCAGACGAGGAGTAGAGGGACTCTCCGGTAGCACTGATGATGCTGCCAGCACATTCAGTGTTCTCTCGTTTGCTTTGGAAGATTGGGACTTATGATACGGTACTCCAGAATCGAGAAGTCTACTCGTTTCGTGTACGGGACTCGGGGGGCTCTCACAACGATGTTCAATTTCCCCGCATTCCCTGATATTCACAATACTTGGGGGCCGCACTGGAGTGTATGCACCTGACTCTCTATGTGGTGAATGCATCCATCCATTCATCCAGTGTACACTCACGATCATTACATGATATCATGTTTCTAAGTCTCACGCTCTGCTCTTGCTCGTCCACCATATCGAGTAGTGCTTTTGCTGCGCCGACGCAGTCACGACTGCAACATCGTCAGTGTCAACAATCCCCTTGCATATCTACAGAGTGGTACATGGCATACGTGCTTTTTCACGCTCAGGAGCTCCAGTTTTCCGCCGTGACAATAAGTCTTAACGCTGGGTTTTGTGTAAGAACTGAAGAGTCCATCGAGTCGCAGGGCGAGAGGAGCACTTGAGCACTGGCAATCCGTGGACCGCCATACGTTCTCCATCTCTCTTTCGCTTCACGGCTGTTCTCACATTCGCTTGACCAGTTTCGCCGAGTCCTTCCGTCTCTGCGGTATATAGACCTGTTATGACCCGCATAATCGGCATGCAGTTCCTGGAAGCGAAGCGATATAAACTCTTCTCTCTTATCCGTGCGTTGCATTGATCTTCAGTAGCCGTAATGCGTAATGAACATCTGCATTCCTTTAGCTTCTCTTATTCATCTTGTTTTAGGACGCAGAATGAATATATGAAAATATAAGAACAACAACAGTGTCCCTCAAGTACCCTCATCGGCCACTGCAGACGCAGCAGCTAGTATTACATCGCCAGATTGCCGAAAATGGCCCGTGGCTTGGATCCCGTATGTGGACGAGTGACCGCGTATGGCACCCTCGGCTGTTTTGTGGCATGAATGCAGCCAGATTCATTCTCCTTGTCCCGAGCGACATCGACGCCCCAGTATTCAAATGCACGATTCGTCCCCTCGTCGTCAATGCGACTGCGGTGGGTGGCGCGAGCGCGGCGAGTGGGAATAGAGAGTTCATGCGACAAGGGAGTGCTGGGGCGGATTGGAAGATGTGTCGTGTCGGCGTCACCCCCTCTGTCTCCGGGTCCAAACAATAATTCGAGCGTATCTGTATGCCGCTCTGCCTGGTTGTCCACCGAATCTTGGTCATCTCCCGCACGTACAATTCGACCCTCCGGCGGCAAACTTGTGGCCGCTTCATGGTGCACTAATCTTCTGTGAGTGGCTTCGGCGAGGATGTGCTCAAAGAAACACTCGGCATCGTCGATCTCCGGGATAATCCCTCGAGGGACTGGGAACATCGCACGACGCAGGTCTGGATCCATGTCCTCGATGCTCGTATTGTTGAACGACAGCCACTGGAAATGAGCACGCTGATAGGCCAACTCGGCCTCGAGGATCGCTGCGCTGCGCTGGACGGTCTGGATGCTTTCTGAATATCCAATAGCCGCAAAGCGCCCTTCGATTCGGGCGCAGACGCTTGCACGCGCGAGGTCCTTGACCTCCGGGACAGCTTCCTTGATGATGTGATCGTCTGTGAGGTGTCTAGGCTCAGGCGTAGCCGTGCGTCTGCGTTGACAGTTTATGCCTGTCAGCTAGCGATACATGAGTGGGTGTCGGTTAGTCGGAAGAAACTAGGAGAACTTACCGAGCTGCTGCTGTACGGCAACTCTACCAGCATAGTATCAGGTGACAACTTGACCTTTTTTGTGACGACGGGTGTTGGGTGTTCCAGAACTCTGAGCCAATCTACACTAGCAGCTAAATCTATGTTCACCGAGCCTCCTCCGATTTAATTGATTCCATCATACCATTGTTCGTCCAGAAGACAAGCCATCCGCGGGATTCTTCTCGAGCCTTGACATGGGGGCATCTGTCCATAGAACAAAATCCAGTCGCCTATCGTGAATCCAGACAATGACTATCCGGTATCCAGATATGGCCATGCTATCATGTTTATCACGATCACGTGCCTTGTTTCGTTACCCATGCGCGTCTCTGAGCTTGAAATAAGAATCACTGAGCCCTGAGGGTGCTTTCTATTCTGTTAATAATGGCAATTAACGCGTCAAGCGTAAACGAATCGGCGGAAGCATGCCCTGACACTGCGGGGGGACTTATTATTTTTCCGTGGAAAATGCGTGACAATCTAGAAGTCCGATTTTCACTGTTCTGTTTTCAGACAAAAAATATATATTGAAAATAGACATTGATTTACAGCTCGATTTTTACCACGAATAGACATCTATTCCTCCCGAAAACAGAACTGTAAATAGATCATCTTTCTTTTAATCGATTCTCACTGGGAATAGACGTCGATTTTCACTGAAAATAGAAACAAAGAAAAGATGATCTTTTTTCACTGAAAACAGATTAAAACCACTAGAAGAGTCTGTTGATTCCAGCCCCAACTTACGTCACAAGTCCTGCAGCATGATTCCAACATGTTGTGAGTAGCATTCAGTAGCCTTTTGCAAGGTCAGGGATGCAAATTGGGGCCGGAATCAACAGATTCTTCTAGTGGTTTTAATCTGTTTTCAGTGAAAAAAGATCATCTTTTCTTTGTTTCTATCTTCAGTGAAAATCGACGTCTATTCCCAGTGAGAATCGATTAAAAGAAAGATGATCTATTTACAGTTCTGTTTTCGGGAGGAATAGATGTCTATTCGTGGTAAAAATCGAGCTGTAAATCAATGTCTATTTTCAATATATATTTTTTGTCTGAAAACAGAACAGTGAAAATCGGACTTCTAGATTGTCACGCATTTTCCACAGAAAAAAAATAAGTCCCCCCGCAGTGTGAGCATGAGCAGACAATGTATCGAAGCCGTCGCTCGAAAGAACAATTCATCGTCTACCCCGGATTCGATGGGGCCCAGGAAGCATATATAAAGGACGTTCTAGTTTCTTGAGGCTCAACAGACCAGTTCAGCTATGCCGAGCATCCTCCTCTCCACGCCCACCCGCGCCGCGGCTCGCATGCTTCGCGTTGCCTCCTCGGCCATATCGGACGAGTCACTCTCTGGTCAGTCCCTTGGGGGCTCCAAGTCGGCTTCGTCGTCTGAGCGTATACCCCGGGGCGAGTGGTCTGCTAGCAAAGTACGTGAGGATCCGTTCTGCGTTGTTTCCGTCCTTGCTCACGATTACTCAGCGCACGAAATCTGTGTTCCAAAAGGGTCGTGAAAAGTGGGATTTCTTCACCCAAAAGTACGTGGGCTCTGTCTGATCTCAATACACATTGAAGCTAATTCTCTCGTCAGCATCGTTCCCACCAAACCATTTGTGACGGTCTCACCTTCGTTCCCCCCGACTCATCAACCCCGCCCCCGAATCGAAGAACCGGGCCGTTGGCAGAGCCCATACTTATCTCCGATCGTGAATTCTGGAGATGCGTGGGAGGCGGATTATGATTTCGAGAACGAGGATTATTGAGATCCACCACTCGACTTGGACTAGTCTTGCTATCCATGAATGATCTTGAATACACTGATGCTCAAACAAACTCGGGGCGAAGTACCGCAACGGTTTGCGGGAATGTATCGCCACGAGCGGAAGACTGGCGGTTGACTCTGCCTGGCACTGTCGCGCTAAGGCAGTACTCCACCAGTGGATTTCGGACCCCTAGGCCATGGACCGATTCACTCGAGACGGGGCTTCAGAACTCCGCGCATGCTGGTCGTCGTGAGATCGACTCGTTAAGTTGGAGGTTAGGCTCATGCCGACCTTTCATTGCATTTGGAACGTCCCGCACACCAGATTCAGCACCGACTGTGTCAGTCATCCATAACCCCCTCCCTAAGACCCTGATCTACAGTCTTGATGTGTCGTGTCGCAAAGTTAAGGCGCAAGCGAGTGTGAGCCAAAGCAGTTCGCGCCTGTCGATCGGATTTCCCCGGGCACCCTGGACACCCTACATGAAGCCCTTTTTATCACGCCAGAACACATGGTAGACATCCGGAAGATCCAGATCTCTGAGCGCTTCTTCTCACTGAGCAGACGTCTTGGTTCGATCCATTGCGTCATTTCAGTCCTACTAGCTGAAGCTCAGTACCGGCTCGTCTATCACCGAAACCGACTAACATTCAAAACCGCATCCATGAACGGCATGCCGATACGCAGCACTTTATATGGACTGGGAATCCTGTCACCGGCGAAATCAGCGTTGCAATGGATACGGGCGGCGCCACTCACTCTGTGACTTTGTCGACCGCCGACCTGCAGACCAGCCCAGGCCAACAGCTCAAGCATCTGACTGTGAGAATGGAGATCCACATTTCGATGTTCGTCGCAAGAGCGAGGCCAAGATGGCTTGGACCTCCGATAACGAATTGTTTATTCGTTCAGACAGTGGTTTCATCGTAGCAGCCGTGTTCCAAAGCATGGTTAGAGGACGAAAACAACTCCGAGGCGTGAACGAGAATGGTGAAGCGAGGTAGCTTGCGACGCCGGCTGCTAGCAGCATTCGGGCTCGATGCTGCCCCGGTAGCCTAGATCTGTGGGTAGATCAGTCCCAAGCTGGCATTGAGACTGTATGCAGAGTATGAGCATGTCGTCGACGACGATCGGATTAAACAGGGTGTGCGCACCCGAACTTCACTCGGAGCTCAATGGATGTGACTGCTAGCCCTGGATGCCATCGAGAAGAGTTTCAGATCGGGATACCGTATGGGCGGGCGCTACTGCGTATACATGCGATGCATGTCCTCCACGCACTCGTGAGAGCGGCAAAAACCAGGAAAGACAACCTCGTGTAGCATGCCCTAGTCGGACATAGTAATGGGTATCCCAAATCAGCTAACGCGTGTGTCTGATCTAGTTAGACGCAGACAAAGCTGGCTTATGACTTGTACCCACCTCGGCCCAAGCTCGTGCCTGCTTCCCACCCGCATTACTCCGCAGCCCATCCAAGGAACGAGAGGAGTTGAGTGTAACCACTGTGTACCATGAGCACCTATCCAAAGACCGCTGAAAGCTGCACGCACAGCTTATCCAATCCCGTTCAGAACCGTGGAGAAGGCAGCCAACGAGGTTTCTTGAAGAATTGCGGTTATGAGTCAGTCTCGTCTTCCGGCCACAGGCAGGCAGGGAAGAGGGCGCGGATGTCATCGTCTATTCAGCGGCTAGAAGGTCGGCGATCGGATCGTCCTTCGATGCCACATGCTCATCGAGCCGTTGGGAGAGTCCCAGAGTTTTGCATTCATGTTTCAATGGTGGATGAAGAACCGAGAGTCTGGGTAGAGCGGCCAAGGAAAGGATGGGGAGAGTTTTTTTTGGTGTCCTAGATATCCCAAAGACACGCATGAGAACATGGTAGTTGATGTATTTTCGAGAAGCTGACCTGCGGAGCAAAACCCTCTTCATGAGCCCTGTGGTAGCGGAAGAACACCACTCCTAGAGTCTAGACGGCATGGACAGGGTCGGTATGGATCGCAGCAGGGTGATCGACGCCCAGGGCAAAGCAGTCACGATCACGTGCGTGTGCTCTCTGATAGGCAAGTGACGCGCATGCCTTCTGGCTTAGCCCCAGTCATGTCCATCGACCAGGCAAGGCCCCGGTTCTAGTTTTTGGAATATAAGAAACCGTCCTTGAGCTCTTAGCTAGATTGATCTCCGCGTCCTCTCAGAGTTGTCATGCTACACGTGGAATTGTAACCAGTCGCTGCTTCATTGAAGGTGCCCTGATTCAGAAGATATGCCGGAATGCAAGGATTTAGAAGTCCTCTCTCGGCCTCTATGATGTGGACATAAGCTCGCTCCAATTAGAGTTTAGTAGCGCCTCACGCATTGCACGCGGCTTCGAGATGCGTGTCTAGCCATACGTCAAGTCACCGGTACATAAGAAGACACCAGGGATCCATCTTACCGCGCAATACCCTACTTTGGCCCCTATGAAGACCTACGAATCCGACCCCTTCAACGCTGACCCCACGACCCAGTCGTTCATCCCGAGCGCAAAAGCAGAGCATGGTTTCTATCATCGACTGCATCTCCCGCCTATGCATCTCAACATCCACATCCCAAGTGTGTGCTAATGGTCTAGACTGATTGTATACTTTGGTTGACCCTTGTCTCAGATCTCGTGGCACTGAGGACTCGGCAACGAAAGCGCCGCCATCCTCTGACGACGGAGAGTGTGCAGATACTATCCTCGGCCACACAGCTCGACGCAGGCACTTCTGAGGAAGAAGAAGACAAAAAGACGATTGGCGCAACATCTTTAAAAGACGGTGGGATGAATAGGTGGTACCGGCCACAAACAAGATCATCCGCATAATCATCATCGATTCAGATGACCGACTTGACACATTATTTCATCCTAAGTACTGTATCGCAGAGAGGGTTAATTACACATGTGGATGGTTCATGAAGGAGACTATTTTTGCTCTAAATGGTGTTAGCGCTTTCTTCAGCCTTCAATTCACCCTCGCTTTTGCTGAAGCCGTCTGCTTGATGAGTCGGTATGATACCGGCTTCAACTGAGATCAAGTACGCTGGACAACATCAGAGTGTGTACTGATCCACTGTCCTTCCGGTCTTCCCCTGCTACCGAACATCGAAAACGAGGAAGCTTGGTAATCCCAATACATACGTGAAAAGTCGCATTTACACTGCCAGACCGTGCACGAATATGGTCGTGATGACAACGTTATGTGTGTACCTTCGCGCGGCAAAAAAAAAGTTAGAGCAAGGCCTGCACAAATCTCAACAACGACGCGAGCAGGACTTGAACCTGCGCTCGGAAACCGAAACAGATAGGGATACCCAGGGCACAGAGTGATACCGGGAAGGTATTCTAATCTGTCGCCTTAACCACTCGGCCATCGCGCCTCCACTCCAAACTGAACAGTGGAATCCCTGGAGACCCTCTCAAAACGATTTTGATCAGCGCCAGTGAAAGGCAAACTTAGTGACTGGAAACTCGACAGCATTCTGGTCCAAAAAGACCAAGAATGGTTCATTGTAAGATAAAATTACAACGTTTACACAAGGCGAGTACTGTATCATGATAAATATCACTTTATAATCTTAAGTACTGTGCGCGAGAGGTCAGACAGCCGTTTCAGCGCAAGGAAGGATCCAGCGGCGGATTTTTCGGAGGCTGTGAACCTGGCGGCACTTGGTAGTATGTCCAGCTCTGTTGAGCTGACGGCTGCGTGTAACAACGACTCGGGTAGTGCCCTCGTCCTGCACCAGGACTCGGAGCTGGAACTGTTTCGGTGGTTGCGGCAAACACTGACGGAGTTTCTATATTCGGATGGATCCAATGCTTGAAGTTGTCCCGTGGTGCTGCTGTCGTTGATGAAGGTCGAGGGTTTTCAGAAGGCGCTACGCGAGCACTGGCTATAGCCGAAGAGCTCGTTATCGTAGTCGGGGTTGGTGTGACAGAACTTGGGCCAGCGACAGCATTGCTGTTGTCCACTGTTCCGGGTCCAAAGACAATCGCCGACCACTTGAATTCGCGCACCCCGCCCAGATTCCACGAGACCTGGATGCTCTTCTTCTCTTCCAGCACCTTCAATAGCGTGACTTCGAACATGCCAGAGCTCATCCGCAACTTGATACGAGCCAAAGGCGGCAGAGCCAATACGTCGTCCCGCAGATTCCGTTGCTTCGAAGCCCGGCGCTCGTCAATCACAGCCTGAACATTGTCAGCGACCATCATTCCTTAAGCAAGACGATACTGACCGGATTATGCTGCGGACACATTGTCTCCACCTCGATCTTCTTGATGGTCTTCAGCACATGCATGTCAGAGTCGGCGCACGTTGGCTCCAATAAGACGACCTCTTTCTCAACCTCGTTTACCACAGTGTAGGCAACTCTGGGGTCGTCTCGGGCGCAGTTGATGTGAAACGCTTTGGAGCACTTGCCCTTAGTGCATTGGATAAGAGCACCATGACTTTTGGCACGATGCCGTGTGCACACCGAGCATTTCTACCCTCGGGTGAGAAAAGGAGACAGAGAATCGCCGCTACTCACCAAGGTCCATCGCCCGCGAACGATACCGTCCACCCCGAACACGAACCGCTCGCCATTCACGTCATCCACCCATGTGTCCGGCAGGACCATCGCGCATGACTCGTGAGCCATCCAGACACCCAAGCCGCCGGTGCTGTCAGGGAAATGGATCCTCGCAGCCGAGCCCAGCTCTCGCCAGGCCATCGGCAGATCATGTACTCGCACCAGATCCTCCGTGCCGTGGTCAACGCATAGACAGCATGGGAAGGTGTCCTCCTCAAAGGTCGCACCAGATGCCAACCCGAGCTTCAAAGTCACTTTTTCGACGGCAGATTTGTGCGTCTTCGCAGGCTTGGCTCGCTTCACTGGTGGCCCTTCCGGATCGAATGGAATGGGTGCCTTGCGCTTACGATCACTGCGTGGCTTCGCGGGCTGAGTAGGCTCTGTGGCGGGAGCAGCCACCAAACCGGCTTCCCGCTCGGCTGCACGATCCGCCAGAAGCTGGTCTACGTCGATGCGCACGCTAAAGTCGACACAAGCACAGGCACCAGCTTTGCGCCCTTCGTCCAACCAGCTATCCAGAGCAAAGTTGACGCTCTCAGCGCAATTTAGGCCCAGGTTGAATCCGGCATGGTACCCTCGAGGATAGGTGATCACGAACTCTCCCGCGTGCTGAACGAGGTGGTTGGCTCGCACAGCAGATTGCGCTAGAAGAGTAGGGGACGCGAGAAACGACTTGTGACGGAGGAACTGCGGACAATGGGACGTGTCTTTGGGGAAGTATCCGCGCATGGTGCTTTCCAACGCATTGGCACGGGCCTGAGGGACAGCGTACCAGAACTTGGGCGCGCCGAAGTGAATGTAGTTGATTGAGAACAGGTCCATGTCCTCCACGTGCCAAGCGAATGTGGCCCGCCACATCCCGAAGTAGAGATATGGAGTATTGACGCCGGGGAGTCCTTGCGCGGAGGGCAGCAGACGTGATAGTGTTGATGGTAGGTGGGCTACGTTCCACGATCGTGTATCGTCGGTGAATAGAGAACCTGAGATGTGTCAATAGCCGTGCGGGCAAGCCAATGCAGTGAGCACATACCCATTGTATCGGCACCATACCAAGCAGGCTTCCCAATACCACAGTTCCTCCAAAAAGCACGCTCTAGCTTGTAGCAAAACTCAGGTGTATAGTCCTCCGCAGAAGTGCCTTGTGGGTGCCAATCCAGATGCGGGTTGAAAGTTTCCATGAACGTGGCGTCCTTGTCAGCACGCTCGATGCGGCGGTTTCGAGCCTTGTTGTTGCTCGCAGATGTCGAAGGAATGGCGTCTTCGGGATCAGGAGATGCGCTGTTCGGCGGAGACGCAATGGAGCCTGGTACTTGCGCATCTTCCTCCTCCTCCTCCCTTATAGGAACAGCCGGTTTCTTCTTCTTTCGACTCGGAAGTGGAGCGCGCGCACTCGGGTTGTTGTGTAATCCGACCTGCTCGACGCTGGGCGCCCGAAAATCATCCTTCGCACATAGCTCCGCCCACTCGCGCACACTCATTTCTTTCCTCTTCTCCATATTCTCCTGACGGAAGAGACCCCCACGTCCACGCATGAACTGTTCGATAGGACTCTTAATCTTCACGTTTGCAAGCTGGGGCTTGATGTCGGGTAGCGCGTCGGTCCATTCCTTCGGAGGTATCACCTTGACGATGCCTGCTCGCCGGCCCCATGCCTCGACACGAGTCATGTAGTGTTCGAAATCGGCAAACTCCCGCATGGTCGGTTTGAAGACGGGGATTCCGCGATTTGCGAGAGGGTCATCATCTGGAGATAGATACGTCTTCACTTCTGAATGAGGCGACGGAAGGTGGGAGGGGTCGGCGCCATAAAAGTGGTCGGGCTGAGCTAATGGCTCTGGCGACGGTTCTAGCGACGGCGACCGTGACGCCGTAAGAGACGACACGGGTGAAGCCATGGTGAAGAAAAGAGAGGGCACAATGGCTGGTGGGCTAATGACAGATTCGGCTCTCGGGCGCCGTCACGAGTCGCCATCGGCCTCGTGACCCGACCTGCCCAGGCCTGTTTCTAGCCAGAGTCTCAGCGCAACTGGACTCATGTTTTGCTCTGCTCGGATCGCTATCGTAAATGGACTCGAATCACACATAAACTTTCGCTGCAAGGAACTCGCTCCACTCTTTCTCTCCCCATGAACTAGAGATCGCATTCTCCACCAATCCATCCCACAAAACGGTCGGCGAGACATGAATGCCGTTTTGACGCGAAAACTTGACTGTGTGAAGACCATCAGCTCTCACCCACATCGAAAGGACAAGTCGTTGCACGCACTGGTGTACTTGAGGTCATTTGTAACCGCGTTTCCGCCATTGGGAGTGTCTTTGAGCTTCAACGACTCGGCAAACTCGCTCCTCGCTCCAGCCGGGATTACTTCAGCAGCGAGGGCGGCGAGCTTCTCTCTAATTTGTATAGGCGTGAGAGTTGAGGATGGGATGTCGAAGTATTCGCCTTGGCGTTTGAAGAGGAGGACGGAGAATGGCCAGAACGAGTTTGGAGCGGTGTGCGCGACCTGTCTAGAATGAAGAGGATTGAATGAATCAATTGGAGGGGGACATACGGCGAGACTGGCTTCGTGCACAAGGGTGGACGTCGAGTGCCAGGGTTGGACCTGGTTGCGGAAGATCGCTTTGACTTTTCCGTGGTATTTGCCCCCAGGCCCGAGCATGGGAATGAGAACACTGTCGATGGCGAGAGAGATCTTTGCACTTTAGATCACATCAGATAGAGACGCAGACTCCAAGTCCTCGATCCACTCGCCTGAAGGGACAGACGTAGTCCACTGCGATGGCGATGAGCATTGGCAGCGCCAGAAAGGGTACGGTCCAACTCACAGAAGATGTCGAGCGTATGGGGCGCTTCAGCAGTCCCGGCAATGATCAAAGGGCGAAGGCTAGCTTGCAAGGCCATGTTCGGCGTTGCAGAATAAGATTGAGAGGACAGATGACGCCATCAACAACTGCTTTATGTTCCCCGGAGCATCTTCTCTGACTTCCGGTCCGTCGGTTACGATAAGATAGGTGTCTGATGCGTCTACGTGTGCAGTATGACCATTACTAAAGACTCGGTCATTCATGTTGTGTATGTATTTACTGATCTCGCAGTAGTCGAAACCCTTCCAAAAAGCACAATGTCGTCGTCTGGAGCAATGAGCGCTGTCAGGGTTTCAAGAACGATGATGATAACGCCGTTGCTGTTATCAGTGCATATTGGAACGGTCTTCCAGTTGTCTTCAGCCTCTCGACCCGGTTACTTTTGCACTTCTTGATTTATCTAATCGAAACCTGGATTAGTTGAAGCCCAAGTTTTTGGGAAGCGGACTAGCCTGGTCTGGGTTGCAATAATGGTTGTCGAGACCGCACCAGTCTACTCAATGCGAACGCAACTCGCGATCAAGGCATGACATAAGCACACAATTCTGTCTCACACGTCAATTTCTTGTCCGGGACGCGTCTTTTGGCCCTCTACTTTGCCCAGGACTACTTCGCTCGCCCGAATTCGCATGCCGCTCGACTTCTCGACGTTCTTGACGCAAATCAATGACGCACTGAACAACGAGAATGGCCCCAATCTAGCCTACCTACTCCACCCGGGTAGTCCACATGGCAAGGACCTCGTGAAGAGTTTCAGGTCACCCAGTGTGCGTATGCGACTCTCCTCGCTAGCAAAACTGAGCCGTGCGCATTTCTCAGGCCGCGTCGCTCGCGCATTACAAGGGGAGCATCGTCAGTCCCTGGGACGACATCGCCATTCAATATGTCCTGACCTGCTCGCACATCGCGCGAGACAGAAGGGTGGACGCGTTTAAGGAGCATTCTCAGCTCGTTTCGTGAGTGTCAACCTAACGTAGGCGATGGCTTCCCTCATCTCGCTGTCGCCAGTCACTTTTTCCGCTTCTTCACAGAAAACCGGGGATGGACACTTCCGGCCTTGTTCTCGATCCTTCGGGACGTCCGAGATACCGCCTACGATGTATGCACGGAAACGAGATCCTTCACTGTGCCACGCTGAATCTCGTAGGCGGACTGGTATGCGAGAGTGCATAACCAGAACGGCGAGTGTTTGGAAGAAGCCGCTCGAACGGTGGCAAAGGCATTCTCGAATTGCGTAGTGGATAGGTGTGTAGTATGGTTGCGCTTGTGGCTTTGCAAGTATACTGACCAGTCAGGACAGGATGTCACCTCCCGAAGAATCGAGGAAATGGGGCGTTTATTATGTCGCTGGGCTTGCGATGAAGTGTTACTTCAGAGTATGCTTTCCTTCACATCGGCTGCCTACATCCGCTTACATTGCCAAGGTTAAACATATCTCGCTCACGAAAAACATCATCAAAGCACTCAATAACACACCCGACATCCCTCCGCTGCAGAGGTATCCACGTTCTCATCAGGTGACATATCGATACTATCTAGGCATGCTGGGCTTCTTGAATGAGGAATACGCGGAAGCAGAGAGAGAATTGACCTTTGCGTTCTACAACTGTGCCATTGAGGCTCCAGAGAATCAGACGCGAGTGAACTTTCATCTGCCTATCGATCCTCGTCCGCTCAGCTCAGAACAGGCGAATCCTGGCATATCTCATTCCTCTTCGGATTCTTCGCGGGCACTTGCCATCGGACGTGCTCCTTCAACGGTTCCCGGTTCTTGCCGACATCTTTTCGCCATTCATATCAGCAATCCGCGCGTCAGACATCTCAGCATTCGATCGTGCACTCGAGCTGCGAGAGACTCGTCTGATTGAGCTGAATTTGCTCCTTGCACTGGAAAGAGCGCGGGAGCTATGTGTCAGAGGGCTGTTCCGCAAAGCGTCCGTTTCCGTCTCTCCTTCATTTTTCACGGCTAATGGCTGATTAGATGGATTGTATCGGAAAAGAGCACGCGGATGCCTATCGCACTGTTTCACTCGGCATTGGAGGTCTCCGGAATCACGGTGGACGTTGAGGAAGCGGAATGCCTTGTTGCAAACATGATATATAAAGGGTACATGAGGGGGTACATCAGTCACGAGAAGCAGATGGTAGTCCTGGCTGCTGCCAATGCTTTCCCCTCTGTCGCAGAGCGTCCTTCCCCCTACAATGCATTATGACTTGCATGCCCTCATACCACGGTATATCTCCTTGGTGGCCTGCGCTGTCAAACAACCCTCGAACAATGAATATGCAAGTTTCGAGGGTAAGGGAGTGCAGACGAGAGGGGCTCGAGCCCTAGGAAAATGCGGATGGGGGAGAGGTTCGAAGGCAAGTCTTTTTTTACCGCCAGCCTCCCACCGTGCGCATGCAAACTCGAAATCCTGCACTGCGTAATCACCAAATTGGCTTCAGGAAGCTCGTCACACGTAGTCGCTTTAATCGTGCTGCGCATACAGCCTATTCGTCATTTGCGCCGACCTGGCCCTACGCCACGCAGTCAGCGGGTACAATCCCTCGCTGCTACATTCTGGTACTTATCTCCCGTATGATGGATCACCCGGCAAGTTGGCCACCGGCAAGCGCATGCGCTCGTGGGATAATCTGCCATCTCCTCACCTTACGCCAATGCAGACGGACGCGAAATCGCACTTTGACCAGCTCCCGGGCGCGCATGGACCGTCGCCACGCAAGGCGCGATCTGGATGGGGCAGCTTGGCTGCCGTGGCGATCGTCGGGTCCATTGTCTTGTGGTGCAAGCCAAGCAGCCTGCTGGTGCTGCACGCGCACCCATCTGCAGTGCACCCACACTCTACTCCTCTCGCCCAGTGCCCGCAAGCCCAGCCCCTGGTTCCAACAACGCATACCGACCTGTGGACGACACTCACCGCACTGCACCACACCGACGCGTTCCAAATGCGGGCCGTTCAAGGACTAGGGGCGGCCGTGCGGATTCCGACGGAAACATTTGACGCGATGGGCCCAGTGGGTGAGGATCCAAGATGGTTGTCTCGCGCGCCTTTCTCGGGCCATCTCGAAGCGGCATACCCAAAGGCGTGCGTGTCGTTGGAATCTGATCTGTGGATTTTAGGCTGACACCGATCTATGTGCAGACACGCGACACTCTCACTGCAGCGAGTGAATACTTATGGATTGGTGTACACCTGGACGGGTTCGGACCCGAGTTTGAAGCCGTTGCTGCTTATGGGACATTATGGTGCGTGGAAGCAGAGAGAAGGCTTTCGATTACTGACTACTCTGAAATATCCAGATGTCGTCCCGGTTGCTCCATTGAGTGTCGATCAGTGGACGCACCCAGCATACTCAGGCTACTTCGACGGTGAATCTGTCTGGGGCAGGGGTAGCTCGGACGACAAGAGCGGCGTCATCGGCATCATGTGAGTGCGATCATTCCCCTCAGTTTTCGCTGTTCATTCGCTGTAGGACCACTATAGAGACGTTGCTCGAGCATGGTTTCGTGCCTAGACGTTCGATCGTGCTCTCTTTTGGCTTTGACGAGGAGGCCGGCGGTATCCATGTAGGCAGACCCTCGTAATGAGGAATCTGTTCTCTCATCCTTCGTCCAGGGAGCAGGCCATCTTGGCCCGGCTTTGCTCGAGCTCTACGGCCCGGATTCTTTTGCGATGATCGTCGATGAAGGGTGTACGTATCACTGCCAACCCTTGCGCCACAACTGAATCGATGCACCAGCCGGCTTCAGCGACCAGTATGGTGCCATATTTGCTGTTCCCGGGGTCGCCGAGAAGGGCTCCATCACTGTTGAACTGGAAGTGAAAACCCCTGGTGGTCATTCGAGTGTGCCACCTGAACACACGAGCATCGGCGTCCTCGCTGCGCTCATCGTCGAATTGGAAAACAATCCACCTCCGGCCAAGTTTGAGACGGACAGCACGTTCTTCCAGATGACGGCGTGCTATGCTTCCCACGGACCCGACATCGACACCGACTTGCGAGCAGCGATATTGGCGTCACCCAGCAATGAGTCCGCCCGTGCAGAAGCGGAACGGATCCTGTCCAAGAACAAAACTTTCCGGTCGCTATTTGGGACAACGCAAGCGGTGGATATCGTGAGCGGAGGTGTGAAAAGCAATGCCCTACCCGAGCAGGCTGTCGTGAGTGGACGGTTACGCCGAGTATTCCCGGCGCCTCACCTTGCTTGATAGGCTTATATCAACCACCGCATTTCAACGAAAAGGTTTGTCTGTCTGTCTAACTTTGCCTAGTAGAAGAACTGAGGCCACCTCAGCTCTGTCGCCGAAACCGTCGACAGAGACCGTACTATCCTTGCTCCGGTGATCGAGAAGTACGATCTGGGCGGGGGTTCGGTCGAGCTTCGATCCCCTGGGGGTCTTGAGCCCGCGCCAATTACACCCTCTGACGGTGCAGCTTTCGAACTGCTCTCAGGAACCATTCGAGCCGCCTTTCTCAAATGGCATGATGGCGAGATCTACGTCGCGCCCGGGATGATGACGGGGAATACCGGTACGTGCTTGCGGGTTCTCTCTGGCTAGTTCTCCTGTTGACCGACTGGTAGATACGCGGTTCTATTGGGATCTTTCGAAACACATTTTCCGGTATGGGCATAACAATGGTATTGGAAAGGGCGATAATGGGATGGGAGGCATTCACACTGTGAATGAACGTGCGTATAAATCATTCATGTGCTGCATCCGTTTTTGACAAAGTCACAGATATGTCTGCCTCTGCCTTCATTGAGATGATAACATTCTTCACCACGCTGGTTCTCAATCTTGACGAGGCAGCGTTATGATTCATTTAGTGACCGCTCTTCTACATATGAAATAGTAATAGTACATAGGCTACACCCCCCCCCTGCAGCCTTCCCTCTTGTTCAGGCCGCCCAAGGCCACTAAAAAATCTGGAAAAATGCGCAAATAGTTGCTAGGGTCCTGGGTAAGATGGCGCATACTGGCGTCCCCACTCCGGCCAATGGTGCATATCCCATATCGAAATCCGTGGAGGGTCTCAAAATGATCACTTCCCATCAGAGCTTTTGATGGGAGGGGGACGCAGAATGTAGTCTACACAACATTTGTGTTTTTATTACATGGGTCGTTAGCTGCATACTTAAGGATATAGGATCTCGAGTTATACATTTTTATCTTCAGCGGTTCTTTCAAAATATCATGATCTCTCCGTGCAGCCATCACTTGCAGCCGTCAGCTCTACATATGGGGACGCAGGGGGTCTATGGTCTATCTGAAACAGCAAAAAGTGCCTAGAGAACTGTATGATACAAATAGACTACTCAAAACAATATATATACTACGTTGTGGAAGGTACGAGACGAGATAACCTCGTCAAACATCTCTTGAGTCACGTCTCGTGACCACCGTCACGTCAGCTTGTGCGATCATTGCTCTGCTCATACATCTGACCAGGCAACCGCGGCCAGCGACGAACGGGTGTGGGGTGGATGGGCTGGGGAGCTAGGGCTAGGGCTAGTGCAGCAGAGGGTATAGGGCGAGTGGAGGGAGGGTTTCATGGAAAGGATGGCGGGGTCGACAGGTGAGTGCCCACCATGCAATCTGACCCAGCCCTCAGATCCTGAACCAACACGACGCCCCCAGCGGACACGTATACACCTCACCCCCGCCTCATTCGATCGACACGAGCGCTCATTCCCACGAGGGCGCTCCTAGCGTACATGTAAATATGATAGCGCTCGAATACATGTCTTCTACGGCTACCTGCTTCGCGCTCGGCACTGTCTCGTCTGCCTCGGTCTTCCCAGTCAGCCACCCGGGACACTTTCCCACCAGAAAGACTCGACAGCAGGCTTCGCATGCATTAAAATTGGAGCCACGGCGTCACCTCACGTTTGCACATTGTGGTGTCTGCGGCATCGCTCAGATAGTGCAGCTGTCCGATCACCTCTCCAATTCATCTATTGCGCACCCTCAACAAGCTACTTGTCACAAACGAATTGTGCAAAACGACAAAGAGACCCGAAGATCTAGAACCCAGATGCAGGAGAGCAAAGGAGTGCAATGGATGAGTGGGCAGAGCACAGGGAGAGGCAGGCTCAAAGGTGCACTCAATGTATGCCCCGAAATTGGACATTTGGGCTCACCTCTCTCAACACACCACACTTTTCGTGGCATCGCACAGCAGCACCGCCGCGGCTGCTCGATCACCTCACTGGGAGCTGCGAACGACCGCCGAAGCTGTATTTGGATGCTTCGAGGGTAATCTCAGTCCATATTGACTTAGGGATCTTTTTGCTCTCAAACACATTTGCCTTTGTAAGTCCCACCCCTTTGATCGCACATGCTGCCAGTGGTCTGAGCTCAACGGTGCAGACTCCCACACCGCTCACGTATGCGAACCGGCCATTCAGGTGCGAGGAGTACTACAAAACGCACCCACCATATGAGGGCAATGGCGACGCGTGCGCAGTGCCCACGATCGAGGCGATTGGCGACAGTGCAGCTCGGCGGTCAGATTTGGGTCATCGGGTCAATTTTACAATGTGCTTCGATTGTGCGTGCATCCGCGCTTCTGTGCATGTACTCATCCTGACTTTAGTCGACTAGGACCGTGGGACGCTCGTGGTGGGCTGTATCGTTTCTGGTATCTCTGTCTGTCTCGCCCGTTGTGCCGATCTACCAAGCTGAAGTCACCGCACCTCATCTCTGAGGACAGCTGATTTTCACTCCCGCCCCATTCACTCGACTCGAGAGTTCATGCGCGCAATGGCGCATATGGCTCACCTGTCCACAGAATAGCTCTTGGGCACATGTCAACGTCTCGAGCATGTGCGTGCATCCTGTGCCCAAATCCAAACGCGCAACCTCACATCACGCAGCACGTCTTCTATCTATGTCATCACACACACCGCGCAACTGGCGACACCTCACTGCAAGCTAACCACCCATCTCCCAGTCTCTCCATTCGGAGCTGCCAGAACCACTCAAAGATGTGTTAATTCTGTTTGCGCACTCGAACGCGCGGCCTCATATCGCAGGGCGCCTCTAGCTATCTGCGGCATCACACACGCACGCAGCTATACAGTCATCTCCCACTTGCACCGATCGCACACCTCGCAACGACCGACTCTTGGAGACCGGCAAACAGAACCAGGATATAGATCTCAGGTGCTTGGGACAGGGAATTCGATGCGCGAATGGGCGGAGCGCATTGAAGTCAATGGGGGCTCGATCTGCCGGTGCGTTTCTTCTCACCGCCTACCTCTCACTATCCGCTCTAGCTTCTGCTGTCCGCCATCTCGAAATATTGCACCGCGAGGGGCGTTCATCGTGCATCTCGGAACCGGACGCGGGCCTGCCTCGTGTACACTCAGCGCCGACTGTAGCATCACCATGCTGCGCAGCTCCATCACGACTATTGACGCTTTCTTTTGACGCTCACGATGACGACGTACACCCCACAATGTCCTCTGCCATCCTCAATCTCAAATTCAAGGTCCGTGTTTTGCCCGTTGGACGCGTCGCACGCTGATTGTGGCCCGTCGTCTCTTGCTTCCTTTTTGGGACTGTACTCACTTTGCCGCTCTCCACTCGCCCCCAACGACTCCATCAACGTCCACGAAACCGTCCGCCTCCTACCTCTCGCCTTCCTTTCCCCTCTGGTTCTTCTTAGCCTGGCGACATTCGATTGTGATGTCCTTTCTTCTGCAAACTAGGGCCATAAGTCCTTTGTCCCTTTCAGCAACGTCGACGATGCGGAGAGTCTAACCAAGATGTGGAAGGTGCGCATTATCGCGCCATTGTGTTGCCTGCTCATATGCGCCAGGTGACCGACACTGCTGAGGCCGGTGTGACGAACGAGTACCGCGCCGCGACGAAGAGCGGTCTGATGTCTGCAACGGAGGATCTGCGGCCCTCACCCGCACACACGGCCGCGCTGCTCCAGTTCGGCGACGTTTACACGCGTGAAATGGGCTACTCACTCATCGAATCGCCAGGGCTCTTTGCAGGTGGCCCGACGCTAGGGTCGACCCGGACAAAGCTTTATCCAGACGCGTGGCCTGTGACGATCACCATGGCCTCGATCGCAATGCTGCAGATCGCGTTATTCAACTTGCTCAGCTCAGGGGGTGTCCGCCCTGCGCCTACATAGCCGGTCATTTGGCAGGTGAGACCGCAGCGCTGTACGCATCTGGGGCGGGCCCAAAGGAGATGGCATTCGAGATCGCGCTGGCCTGAGGGCTTGCCATGTCTGTCACTGAGGGCCAGGATCGAGGTATGGCCTCCATGGCATGCACTAGGGAAACCTCTGCGAGAATCAGCGGTGGCATCTCACCCGGTCTGGAGATATCCTGCCTCAATTCCGCTGCGGGCATGGACATTTCTGGGCTCAGCGCAAACCTCGACGAGGCAGTGCGTGTCGCTCAGGTAGAGGGAGTGTTTGCGCAACGAATACGCACAATGGTCTGTGACACGGATGGTATTTCTTGATTCTCGTACGCACGCTTTCATAACTTTACCCTACACACTATATATTCGTAAGCAGCCGAGCCATCATCAACTGATGGCTCTACAAGCAATAGAACACTTACTTCTTGACACTTGACTACGACGGTCCCTTCAACCTCCACTCTAAGCGACGTCGACTGTAGTCGACCGGGGCCCAGCAGACTGGGTATGGGTTAGGGTGGTTTAGTAGCTGAAACACACAAGAAGAGGGAAGCTGCTGCAGGACAACAGGCTGGTTAGGGTGGTTTTAGTAGCTGAAACACACAAGAAGAGGGAAGCTGCTGCAGGACAACAGGCTGGTGAAGACTCACCGGCTCACCTGTTTTGCTTATAAGCTCTTCAGGTCCTGCTTACACATTCAGATTATATGCGCACAACAATAGTGCAGTCCTAGAACAATAAGAATAATAGGACAATAGAGACAATAGACCTTGATCGACGACGCGAGACAATAAGATTGCCTATCATATCTAATCAAGATAAGATTACTAGGGATCAGTAGCTGTGCGATGAATTGATGCCGCATCAGTCCAAGCCTGACCAAAGGGCCACTAGGGCCTGGACCGAACGCAAAGCAAACAAAACGAATCAACACTGCCGCGTCACCTGTTCATTAGATCTGATAGACAGACTGGCAAACATTGGCAAGCACTGATGCCAACAGAGGAGATCTGATGACTGGATCAGTGATCGTACTGATGTGATAACATACCTCGTGATGCCCCGTGATGAGATCACGTGCCGTGATGGTCACGGGCCGGGTGTGGCTACCTGACAAGTCAGTCCGGACTCTTACCTAGGGTTTACGGCTAGCCGGTTAGGGTTAGCCGTTAGGGTCCGGGTTAGCTAGTTATCGCATATAGTTAGTACGACCGTTGTCATTTCGATTAAGAAATATTACTCACGGTTAGAGTTAGCGTTAGGGTTAGTAAGCTTCCTAAACGATCTCGGTTAATACCGTCTGCGTGACTGCAGAAGCCGTGGTACGTACAAGGTTTATATATTATAGCATGTGTTATAAAAGGAACTTGCTTATCCGTTGTGGGCTCAAGCCGCGACCTATCGAGAAGGGGACCGTTAGGTCAACCCGAAAAGACTGAATCGGGGCGAGGAGATTAATCTTTGCCTGCAACGTGAGAGGAATCAGCTTATCTTAGATTCCGGCATTATAAATCGCGATAAACGGGTCTTCATTATCTGAATCTGAAGGAGATGAAACAGCCATGTCCTCATCATCCAGTTGACGATCCGGTTCTGTGACGTCGCGATCAAGCGTGGTGATTACGATCTTTTTCCAAAGACCGGTAAAGTCGAATAGATTCTTAGTGCGTTTGCGACTAACAATCATTCGTCGATGTAGGATATCTAGTTTACGTATGTCTGGCATCGGAGACATTCCTGCAAGGGTCCGGATAAGCGTAAAACGCGAATCCGGTGCACCTTCCAAGTCGCCTCTGAAGTCAGAGAGTATACTTTGGCCGATAGATCTAGGATTGAGTCTATCGGCCTCGGCGGCATCTAAGTACCGCCGCCAGTATCCGAAAATCGTGTCACCGAGTTCCTTTGCGGAGAAGTAATTCCAAGCAGTGTTGAAAGAGGATTTCAGTACAAGAACATCCTCTAGTCCGGTTTTCTGACGTGACTCAGAGAGCCGTTTAGTCCACCGTTCTTTAATGTTGTCTGAAGCCCACTTTCTAACAAGGTCAGACGGGTATCCACGCTTGACATACAATGCAATTAAGCTTCGTATGGCTACGATGTAGTTTGAATGAGTGCTACATAGCGTGGCTAGCCGTGACATTTCACCAATAAAGGTTCCGCGTTTTACATCAAGCGGGTGGTGAGATATCCAGGGAATTCTTTCCATGTGGGAGCGCGACTTGCGGTAAGGCATGTGTTGCAATTTGCCGTTATCGTCGACATAGAGCGTCATGTCCAAGAATACTTGAAAATTAGGTGACGCGCTCCACTCAATAGTGCAACCATCGAACTGAATGACTGAGACAATTTGTAGCGCTTCCGCCTCAGAAGAAGCGTAAACAATTGCAATACAGTCGTCGATGTAGCGCCCATAATATGGAATTAATGGGTGCTCAGAGATTTCTTTTTTACGTTCAAACCACCAACCGTACAGGTTGGCAAGGTCTGGAGCGCACGCGATGCCCATTGCAAGGCCACGTTGTTGTTTATAAATTTTATCTCCGTATCGCATTATAAGATTATCATTTGCTATGGACAAGCATTGAATGAACATTTCTGTATCGTACAATTCCTCGAGAGGTTTGTCTAGGTAACTTCCTTCTAAATTCCAGTAGTGTTCCACATAAAGCTCGGTAACAATGTCTAGACATTTACGAACTGGGATATTGGGATAGAAGGCAACCACGTCGCCAGTTACAATGAAGAACTGGCGCCTTGGCGTTATGTTAATCTTACTCAATTTTATCGCCAGATCTTTAGTACCATGAATAATGGTTGGCGCCGATGCAATGATCGGTTTGAGTTTTTTACTGACGTATTTGGCCGCGGGGTTTTGGATGGCGCTGTGACAGGGCACGATAGGGCGCATTTTGACGGGTTCCTTATGGATTTTAGGAATACCGTAGAACACAGGTATCACATGTTGATGATCTTTCGGAGTTATCCGATGCCGCAAGAAATCACCGAGTTGTGGGCCAAAGGGAATATGCGCATCAGCGTACGCAGCAATATATTCCATTTTCGAACATTGAGAGTCGCAGATACTCTGCATTATAAGAACGTGGATTTCTTTATAGTCATCCTTGTTCGACAGAATCTCTAGACTTTTTTCTTCGATCCATTTTCGCTCAGAAATAGCAATTCCCAAGTTTTTATCAGTATTAGTAACCATATAGTTGTTGCTAATTAAAAACTCTTCGATACGGCGTGGAGACGGGGTGAGCGTTCTGAATATAGAAGTCTCTTTCTCTTCGGGTATATTGGCAATCGTGCTGAGAACGAAGTGCCGACCACGCATGAGGCCGTGTTCGATGTATGCTGGAAGAACGGGGAGGTCGGCTTTGGACCGACGTGGGACCTCGTAATCCGGATCGTAATTATCAATGGTAGTGTTGTCCTTATAGAAGGAGAAAAGAATTCGAAATTTTAAACGTCTTTCGAAGTCATACCAAGCAGACTTTATTAAGTCTGTATTTCTTGGGGAATGAAACATATATTTCATTCCAACACTGAGCTGAAATTCGATATCCTCAGGGATTTTCACACCAGGAGAGCGATGCACATGATATCTAAATTGGGAAGCGAGTACAACATCAACAGGCGTATTTACGATAATGTAATTAATCGCTCTGGGGAGTTCAACTGTAAGCAACCAGTCGGGGAAAGTGGCAGGCATGTCGTACCGAAAAGCTACTTGGCTTTGCCCTTTCCCTTCTTGTCCTGAGGTTTGGCTTTGGTCAGGTTGGTCTTCTTCGAAGAAGAAGGCCGAGCCTTCGCTGGAGATTTTCCAGCTTAGGGTGGTTTAGTAGCTAGTATCTATCCCTCTCCTCATCCGCGGGCCCGGAGAGAAAGTGGTCCCCGAACATTTTTTCCTTGTCAAAATTTTTATAAACTACATCGGCGGGTAGCCTAGGGTCCCCTCCACCAGTGTACATACCGGGGACCACTTTTTATTTACATTCCCTTCCGTTGGAGATCATCCATCAAAGGGTATGTTTTCTGTGCGACCAGAAATGACAACCTTCCATGATCGGGTGGTCCCCGATCTCAAACCTTTCCACAAAGTGGTCCCCGACATCTAGGGACGTCCAAGTACCTTCCCTGAAGGTTCCCTGAAAATTTGGTATTTTTCTGAGGCCCACAGGGCGAGATATTAACTCATCTTTCTTGTCACAATCAACTTTTTCATGCAGATCATTTTGCACATCGTTCATGTGGTCCCCATGCCTCTTTTTCATTTTCGCATCAGCAGAAGTCTTTATTGCTCTCTCTAGATGACCCTCAGAAATTTGCTAAGTTACTGTGTGTTTTTCTGTCGTGAACGACTTCAACGACGGCTGCGACTCAGTTCTATGTTTTTGTCACGTCACATCACACCTTTCACCCGGTCATACGCTGGACCCCTCCTCCCTCACTTTGTCCCCTTCTTTGCTCCTTGCGACAACATCCCTATTGCATCGCCAATGCCGCACACCTCGACCAGTGACTCAAGGTCGTCGACTCACGGCCCCGGGACGATGGATTGGGAGGTTCAGATATCCCGGGAGCCGGATAGACGAGGGGTGGAGTGCAGTGAGAATGTAGATGGTGGAGACACCCAGGCGCGTCCTTTTTTACAATCGGCCTCGAACGCGCGATCTCATGTGCAGCAGCATGTTGTGCTAATTGCGGCATCACGCATACATATCGTGCCGCTGTCTGCTTACCTCAACCGCACCGGTGGCATACTCGATTGCATGCCCTCAACAACTCCCAACGGCCGCGACCACTGAACACAACCGGGGAGATGGCTCTCACAGGAACGGGGCGTGGCAGCTGGATGCGTGAATGGGCGGAGCACGAGAGTGCATGGTGCTCAGCTTCAGAAGTGCGTTTCTTGCTGTCCGCCCTTCCTCCCGCTGTCCGCCGTCCCAACAAATCACGCCGCGTACACACCAGAAGATCGTGTTCTTCGCGCATCTGGGAATTAGACGTGGCTTCGCCTCACGTACCCGCAGCGCATTTAGCGGCCATTTCATTGCGCCGATCGTGCACCCTCAACGCCCATCGATCGACTTTCGGCTACCGGACCAACGAACGAAACAGGGGCCATGGGAGCACGGAAGTCGGAAGGGCGATCGGATGCAGCGCAGGCTGAGTGGATGGGGCCAGCCCGCAGGTGCGTTTCTCTGCACCTCAACATCTCACTTTCCGCTCACTACGTGGTTTTCGCGGCATCGTAAACCCACACTGCACGTTTACATAGATGGAACGTGTCGTCATTTTGACCTAGGCCTAGGGCGCGGGCTTTTGTATCTCGGCGACCGGCATGCCCTCCCTGGCGGTCCCTGTCGCGTCGATATGAGGCTTCGCGTCTGGCTCGCTGGAAGTCAACGGTAATATGTGCGGCGACATCCCTGGTGCGTTGTCATCTGCCTGTCTCTTGGCTACCACTGATTATTGCGCAGCATCCACGGACATGTGCGCGTGTCCTCTTGACTCATTCCGACGCGGCACGTGCGTCGGCCCTGCCCTCCCACTACTGTCGCCGCCTCTCTTGATGACATCCATGCTGGGTTGACGATTGCCAACGAGGCCGATGTCGCTGCTGTTTTGGGTACGAAAACATCCACCTCTGTTGGTGTGCCCGCCGGCACAAGCGCATGGACCTGCGCCTTTGGGGCATATGCCGAATCTCGCTGCTCTACTTCCAAGGTTCGTGCATTCGATTGCACAAACGGCGTATCTAACCCTTTGAGCTAGAGCCTGTAACAATACTGGTATGCAATGCGCTCCGATGCCACGGACTTCTCAGACCTGCAAACCCATCTATATACTCCCTACTTACCCACTCTATATACAGATTCCTTGTACATTGTATCACATAGGCCTTTCTTCTAGTCAGACATCCTAGATACTCAGTTTTCTCCTTGTGAAGTTGGTCCTCTGAGTATATTGCGATGCTCCTATTGCGGGACAAGTCGGACTAGGAAAACACAGCTCCAATTTGTATCATAAATTCACTGGGAGGCAGTAGCCCAGGTCTAAGTCCTACTGAATGCAGTGCGAATTCCAATAGCTATCCCTGTCCTCATGGAAATGTTTATGTACTATCATCATGGCACCGCCTTACCTAAGTCCAAGCAGCTTGCAACGTCATTCCACGTGACCTTAATCCATATCGTGACCAAACACCGCCTTACTTAAGTCCAAGCTGCTTGCAACGTCATTCCGCGTGACCCTAACGCACATCAGGATCAAGCACTGCCTTACTTAAGTCCAAGCAGCTTGCAACGTCATTTCGCGTGACGCTCAATCTGTTCACACGACGTAACCCGCCGTTTCCTTCACTCCTTCCGACGATCTCAAAAGGCTTTCAGCGTGCGTATGGATAGTGTAGTCATTCAAGCGGAAATTTGGAGCTAGCCACTTACTGCCCATCAGGTGCTAGCCTTCACAAGTCTTCCTTGCCAGGAACGTTGGCTGCTTCTCTTCTCCCCCTGCCACTCAGCTCAATTGCATTTCGGCTTAACATGAAGTTCCTTGTCACTTTCGATCGGAAAGCGGTCCGCAATAGCGCCTCCAGCCGTACAGTCGCATCGCTCTCCCCCTGCCGTTACTATGTCCACCACCCAAGCCCCATTCTCACGTCGCCAGCCCTCCCTTCCGGGCCACTTCTTCTGCAAGAGATGCCGTCGCTACTATGAAGAGAAGGATGGCAGCAAGGCCGTGCACCGGCGCACATTCCATCAGGCCACTCTTCGTGCAGCATACCACTCGGAAGAGCAATCCTACACCTTCGAACGAGGTGCCGACGGCCTCCTTTCGTGCGCTCGGTGTTCTTTCCAGCACCACGATCCTCGGGCTCTATGGGTGATTATAGTTGCTTTTCTGATGACTTCCTCTCATTCTTCAACAGCGTCATGTTACTGGTGAAAGAGTGTGCCCGCAGACTTGGGGCTTGGATCTCCAGCCATCCTTAGCTCAAGAGCTCGACGCAAGTGCTTCAGAGTCTCTAGGCCAAACGGATGTTAACGATGAGGAGGTGGGACTGGAAGGTGTGCGGGTAGCAGAGGAAGTGGAGGCGGGGGTGGATAAGGAGGTCGACTGCGGCTACGCCTATCGCCAGCCTATCCCATCCCCGATACCGTTGGCAGGCGATGTGCCCGCTACTCCCGAAGTGACAATGGCCTGGTCGGCTTCATCAGGCGTGAGCCCTCTCCATTCGCCCAATCCAGCCGACCATCCGCCCATTCCAGTGGCTCCGGAGACTATCCAACTCACCCAATCACCAGCCAGCGTCCCTCCTGTCGAGGAGTCCTCGTCGGCACCCTTTCAGTCGCTCGAGGATTGGCCTCAGTTTGATCACACGCAGTACGACATACCTCTTGGCCCAGATACTGTAACTCACGACGACGATGTTGACTTCGAGCGGTACAACATCACCATCAACAAAACCCTCAGACTCCTGGTCTGCATCTCGTGTAGCAAGGCTATAGGGCCCGCTCGTCTACGGCGTCATATCCTGGACAAGTGGCCGCACCTCGAGGTCCCTGACGACATCGGCAAGAAGCTCCAGGACAAGTACGGCCTCGCGGGCGCAGACGACTGGTCTTTCCCTACAGCTCGAATCCCGCCCGTTTACGGCCTGGCTGTTCTTCCCGATCCCTACCTCTTCTGCAACCAGTGTCACCATGGCTACTCGAGTCTTTCATCGCTTGAGACGCATCATTACAAGCGCACCTGTGAACGTCCGCCGGGGCATTTGCCGGGCTCTTTCATTGGGTACGGACAGACAGCTGGTTTCGATCCGCGGGTTGTCTTTCCCGTTGACGTTTCCCTCCTTGCACCGCGCGTTCGTCAACTCGGTTTTACGACTAAGCTCTTCGACGTTCTCCCAAGGCCCGACTACTCGCATCTTCCCATCTCCAAGCCAGTCAACTCTTGCAATATCGACCTCCTCTTCAAAAACGAGGACTTTTATTCGCTTGTTGGGACCCTTACTCCGGAACAAGTCAATCAGTCCGTTGATTGCACCCCCCACACTGTCGAGGATAAGCTCATATCGACGCACCTCGATGTCGTATCTCGCGCATACTGCAAATCCATCCAGGCCGCCATCACCAAATCTCCTGCCGGACTTCGTAAACTCATGGCGCAGCTCGGACCGTAAGTCTTCACACCTGTGCCTAGGCACGCTACTAAGCTGTCGCTTCTAGTGAATCATCTCGCGAGGAGCTGAGGCCACTCGAGGATAACTCGCTGAATCAATACTCCGCCGTGATCGCGAATATAATCAACACGATGCTCCGCGCTTACGCCAGCGACACACAGCCTCTGAAGTTCCCTCTCAACGAAGCACAGCGCCATGCCCTGGCAGGCTTGCGCGTTCTTCTCATGCGTGCCGAGCTTCCCGCCAACAACCTAGTCGACATTTACTTCCATCGAGCATGCTTTGCTCTGTTTGCTGACGAGAAATCGCACGGAGGACTCGATAACTGGGTACTCCCAGTTAACCGTTATCTCGTGGCTTGATGCATGGGCAGGGAGACGTGGATCAAGGCCAACGACATCACACGCATATGCGCAAAGCTACAATGGCTAAACCGGGGCGTCATGTTGACGGAAATGAATCTTCGCATGCCAGAGCGTCTCATGTCATCTGCGCAGTGAGTCCGTTTTTCGCGTTGCATCCACTGCTCTGACGACGCTGCAGAGCTTATCACGAGGTACAAAAGTATCTGGTGGCCAACGGCGACACTCCATGCTCCTTCATCTACGAAGTTCACCACACGGTGAAGAAGATTCGAGACGAGTACAACGACGCTGACGTGCAGATGGAGAACGAATCGCACACCCGGCTCATATTCGATGGCCATCGCATCGATCTGCACCAGTTCAAGACGCTCGCAGATGCACTCGCTCGACGTCACGCAGACATATTGGGCGAAAATATCTTCTTTGGCAAAGGCGTCGATCCCTCTTGCTTCCCACCCTTCGAAATCGAGGATTTGATCGACAAGCCCCACAACTTTGCCCCCGGATTCTGTTTCCTCGACATCCCCTCCAATGGGTTTGAGGATTGGGCCAAGCTGTACCCCCGCTGGCTTTTGTCACACCCCGACCTCGCTGAACGATTCACGTACGTACTCAATGGCGAACACCGGTGGAAACTCCTGGCGGTCCGGCAGCTGCTTGAAAGCTTCGAAGAGCTACGCCTTGTACTTGCAATCCGCTGCATTGTTTCATGTGGACCCTCCGTCCGTGCAGCCGAATTCGCGCGTCAATCCCTTCGCAACCTCCCTGGTGGCGCAGCACGCAATGTCGTCCTGCTCTATCGTACACTCTGTCTGTTGGCTGTGCTGGAGAAGACGAGCATGCAGTTTTCTCGGAAACACTGCACCCCTCACTGCCCGGTCAAATCCGTATCGAAGGACATCATATGGAATCTAGCTGTATTCCGCCCGTTCGAGCAGTTCCTCATATCACGCTTCAAGGGTCACGTCGACGCCGAACGATACTACACTTCCATGTGGCCTGGGATCGACTGCGACTTCACCAGCCAGCTTATCAGTACAACGCTTGGCCACTGGACCGAGCAGGTGTTGGGTGTCAGATTGCAGATCATCGACTATCGCAAGATCGTCAGCACGTTCTGCCGGTACATCGTCGACCCCTTCTTGTACAAGAGTATCGAAGATTCTCTTTTCGACGAGCTCCAGAATCACACGACGGGCATGAGCTACATGCGGTACGGCGTCGAGAAGCAGACACTCGCGTCCAGCGATCCGCGGAAGGTGGTTGGGTGCATAAAAGCTTGCAGGGCGTGGGGTACAGCAACGGGAATAGACGGTGGGGATCCCATCCAACTGGAACTCCCGCCCAATCTGGAGAACCAAACGGTTCTATTGCCGCACACTGCCGGCGCAGGTACGTGCATTATGTGCTTTACTCAACCATCTGATCTCATTATTCTAGGCTCCGGTGAAACTCTGTCGACTCTTAGCCTCGAAACTATCAAACGCGCCGTCTCAGACACGCTTCGCTCTGAGGAGTTGATCAAGCGTGAATCACTCGAAGCGCCGCTGACGCAAATCATCGCCTCGCTTGCGGCTCTGTACTTTCCAAAGGCGCCGCAACCTCCTGCGCATCAGCTTCAGCCGATCTCCTCCATCATCGTCCATCCCTCTCGTCGAAACGCGTTGCGTGAATTCCGCGGAGACGATAATGCCACCTGGACGTGCCCACAACAGGGCGAGCTGCTTGAACGAATGCGGGACAAACAGCAGCATATCCTCGCCATCCTTGCCTGCAACTCCGGCAAAACAGCGACCGTTCTTATGCAAGCAAAAGTCTTCGATAGAGGATCAACTACGATTTTTGTTCTGCCCGTCAGTGGGTTACATCAGGATCTCCATCGACGAGCTACGCAGGCACGACTCAGCGTTGCTCGGTGGCAACGCGATCACGCCAGTTTCAACGTAGACTTTGATGTACTGTATGTATCCGTGGAAGACATTCGTGACGAGTTTATCAAGCACGTATACTCGTCTTTCTTTTTGCCAGTTGACTCATCTATCTCTCAGCTTCGCCAAAGGGTTGGCTCTCACACGTTCTCTCGGCAGTCTCGTTGTGGACGAAGCACACATGGGCCTCACGGATGCCAATTACCGCGAGCCCATCCGACGGCTCATCAGACTGGCGACGGAGATCGATGCTCATATCACTCTCTTGAGTGGATCCATAGGACCTCAGCACGAACAGCCGCTACTCGACATGTATCAGCTCAAGAACGTGGAGGTCATCCGCATGCCTTCATGGCGCTCAAACATCCAGTACCTCGTTTCCCTTCACGCACCAAAAACAGACGAAACGGGATGCAAAGTCGACACCTACGTCGAAGCGGCGGTCACATATATCAAGTGGCGACTCCTTGATGTTGCGGGCACCACCTACCGCATGATTGTCTACTGTCGGAGTGTCAGAGTCGCGCAGCAAGCCGCCAAGTTACTCGGCGTAGTGGCATATCACGCTGGGGTTGAGATGGACGTGCGCCGTAGGGTATTCAAGGACTGGTTATCCGGCGTCAATCAAGTGATCGTTTCTACGTCCATTCTGGGTGTGGGGATCGATACCATCGTCCGCGAAGTCATACAACTCGACGTGGCACACACAGTCCTCGATTCGCATCAACAAGCAAACCGTGCAGGACGCGACAATCAACCCGCCCGAGCTATCGTATTCGCTTCTTCGAAACGCGAACCAACCGCTGGCGATGACCACAAGGCCTTCCTTGGCAGCGTACACCTTGTTCCCTGGCTATTCCACTTTGTCTGCCGCCGCCTCCTATTCGCTCTCTTCCTCGATGGTGTCGGCGTGACATGCGGCGTTATTCCTCGTGCGGAATATTGTGACGTATGCTATCTTCACTCTCGACAACCAGCTCCCAGGATTGCTCCCCCAATGCCCACCGCGTCCAGTCCAGAGGAGCTAGCCGCGCTGTTGCCCGTTCAAGTCACAGCTGATGCTCGACGAAAAGCTATTCTCCGTGCCGCCGGTAGGTCCTGTGTATTTCAGCCCCTTCATCATGCTAACTCACGTCCCAGATACCAAGCGTCTGCTCTACCGCAGTGCCAAACGTTCGACTGCACCCTCGAACACATCGTCTATAGAAGAAATTGGCCACCTCGAACAAGACCCACCACCTCGTCCGCGCAAGATTCCACGCCTCGAGCCACGACTTGATCGTCATGAGCCCGTGTCTTGTCTCATGTCGAATGATATGCCTGCATCCTTGCCGCAGCCACCGCCGCCTTTCATGCCCCATCCCTTGCATCTCCCACCGCTTCCGCCTTATTTCGGCCCGCCGCTACCTCCGCCATATCCATTCGCACCACCGCTGCCTTTCTTCCACATGCAGCCCTCTTTCTTCCCTCAGCCGCATCAGCACTACTTTTCACAACCGCCCGCGTCACACCCTGCTGTCTACGCAAATCACCCCACGCAGCACTCATCGACACATGCTCGCTCGCACGACCGCCCGTCTATAAATTCATCCTCTCATACTAGACGCGATAGCGCCTTGTTTCGTGGCTACGACAACCCGCCTTTGCCGCAGTCTCAGCCCGCTAGGACTCAGGTGCTTCAGCCAGCCCAGCCACCTGGCATATCTGTCCTAATTGCGCGGAACGAGCACTCCCTTCACCAGAAGGAATGCATCCGAGTCTTACAAGACGTCAATGCCGGCCTCAGAACTATGCTCCGCAAGCAGGGTTGCGCCGTCTGTCTCGTTCGCCAGCGTATTGACTGGGATACACACTCCCTACGTGAATGTCAAGCTAACGTCGGGACATCAAACGACGAGCGCTATCAGCAGTGGAAGGGTTCCGGATTGAAGTTGCCTGACGGTTGGTGCTTCCACTGCTTGCGGCCTCAGGTGTGTACTCGTGCTACTACAAACCGGCCATGGAATTCTAACACAACGAAGGGCAAGATCGGGTCCTTTGAGAGTCACGAATGGGTGGAGGATATGGCCTCTCCCTGTGCGCACGCCGGTGTCATCAAGGCATCGCTTTACGCATTTCTTTCCTCATCAGACGGGGCGCTGAGTCTCTCATCGTGCGCGCATATACCCTACCAGCTCCGATCGCCAGAGCACTTCGACGCTCTCTGTCAGTGGGCGGTGGAGGACGCGAGAGACTACGCTGGGACAAAAATGAAAAACCTTTTACTCGTTTTCCGGTGGTTAATCCAGCAAACTAATAGCTTAAAGTAGTAGATTCATGTGCATCCCTCTTCCTATTCACTAATTCATAGACACTGTTTACATGACACAACGACGTACGTTTGACATTTCCGTTATCGCAGATCTTGCTGCGCCTAATTTAGCCGCGACGTTTCTTCCCCGATCACATCCGCTTTCCCTCAAATACTAAGACCATGCCCAATGTACATACCCGGTCCCTCTCGCATTCTCGCTCTTGTCCCGCCTTCTCAGCCTCGTTACGATAAATCCCGTGCGTTCAGTTCTACGCACCACGCTATTTCCCAACGCAGCTGACGATTTGGCACAGGCTCGCAATGTCCAGCCCTTTGGCCCCCTCCAGTTTGCACAGCGACGAAGATACGGACGCTACGACCTATTTGTCCAGTCCTAGCGTCGAATACGCGCCGCCACCTCAGCGCGATATACCACCCCCCCCATTTCGTTACCTGTCGCCGCCTCCCAGCTCTACCTCGACAATGTATTCGTCACCCCCTCGACCGGCACCTAGTCCCGCGCGCCAGGTTGAGGATGTCCCAGCGCTGACGGCCTCCGCTGCCCACCCGGTTTTCCCGCACCCCCACGCGTTGTTCTCGCACCCCCATCCGTACGTGTCGCAATACGCGCCTGACGACGCGTATCACCAGGCCTTGCAGCAAACTGGCCCCACGCCCCCACATTCGCTCCCTCCTTCCTCTCCGTACTACTCACGCTATCCGGCACCTTATGGGTACCCGTACCCTTCACCTCTTGGGTATGGGTTTCCCTGGGGTTACTCTCAACACCCGTACCTGCCCCCAGCTCGCGAACCCGTGGAGCGTCATCGCTTGGCTCGAGAACGATCTCGCCCGTACAGTTCGGCTAGCACATCGCTACCTCGCCGACACACTGGGCCAATGCGTTCGGTTCCCATTTCCAAGACGCCGCCGCCTAGCTCCTCGCGCGACGACTCTGACCCTTTCCTTGGCCCCAGCGCTCAACGCGACGACCCCAACGCACCCAGCGAAATCTTCGATGGAGCCCCTCTCCCGGCGGCTGGGGCAACGCGAATGGCAGAGCTCGTCGCCATCTGCGACCGTGTGAACGCTGCGCTGCGGTACTTCAGTGCCGGGCGGTGCATAATCTGCTTTCTCAGAGGGATCGACAACTGGAACGAGCATCCTTTCGATCGATGCCCCGGCCCTATCTGCTCTTTCGGCGACTGCGACTATCACGAGTGGAAGACGAACGGGTGCCGACTCCCATCCGGCTGGTGTTTTTACTGTCTCCGACCTCAGCACGCCCAAGGCGGTTATCGCATGCACGAGAGGACCAAGGCGGTAGCAGACTGCAAGGCTAAGGGGCTGATCAAGGCAGCGTTGTATGCCTTCTTCTCAGGCCAGGAGGGCATGCCATTGGTCAGCGACTGTTCAATCATCCCGCCCGACGTCGTTGCAAAGTCTCATCGGGATTCCTTGTTCAAGTGGGCCTTGGCCAACGTCTCGAATCCCGCGGATCTGAAGATGAAGAACCATCTTCTTGTGTTTCACTGGCTTGTCGAGCAACAGGCGCGCATCATGGGTATGTAAATTCTAATGCCTCTCCTTTTGCTCGAGTGTCGGTGTACGAATAACTATCACATGTATTCCAGCCCTCTTTTCATACCTGCCCAACGTCCTGTATCTTACTTGTAATCCTGTAATTTGCCCATCGTGTACCTAAATGTTCTTGTACCAGACCGCTTCGAAAATACAGATTTATTGCCAGCCTCGCAATAGTTTTAACATTTGGACTTACCACGCAAAGGAAACAATGCCGTCTCAAATCACTTAATTATTATACCCCAAGATATAGAGAACATGTGATTCTTTCTGGGCTCTGTCATTCGCAACCCCTCGGTGTGAATGAGTGACCAGCAGGAGACTGCTGGGAAGACAGGTCCTAAAATATATGATGTGATCCATCACTCATCATGACCTAGCACTGCCTTACATAAGTTCAAGCAGCTTGCAACGTCATCTCACGTGACCCCATCACCCATCATCATCAAGCACCGCCTTACCTCAGTCCAAGCAGCTTGCCACGTCATTTCACGTGACCCCATCACCCATCATCATCAAGCACCGCCTTACCTCAGTCCAAGCAGCTTGCAACGTCATTTCACGTGACCCACAATCTATTTCTCTTCCAACGACCTTAATACAACCATGACTAATTTCAAACCCCTCACTCACACTGTCCTTTTCCAATCTGTGTGTTGGTACTCCAAACATATCCTCTCTGGCGACTATGCGACAATCCCTGTTCCCTCTTTCCTCCAAGAATACCAGCGCCGGCTTCACGATCTCGACGTGACCGGCTACCAAGCCATCCACAAGTGGCCTGAAGAGATTGACGGCGCGACGATGGCACTAGGGGAGAAGGAGAGACAGACACCTGTCGCTGGCATGGTTACAGGGGAGGCAAGGGTATGGTATTACATTCTGCTTTTCCTATTCTTCGACTACGCATTGTCGCGATCGTCTCCCGCCTCAAGGCCCGTGACCTATCCCGGCATCGAAGACTCGACTCCATGGAAGCAATGCTCTGGTGACCGTGTAAGTCCATGATCATGATTTGAAGGCGGCAAACTGACGCAAAACACAGTTGACCGGTAAATACATCGCGCGAGTCAAGAAATGTGTCGAGGCGATCCTGGGCAAGACAACGGAGTCGACGGGCGCGGAATACGAAGAAGATGACCATGCGGGAGGACTTGCGGATGCAGACATCGCTGGCCGAACAGAAGAACAGCTCGAGATGCTGAAGGGCTTCGAGAAGATGGCAGACGCGACAAGACACACAGCGAATATCATGCAGATAAGCTATTCAATGATATTCATTCTAGAGGTACGCTAGCCCGGCATCTTCTCGACGACATGTATTGACCAAATCCCAGCTGAGCAGGTCCCCGTTTATTCTCGACAACGGACTATTACCCTGCCTCGGACTGGATTTCGAGGGTTCCTACAGCAGCGAGTGAGCTCATACTTTGTCCTAAAAATTTTTATCTCAAGTGACCCGCAGGACCCTTTTGTTCACGGACACATCCCGACCCCTTGGACTCTTGCGACCTGCCTTCCTACACTTCGTGTTCGGGCCGCTTTGCAGTTTCACCTCCATCCCTCTCAACGAATCAGCTCTTTCTGTTTGGCCCGGAATTCAGGTAATGCGAGTGACCCTCTGCATTCCCTCCTAACTGACTTGAGAGCAGATCCTGAACGCGCGGAGGAAGCTCCTCGGGACGACCGACCTGGGAGATACGCAATTCGGTGTTATCGAACGGAACCTCGAAAGCCTCATCACAAGGCTTTTCTCGCACGTCTCGAGCAGGGACACTGCTAGCCCCAGTCAGGTCGTTGAACAGATGGTCAAGAAGTCGGCGGCACGGAACGGCGCAGCCAGCGGAAGTGATTACTTCACGAGACTCAGGGGCATGTACGACCCTTCGCGGTCTGTCAAGAGCAAGCGCGCGCGCGCAGCGCAGAGGCAGCAGGAGATTCGGGACGGAAATAAGCAGACGGCGGTCGTTCGTGACCGCAGTCAGGCTGGGGGCTCATCTGGGTCATTCGTGGACTGGGGGACGATCCTGTCTAGGGAAAAGCAGTCTGACGCGCCTGAGGAAGACGGTAGGAAACGGCGCTTGCGTCCAACCACACATTTGACGATCATGTCAGAGATGGTCCTGGTTACAGACAAGATCGCCAACGAGCTGGGATTGGTGTCGGGGCAGCCATCTCAGCCCCACGCCTCACATGGGCCGACCTTCTCTGATCCGGACGCCGTTCAGCCATTGGGAAATCTCCACTCCACGTCCGCTCGAGGAACAGAAAGTTCGAGCACGCATCAACCGCCCGTGCTGTCATCTCTCGCACCAGAATCATCCCCGGCGGTTTTGCTCGCCGCTTCTGCCATTAGTGGGGGCAGCAGGAACCCGACCCCAAGAGCCTCGTCCAACCCATCCGAACCCAGCAGCCTTGCACCGCGACCCTCGTCCCCACATCTCGGCACATCTGCACCAGCACAACCAAACGGTGCTCCCGAACGCGCAGAGGGGATTCCGGCTGTGATGCCGATAGATGAAATAGATGACTTGATCGTTGCCGATGAGCTGACGAAGCGAACCTTGCCAGAGTCAACTACGGGGGAAGACGGGGTGCTGCCGATATCATCGCTCCACGGATCCAGTCAGGACAGCGAGAGACAAGACGATGGCAAGGAAGCGGAGAAGAGCGAGGAGAATGTATGTGGGAAGGGCGATGAGGATGAAGACGAAACAGATCAAGACGACGACGCAGACGAAGCGGAGAAAGACGAGCATGAAAACGCAGCGAATAAAGACGACGACGCGGAAGCAGCGCAGAAAGACGAGGATGAAGACGAAACAGATCAAGACGACGACGCAGACGAAGCGGAGAAAGACGAGCATGAAAACGCAGCGAATAAAGACGACGACGCGGAAGCAGCGCAGAAAGACGAGGATGAAGACGAAACGGATGAAGACGAGGACAAAGACAGAATGGAGATAGACAAGAACGAGGGCGAAACGGAGAAATACGAGGACAAAGACGAAATGGAGAATGACGAGGACAAAGGCCAAAAGGAGATCGACAAGACCGAGGGCCAGACGGTGATGGACGAGGACGAAGGCGAGTCAGAGATCGAAGAGGAGGACACAGATGCCTCCTCGGAAAACCTTTCAGCAGGGACACGGTCGAATAAGAAGCGGCGTCGGGAGGAAACTGAGGATGATGGCGACTTGCAAGGAGAAGGCGGTTCTGACAAGAAGAAGGCCCGTAAAAAAACGCCCGAAAAGTCTCCAAATCGCGATAAATCAAAGAAGAAGCGCCGGCGGGGGACATCGGAGGATGAGGACGGCTCAGACGGAGAATGGGACGGCAAGAAGAGGCAGCGGAAGAGGAAGGCCCGGAACAATGACAAGCGGTCGGATACAAAAGCGAACGGCAAGAACTCGCGCAGGAAGGGCCAGGCGCCTACCAAGAACAAAACGAAGAAAGGCAAAGAGGCAGCACATCCTGGTCCATCCGGGCTATCCGAGAAGGACCTCAAACTCGTTGTCGACGATTGTTTTGAGCGCGCAGATGAATCGGTTATGATCACGGGGCACGTCCCTTTGGTGAAGGGTATGGACTCTGAGGAGATTTCAATGACTTATGAATACCGACCATTCCGCGGAGCAGTTGAGTCAAGCGCTGCATCGCAGCATTGGTGCTGACAGTTTCTAGGCTGCAGTCGATTTGAAGATCTTGAGAGGTTTAGCACCCAGAACCGCGATCCCCGGAACGAACACCAACCACAAGACGTGGGCTATATCGTGCAGCGGCCTCAGCCCAAGTCGAGATCTTGGCACTTTGCTCAGAAATGGGCAGCCCGTTTTCATACCCGAGGCAAGCGACGCACCCATTGCACCCGACGATCTCGAGGCGACACTGCAGCGCGAATATGCGTACCATGCTCCAACAGAAGTTCAATGCAAGTCTACATCCTCCTCATCGAATCCATACGACTGACATCCCCGCACAGGTCGGGCCTTGATGAACACAGATATGAAAGACCTGCAGCAAATGCTGCGAACAACGACCCTGGAGGAAATCGTCCGCCGTGCCAATGAACCACGCCAGGACTCCCTCAACGCACTGGCTCTGTATCGGCCGATCAGATACCAGGCCCAACCCATCGCGCATACGTGAGTAGCAGCCCCCGTGTCACATGTATGCTGACTGCAAACAGTGGGCTTGATTTTGCAGAAGTCGTGCTGATGCAGACGGACGGATGGGGTGCCCTCAAGGCGCGCAACCTCGTCGACTCCCACATGCCATTCAACATCGCCGGAATGCTGGGCTCCTTCTCGGACCCGCATCTAGATGTGGCAGGAACGCGCGTCAGCGTTCGCGGCCCCGGGGGTAAGCTGTGGATTCTCGGCCTGCCTGTCAACGCCCAATCAGCAGCCACCTTCGGGGAGCCTTTCGATATCTCCTGCATAGCGGCCTTTGACAAATTCGAGATGGGGTCCCTCAATCTGCCAGGCGTTGTCTATCAGATCCTCTACCTCCCTGCAGGTTCAGGAACTCTGTAAGTTCAGACCAGACATTTGCCCGCTTTACTTATATTCGAGAACAGAATCATGCCCGCTGGCATGCTGCACCTGGTAGTCGGCGTAGCAGGACCAAACCCAGGTTCGGGCGAGATTGCCACCAGTGGTCCAGCGACGATATGTTGCACGGAAGGCGCTCACTTCCTGACTGTCTGGACCATACTGAGAGACATCGCCAACATGATCCAACTTTCGTTCCTCCAGGACATCCTAACGAACGAGGAACATGTCGTGTTCTGGGTCTACATGATCCGTTCGCCATATTTCTTGATCACCCTAGTCATGCGTCAGTGATACCGATAACTTGATCTCGAATCACGACTAATAAACATCTAGGGCCCGAGCGACTTCAGACGTTGGCGACATGGGCGGACTACCTCCCCAATCTATCTTGTTTTTCCGGGTGGCTGGACATACTCGCGTCCTGTTCTCTCCTGGTGCTGCAGCCAAGCATTGACAACCGGACCTACAATCGTGACCTCGGCGACCGCAGCGACGATGCTCGAGATCGGACGTTGATACTCGGCATTATCCGTGACGAGTTCCTGCCCTGGTTACATGAGACGATGCCCATCAGCGTGGTGGATGGTGACCGACGAGATTGGTTGAAGGACGTTTTCAAGGTAAGCTAACCAATCAGACATACCCCATATGATATTGACGATACCGGCAGCCGCTGGTGACACATATGGCGGTGTCCATTGTTCGGTTGTATGAGCACATCGAATCGGATGAATCGCGCAATGTGATGTCTTTCTCACGGAACACCCTCGTCAAAAACATAGAACAATGCCTCAAGGAATTCGACGGAAGCGGGGACAACACGGAGGATGGATTAATTGAGGGGTTTCGTGCCGAGGTGGACAAGTCGCCCAATCCAAGAATGCGGTTCTTCAAATTTTCTCCAACGGACTTTATTGTACCCTCATTCTCCAAGTTATAAGCATGTACATTACACAGTCTGGACTATTATGGACGATCTCCCAATTATATACATCCAGTATAATATATAATGTATGTGTAGCCAACATTGGTACTTTGTTTCAGGAATGGCAAAGTTTCGTCGAATAGGAGGACTGCTGGGCGAGATAAAATGTGTAACGTGACCTTAACCCTAATCATGACCAAACACCGCCTTACATAAGTTCAAGCAGCTTGCAACGTCATTCCACGTGATGCTTCATCTGGCTAATCAGTGGTGATGTCACATTCCCTTCTTCACCATGCCCGCCATTCGGACGGCGCACGACGAGACTTCTCGTGCGGATACGCACCACCAATCGCGCCTTTCGAAATGGCTGACGAAAACAACCGTCACCTCTGCACTGGAAGGACAGGACAACGTCGAACTAAATGAAGAACAGGAGGGAGCGCTGCGGTTGGTAGTTGAGGATCGGCGCAATGTTTTCTTCACCGGGAGCGCTGGTGCGTTGTAATTTCACTGTCAACGGGGGTGACAAGTTGTAAAGGCTGTGGTAAATCGCTCCTGTTGCGCCGGATGATCAAGGACCTCCAAAAACGACATATCGATGATGGCCCCTATGCCGTTGCCGTGACGGCCAGCACCGGCATCGCGGCTCGCCACATCGCTGGTGTGTTACCCAATCTTCATATCACGACAGCGCTCGAGGAATTGCCTAGGTGAGACTTTATGGGCATGGGGAGGCCTATCCATCCACAACATCTCCATCGACGCACAAGTCGAGAAGATTCAGAAGAATCCGCGGTTGCTGGAAAGATGGATCGATGCCAAGGTCCTTCTGATAGATGAAGGTACTGTGGCCAGAGTCTTCGATGCACAGCTGACCTCTCCCCAGTATCGATGATACATGGAGATGTTCTCACTCTCGCCAACGGAGTCGGCAGGAAGATACGGAGATCCGACGCACCCTTTGGCGGGATTCAGCTTGTCCTCTCAGGCGACTTCTACCAACTTCCCCCCGTTTGCACGAACAAGAAGAAGCTGCAGTTCGCATTTGAGTCACAGGCTTGGATCGACGCTATTGAAATCAAAATCGAATTGAAACGTGTTTATCGGCAGAGCGAAGACGGCGAGGCTTTCATTTGAGACATTCCCGCCGCTGACACCTATGACAGGCTTCGTTAAAATGCTCAACGAAATGCGGGTCGGAAATGTCTCTGACCAAGCAGAAGCGATGATGCAAAGCCTTAGACGCCCATTGCCTCGACAGGGTTAGGGTTAGGGTTAGGGTTAGGGTTAGGGTTAGGGTTAGGGTTAGGGTTAGGGTTAGGGTTAGGGTTAGGGTTAGGGTTA